GGATAAAAAGTTGCAAAGGGAAGGCGCTCCCAAATACAGAAAAATGTTTTTAATCAAAATTGTACCGAAATATTGCGAAATATTTCTTCAAAAAGCGTTTCAATAAAGGTTGAATTAATTGATGTTATGCATCGGTTAAATATAACTTAATCACACTGTTAATAGGCTTCACCTATCAATAATTTTCTTGTTATTTGTTGACGAAGTTCAACTTAATACGAAATTACTAAAAAAATTATGAAAAAAAATTCCGATACCGGGAATCAAACCCGTTCGGGAGCTTCATTGCTTGAAAGCCGAAAATCCTAACCACTAGACCATATCGGATGATCATTTGCTTGTGATAAACTCGAAATTTTGTAATATTCAACTTCAGTTTTCAACAAAAAATTCATCAATTCATGTGGAATATTTTGTTTGTTCAAGTGAATTTTGAAAAAAATTTGGAGCAATGAAACGTCGCCATTCTTTTATATAACCTTCGAAAAGATTAATGATAGAGAAACAAAGCTTGTGCAAAACTCCACCAAAAACATAAAATAAAAAAGTTTCCGATACCGGGAATCGAACCCGGGCCGTTCGGGAGCTTCAATGTATGAAAGCCGAAAATCCTAACCACTAGACCATATCGGATGATCATTTGCTTACAATAAGCTCGGAATTTTATGTTTTTAAACTACTGTTTCCAAAAGGCAGCATCATCAACTAATGTGTAATGTATTCCATTTATTCAGCTGAAACTTTATCTCTATTTTTTCCATTCAATTTATTTATATCTTCGGTTGTCTCAAGCATTTCCCCACCTTTTATCTATTTAGTTTAAAACTTGGAGTATTCAAGAAACAACATCAATTAAAAAATGAAAGTGAGAATAATTGCTTGTGGATATTAAATGCTTTATTAATATTTTCATTTCGTTTAAAAGATTTTCTACGTTCTTGTTATTTACATTCTGTTGAATGTTGTGGATGCAAAAGTTTATGAGTTCTGCGACTTAGCTCGAAAGTTGCATTGTGATCATGGATTCAATCGAAATACTTTACCAGATTGGATGTGCTTGATTCAAGCTGAAAGCAGTTACAATAGCAAAGCTGTTGGGCCTCCTAATAGTGATGGATCGCGAGATTATGGACTCTGGCAAATCAATGATAGATATTGGTGTAAAAATGGTAACAATAAAAATGATCTAAATATTCAAATATTTTCAGTTATAAATGTTTTTAATTTATGCACACAGGAAAGAAGGGTGGCGATTGTAATATGGATTGTCAAAGTAAGTAGCAAATCTTTAACTATATAATTACATAATTTCTACTTTTTTTTTCATTCCCTTTTCCTTAGAACTTCTTGATGATAATTTAGCAGATGATGTGGTGTGTGTTAGAAAAATTCATCAGCGCCATGGTTATAATGCATGGTATGGATGGATAAAAAGTTGCAAAGGGAAGGCGCTCCCAAATACAGAAAAATGTTTTTAATCAAAATTGTACCGAAATATTGCGAAATATTTCTTCAAAAAGCGTTTCAATAAAGGTTGAATTAATTGATGTTATGCATCGGTTAAATATAACTTAATCACACTGTTAATAGACTTCACACCTATCAATATTTTTCTTGTGATAATAAAAAATTTTAATTAAAGCTGCTTTAAGAACATGAATTTTGACCGTTATTTAAAATCACTCTAAGTGAAAGTTTCAAGTCATATTTTCGTACTCTAAAACGATTTTCGCAAATTGTAAAGAACAAAATTCAACTGAATACGAGATACTAAAAAAAAATTAAATAAAATTCCGATACCGGGAATCGAACCCGGGCCGTTCGGGAGCTTCAATGCTTGAAAGCCGAAAATCCTAACCACTAGACCATATCGGATGATCATTTGCTTGTGATAAACTCGAAATTTTGTAATATTCAACTTCAGTTTTCAACAAAAAATTCATCAATTCATGTGGAATATTTTGTTTGTTCAAGTGAATTTTGAAAAAAATTTGGAGCAATGAAACGTCGCCATTCTTTTATATAACCTTCGAAAAGATTAATGATAGAGAAACAAAGCTTGTGCAAAACTCCACCAAAAACATAAAATAAAAAAGTTTCCGATACCGGGAATCGAACCCGGGCCGTTCGGGAGCTTCAATGCTTGAAAGCCGAAAATCCTAACCACTAGACCATATCGGATAATAATTAATTGTATTTAAACTGAAATATTGAATTATTTTAATATTGTTTTCTGACTGTAAATATTTTAGAAGGTCGTGAGAGAAAACACGAAGTAATTACTATTGCTATCATTGCTGAAGGTTTACATTAATGTACATGATCTGTAATTTCAAAAGTACTAACACACTTCTCATTAGTAGAAGTAATTAAAAAGAAAGAGTTAATTAAAACATGCACATAAATGATCACAATAAAAAATATCTACATAAAATGTACAACTGTAATTTGTTTCTTTTTATTAAATTTTAATTCATATTTTCATACATAATGCAAATATTTTAAAATAATCTGAGAAAATCTCTCATATCCCTTTCCATTAGAATTGTTCAATGATACGTGTGCAGAACATGAAAAAAATATAAAACATTACTCGAAAAATGAATATGAAGGAAATATTTTTGGTGTTTGAGTTTTATCAAAAGCTTTCAAATAAATATTTTTTATTACAATAGGATTAAAGTAAGTTCCGTGTGCAAGTGACTTTCCTTCAGAGACAAACACTTTCCTTCATTTCCCTCGCTACTTTTTTTGATATTTTAGCTGAAATTTATATTTTAGTGCTTCGTTGCATTCTACTTACATTAGAATGAAGCGAGAAATGAAGCGAATATCTTCTATTTTGCATAACAGTGGAGTTAATGCATTGAGAAAGTTTCACGGTTCGTTGCAAATGCGATGCACTTACGAGAATTTTATTTATTTTTGCAAAGCGGAAAAAAAATATTTTGAAAAGAATTTAACGATTAAGGAAGGAAGTTTTTTTCTCCATTTTCCTCTCTTTAAAGAATTTAGTAAAAATCTTTCCTCTCATCTTCGTGTTTTTAATGCAATTCTGAAAAAAGAATCGAATCAAATCAACAAGAGCTTACTTCTTATTAAATTGAGTACGACAAAGTGGCGTCTAAATAATCAATTCAAGTTACATCGTGTATTGAAAGCTCTGATTAACATAAAAATTTTCTAAGCTTGCTCTTATCGTCTGACATTGAACTTTTTCTTGGCAAGAAAAGATATGTTGGAAATGAATATTTTTAACATGCCGCCGTTTCTTGATATTCTCATATTAAAATATTCTCAAAATTTTTCTTGTGGTAGTTTTTGTTGAAAATATTGTGAATGTAAATGACAGCATTAAGCTAATACGACTTTAGTCAATGTCATGAAGATTTTATCTAATATCAGAATTTATGACTAAACATGCAATTTGTCACAAGTTACAACTATGTATGAAAGCATAATGTGAGCTGAATAATTTAACTACATATGTTTCATCATTCCCAACAGTTTCTTCAAATACCGGCTGTTTAAACATTTGATGCGATATGGAATTACGTGATGCTCAAATTTTCTCAATTATTCAAAATAATTTTTTAGAACCTAAAGTTTATAATGAAGATTCGATTAGCAACTTTGGAGATTCTAATATTTTTATCAACTTTGAGATGTCATCCGGTAAAAAGTGAGATTTATTTAAAGACTTAAATGGAAACTTTCGAATAAGAATTAGAAAGTAAACATTTTAATTCATTTTAGAACCTCGTGTTGCTATGACAAACACAGATGCAAAATCAGATTATTCAATAAGGGATGAAAGTGGAACCTCTAGCATGGAGAATAATGAAAATTTACTTGAGATCAAAGACTCTGGAAGCAATTCTAAAGGCGAAGATTCCATTGAAGTCAAAGATGATATCTCTGATCCCAGCACCGTCAGCAAGGTTTCCATTGAAAAAGCTCACAAAGAGAATTCAGACACTGCAGAACACGTTTTGAAATCACCTGAAGTGATGGTAAATGCTGATAAAAAACAATTAAATAATCAACCTGAAGCTAATGATGCACTGAATTCTAATGTTGATAAGATTGTGGAAAGTGAAGAAGATTATGATGAAGATTTAAGCACCACAAATCTTCCAATTGAAGATCAACTTCAACCATCCGTAGCTGAGCTTGAAGAAAACGTAACTGAGCCTTTTAATAACAACACAAAAAATTTATTAAATGAAGTGAAAAGTGACATTGAAAATAATGAAATAAAAAAGTCCGAACAGCTGAAAGAAAATCTTCAAGAAAATCAAAATGAATTGAAAATATCTCTTGAAAATTCAAAAATAGAAACAAGTTCAACAACAATGAATGCTTCTGATGTAAACATTTCTAAGGCAATCACTGATAATCAAGTAAAAGAAATTTTAACGAAAAATGTTGAACTTGTTGAAAAGGAAGGGGAAGAGGAAGAAGAAGAAAAGTTTGTCGTTCGATTTGATAGCAAAGGAGATTCAATTCATGAAGATGACTTTGTAGCAACACCACCACAGTCGTGTAAGGAAAATGTTAAAAAGAAAAAAATTTCAGTCTCACAAGAAGAAAATATTCAAAATATTTCCAAAGAGAACGTCAAGGAATCTCCTGATGGAAATAAAGTTGTTGAAGATAATGGAAATAATTCAGATGAAAATCCAAAATTCGTTGTTCGATTCGATAGCAAAGGCAACTCAATAGAAGAAAATGAAACAAATAATGGCGAAGCTAATAAAGAAGAAGCTAACAAAAAGAAATCTTCACACAAAGATAAAACGTCAAAAGATGAAAATAAAGCACTTGAAGACGAAGGAGAAGAACAAGTTGATCCATTAAACAAACCTACAAATGAAATTTTCACATCGTCAAGTCTCCATTGGAGTCAAGAAGACGATGGAATTCCCGTAATCACCATACCACTTGGAGAAATTCTTCAAAAATATGCCAGAATGTTACAAAGCAATAGCAGATACGAATACTATGAAGCAGGAGAAGAAGAAAGTCCGAAAATTGCAATAAAAGAAATCAAAGACAAAGGACTTGAAGAGTTTTCAATTTCTCAAGAATTGTAGTCTTAAACTTAATTGTAATTTTGACAGTTGCAACAAAATTGAAAGCTTTCACTGAAACACAAGGAGAAATCATTAAAATCAAACATTTTTATTCATTTTCTCTTTTAATATTTATTTGAAAGTCCTTAAATATTTATTTAATGTCATTTTTCTTACACAACTAATGTATTCATGAAGAAAAAGATGATGAAGAAGAAAGTTTTGTAACGATTTAAGATTTATAAGAAAAAAAAAGATTAAAAAGAAAAATAAATGAAAATTCAAAAAATCTATTTTAACTTTGATGAACAACTTTTGAAGATTGCATCGCCTGTAAATTGAGTTTTGAAAGAAACTTCATCACATTTCAGAAGTTTATTCAACTCACCTTCATAATTTACCATCTTTTACCATATTTATCTTGCTGCTGTTGTTCTTCTTCGGGACTACTAGCAGCTGGGCTTGTATAAGATGGACTTGGCTCTGGATCTTCTTCAGGATAAACAGGCGAAGTTGGACTATAAACAGGACTTGTTGGCGAATATTTCGTGCTGTGTGGGCTGTAAGTTGGACTATAACCAGGACCACCAGGTGAACTCGGATAAGTTGGACTTGTAGGCGAATAATAACTCGGTGGACTTTGTGGCGTGTATTGAGGCGATGCACAATGTGAAGATGGTGACGTTGGACTATAGCTTGGACTCGACGGGCTGTATTTAGTCGAACTAGGCGAGAACGAAGGTGAACTCGGCGAATAATGCGGCGTTGGATAACTTGGACTCGACGGTGAATAAAGTGGAGTCGTTGGCGTGTATTTGGGGCTCGATGGGCTGTAGCTTGGTGTTGTCGATGGATAATGCGGTGAAGTTGCTGGATAGTTTGGACTTGATGGAGAATAATGTGGACTTGTTGGTGAATAAACTGGCGACATGGGACTGTAAGAAGGCGACGTAGGCGAGTAGGGACTTGTCGGTGAATACGAAGCAGCGTATCTTGGACTTGAATCTTGCATTTTGGGACTTGTTGGGCTGTAAGAAGGTGATGATGGAGAGTACGGTGAATTGGGTGAGTAATGCGGTGAAGCGACTGAATTGTAATTTGGAGATGTAGGCAAATAATGAGGTGAACTTGGAGAATAAATTGTGCTTGTTGGGCTGTAAGATGGACTTGTTGGTGAGTAACTTGGACTAACTGAAGCACCAGGTGCAAAGTTCGGACTATTCGGCGAATAAGCAGGCGATGCTGATGGCGAACTTTGGAAGTATGGCGACATTCCACCAGGAGAGCTTGGAGATCCTGGATTTGGTGACCATCCTGGTGACATCCCTGAAGCATCTGATTGTGCTGATGGAGAGAAGTTCGGCCCACCTGGAGTCATTCCACTTACAGGCCCCGATGGTGACCATTCAGGACCATAAGCTGGTGTACCGTTTTGCCATGGAGTCATTGATGGACTCATACTTGGAGTTGTTCCTGGTCCGAAGAACATTCCTGTCGTTCCCATGATGCTTGTGTGCGGAATTTCCATTCCATCTTTACACTTATCAGCGTCTAACAAGAGATCGAAACATCCTGTGCCCATTCGAGGCAATTGTCCCATGATAATATTCTCAGAAACGCCTCTCATAGGATCAACTTCAGCATGACTTGCTGCATCCATCAACACATCAACAGTTTCTTCGAACGAACATCTCATGAGTGCGCCAGTGTCTTGTCGATTAATTCCGTGACGTGTGATTGCCATTAAATGTCCTTTAGCTGTCATAACATCACAAAGCAAAGCCAAGTGGCGATAATTGACGTACAATCCGTAGAATTGCAAAACTGCATTCATTTCCTTCTCAACAGACTTTCGAACAGCTTCAATTCCCAAAACACTGAAAATCTCACAAATATCGTTACTAAATGTTCGAACTGGATCGACATCACGTTCACTTAAAACTTTCATCATTGATGTTCCATCTGTTTCAAGAAGCCATTCGCCGATAGCTTTAAATTCACCAGATTCAGTGATGACAATTCGTTTCTTTGCGTCTGTTTGTGGTAACTGCAAAAGAATTAAAATTTTTTAGAAAAAGAAATTTAATTTGTGAAAAGAAAGACCTACATGCATGTAAACTTTTCCAATCGCTTCAATGCCTTGAAGTGTCAATTCCGACAACATATTTGATTCGATACATCTCAAGAACATGTCTTCTTCCATCTTTTCCATGTCTTCTTCACCATCCATTCCAAATTTATTGTCACCTTTGTTCATGATTCTAATACGCAATACCAGCTTTTCAGAGTTGTCATCGTTGAAGATACAATTCAAATCATCACCAAACCCAGCGTTAATTTTCTCGGCGATTTGTTCCATTGTCAACTTCTTATCAGTCATTCGCTTACGATCAAGTTCGATACGTAAAAGCCATGGTGAGATTTTTGTTGGATCAAAATCTGGCATTTCATAGTAAATGTTGACAAACTCTTGATCCTCAGCAATCACTGGAATTAAAAGAAATTATTTAATGCATTTTCATGATTGTTGACGATAAAACGTGACGTAATCAAAGGTACTTTAAGTGAAACGTAAGTTAAGTACGTTAAGTAAAACGTAAGTTAAGTACGTTGAGTTCTACATGTGTTCAACTTACCTGTTCGTTGTGGATCTGGATCATAATAAATTGCTGTATTTGCTGTTACTTTCCGCAATGTTGTATGTTCAAGACGACATAAAACATTTTTAGCTTTCTCAGCATCACGAGCTGCACCACCAGTTAAGAAGACAGTAAGTGATGGAGCTTTTGGTTTCTTCGAAATGTTGATGATTTCCTTCAATCGCGGCACACCCAATGTGACGTTCTTTGATGATACACCAGCAAAATGGAAAGTATTGAGTGTCATCTGTGTTGCTGGTTCACCAAGTGATTGTGCAGCTAACGCACCAACCATCTCACCAGGATTAACTTGCGCTTGTTGGAAACGCGTCTCAATTTCTCCAATCAACCATTCAAAAGCTTCTGTGTTCAATCGATGCTCTTCAGCAACATATTTTGTACATAATGTTGATCGAACAAGACATTGGAACAATAATGTTGCATTTTCATTTGCTTGCTTTGATAATCGATCACTTCCAGCTACAATCACACATTTGCTGAGTAAATCTTTCACTCCTTTAATGACTTGTGTCGGACTTAAATCAGTTGGCGCACGTTTGTTAATGTGGAAAATTTTCTGAACATTCCAAATCATTCGATTAAGATTGCAAGGCAACACAACTTTACTTTCGCCATTTGGAAAGATTTCTCTTAATGTGCTTCGATCTTTCGATAATTGTTCCCATTCACTTTCCAAATCTTGTATTGCATATCCAGATTCGGTTAACGTCTTGACAACATCTTCAGTGAAAAGTTTCTTTAAATGTCGTTCATTTGTTGGATCAAAACGGAAACGCTTCTCAAATGCTTTGTTTGATAATTTAATTGTGGGAAGATTTTGAAACTCGACGCCTTCACCACACAAACCGTCTTCGCCATAACGAAGCTGAATAAGTTGCCCAACAGAGTTTCTTACAGTTCCATCGTAATGAATCATAACCGACTCCATAGCTTTGATAAGACGACGTTGAATGTAACCAGTTTCAGCAGTTTTAACAGCGGTATCAATGAGACCTTCACGACCTCCCATCGCATGAAAATAAAACTCGGACGGTGTTAAGCCAGCAAGATAAGAATTCTCAACAAAACCACGAGATTCCGGACCATAATCGTCTTTAATAAAATGTGGTAATGTTCGTTTACGAAAACCAAATGGAATTCGCTTTCCTTCAACATTCTGTTGACCGACACAAGCAATAACTTGAGAAATGTTAATATTTGATCCCTTCGAACCCGAAACCACCATCGCCTTTAAATTATTATATTCTGTTAAAGATTTCTTTGCAGATCCACCAGTTTTATCACGAGCGTCGTTCAAAATACGATTGACTTGATTCTCAAATGTTTGTCGCAATGTATTACCAGGTGTTGGTTCAAGTTCCATGTTATGTGCCTTCTGAATCACGCCAATAACATCTTCCTTAGCTTTACGAATAGCTTTCTGAATTTCTTGATATGTTTGGGGATCAGCAATTGTATCACCAATACCAATGCTATGACCCTCCAAAAGCAACCAATTATTGATGACAGTTTGAATATTTCCATAGAATCTCCCAGCAATTTCATGTCCAAGTTCAAGGAAAACAATATGCAGCAATGATCCAGCTGACGTTCCAAGTGTTTTCTTACATAAAATTCCCATTATCAGTTCACCATGTTCGACCATTACTTTGGTGTCACCTGGAGAAATCCATTTGTATGGACCATCGTCTTCTTCATCTGGATGTGTTGAATGTGTTCGTATCAAATTGACATTCCCTTGAAATTTACAAAGTTTTTTAATTAAATTCGATTAATAATGAAAAGAGAAAAACATTTCAAACTTAAACAATGACAATCGATATCCTTACCTGGTATGATAAGTGAAAATAATTGTTTTCCAGTCCATAATGGCTTCGGTTTTAAAATGCATGGTTGTGGCATTTTCCCATCCCATGTTGGTAAGAACATCAATAAATTCATCATTTGTTCTTTCTCAATGAAAACATCACGTTTTGTCATCTTTCTTACAGCTGTTAAAGTATCTTGTACAATTCCCATGACAGGTTTGTTAGCTTGTGGCGTGATAATTTGTCGAGGCGTTATGTGAATGTTTTCAACTTCAGCTCGAGTTTCCATCGATTGTGGAACATGAAGATTCATTTCGTCACCATCAAAATCAGCATTGTAAGGCGATGTACAACTGAGATTCATACGAAATGTTGACCAGGGAAGAACTTTTACACGATGTCCCATCATACTCATCTTATGCAATGTCGGTTGACGATTGAAAATGACCAAATCATCATCACGTAAATGACGTTCGACTTTATAACCACATTGAAGATGTAAATCCGATGGTTTTGGATGGAATCGTAAATCGATTCGTTCGCCATTGTCACGAATGATATATTTGGCTCCAGGATATTGTGAATTACCACGTCGAACAAGTTCTTGCATTCTGTCAATGTTGAATGGCGTGACGAGTTCAGGAAAAGTTAAATTTTGTGCAATGGATCGTGGAACGCCAACTTGATCGATACGAAGGTTTGGATCTGGCGTAATGACAGTACGAGCTGAGAAGTCAACACGTTTTCCCATCAAATTTCCACGAATTCTTCCCTCCTTTCCCTTCAATCGAGCTTTAAGAGCCTTCAAAGGCTTTCCAGATTTCTGCATAGCTCGCGGCATCCCAGGCATGTCATTATCAACAAATGTTGCAACATGATACTGCAACATTTTAATATTTTCAGCAATGACATGAGCAGCTGCTCCTGACGCTTCATTCTTCTTCAATTCATTGTTTGATTTGATGATATCAGCGAGTTTGTGAGTTAAATCGTCTTGATTCTTGGTGGCTCCGAACATGACAACAGCTGGTCGAACAGGGAGAGGAGGAACTGGCAGAACACTGACAATCATCCAATCAGGACGAGCAAATTTCGGATCCATTCCAAGAATGTAGCATTCTTCATCGGTTATGTGTTTGAGGATCTCTTGAACACGTTCAGCAGTGACAATAATCTTCTTCTCTTGTGTTTCTTCATTCAAATGCTTCCATTCAGCAGTCAATTCAAGTCCTGAACGTCGAATGGATGGCTGATGATTACCGCATCCTCCGTGACCCATTTTCTTGCCAGGATCGGGTTGTTGACCGTCCTTTGTTAAATCCATGTCTTCACCACCTTCACAAATATTTTTACCTTTGCAAAGATCATAAACATAAGCGAGACGTTTACGAGGTTGTCCTTTCGACTTAATTACAACTTCTTTAATCTTTGGATTGTTGGGACTGACGAGCATCTTTGAGCAATAGAAACAAACACATCGCAAAACTTTGATCGTTTTGGTGAGAAAACCAACGTGAAAGACAGGCTTTGATAAGTCGATGTGACCGAAATGTCCCGGACATTCTGTAAGATTTCCTGCACATGTTTGACAACGGGAATTCCTATCAATGACACCTTGACGAGGATCCATTAATCCACCGAGTTTTGGTCGTCCCCCTTCCATTGTTTCGGGAAATTGAATTCCTCCTTCAGTTACAGACATTCGTCGCTAAATATATCAAATTATAAATGGATGAATTGAAGATTTTGTTGTTGTGGTTAATAAATTAAAACTTACAATTTCATCAGGTGATAAAATTCCAAACTGAACTCTTTTTACAGTTCTTACTGGTGCTTTTGAGTCTGACATCTTTAATAATTATTTAATATAATGATAAATAAACCAAATAAAAGCTGTATTTTTATTTTGTGAAGAGTTTTCTTTTTTTTCTCTCTAAGGCTTCACAAGCCTTAGTGAAATTTTTAAATTGATTTTTTATTCTTATTTTGATATTTTAAGACTACACTTCTTGATTCTCCGACGATCGAGACACTTATGATTATGATAATTGTTTTTAAATCTTTTAAATCGATGATATTGTTAGTTTATTTCAATTATAAAAAAGCATTTTGCTGATACGAAGTAAAATGCCGCGAGTGTGAAGACGCCTGAACTAAGGGGAATGAAATTTGTAAATGAGTGAAAAAATCAGGGGTAGAAAAATTACTTTTCTCACATGCTTTTGTAAACAAATAAAAACAAAAATTTGAAAATATTACAAAAAATTAATAAGCTATGGGAAAACGTAAACGAGGAGATGTAAAACCAAAAGTGGAAGGAGAATACGATTTACCTCCAAAACATACAAAAGCAGTTCACGTTGAAAGTAATAAAAAACGACTTATTGTTATTTTACATGGAGCACAACTTGAAACAGTGAAAGTAAGTAACGAGACCAATTTAGAAGAGTGAATATTAATAATATTACTTTTGAAAGGTTGGCAATACATTTGAATTGTTAAACTGTGATGATCATCTGCAAATATTGAAAAAATATAATCGCGATCCAGGATCATGTCGGCCGGATATAACTCACCAATCGCTTCTGATGTTGATGGATTCACCTCTTAATCGTGCTGGAATGCTTCAAGTTTATATAAAAACTGAGAAAAATGTTCTCATTGAAATCAACCCTCAAACAAGAATTCCCCGGACATTCAAAAGGTTTGCTGGTCTCATGGTTCAATTACTGCATAAATTTTCTGTGAGAGCTAATGAAACTTCGGTGAGACTTCTACATGTCATCAAAAATCCGGTAACTGATCATCTTCCCGTTGGTTGCAAAAAGATTACCATGTCGTTCAGTTCAAAAGTCGTTAAAAATTGTCGAGAACTTGTTCCGGCTGGTGATGAAGCTATCGCTATGGTCATTGGAGCTTTTGCACATGGAAATCTTGAAGTTGATTATACTGAAGAAGCAATTTCTATTAGCAATTATCCCTTGTCAGCTGCACTCACATGTACAAAATTGTGTTCGGCTTTCGAAGAAGTTTGGGGAGTTGTTTGAAATAAATTTCTGTAAAATTATTTCATAAATCTTTTATTTTTGAGTTTTTGTTTCAGCAAATCTCTTAATTATCATAATTAAAAGAAGAGCAATTTTGCTTTAAACTTTCAAGAAATAATATTACATGAATAGCCCCTCGACTCAGGAAATTAATGAAAGAAACACTCAAGGCAAGCAATTCAAATAAAGAGAAACATGAGAATCAAGATGAGAGATTAATCTCAACTTTATTAAAAGAGATGTTTAATTAACAGATGATTTCAAGAGAAAAGAACATTTCTAACTTCAGTTTGTTTACGATCGTTGCGACAGCAGTACAGAAGAAATGTTTTTAAAATTTTCTTTTGTATTTAATTTATTTTTAAGTATTTTAATTGTTGATGGGCAGCTTGGTAAGTTTAAATGCTTTTTTATTTTCAGAAATTAAGTGATTTGATAAGGGAATCTAATAAGACTGAAAATTATTCAGTTTTGTGTTAATAATTCTACTTTTATAGTTAATTTCTACTTGATTAACTTTCTTCTATCATTTAGTGAATAAAAACATTGCAATCATTTATTCTTCTCTAAATCTCGCAACAGGTTTTTCCGTGACGTCATTTCAGTGCACATAAAACTTGTTGATACTTTATAAACTAGAAAAGACTTAAAAGATAGAGAAGCAAATGCTTACGAGCAAATGAACGACAATTTTGTTTTTTCTTTTCAACATATTTAGAAGGCGATTCGTGTGTAAGGAAGTACGATAACAGCCCTGGTATTTGTAGAAGTGTCAGAAGGTGTCCGAAGGTTCGCGAAGATTATAATTACGGTGTTCCTTTGACAATCTGCTCTTATTTAAATGGTGAGCCTACGGTTTGTTGTCCATTAACTGATGTTGCAAGTGGAGGTTCTGTTTGGAGTTCTCGACCAAATTCTAATAGTTTAAATGATAATAGGAGAATAAGTGAAATAAGTAAGATTTAATTTTTATTGACTAACGATGCTTGGTTAGAAAGAAATTAAAGATTGAAAATGTTAAGCTCTAGCCAAGAATCACAAGCCTTTATTCACATCATTAACATGAACAGTTAAAGCATAAAATTATATTTAGAATGTGAGGAATACGCAGAATTGACGAAGGAAAAAGTTTACATAAATGGATTATCATTATTGACTCAAAATCAAGTTCTTTCCTTGACCAAATGCGACACAACAGTCCCGCTAATCGTCGGGGGTGAAAAGACGAAGAAAGGAGAATATCCACACATGGCAGCAATCGGCTGGAGAACTTATGATGGAAGTCTCGAGTTTAAATGTGGAGGCTCATTAATATCTGAAAGATTTGTGTTGACAGCTGCACATTGTTCAAGAGCTGATGGCTTAGCACCTTCATTTGTTCGACTTGGTGATCAAAATATAAAATCGAGAACCGATGGACTAGTTGAAGTTGATATAGCAATAGCTGAATTTATAGCTCATGAAGATTATCGAAGAAGTTCTTTTTACAATGACATCGCGTTGATAAAGATGGCACAACGAGTTGAGTAAGTTTAGTTTTCTCTTAATTTTTGTTCTTCCTTTTTTCATTTTCTTCTTTAATAGTTTTACAAAATATATTCGACCAGCTTGTCTTTGGCAAACGATAAACATCAACACAACAAAAACGATAGCAACTGGATGGGGCTACACAGAAACTGCTGGTAGATCTTCAAATGAACTTATGAAAGTTGAACTCAACATTATTAACAACATTCAATGTAATCGATACTTTACTGAAAGTAAATTAGGTCGTGGGATTATCAACAGTCAAGTTTGTGCCGGCGTTTTAAGTGGATCAAAGGATACTTGCAATGGCGGTGGGTGTTCTTCTAAATTTTTATTTATTAGTTACAGCTTTGAAATTTAAGTTATTTAATAACAAACAATCAACATTTTTTTTATTAAACAGATTCTGGTGGACCAATTCAAGTCACAACCCCAGTTAACAAATGCTTGTTCCACATCATTGGAGTGACAAGCTTCGGGAGTCCTTTTTGTGGTCTTAGGAATTCTCCAGGTAAATAAGCACTTCAAGTCATGTCTTAATTCGAATTGAGTTAATTATTTACATCTACTTGCAGGTGTATACACAAGAGTTTCATCATTTCTTGATTGGATTGAAGAAAAAGTCTGGCGTTGAAAAGAAACTGAAATCTGTGTTGTTTAGACATGTTTTAAAGAAGAAGCTTTTGAATTTGTTTTGATAATTTTTAAACATAAAAAAAATAAAAAAATAAATTATTTACATATTTGCTGTTTAATTAATTTTAATAAAGTTTATATTATTTACTACGCAGTCAGCAGTAAATCCCGATAAGAGTGAGCTTTTACAGCTCAAACTATAATGTCTCGAATGATAGCAAAGTCTGATATGTCAACATTAAAAACTTAATGCAATTGTGTTGCTTTTCACTTTCAGATCTTTTCCATCTGTTCAAATAATGACTCCACTAAACTGTGGAACAATATTCTGACTTCTCTCAATACCAATTGGTGATAGAAAACATCTTCAATCAAATCTGAAAGCTGAAATCTTTAAAATAAATTAAAGCATTGAATTTGATTTAGTAATTTTAAGATAAGAAAAATTTTAATTAGGTATTCAATTATACATACTTAAACTTTTAAAGTTTACATCAAGATGATCAATATCTGAACTCAATCTAGGACCATCTTGAGAAAGTTTATCACCTTACATACTTCTACATCCATTTTGTAATTTTTTGTTCCAAAATTAAATTACCTAACGTATTAAAAGAATTAATTTATAATAAAAATGGGAGCGAATTTTATTTGAAATTTACAAGATTCATTTTAGTGACAATATGCTTGTTGTTACATTCATTTTTACTGAGGATCCAAATTATGTAAAATGCCGTCTAATCTCCTTTGAACATTTGAAGCTGTTCTGTAGAAACTCCGGTCACTTCCAGTAAGACAATCTAAGTCGCCAGGTCTTTCATCAGATTGTATAGATGAAAAATATTCGCCAAATGAAAATCCTGTTAAATCTGCAAGTTCTCTGACAGTATTGAGATATGTCTGCGTCCAAGTATAGCCACAGCCAAAAGAAGCATATTCGCCTATATAATTTTGATATTCTTCATCATTGTTGATACATCATACACTATTTAATTCTTCGGTGCATTGTTCTTCGAGACGCTCCAAATTTTCATATCCATTCTGGTATGTAGCACTAGTAGCTGCGAGGAGAGATGAACAAGGATCTTGATCTTGATCTTCGATGGGAACACATTTAAGACTTGCATTGGCGTCTGTTGAGAGAAGAAAAGCTTGTTGAATATCTAAACAATGAATCCTAATTACAAAATCTAATGAAATCAAAATTTACCATCAATAACAATGGAAATTACAAAGAATAAACAAAGAAAAACTTTCATCGTATAAATTGAGATAATTTATTGTTAAAACTCGTTTAAAATAATTAGCACTAATGCCTGCTCAGAAAAATAAACTTTTGAATGTTTTCCTTTTATAAACTTTTCTACTTCGTTTCTCAATTGTTTTCTGTGTCTGAACGCGATGAGAATTTTAAGAAAACAATAAAAAAATGACAACTGAAATTCATTTTATACAAAAGTATTGAGCTTATAATTTCCATATGGTTGATCAGGTTCAATATCTCATGGAGAGCTTTCTTGTTACGAAACATTTGCGTGCTATATTCAGTCTGTTCGTGCACAATGCACTGATGACATATGAAGTGCATCAACAACCAGAAAGATGTCTCTAAATTTGAAAATTTGCTGCGCAGTGAAAACTTAGCCTTGATCGGGATGAATTTTCACAGCTTCAATTATAACGTTTTGAGAGGTAGCAGACACATGAGTCGATGTTCAAAGACAAAACAATTTTAAAGTTGTTCATTTTTAAACCATTCGATACTGCGAAAAGCTTGTGAACTAGGTATTTCAGAATTAATGAATGGATTAAAACATTTTCCATCATTTCTGAAAGCACATCGATTCAGTAATAATTTAAATTGTAATGTTTAAACGTCCAGTTGGATTGAAAAAATTGTTTGGCATTGAAATAAACTGAAATCCATCTTCTTTAACTTTTAAAGAAATTAAAGCAATCGAATTTATTTTAGTCATTTTAAGATAAGAAAAAGAAAAGTTTTAAGTGTTCTTAATAGCACTTTTAGATTTGTAGTTTACGTCAAGATTATCAATATCTGAACTCGATCTAGAACCACATTGAAAAAGTTTATCTGCTTACATACTTCTACATCCATTTTATAATTCTTTGTTAATTAAGGTATTAAAAGAATTTTTTTTCAAATGAAAGTGGGAGAGAATTTTATTTGAAATTTTTAACATTCATTTTAGTGAAAATATGTTTGATGATAAATTCATTTTTACTGAGGTTCTAAACTCTCATAAATGTCCCTTAATTTCGTATCAATTTGTAAAGCTGCTGCTAAGAAATTTTGGTCACTTTCATTGAGACAATCTAAGTCGCCCGGTCTTTGACCATTTTGAAGAGAAGAAGTGTATTCGTCATATGAAAATCCTGTTACATCTGCAAGTTCTTCGATAGTATTGAAATATGATTCCTGAACAGTATTGCCACATCCGTTAATAAAAAATTCGCTAAAAAAATCTTGATACTCTTCATCATTGCTAAATGATACACCATTTAATTCTTCTGTGCATTGCTCTTCGAGATGTTCCAAATTTTCATATCCATTCTGGTATGTAGCACTAGTAGCTGCGAGGAGAGATGAACAAGGATCTTGATCTTGATCTTCGATGGGGACAAATTTAAGACTTGCATTGGCGTCTGTTGAAAAAGAGAATTTGATTAAACACTGAATTACGTAATTACAAAATCTGATGAAATCAAAATTTACCATCAATAAGAATGACAGCTACAAAGAATAAACAAAGCAAAACTTTCATCGTATAATTAATTGAGATGATTAATTGGAAATTTAGCCTCGCTTTAACAATTTTCCACTATTGCCTAATCAGAAAGATTAACTTTTAAATGTTTTCCTTCTATAAACTTTCCTACTTCGCTTCTCAATGATATTCTGTGTCTGAACGCGATAAGAACTGTAAAAAAAATGACAACTGAAATTCATTTTATACAAAAGTATTGAGCTTTTAATTTTCATATAGTTGATCAGGTTCAATATCTCATGGAAAGCTTTCTTGTTAGGAAACATTTGCGTCCTATATTCAGTCTGTTCGTGCACAATGCACTGATGACATATGAGATACATCAATGACATGAAAGATGTCTTTAAACTTAAGGGCAGTTCATTATTTGCTACGCATTCAGCATTTAATCCCGATAAGAGTGAGCTTTTACAGCTTCAATTATAATGTCTCGAATGATAGCAAAGTCTGATATGTCAACCAGTGGTCGGAAGCTTAACGTTTTTTTGTTAAAAGCTTCCAGCTTCTGCTTCAACTTCTCAAAATTTTGCTAAAAGCTTCTTGCTTCCAGCTCCCTCTTCCGTTTCTGTTTCCGACCCCTGATGTCAACATTAAAAACTTAATGCAATTGTGTTGCTTTTCACTTTCAGATCTTTTCCATCTGTTCAAATAATGACTCCACTAGACTGTGGAACAATATTCTGACCTCTCTCAATACCAATTGGTGATAGAAAACATCTTCAATCAAATCTGAAAGCTGAAATCTGTTTAACTTTAAAATAAATTCAAGCAATTAAATTTGATTTAGTAATTTTAAGATAAGAAAAATTTTAATTAGGTATTCAATTATACATACTTAAACTTTTAAAGTTTACATCAAGATGATCAATATGTGAACCACATTGAAAAAGTTTATCTGCTTACATACTTCTACATCCATTTTATAATTTTTTGTTAATTAATGTATTAAAAGAATTTATCTTCAAATGAAAGTGGGAGGAAATTTTATTTGAAATTTGTAAGATTCATTTTAGTGACATTATGTTTGATGATAAATTCATTTTTATTGAGGTTCTAAAGTAACAAAAATGTCGTTAAATCTCTGTTCAATTTGTAAAGCTGCTGCTAAGAAATTTTGGTCACTTTCATTGAGACAATCTAAGTCGCCCGGTCTTTGACCATTTTGTAGATAAGAAGTGTATTCGCCCGTTGAAAATCCTGTTACGGCTGCAAGTTCTCTGATAGTATTGAAATATGACTCCTGAAAATCATTGCCACATCCGATAACAAAAAATTCGAAAAAAAAATCTTGATACTCTTCATCACTGAAATTATCAACAGAAAACATTATAAACAAAAGTATTGAGCTTTTGAGCTTTTAATTTCCATATGGATGATCAGGTTCAATACCTCATGGAAAGAATTCTTGTTAAGAAACATTTGCGTGCTATATTCAGTCTGTTCGTATTTATATCTACAATCAATAAACTTTAAAGAATTTCATATTTGCTGTGCAGTGAACACTTAGCCTCGATCGAGATGAACTTCCATAGCTTCAATTAAAACGTCTTGAGTGGTAGCAGACACATCAGTCGCTGTTCAAAGAAAATGCAATTTTTAAGTTGTTCATTTTCAAACTATTCGATACTGCGAAAAGCATGTAACCTGAATATGAATGTAAGAATCTACATGTAATATAATTAAGTTATTTCTGATACAAAAATTCTTTAATCATAAAACTTTCATAAATGAAATTGTTGGAAATGAAATGAAAATAAATCATTGAAGATTGTCTTAATTTCATCGAGTTTTGATTGCAACTTCGAAGAGATAAGAAGAGCTTCGATTATAAATTGTAAAATAAAAATAATAAAAGTCTCATTTAAATACTTTTATAATTTCTCAAATCTTTTTTATTCCACTAATTTCAAAATTTTCCTGCATCCATCACCTAAACATGAAAAAATTATCAAATCAATTTTCAATAAATTTAAATTGAACGCCAGTTCCACCAATGATTGTTGTCATGATGTGATAATCGTTCACTTTCAGATCTTCGCACATTTTCTTGTAGTTTTTAAGTTCTTCATAATTCGATGGAAGTAACACAAAGGCACATCCACCAGCTCCAGCTCCTGTAAGTTTTGCATTAAATCCATTGGATTCAGCGATGTTAAACACTCGTTCAAGTCTCGGATGTGACACTGAAATTGACCTCAAGAGATTATTGTTGACTGCTACAAGCAATGACAATTCTTGATATTTTTCGTTATCATTTTTGGAATTCTCCAAAATCCCAACAACGTCATCAACTAAATGTCCCATCGCATCGAAGATAGAATTGCAAAGGTTTGAGTATTTGTTTCTGAAGTTGGCGACTTTTCCAACAATATGAGAAGTGCTTCGAGATACGCCAGTGTCAACAAGCAGAATGTCAATTTTTCCACTAGTTTTAATACTTTCTGGTGTTTGTCCTCGTTTAAATTTGATCAATTGCCCATAAGTACAAATTGTGTTGTCAATTCCTGAAGGCTTTTCATGCATAATCACTTCAGAATCGAACGCCCATTGAGAAATTCGCTCCATGATTATATCATTACCAACAAATGAGAATTCTTTCAGTTGATGATCTGAAAGTTTCTTGTTGAGTATTTGTGAGAGAATAAAAAACCCAGCAGAAAGGCAAACACCGTAGCTTGCTGAACTTCCCACACCAGCACCAATACTCATGTCAGAATCGATTGTCACATCAAAACCAAAATTTATCGTCTTAACTTTTTCATTGCGAAGAATTCTGTTCAGAATATAAAGTGTCGCACCAATTGCCATTTCTTCTTTATCGTCTAATTTATTAGAATTGTATTCAACATATTGCAAGATAAAATCTTTTGAAACACGAAGCTTCTTCAGAAAATCAACCGGAAGAATTAAATCATTGCAATTAAGCTCGACTAAGAATTCATTCACTTTTGCCAAACTCATTTGACATGTAAGATTAAGTCGCTTGTAAAAGAAGCGAATAAAATCATTTGAAGTTTCTCGATAGGTGAAATAAGTACGAAGACCAACTGGACCAGCAATTGCCGGCTTTTCGTAGACGACGGAATGTTCTCCATGCAGAATAATTTTTCCAGGTGCGGAAATTTCATAATTTCGTAACATTTTGAAACTTGTGAATCAATAAAGATCTGAGTTGATGAATTAATTGGTAAGCTATTTTGATTGTGCAGTTTCCCACTGTTCTGGTGTATAAGTTTGTTGTGAAAATGCGTGAATAGTTTTCAGTTCTTCTTGCAATGCTGAATTCACTAATCGATGTCGCTGAAGAAGTGATTTACCGGCAAAATCTTCTGATACTATCACTGCTCTGAATTTTCCACCACAACCATCTGACTCGTCAACGACTTCCTGAAATAAGATAAATCAATTTAATGGGAAATTATTCAAACGACTTTGAGAGTCTTAATTTCTATTTAAGTTATTTCTTCAAATTCTTCATCAAGAAAACTTTATTCAAACAAAACAAAGTTGTTTTACATTAAAATAAATGAAAAAGAAAACAAAATGACAACAACTGAATGCAGAAATGAGCAGCGGATATAAGAAAGGTAAATGATCAGGAGGTGGCACAAAGTACACTCCAAATATTAAAATGTTTTTTATAATGATTGAAATGTAGAAGCTCAACACCATAAGCTTCTTAAAGAGCGAACTTCCGCTAACATCTCCAATTTTCCATAACATTTCAATAGCCGACAATTTTCCATTTTGTTTATCTTTCGTTTTGTCAATCAAAAGTTTTACTAAGATAAGAAAAGCATCAGATAATCCGATAAAGGCCGCTTGAAGTCCGTCTTTAGCCAACAATGGAAACATGCTGAATGTTGCAATATGAAGAAAATAAAGAACCATAAATGGATCCATAGGGAAAAGAAGAATTGCCGAAACTGCAGGAATTAAAATCGATTTTTCATGAACTTGAAATGAGAACAGGAAGAAAGCCATTGAACTGTTGAAGAGAGCGTAAAGAAGTTTCTTTCTCTTAGGATTCAAAAGCAGATTAAATGCACTTGGAACTAATGCAGTTGCTGTACATGCCAAGCACATTCTTGCCATTTCTTGATTGGAAAACATTTCTCTAGAATGATAATTCAAGTTAGTTGACAATCAAAAGACAATTAAAAGCGAATCTCACTTGATCTTAAAGAAAACGTTGACAATACACCAAATGTTAGAAACTTTGTCTTCGAAAATTCCTCGATTAAGTGGAAAGATTCTATGGACGACTTGAAGAAGACTTTCTAATGATCCAAGCCATGGTAACCAGAGAACAACAAACACTGCGACAACAACGAGTCCAAGAGTGATCAGTCTAAAAAGTCCTTGAAGTAAGCCAAATCTTAAAACGAGAGAAACTCATGAAAAAGGCGACAATGAAATGGAAATATTTGTTTACTTTTTACGTTCATCAGGATCAATGAAGCAATTTGACAGGAGATAACAAAATATTGGCATCGCATGATAAAGTTCCATTTGCTTATAATTCAACGCCAGAACAAAGAAAATCGCACCAAGAATTCGTCGATTTATTAAAATACAAGCAACAGCAAACACTGCCAATCCAAGCGATATATTATTGTATTGAAAATGACCATTGTCAATGAGAATTTGTCCAGGATAAAGAATCGCAATGGCCAAATAAATGAATAAAAACCAATCAGCTCGATGATTCGACATTCTCATGACTCTCTTGAATATTATATGACAAATGATTAAAAGGGATGGAATGTAAATCAAAATGTCAGCTATCATCACAGTGTTTCGCATGAAGTTCTTATGAAGCTCTTCTGTGATGCCTCTCGATTTATGTAGCTCAACGTAACCTTCATTAATTTGTTTTCCTGCCAAACCCATAATGAAGCTGTGATAAGCGGTAAGTGGCGGATAATCCAATCCCCAGTACAGAAGATCATTGTCGGTTGTATTTTCGTACCAATCTTTAATTGGAAGATTAACAGTGATCTCTTGCCAATGACGTTGTGCTTCGAAATCGCCGAACATTGGAGGTTTATCGAGACCGGAATAAGAATGCAAACTTATAATAGATCGCAAACAAATTGCACCACTCACTAACGCAAGATATTTATAAAAGTCTACTCTTGACATTTTTAATTATATTGATTGATAGCTCTTCACAATTTCACGATTATTTTGTCTTTACAAATTATGCAAAGTGGAAAATCTTTTTAATATTCAATGCCACGAAATCAAAACAAACAACAATGTTTTTCTTTTTCTACTGATCACTTACGACATGAGACGCTTTCAGCTTTTCAACAAGCTTGTTTTTTAAATAATCTTCAGTATAGTTACTCATTTTTGGTTACTTAGTTCTTCCTTATTTATTAAAACTAAAAATTCAGAGAAAACGTACCTTAGCAAGGGGAATGAATTCTTAGCGAATGTTTTTGAGATTTTACACGCCCCCTTGACATTCAACCGATTCGATATTTTCAAATTTACTGTTTATGTACAAAAAGATCACAAATTTAAATTTCTTTTTTATTTAATATTATTGAAGAAAGAATTAAATAAATGCATAGTAAATTCGAAGCTATAAGTTATGATCATTGTTTCTTAAATCTTCGTTGTCATGAACTGTCAACCATGCTATGCCATCACCTTGCGGCATGTGCGATGAAGGAAGAAGAACGTGACGCCAAAAAGACCTATTGAAATGATTTTATTTGATAAAAGTTTATCAATATTTCTCAAGAAAATTAAACTTTACCGTCCTCTTGTTAATCCAAACAAAATCCTCCAGTTATTCGTTTTTCCAAAATTGTACGGGTTAATGAAAGTTTTCCCAACAGAGTTGAGACGTTTTCTTTCAGACTTATTTATGTGCGATTCAACACTTGTTTCACCACGGCTTATTAATCGATAATGCCAGATTGATAGTGCACCAAGTGCGACAAAAGTTGCTTCAATTTGAAAATTTGTTACACAAATATTGAAATTTAATTTAAAATGTTAAACTTACAAACACAAATCACTGCCATAAAAGCAATACAACGATATACAACGGGATCGTTAAGTTCACCTATTGGTAAATCATGTTTAGCTGGAGCAATGCCAACTTCTGAGTACTCAACTTCTGTCACAGGAATTACATGACCAGTTAAATTAAATTTAACAGGACTTCCTTCCAATGCTTCAATTTCTTCCCAGCCACCACCATCTCCTAACCAGAGAACTTCATAGCCAATGCCAATTCCAAACAACATAATGAAAATTACACCAATAACCGTGTAGACCATATAAAGGAAAAAATATCTTTGGTTGTAATGGCCAATGCATTGATTCAGCCATGGACAGTGATGATCAAACTTTAAAACACATTTTTTACAAATCGAGCAGTGATGTGTTCTTGGTGGTTTTGGGATGAGACACTTTTTGCAAATGCTTACGGCATTGTAAGTTCTGTCAGTGGGAGGATTTCCAGGATTGGTTTTAGCTGCCATAATGTAGTGGAATGACACGTTAAGTAATAGCCAGTTACCAACAATAAGCAGGAAAATTGTTGTTTCCGGCGATTTTTTCCACCAATATGGAAAACCTATCCAGTAACTTATAAACACTACAGCTGTTGTCAAACATAGTACTCCAACAACAAAAAATGGGCCCAAAAATCGACTAAAGATTTTACTATCAACTAACTTAAATATTGGTTCAATAAGTACATCTGCAATGTAGCTCTGACTAAGATGCTCATTATACATTAATGACTTTATACAAAGTTTTAAATATTCGTAAGTTTCACAAATTTTATTATTTCTAAATCTCAATTGAGGTAATTTAAACTTTATTTGAACCATAATGATTTAAATATTTTTATGTCATAAATACTGATTACTTTTTGGATGAAAGCATTCTTAGTTTAACAAAGATGACACTTTAATCTATCGCTTTTATGTTAAAAAACTACTTTTTAATAATTGAATAAGAAATGTTTGTTTACATTTTTTTGCAAGTTTTTAGGAATCAGAGGGGATGTAACACATTTTTAACCGCTGAATTACAATATTGAACCGAACGGGGTGTAAAACTTCTAATGTTTTTATTTCGTGAAAAAAATATAATAAATCAAATTTGACTTACTAAATGGATGAAAATCAAGAAGGTATGTAAACTAAGCCTAAGCCGAAGTGAAACATTCTTCGAATGTGTTATCAGAACTTACATTAAATGTTTAAACTAATTAAACTTTTTTATTTTAAATTCAAGGAACTTCGCGACAAAATCAAAACAATGAAAACTCAGTGAATTCTCATCAAAGTCCATCTGAACATGAAAATCCTTCAAGACAACTTGTTGAATTGAGTCAATCGTCAACATCAAATGTACAATCACGTTCACTCGTTTCACGTATTCGTCGACTAATTTCACAATCAACTTTTCAAGAAGATGAACTCGATAATGCAGATTTAAACTCTCAACAATCTTTCCTTGACCTCAGTACATCAGACACATCAGAATCACCTGAAAATGAAGATCCTGACCTTTTATTTGAAGAGTATGTTCATGCTGGAACAGAAGCTGTGAGATCCCAAGCCCGCAATTTTGATGACGAGTTACCAATGAATCACAGCTACTTGGGCACAACAGAAGAATGTCGTGGAACAAATTACTATGAACCAGGAAGAGTGTATGAAATTCCAATTCATTTCCATCATTCTTTAGTATTTCCTGGTGAAATCTTCCCTATGATTGTGATTCCTGATAACATCTTCGCCAGAATACCCGAGTCAAATGAAGGTCTCACTTTTGGCTTGCTTTTCACAAATGAAATTGAAAACGACATAGCTTATGGCGTAACATGTCAAGTATTTGAAAAAGGTGTTGATAGTCATGGACATATCACGATAAAATCAAAAGCACAACAAAGATTTATTGTTGTCCGAACAGAAGAAGGATTATTCACCGTAAGAAACCAAACCTACTATTCAAAAGTTCGAATTCTTCCTGAATACACTTTGCCTGAACCCATTGCAATGAACATTACAAACAATATGATGAAATTTAATCACAATACAAGTCAAACTCAACAAATTAAAAATCAACTTTCACATGCAAGTCAATGGCCAAAGTTCGTTTACGATCAATACTCGACTGTCACCGTTAATGAGAAAGTTGAACGTTATTTAGCAATGTTAAGTATTTCAGCTCCCGATGATCCATTAACAAAGTCCTTCTGGCTTGCAAGAAATGTTCCTTTGAACCAATTAGATCGGTTGAGAATTTTCACAACTAATTGCGTCAACAAACGGATGTTGTTAATAGGAGAGTCATTGAACTTTGTAAGTTTTTTGTTGTTGTTAAATTATAATTGAATGTAATTTAATTAATTTATTATTTTCATAGAGATGCATCTTTAACTGCAAACGTTGTGCTAACAAAATAGCCAATTATATCGACATCTTCGCTATGGCTAAAGGGAATGTGAATGCTAATTATTGTAATCCCGCTGGTTATATTCATGAGACTCTAACTGTTCACAAGACACTGGCGGAATCAACGAATACAAATGAAGCAAGACCTTGTGAAGACTTCTCCTGGTTTCCCGGCTACGCTTGGCAAATAGCAAACTGTAAACGATGCAATTCGCATGTTGGATGGAAATTTATCGCTGTCACAAAAAATTTAAAACCAAAAACATTTTATGGTCTCAGTTGCAAGAGTTTGGTTGTATCGCGTGATGCTGAAGAGAATTTCACGATAGAAGACGATGATGATTCGTCTTCAAATGATAACGAAAGACTTGCTTAAATTAATTCACTCAATGATATTCTTTTCATTTTAATATTTATAAAAAAAAAAGAAAGAGATGAGAATTTGCAAATGAAATAAAAAAGAAATGGAATGGAGAAGACAAAAGCTTCATTTTATTTAATTTATTTAAGAAACAAAATGTTGTTTACAAATTTCTTTCCAAGCTATGAAGTGTCAAAAAGAAGATTGCAAAAAAGCGATTGAATTATCAATATTTCACACAAACAAACATCTTGAGAAAAGAAGCATTCAGAGAGTAAACAAAGTTTTACATAAGAGAAGATTTGTTTGTCCACATTCTGTTCAACGGTTTAAAATAACAAACTTTTGTATTGATCAATGAATTCATATCCATCGATTGTTATTTAAGAATAAAGTGTGAAGTTGGTTTACTAATCAGATTGAGACATGATTAGACTCACACCTGATATTTCTTTGACGATCACCACACAAAAGTCTCTCAAGCACTCTCAGATTTGAACTCTTGTTGGTGTCGATACATTCAACCACGTGCTGACTCATTTTTTGTTATGGAAGAAAAAAAAGAAAACAAGTTTGTTTGAAAGGGAAAAAAATGAATATAAAAATCATGTTGATTCGTTTTTTCTTTTTGAAGTTCGACATCAGTATTGAAGAAGCGTTGCTATAAGAAAGTTCTGACGAAAATATAAAAATGTCGCGAGAGTTTATTCTACTTTGTCATTTGTTGTGTCATCTGATTTTCATGGGAAGCTCATTCGAACTTGAGCTTAACGATCCATGCACATCTTCATTAACAAATTCAGCTGGCATCTGTGTTGATCCAAGAAATTGTGAACAATTTAAAGCACATAGAAGAGAAATGAACATTTGTTCATTCGTTCACCGAATTCCAATTATTTGCTGTCCTAGAAATGGAATAATTAACCAACAGACGAATTCGATCATTGTGCCAACTACAAGGCCACCAATAATTTTGACAACAAGACCAACTGTTCAATGGGGATATCAACCTACATCAAATGTTTTGACAACAAGACCATATGTTCAATGGGGATATCAACCTACAGTAAAACCGCCATTCTCATATCAGTTAACGTCAACAGAAGACCCGCTTCACAATCGCATTGAATCGAGAATATGTGAAAAGAGTGAGAACTTTAATCGACTTATCTTTCTTCTCTCATTTAAATTCAATAAATAAATGATTTCAGAGTGCATTGAATATGCAGAGGGAAACAAGAAAACAGTGCAATTTGCCGCTTTAGCTATCGGATCATCAGCGCAAGACGTCGACCTCTCCACATGTGATCTGACAACGGGATTGATTGTTGGCGGTGTTAGTGTGAATGTTGGAGAATTTCCCCACATGGCTGCAATCGGATATCCCGATTTTAATGGAGATTTGTCATTCAAATGTGGTGGAAGCTTGATAAGTGAACAATATGTTTTGACAGTTGCACATTGTGCTTTTGCCGATCGTACGAGACCAACAAAGGTCAGATTAGGTGACCTTAACTTAAACCACAGAGATTCGTATCTACCCGGAATTGACGTAGCTATCGAAAAGTTTATTCCACATGAAGAATATAACACTTTAACGCGAGCACACGACATTGCAGTGATTAAAATGGCGCAGTCAGTGTCATTTACAAAAAATGTCAAACCTGCTTGTCTATATACGACGAAAGAAACTAAAGAATCGTCAGCAATTGCTTCTGGTTGGGGATACACTGAATATAGTGGAACACCTTCAAGTCGACTCATGAAAGTCCGCCTCAATATATTGAGCAACAATCTTTGTGCGCAAACATACGCAGAAGAAGATATTCCCATCACTGACAATCAAATTTGTGCAGGAATCTTATCAGGAGGTCGTGACACATGTCAAGGAGGTTGATTTTTAATATTTGTTTTTGAATCTGGGTCATCACATTAATTTATGGAATTTTCTATTACAGATTCGGGTGGTCCGATTCAAGTTGTGTTGGGTGATAATAAATGCCTTTCCCATATCGTGGGATTAACAAGTTTCGGCATTGCTTGTGGAGCAAGAAATGCACCATCGGTCTATACTCGAGTGTCATCATATCTTGATTGGATTGAAAAAATTGTTTGGAATCAAAGAACGTGATTCATTCATGGGATTTTGAACTCTGTCAATACATAATTTGTAATTATTTTCTTAACACTCATCCATTTGTTTACTTATGTTGTTAATTTAAGTACAAAAAAAAATATAAAAGAATAAACAAGAATTCGTGCGTATTTTCTTAGAATTTCATTTCTTAACATGCTATGGAAATTTTTGACTGAATATTCTTGAAGAAGATGTTGTTTTGTCATTGCGGTGAATGGTAAATATGTGTTGGAATGGAATCGATCGATAGACGAGCAAATTATATTCAAATATTAAAAGGAAAGAACATTGTCTTTGTGTAATTTTTGGAGATGAAAACCTTGACTTTAACTTCACAACACACAAACATTCTGAACGCGACTATATTGCTGAATGAGGTTCAAGAGATTATGTGTCACAGTACACATATGAAATTTGTTTTTTATGATCATTGATGAGAAAAACGACAACACAAAATAAAAACAATCCTAAGTAAATTCCAGTTCGCGATCAACTGTTGGGGAAGAAGCAACGAAACGAATCAAAAGGTTTTTCCCTAAACATAATCATCTTGAAAGTATTTTTAAAAGCTACGAACTCGGCAAATAATTCTGGAAATTCCAAAAAAACAAATGATGACAAAAAATAATTAAACATACATAGAGTTTTAAATATTTTATGTGAATTCATTTATAATTAAATCAACAAATTCTTTTAAATTTTCCGGTTTAGCAAAGCGTTTGAGAAAAGATCAACAAAGAGAGACTTGAGATTAAGAGAACTATGAGCGATATGAGATTGTTTACAGTTTTTTTAACGTTTATCGTTGTTTTCATCGATATCACAACTTGTCAGTTTAGTTTTTTAAATTATGGCAGACAGAATGATCAAGTACAAAGCCAACCAAGACAAAACAATGCTTGGCAGCAATGGCGACCACAAAATTACGGCTATCCAAATTTTCAATTTCCCTGGCAACAACAGCAGCAGCAACAGCAATATCAAAATCCCTATCAAAACAATCGTCCATGGCAAAACTCTTATAATCAACCAAGTTATCAGGATACAACTGAAGCTCCATATTACACGACTCAACAACCTACAGCGCGACCACCAATTTCTAATTCAAATCCATGGTTTTCGTCACCAACAAACCCTGCAAGACCAACTCAAAAACCAGCAGCACCAATACAACAAACTACTAGAGCCACCACAACGTCTTCATGGGTAGCGCCAGGTCAGAATAACAACCCAGCGAAACCTTATCAAAAACCAGCAGCACCAATACAACAAAATCAAAATCAAGGCAGAATCAGTTTCAAAAGTGAGTTTTTTTACAAAAAAAAATAAACTGCGTAAAATACTTGATTGAAAATAAATTGACCGGTTTTGTGTTTTAGAATGTAGAGAGTACTCAGACTTACTGAAGAAAAAGTGGCAAGTGGCTTCATTGTCATTACACTCAACAGTTCAAAATGTTGTTGGAACAGATTGCGATGCCGTCACCGGACTTATTGTTGGTGGTGTGAAAGCGAAACCTGGCGAATTTCCGCACATGGCTGCAATTGGATATCCTAATTTGAATGGCGATTTGTCATTTAAATGTGGTGGAAGTTTGATTAGTGAATATTTTGTGTTAACTGCAGCACATTGCAGTGTTGCTGACAGAACAAGTCCATCAGTAGTTCGATTGGGTGATCTGAATTTGAGTATTAGAGATCAAGGTTTACCAGAAGTTGACATCCCAATTGACAGTTTCATCAGTCACGAATCTTATAATAAAAAGACGAGAGAGAATGACATTGCATTGATAAAGATGAAACAAGCTGCAACTTTCTCTGATGACATTCGACCAGCATGTCTGCAACAAACTCAAACGATTGAAAAGGAAAAGGCAATTGCTACTGGCTGGGGTGAGTTTCGAATGTAAATCTTTGACAAAAGTTTAGTAAAGAAATTTGATTCTCTTTTTAAGGATACACGGAAGTTGCTGGAAGTACGTCTGATATTTTGCAGAAAGTTCAACTTGATATTATTGATAATCAAAAATGCAAAAGTGTTTACGATGATGAAGATAATTATAAAATTTACGATTCACAAATGTGTGCTGGTAAAATCGTCAATATTTAATCTTTTTTCTTTCCAATTCATTTCCATGAATTTATTTAACTTTGCAGGTGTTTTAGCAGGAGGAAAAGACACATGCGGGGGAGGTAAAGGAGAGAATTTTATTCTTGTGATAAATTTTTGTTTCAACCTTTTTCTTAATTATCGTAGATTCCGGTGGGCCATTACAAATCACAGTTGGAAATAAATGCGTCTTCGGTATAGTTGGAGTAACGTCGTACGGTTCGACATTCTGTGGCAGCAGAAATGCTCCCGGAATTTACACTCGCGTTTCATCTTATATTGATTGGATTGAAGATAAAGTTTGGGGAAATAATTAATTTAAGTAAATATTTCTCCCATCTTTGAGTAAAGAAATGTTTCAAATAAAATGAAAGTAAATTACAACATTTGTTGAGATTTCTGTTTAGTGTGCTTTCATTGAACTTTATTTAGTTAGTTGTTGCGTGATTACAAATGCAGAGATATTTGTGAAGCTTATGAAAAGTTTTAAAGCTTGATGATCGTGTCAAACATTCGTTCATTCATACAAAATGATTTTAACAACTTTAAGTTTCATTGATTTATTCGTTTTTATTACATAACATGCCGGTTCTTGTAAATAAATTGAGTTAAAAATAATGTTTAAAAAAAGTTCTGAATGGAATTTATCACAAAAAGTCTCTCTTAATGAGTCTCGCCTCAATGTAATTTTCCTATGAAGGTGAGTTGATGCTTCTACATATTCTACCCTCATAGATGGGTAAGGAACGTCTTGCGCTACTTTTGGAGGAATCTAGGTTCCTTCAGCGCAATAAATTTGGTGGACGTGATACTTCCACATAGCGCAAAAAATATGGAGGATGTGATACTTCCACGTAGCGCAAAAAATATGGGGGAAGTGATACTTTTTGGTAGCGCAAGACGTTCCGGCGCTACTTTTTTGCGCTTCGCGCTACTTGAAATTTCTTTTATATAAAATAATAGATTCTTTTATCTTTTTTCTTTTTANGGAATTTATCACAAAAAGTCTCTCTTAATGAGTCTCGCCTCAATGTAATTTTCCTATGAAGGTGAGTTGATGCTTCTACATATTCTACCCTATTTGAAACATAAAAAGAAACTAAATAATAAATAAAAATGTCATAAATTTTTTCCTTCCAGCTGCCAAATTTTTAGGTCTTTCTTAATTCTAATCTTTAACTTGAATATAAATATTTTTGCTAGTATCAAATTTATGGTTTTTCATTTTCTTTATTTTCTCCTTTCATCAAAATTGTGTCAACGTCTTCATCAGTCAATTCTAAATCTTTCACTTGGAAAACTTGAACATTTTCATCTGTTTCCAATTCTGTTGAGCTGTTGTTCATTGTAATTCCATTTTGAATGACGAGTTTATCAAGTAGCAATTTAAGTTCAGCAGACTCGAGCATTCTTTCATCGACACTATCTTCAGTTATAAATTTAAATACACGAACCTGCTTTTTCTGTCCAATGCGATGTGCACGAGCCATAGCTTGTAAATCCATTTGGGGATTCCAATCAGCGTCATAAATGATTACAACATCAGCAGCTGTAAGATTAATTCCCAAACCACCAGATCTTGTTGACAACATAAAAATAAACTTTTGAGAATTGTTAGAATCAAAATCAGCAATCATATTTGTACGATCTATGTGACTTGTATTTCCATCAAGACGATAATATTCATACTCTCGCATAAAACAATAATCTTCGAGAATATCAAGCATTCGCGTCATTTGAGAGAAGATAAGAATGCGAGATCTTTCGGCTAGTAAGCGTGGCAAAAGTTGGTCTAATATTTTCAACTTTCCACAATTGTCAACTAAATGTTGACCAACTACAAAAGGTGGACCAGGTTCAGCTCCCTCAAACAGATAAGGATGATTCGTACATTTACGTAAATGGATAAAAGTATTTTCCAATCGCTTCTTAGTATAATAACCAGCTCCATTCATAACATCCACATCCTTTAATAATATTTTTTTGTACCAATCTCGTTGCATTTGGGTCAATCCCACATAAATTTTCATCTCCTTTTTGGGTAAAATTCCTTTCTCCACTTCAGATTTTAGTCGACGTAAGAAGAATGGTTTAAGAATGCCATGTAATCGTTCAATCAGTTGATTATTTTCCATGCATTCATTGGCATTGAACCAGGAATCAAAATCATAAGCGTTATTGAATACATCGGGCAATAAGAAGTTTAATAAAGCCCACAATTCATGAAGATTATTCTGCAATGGTGTTCCTGTTAAAAGCAAACGATTTTGTGTCTTGAATTGACGTAAAATTTCCGCGAGCCTTGTTTTTTCATTCTTTATACGGTGAGCTTCATCAATCACCAAATAAAGCCAATCGAACTTCTTAAGCACATATTTTTCTAGAATGCATACTTCATACGATGTTACACAAACATCCCAATCACCAGGCATTATTACATCTCGTATGAATGCTTTTCGTCTTTTTTTTTCACCGATGAAACAAATAACTTTAAATGATGGACACCAACGAGCAAATTCATTGACCCAATTCTGAAGTGTTGATTTTGGAACGATGACAATATGAGGACCTGCAGAATTTTTGATATGTTTCAAATAGCCCAGCATTGATATTGTTTGCAAAGTCTTTCCAAGACCCATTTCATCTGTAAATTTAATAATCAAAACTTCATTTTATTGTCACTTCTATTAAGTTGTTCTTCTTTTCATTACCAGCTAAGATGCCATTAATTCCATTTTCATAAAGTGATATCATCCAATTGAGTCCATGAACTTGATAGTCACGCATTTCTCCTGTAATGTAGTGTGGTGATGCATCGAAATGGAAAATTGATTTTGGTTTTCTAAGTTGATAACTGAATTAAAATGACTGATCATTAAAAACAAAAGCATGGAAAAATTACTTCTTTTTGAATTTTTTTTGATCCGGCGACATATTCGATGAATCTGCCAAAAAGTTGGAAAAGATCTCCGTTTGCTTCAACAAGAAATCGAATCTTTTCCCACGGTTGCTTTTGAAATCTGTCTCCATATCAGAGCTTCCAGTCAATGGTTCATCTTGTTGGATGTTTTGTTCAACACGCTGAAATTTCTGACGATTTCTTCAAGAATGCCATGAAAAACATTGATTTACTTACGTCATTGTTATTTATGTCCTGAACAACAATTTTTTCATTTAATACTTCTGGCTCGATCATATTTTAATTTTACTCTTATTTGATGGACATTAACGATACGAACACAAAGTTTACTTAACTTCTTTGTCAGTTTACTGCCCCTTTGGGCCTATCAGGCTTGTCTAGGCTTTATAAGGACGAAAATTTTGAATTAAAAAATACGTTAACGGTTCGTGCTTTAAGGATCCGAACAGAGAATGATTTTGATCAGGATGTCAATGTAAATCGAATATTTTTATTTTCAGTATTGAAATGATTTAAAAAACTATAAGAAAAACGCCTTAAATTTTATATCAGATACATATTAAAAAAAAATCATCGAAGTTCATTCATATTTTACCTTTTTAAGGAATTTACACTCGCGTTTCATCTTATTGGATTGAAGATAAAATTTGGGGAAATAATTAATTTAAATGAATATTTCTCCCATTTTTGAGTAAAGAAATGTTAAAATAGTGTTTGTTGTACTTTCATTGAACTTTATTTAGTTAATTGTTGTGTGATTACAAATGCAGAGATATTTGTGATGTTTATGAAAAGCTTGTTGATCGTGTTGAACATACAAAATAATTTTAACAACTTTAAGTCACATTGTTTTGTATATTTTTATTACTTTTATTGCCGGTTTTTATTAAATATCTGATTGATTATCTCGCAAAAATAATAAAATATTCAAAAACTTACACCTACTTGTCAAAAAAAAGAATAATTTAATTGCACAAAAAAAATTGAAGCTTCAGAAATGTTTTGTGACTTCTTTTTGATCAATTTTTGAGAATAAAAATTCTTTTAATTAGCTGTCATGTTGATTTGTTGAAAGAGATGATCAGGGGCTTGACGCAAGCTAAGTTTTCTTTAATTCATTCGTTCTCTCAAAGGAAAAGATCACAACCAAGCCTCTGTAATTAACATATTTCTTCTATTTTTGAGAATTAAAAAAAATAATTTAATAAATGTGGAGAGAGCTTATAAAGCCAGTTTGTGAACGTCTTAGTTACACTTTTCTTTAGTGTTGTAATAGTAAAAATTTAAATGTAAAGTTCCATTAAATAAATATGGTTAAATACGTAAACAAATGGTTAGTAATATTTTAAATGCTTCGATTTTATAAAAAAGAAGATTTTTCAATCAATTTCAAGCTTTCGGAAGCTTCCAACAGTTTCTTCTTCAGAGTTAGACCAAATTTTCTCTTTGGGAACTTTACTCCAGTCAACTTCAAAGTGAAGCAAATGATCCCAAATTTCCTTCTTTTCATCTCTAACTTTCTTGAATTCTTCCTTCATTTCTTCTTCATTCTTAACGCCACCATATTCTACAGGCAGCATTTCGGGATCGATGTGATTCTTAAGATCATCAGGTTTCAAAGTATGAATTCGATTTCTTAATTTCTCACTTAAAACTGATTTGAAAATATCAAATAAAATCTGACCGAATGTTGGAATATTCAAAATGTAGAATCCTTTTTGTCGATACATTGAACATTTCAAAGAGAGATCCATGAAGTCACGGAAATCCATCGGTAACATAAGATGTTTTATATTAGCTCCACTATGATCAAACACAAGAATTATGCCAGCAATTTGTGTTTCTTCTTCTTCTAACAGTGCTTGAATTACGAAGCAAAGAAGTCTCGAACCGTCAAAAATTGTAAATTTCTCCGTGTCTAACTTTTTCGTTTGAATTAACACAACTCTCTGACCATCTTTCGTTCGTCCAGATAATGGATAACAATAACCCGCTTCATATAAGTCGTACGCCTTCTCAACAACCTCTTGATCGATATCAAAAAACTTTGGATATCGTTTTCTCGAAAGATAAATTCTCTCGAACAGCTGAAAAGCTTCGTCCATGTTATACTTGCGAGAGCGAAGAAACTGCAGAAGGTAACTTTCGTCTAGAAAAATTTAGAGAGAAAATGAGAATAATCATCGAAATTTGTTCTGATTTCTTTCATTCTTATTGTGAAAATCATTAAAATATAACTGAACATAATTCTTTTTATATCATGAAACATTTCAAAATGTTTCAGCTTTGAAACCCACGTAACATGTTGAAAGTTTTCATGATGAAAGTATTTCAAAACTGTTTATTTATCACCTTTGCGGGCTTCACTCAAAAATGGATGCTTCGAAATCCATTCACGAAATTGTGCAAGCGATTGACTTTTTCTAGTCTCATCTTCACGGAGTTCACTTTTTGCTTTATCAATGTAGAATTTGCTAAGCATTGTACGAGAATTTTAAATAAACCGATCACTTGAATAGTAAAAATTAAACTAAATGATTAAAATGAATTAAATGTAACGACGACTTCAACCTGAAGCAGAATTGAAACTGGTTTGGAAGCTACGTATGCTAACAATCTCATGGATAAACAAAGCTCAGAGAGTTTCTTACTCGTTTCGCTTCTCTTCTTTACATCTTAACAACGTCATAAGTAAGCAAATGTTAAACATTTCTCAGAGTTTCATTCTCAAAAATTTTCTTCATCGACTCACGTTTTGACTCAAAACGAATCTTTGAATATTTTGTTGTCTTATTTTTTAGTTCTATTCAAGACGCAGAACAACACCTTTGACTATAAAAATGATAAATCTTTTATTTATCTTAAGTTTATTCTTCTTTTCAATAAAATCATTTGAACTTGAGTTAAATGACACATGTGTGTCTTCATTGACAAACAAAAGTGGCAAATGTGTTGAACCAAAAAATTGTGATCTTTTTATTACACATCGAGATCAATTAAACATTTGTTCATTTATTGAAAAGTTGCCAATAATATGTTGTCCGAATAGTGGTGTAACCAGTAGAGAGAATTCGAGAAGAATCAGCATAATTAGTGAGAATTACTTAAACGATAATTAAAAACAAGTAGGCAGAAATTTTAAAGTATTTTTATTGCTTCCTTCAAGAATGTGAAGAAATATTAAACAACACACAAAATGAACAATTTATTGTTGGTGGTGAGGAAGCGATAGTTGGAGAATTCCCACACATGACAGCAATTGGAAGCACAGAAGGAGAAAAAATATTTTGGATTTGTGGCGCTTCGTTGATAAGCGAAAAATTTATTTTGACAGCGGCTCATTGCGTTTCAAGAAGAACTTTAACACTTCCTGAGTTGATTGCAAGGGTAACTGATCAGAAACTGAACAGAAATAATGAAGAAATCCAGCCGTATGATTTTGGTATTAAAAAAATTATAGTTCATCCAGATTATAGAAGTCGATTAAAGTACAATGACATTGCTTTGATGGAGTTGGATAAGGAAGCGATGTGAATAAGCTCAAAACTATTTCCTTGAATTTCTTTTAATTCGAATCTTTTTAGCTTTTCTATAGATTTGAGACCAGCATGTCTCTATCAATCTTCAGAAGTTGAAGAAACAGTCGGCCAAGCTATAGGTTGGGGAGCGACTAGCTATGCTGGTCAATATTCCGACAAGCTATTGAAAGGCGATTTAAACTTTGTTTCAAACTTTGAGTGTAATAAAAGTTATAATGAAGAACCTGATCATCTTCCTTATGGCATCATTTCGTCTCAGGTTTGTGCTGGTGATTCATCTCGACAACGTGACACTTGGTAAGACCCAATGAGACATTTTTAAATTGAATTATCTTGAGATATTTTTTAATTTTGAATTCACAGCCAAGGGGATTCCGGTAAGTTGTTAATTAGAACATTCAATGAATTGTTTAGTAAGAAACTCTTTTAATTCTCAAAGGTGGTCCATTGCAAGTTTTGAAATATCGAAAAGAAGATTATAAAGTTTATTATGAAATTATTGGAATAACTTCTTTTGGACAGTTTTGCGCATCGGGAAGTCCCTCAGTTTACACCAGAGTGTCGTCATACCTTGATTGGATTGAAGGAATTGTTTGGCCTGATAGTAATTAACAAAAATTTTATTGTTTTTAATTAGAATTAGATTTGTTCTTGTTTCATATTTTTAATAATAAAACGTAATTAAGGAATTTGTTCGATTACATCCAAATAAAATTTTTATGGCTTTTTTATTATAAAAAAAACCAAAAANAGATTTGTTCTTGTTTCATATTTTTAATAATAAAACATAATTAAGGAATTTGTTCGATTACATCCAAATAAAATTTTTATGGCTTCTTAATCAAACAAATCACCAAAATGAATCATTTTCAAAATTCATAAATTTCGTATTTATGAGAATTTAAAAACATGAGAACGCAAGAAAATTATAATGTCGGCAAAAGTATGATAAAGTTTATTATTCCGCCTTTTCTGATATTTAAACTTTTGTATGAAATGAGTTTTCTTCAATTTGCTACACAATGAAAATGTACATAAAACAATGGATTGGATTTAAGAGAGGTAATCTGGTGTTATTTGACTCTCATCTTTCACGTTATATTTATCCATGTACGTACAAATTGTTGCTGATGTTGGTCTCGTTGATAACTATTTTATGTAACTTATGCTAACTGTCACTTAATTCTTAAAAACTTTAAAAGCTTCTGAAACTCCCATTGAACTTCTTTTAATCATAAACAAGCGAATGGAAATATCTTTGAGCTGATCTTTTTTACATTTCCATTATTTTCGTAAATTATTATTGCGAGTTTTGCTTCTCCATTGTTTGATGTCAAAAAGTAAGTCATCTTACACAACATTGGTTCCCGCATATTTGTTGCTGAAATTATTACAAAACTTCATGATAAATCATAGATATAAATTTTTCAGTAATTATTTTGTCCGCCCGCACTCAAAATATTGTAACGAAGATCGCACTTCTTAAGAAAATTAAAACTTTTTTCTTCACTCTCTCTTTCTTCCTTTCCGTGTCATTTCCATACTTTATGATTTTCTTGTAAGTTTCATTTTTCGATTTGATTTCTTACAACATTTGAACGCGCACAGAAAACGCTTATTTCACTCTTACTTTCAATTGCATATTCAGTTGATGTTGAGCTTCACGTCGAGCCGGTTGGAAATTTAAAACTCGAAGCAATTTTACTTAATGTTCCGTGGAAAAAGATCATCAGGTTAATTTTTTATTAAAATACAACATCTGTGGAAATTATGTAACATAATTCGATATAATCCATCCGGCAACATAAGATCATCATAAAGATATGTGCGAAAATTTTTATTTAACTAAAAGTTACAAAAATTTGAAAGCTTTTTTAATGACGTGTTAAAAGTGAACATGAAAAATCAATGAAAGCCAATTAGATAATCGTTACAGAAGCATAAAAATTATATCCGAAGAAAAACATTCAAAACATGAAAAAGAAATTGTCGGTCAAATGTTGGATTTTTTATTGGCTTTGCTCGATAGTTTCAATAACGGCAGCACAACATGGTGAGTCAGATTTGTTTATTGAAAAATGTAATTAAAGCTTTGTGAATATGTATGAGACAGATCAGCATGCTTATCATTAAAAGTTTCCATTCAAAATTAATTGACGAATTAAAATCAATATGTAGGAAGTGTTTATGAAAAGCTTTCTTTCTTTATTTTATCTAATCCGTCAATAGTTATCTGTCTATTAATTTGATTTGGAAAGTAATAGTGCATAAACATTGATTTACAGCTGGGAAAATGTCACTGAGATATCTGAGAAACATAAAACAACAACATAATCTCGATTACTTTCATCACAAGACTCAAAGTGACATGAAATTTCACATCATGAAAGTACTCAATATGCGTTCAGAGAACTCAACATTGGATAGATACGTTTCAAGTCTTTTCAACCTTAACAATCTCAATCCCACGTACATCTTCCGTCTTCCTGATAAGAAAAATCGAACTTTAGTGTTCCGCAAAAGTGACTTCACCACAGCCGTCTTTCCAAACATCACCAACGTTAATAAATTTACGAAGTCAAGCGAAAGACTTCAAACATCGTCATCGAGTAAACATCAAATAAAGTTGAAGAACGACGACTTTCTTGACGAATTGAAACATGAAAGAAATATTTTCGATAACAATATTTATGATGATTATGAAGAAATGAAGAAAATTGTCGAGGAAAATGTTCGATCGGAAAAAGATTTTATAAAGCTGATGACAGAGCTCAATGAAGATTTAAATGAAGAAGATTATCGGGAGAAATATCATCAAAGTATGAATCAAAAGAAAAGTTCACATAAAAAACCTTCCAAGACAAATCATAAAATTGACGAATGGGAAGAGTTTGGATTGAATGGTTGGAGTGGCGCGATGGTTGAGACAAAGAAAGAATTTCCCAAACGAGAAAAGTATTTTTAAGCTTCTTTAATTAAGTTCATAAATTTCTTTGATGTTTTTATAATTCCAGACCGAAAAGTTCAACAGCTTTGGCTACACTTTTCACTCCTTTTGATCAACTTGGTCTTCTAAGGCCAATTGAGACACAATCATCTGAATCATCACAAGATGCTAATATTAAAATGGAAGAGATCTCAGATCACCTTTCATCAATTCTTTTAAAAGATGAACAAATTTTATTGAATAAAACTGGAAGATTACCGAACAAATCACCACGATGGCCGATAACAACGACAAGAGATCAACATGGAGATAACGACATTTTTCTTGCGAGAGCAAATAATCCATTTGGTCATTCAACAAAATGGAAGTATAAGTGAGTATTTCTAATGAATGTTAAATCAGAAATTAATCATTTGATTTTCTTCTAATTTTCCGAAAGATTCAAATCTCAAACATGACCTAAAAAGAGAAAATTAATTTAAAGAATTGTTTAAATTTTGCAAAACCTCATTTAAGATACTCATTAATCATTGCTATTTATTCAAACAATTACCTGCAATGTCAGTTTCAACTTCATGTAAGTCCACTTCATTGTACATTAGCCATTGTTTTACGACATGTTTTCCACATTCGAGTCTTCATAATAGATCATTATGAACTTCCTTTTCTGATCAGAAAGAAAATATTAAATATTAACATGTCTTGAAAGGCTTTATTGTCTCTACTTGCTCCATATTCAATCACATTGCGCAATGATGAAAAGTGAATTTTTGTTTGTTGTGATGTGTAGAAGATTTGAAAATGTCGCTAAAGCAGACGTGTGTGAATAAGTAAAATTGTCGCTTATTGTCTCGTGTGCAATCTTAATCATCATGATGCGGGTTGATTTGTGGGATGAAATAGAAAGTGATGTTGCATAAGCTTCATTGAGTCTTCTTGAACGACTCATTACCTTTCTATGTCTTTCGAACATTTCTTAATTACTTTCCCATGATTGAAATCAACTCGAAATTGTTTATAAACCTTTCCGACATTTAAGAATTTTTATGAAGACGTTAAAAGGTTTTTTAAATGTCGTAAGTATGTTGAGTAATATTTACAATGTTTTCATTTCTCTCAAGTTCAAAATCACGAATATTCAATTTCATCATTCGCCAATAGCGCAGTTCAAGAGAGAGAAACGAGTTGTCTGCCTATAAATCTTTGCAAGTATTAAATAAACTCGTCCGCATGAGTCATTATGTAAGCAGATTTTCCTGCTTCCAATAAGAAGTTGCAACTTAACACGTAATAATTTAATTGAACTTACTTAAGTACTTCTCAATATTCATCTGGCGGCATCAAAATTAAAAAATTTCTTGCTTTGAATTTAAATTTCACTTTCAAAATCAACACCGAAAAATTGTTTCTTTTGTAAAATGAAAAAAATTAAATTTTTCGCTCATTTGTTAATTAAAAAGCGCATTGAATTAATTTTCACGGTTATGGTTTTCTTCAAAGCTTAATTATAACGGTTGGAAAAAAAGTCAATCAGCTTCAACATTTTTTGACGTCACTGTAATAAAATAAATTCATTGCCATTGCCATTATATAATTAACGAGAAATTGTGTTACGATTGAGTGCGAAAAATGTAGCAAATGCTTCACTGAATGCTGTTTTTAATGCTAACTTTTCATTGTTTATACATAAATAGAAAATCATTATAATTATGTTTTCTAGCAACATTTCTGATGTTAACGAGCATCATCGTGAAGTTCGATCGAAACGCGACGTCTTTAACCTCTACTCAATGATTAAATGTGCAACAGGCTGTGATCCGTTGATCTACAAAGGCTATGGTTGTTATTGTGGTTTCCTGGGATCAGGAAGAGCTTTGGATGGAATTGATCGTTGTTGTAAAGCTCATGATTATTGTTACAATTCAGCAAACTGTTTCTTCTACACCGAATATTTTGTTCCTTATCTGTGGAAATGTTATCGTGGGAAACCTTTATGTGGTGAGATTATAACAAGAAAGCAAAATTCTCTAATTAAATTCTGACATTTTAGCTATTGACAATGGTGAATGGGGTGGACCTGGAAGCTGCGCAACAAGACTTTGTCAATGTGACTTGGCACTTTCAAAATGTCTTCGTCATTACTATTGTCCTAAGAAGCGACCTGTTTGTGTTTCGTCACCATTTCGTCTGCTCCAAAACCTCGTCATGGTATTTTAAACTGCAAATTCCATTCAAAAGTTTCTTTTCGATTTTATAAGAATGCCAAAAAAGACTGCCACCATTAGATTTTAAATGCAATTTGTAAATGTTTTAATTTAAGTAGAAATAGCTGAAAATTTAACGAAATAAAACAAAAATTAATTCACAATTTAATTTTCTCCAAAAATGAATAAATTTTATTCATCAACATTTTTCATTTTTCTTTTCAAAAATTTTGACCAATTTTTTTTCATTTTTTCATCTAGAAATGTAGATTACAATGTTTACGGGTGTAAAATATAAGATTTAATATGATTATTGTTTAATTTATTTTTCTGTCTGTTGACTCGAAATTTCCTTTTTCTTTCATCGAAATGTAAATTGAACGCGAAACATTAATTTTGTAGCAAAAATTTGATTTTAATATTCTTGTTTGTAGTAGCTGAGGGAGAAAAGCAAATTTCCACTGCTTTCATGAAGAGTAAAAGAAAATCGTTGATTGTCAAATAGGCACAACGAATTTTCCTTCTTTTTAATCATTCTAAAAGCTTTGTTGCAGATTCATTGCCGAAAATAAAACAAATATTGGGCACAGCACAGAAGTGGTCCCCAAACATTTTGGAAATTTCCTTTTAAATTTTCTTCTAGTACGGAAATCATTTTGCAATTCAATGAAATTTTTTTCCCTCATGTGACTAAAACTTTTCAACTATTTTTCTATTTTGTATAAAAATATTTCTGTGATTTAAATGATAAATTGATTTTGTTGTCCTAATATTCCTGCTATTTACATTTTACAATGAAACATGAACAATTAGATTGAACAAAGGAGATAATTAAACTTTCAAGTTTATTACAATAAATACAAAAAAAAATTGTTGTTGCATTTTTTACAGTACAAAAAAAATCGTCTCAGATTATAAATTATTAACTTTGAACTTATTTTTCTCTCTTCTTTACAATTATTTCATTTCTTTTTCGACTTTTAATTTGCCGGCATTTTTCAGTCTGATACACTGAACGCCATTTGGCGATTTTCATCATCTTGAGTATGAAATATTTTCAAATTTTACAAAACAAATTATTTTTCTTTCCTTTTCTTCTATCTACCGAGAGTTGCTCAACTTGCAACATACAAATGTGACAAAAAAATTTTCCGGAAAATTAATTTACATTTTCCAACCTTCCTCATCTCATAATTCATTCATGAGCCGAAATAAATATTCTTTCTTTCTCTCTTCCTCAACAATATTAAATTTACCGAAAACTTTACGTAAATGAAATATTGTCTCTCGAAAGTGATCTCCCATTGCGTTTTTAAATAAATTTGTTTTTCCTGAGAAGTTTATTAAAACATCTAGTAATCGCTTTTTATTATTCTTATTCTTTTTTCACATTCTATTTCTTGGGAGAAATCACTTCCGTCCAGTCATCATCATTTCTGTGTAATTATACAAAATAAATCATATAAAAAACAAACATAAAACATATTAATCTGTATATTAAATAAATGCTTTAAATTTCACATAAAGCTAAATATTTAATAATTCTTTCTTCTTTGCCAATTGTCTTTGAGGGCGATCGATTAATAATTTCAATAACATTGTTAAATAATTCACAAACGAAGCCCTCTTTTTAAAAAAATTCTAAAAAAATCAAATCTTTCCTGGTTGGGTTGGTTGATCAATTACAAGTTTCTTGTACAAGTTTCATATACAATATTTGAATTCAGACCTTGAGCTTTGCACAATCTTCACTTCTTTTCATCTCAATTTGTTTACAATGAACACGAAAAAAAATCCCTGTAGTTTAGCGTTGTGTACATTAATGCTGTTGTTGCTGCACATTTCCGGTTATCTATTGTTGATGAATTACTTCTTTATATTTGCAAATCTTTTTTTTTTGTCCGTATTTCAACTTCCGTAATGAATTTCTCTTGATTTGACAGTCTTTTCATTTATATAAAACTTCATTTGTGTGTTTCTATTGTTTATAACACTTTGTAATTGTTCATTGATTCTCGAACAAAACGATTGGACTTGAGACACTTTCATAACAATTTTTACACTTTTGGAGTTTATTTTTCATTTTCTTTCTTTTCTTGTTTTTAAAAATTAATTTTCAAAATTGTACGTAATGTGTCACCGACAAGGAAGACCGTTGCGATTGAGTAAGACTTCAAGCCAACAAGGACAGCCAGTGACGTCTTGTCGTGTGTAATTAGGGCCCCAGCCTTTAACAAAACTTATTCGTACACTATGCATATCGACGGGACCGATTGGAAAACCACGTATCGGTGATGGCCACAAGATGGATTCGTTGATTCTAAAATAAGAATTAATAAAAAGAGAAAAACAAGAAAATAAATTATCGAGATTCAAGAATTTATTTGAAAAAGAAAAACTTACTTCAGGGGATCAAATACACGAAGACAGTGGCCAGGTGGCACTTTATGTACGGTTTTGGTTCTGGAATCAATATCGCAAAGTGTCGATGAATGTGCAAATGCTGGTGCTGTTGAACGATTATAAAGCCAGACACCGTCTGATTCATTACTTAACGTCACTCCTAAGAGAATTAAATTTTGATTAATATCAAATGTTATTAACGAAAAATAAAAATAAAAAACTTACCAAGTCCAATCTTTTCCCTCGTCCTCAATACTGAGTCAGGCGTTCGTGTTGAACGTTGTTGTGCTAAAGTTTTGATACAAAGACCAGCACCACGTGTCTGTTCGCTGAAGACATCAACTGCAGCATCTTCAACTGGCACACGAGATCCAACACGCTCATTTAGCTCCCAATACGCCAATTCACACCAACCTGAGTTTGAAAGATCTGAAAGAGGCATGAGATTTATTTCTTTATTTATTTTTGTGACTTGTTCGAATGAAAAGTGAACTGAGAATGATGAAACGTCTAGAATATCCACAAAAAGAAAATAATGAATAAATGAATTGGTGTTCATTGCAAATCGTTGTCAGCACAAATGAAAATAATTCAACACAGAAAAAGTCATTAAATTGTCATTTAGATTCAGACAGTTCATGAGGACGCAACCAATAGACGTAACATGACGTGACATGAAGCTCAGCTAGTCATGAATAAGTGCACATTGTCATCCAACAACTAATGGATACGAAAGTTAAGTGACATTGACTGGTGAGGTTGTCTATCAGAAATCGTTGCATGCTCCAATATAAACCGTTATTTTAATAAGAAAATATCTCTCGGAAGATCAAGAGAAAATTTTCATTTTCAGGATGAAAATCTCAATGATTTATGTTCACTAATTGATCGGTTAATTTGCGACTTATTTTCATTTCTTTCATTCCCTGACCATCAAAAGAATTTTTTTCTTTCCTTTTCTCGTTTCTTGAATTGTTGACATTATTTTTGAAATGTTATTTAAACTTTATCGGATTAATCACGATGGGAATTTTAAAAGTTTTATGTCACACTCAAATAAATATTAAAACAATGGCAATTACGGGATATAAAGTTTCGATGACGATTGGGCGAAGAGATGGCGCCAAGACTTTTGTTTTCTTCTTTTTTCTCTCTCTCACCGCCCGTCTTGCAAATTAAGTTTTATTTCAAGGCTTAGTGCAAGCTTGAAAAGTCATGAAATTCGGTTTCATTCGCTTTTTACTTCCTTTACTGACGCGACAAATCATACAAAAGTTGTTTTATTAGGCAAGTCCATTTCTAGCCATCGATTACAAGCACATGTTGATGGTCATTAATAATCCATTAAATTAACAAAAAAGGAATTCGAGCGGTTGATTGGGTCAATGTAGATAGCACATTGGCCAAACATCAACATATAACTGAAATTTCGAATAGTTTCAACTTTCGGGGACTGGGGGAGTCTCATATTTTGACTTTGGTTAATCCATTAATTAAAAATGAAATATTTCTTCTGGGCTTTGACGAAGGAAAGAAATTTTTATGTTCGATCATGGAGGCTGCCTACAATGTCTTTTGTGTTAATTGGAATAACGACTTTTTTTCTTAAATTAATAAACTCGTATTAATTTATTGTTCACCGATTAATGCAATTATAAAATGCACCAATTTACTTACAAATTAACTGAAGTTGAAATTATTTCCTCAACTTCTGTAGACGCTTTAACGATCAGAATTTATTTTTTATTATTTTTCTTTTAATTCGATTTCATGAGTCAATTGTAGGCCATGACACTTAGCCGTTTCATCGTTTCATCATTTGCACAAAGCCGACGAGTTTCCGTGAATCAATTTAATGTTTCCTTATCGGATTTAAAAAATAAAATAAAATAAAATAATAAACATTTTTGTTCTGATTGTTGTCTGTTCGTTATTTTATTTATTCGCAAACGGGATTTCCATTTAAATTTATTTAGGAAGATGACTTAACATGTCCACGAAGATTTCCTTTTTACAAACTAATTAACATCGAAGTCATAACATTTAAATGTAATAGATATTTATAAGAAGACACCGAATAGGAATAGGAATAAAGAATTGTTCTGTTTATTCGTCACCATGTGACCCCAATTTTACTTTCAAAGCAACTAAAGCGAAACACGACAAAATACAATGAAAATGTGTAGAATGAATGAAATTCCGCAATAGGTTGGCGCCACTCGTCGCTCGACTTATGTCGATGTCATCGCAAAGTAATTTTTTTTTTATTTTCTACTTTTTATTATTTATATTATTCGCATTGAGGGTAAACGAGTGAGGTCAAAAAGATTAATAGACGAAAGGGAGCAGTGGCCTTTCTAATCCCTTTCAAAGACAGCTGGCAACACTGATGAACGTCAGTAAAAGCGTGAACAATGATTTCTCACGAAATAAAAAAAAATATTTCATGTGTAAGTAAGTATACGCTCGACGTGTTTAGATCATTAGGCATTTTTATTATTTTTCGTTATTTTCAAAACCTTCTTATCCCATAATTTTATTTAGATCGAGTGTGTGTGTTCACATCATGTTTTTATTGTGTATGTGAATGTTTTCATTAGCCGTTGAAAGGAAAAATTGTGTGTGAGCCGTTTCACTTCTTCATCTACAATACAAACACAACGTGGTCGGAGGCGCCAGGCAAACAGCTCAAATAGTCAATGTCTAGTCATTTCCACTGCCGCGTATAAAACGAATGGCAAATGGTCATTTATGTCGGACGATTTTTTATTGAATCATCAAAAGATGAAGAATGAAAATAAAATGCTTCGATGGATATTGTTGCGTTTTTTCGAAGATCATTTTTTTATGGCGAATCGATGGGATGGATGACTTGTACGAGAAGTAATTGAATACGATTCCAACAAAGACTCTTTTTTTTTCTTCATCATCTTCTTTCTGCTATTGAAATAATTGTAATGGCATCGCTTCATGGTTGAGCATTTACTTACGTCGTCATAAAAAACCGACAACATATGTACACTTGCCATCTTTATGAGCACCGGAATGATATTTTTTTCTTTCATTTTTTTCGCGATTTAATGTTAATTATGAATCATACGCCCAGCTTTTTCTCTTCTTCTCCATTTATCTTCTGTTATTCGCTTCATTATCTTTTATAATTTTATTTTATTTTTTCTTTCTTTTTCTCTGGTGCGCTTTTCGAGCTTCCAATTAACCGACATATGTACAGTGAAACATCTCATGTTACATGACAACAAACTTTGCCGACATTGTAAATTGATATTTTACAATTACATTAAAGTCCACCTTTGAAGTTTATCTTTATTTTAGTTTAGAACGTCAGTCGACTGTACAGATGAAAAAGCACTTAAATTATTTTCGTTCTCGGCAATTAAAACAATATTTGTTCTGCAATTAAAAGGCAAAAAACGAGAGGAACAAGAATGATGATAATCTGAGCGTTCTTCTTCGTTCTTCAGTTTGGATTTCTTCGAAAGAAATTGCACCGAACCGCGTCGTTCTCATATCATCAACTGATGATGTATTTTCATTCAATCCAATTGTTTGCTGGTAAGAAGGGAATAAATAAAAATAAACATCAGTTTGGTTTTCCTTCTCTTGTTCCGAAACAATGCAATTAAAATCAAATTACATTCTCCTTCAGCCTAGGGATGTTATTGCGATCTTTCCCTTTACTGTGCGTGCACTTTACTTCACTTTTTTTTTTGTTTTTGTTTTTACTCTCATCTTGTTCAAGAGAAAACGATACTTAAGTGGCTCTTGAGAACAATGCTGTTGTTGAGAGTTGCCGGCGACAGGAACGCCAAAAACAGAAAGAAACCAACCGAACCACAAGATAAACGAGAGGGATTGAAGCAACATTCAATTCATGAAATTCCTCGATTGACCTTTTTTCTCCGAAACATGTCTTGAGCTCTTTTTCTTCATCTTTTTTCCTTTTTCTTGATTCTCTCTTACTTAAATACGAAGAATGAAATGAGGAATTAAAAAAAATATACAAAACGTGCACCACAAGATCACTTGATTTTTTTTTATTTTCTTGAAATTAGTTTAGTTTTGTTTTTTTATTTTTTATTTTCCATTTTGCCAATGTCTGAGATCATGAGCTGAACTTAAAGCATTCCCTGAACCCAAAGAGAAAAAAAAAGTTTAAAAAATCTTTATCATTTCTTTCCGTTTTACTTTTACTTCAAAACTTCTCTTAACGACCACCCACACGATGACCGCTTCCAATTTTTACCTCATCTCATTTCATTTACATCTCATTGCCTTCACATTGTCTTCATTCACTTGATGAGTGGCTTCGGTTTAGATGTTTGTTCGCTTCTTTTTATCTCTATGAAGTCTTTTCTTTTATATTCTGTTCCACATGTTCGCTTGTCTCACGGTGATGTTGTCATTTTTTCCCATTAAAATCAAATGCCAAATTAGCAAAAACCAAAAACCTTTTTTCTTTTCATCGAGAATTTATTTATTTTATTTTATTTTTCCTTCATGATGAAGTCGATTGAAGTGGGATTTATAATGAACATCCGAAGAAGAAGATGTAAATTGCTTAGGGCAACGAAACCAAGCCATCTGACTGTCGCCAACATCCACAAAATTGGACTTTTTGAGGAAGATTATTCATTCTTAAGACTGTCAAACGTCGTCACCTACAATACGTCTCATTCACAAGTTATTATGAGGTGATAATTTGATTTGAGTCCAGGCCAAAACTAATTTTGAACTCAGCTATCGAAGCATAAAATTTAACATGGAAAAATTAATTTTGATCTTTCTTTCCTGACACGCTTTTAAAACGAAAGTCAATCTCCATTCTCAAGCACTCGCTAATTGGCATCAGCAGTGATCTTTTCGCGACCAACTAAATGTGCAGCTTTACAGCTAAAATTGATTCGCAACACGACATTTCTTAAGATTTTTCACCACATCAATCGACGAAGTCTCTCTCAAGAACGAAATTAACTGCACCATCATTTTTCAACGCTGATCTTTTGTGGTATTTATCGCACCCAAGAAGAGCTTCGATTTTATTTTATTTTCTCACAAGATATCCATTTATTAATGAACATTTTTCGCGGCTATTTACACAACTGTCGCTGGTGAGAATAATGTTCAGCTGTGTCGAAAGTCTTTTCGTTTTCATTTATTTTTTATTTTTGGCGCGTCTCATAGAATTGAAAGAAAAAATATAAGAACAAGAATTATCTTGAAAGGAAACACATCCCAACATTACAATGACATGAATTCTGTCTCTGATCTCACCTCACAATTTCCATTAATTTTCATTTCAAGCAGACAAGGAAAAGACAGATTTTGAGATACGAGAAGAAAAACCACAAAAATCGAAAACTACTTTTGCGCTTGATTTACAACCCACTGAAGTGATTAATCAAAAGACCCGTGGAAAGATTTTCCTAATTTCCTTCATCGTTGTGCGTCGCGAGAGTTGAATATAAAAATTAAAGAACTTCTTATGTTTACTGTGGCGCTTTGACAACTTCGCTTAGATGACGTCTCAAATTCCACACGCTAATCAAACTTGCTTCTGCTCTTCGACACATTATTACTACAAGTCTAGTGTGTAAAGAATAGTTCAAGAATGTTTGAATTTTGTTGTAGATCGTTGTAGACTGTTAATTATGAGATTTATTAGAAGGCGCTTTACGAAATCTTATTCGATAGGCGCCAGTGATTCTCAAGGAAAGTTTTAGAAAAAAAATAACTGAAAAATCGTTAAAAATTTCATAACAGATGACTCGACTAACATGTTTATTTCTTAAAATAAGTAATCGAGTTTCAACATGCAATTTATGATCAATGACTTAATCTACGCTTAAAAGTTGAAATGATTTTTTTATTGGTTTATTTTTTAAGTGTAGAAGCCGAAAAAAAAAACAACTAACAATAATTCCATCGACAACGATGATAATTCGTAAAATTTCAGATTTTTTCGACCATAACAACTGTATTTATGTTACATAAGTGCATGATACACTTAAGTAAGGAAATCTGAATGTTTCATAACTGTGCGAGCTTTAGAAATAAACACGAAAAGAGAACCAAACAAACACGGTAAAAAGAATTTCCATTTAGAAGAAGTTTTTATTTTTTTCGGGGTTAAATTGAACGCCATGGCGCGATATAATTCTCTTTTATTCATTTTAAATAAATATTATTACGACTGTTTTGAAGCGGCGCCACAACGGAGTTTTTTGTGTACATACAAATTTTTCTTCTGTTTTGATCTCGAATATCTTCTTGAGTTTATGGAGAAAAAAAGTTGTATCTGTAGCTTAGCAAATGTTTTAAAAAAATTAGCCACTTGCATGGTGTTGTTCGATGTAACATTTCTCTATCAATCAACGTCATCGCGTCTTTTCATGACCTTGTCAAAAAATCCATCGAGCCCTTGAAAAATGGAATCTTCCTTCTCTTTTTATTTCATTTACGTAATGAATGTGCGAGAACAATATTTGCGGAGTTAAAATAGACGACTCTTATCTCGACGACATTGCTTGTCTTATCGGTTTGGCGTTACAAGAAGACGTCGTGCGAGATAATTTTTTTTTATTAGGCTTGATGAATGTCTGAAAAAGTTGGCAACAATGCTTATTTAAAATAGTTATTATCATAAGTAAACTAAGCTCAGCTCTTAAGCTTTGCCGGCTGTTTTCAATTTTTCTTATCAATGGATTTAAATTTTAGACTTGACAAAAATAAAAAAGACGACAAGAAAAGTGAAAATTAAATTAAAAACCAACATAAATGATTTCGCAATTATTCGTGCAATTCCTTAAGCATAAACAAAATATTTTCTTATCATCATAAATTACAATTGATAACATTTTAGTGTTGAAGTAGCGGAGATTTCTTTTGAACAGACAATCAAATACAAGAATTGTTTACATCACGCAGTGTTTGTTTATTTCTCTGCACATGAAAATATATTTTAATGTTTTAAACTCCAATCATGATTGCCCTCATACTGCTTTATATTTTCCTCCACTTCACAAATCTACGACCTCGATGAGTTTAATTTTCCCTTTTAAACGATCAAAAAAAAATCTAAAATTATTTAAAATTTTAATTAACCAGAATGGAAATCCATTTCAGGAGAATTGCTGGTAGGTGGCTTTCATTGCCCTGCGAGAAGAAACGAAACATCAAAAGAAGAAGAAGAAGTTTCCAGCTAACAACAAACAAGCTAAAGGCCCCGAAATAAATTAATCATCTTGAATATTTATTTTTCACTCTTTCTCTACACATGAAAATCTCACAAGCATGATCATGTCAGTGATGTTCAATGTTTAAAAGTAAAACCCTTCAGTTTCTCTTTGTGTTTGTTTTATTTTTGACTACTTCACTGCCTTCTATGCCATCATTCGAAGTGAGATTTCAATCTTAAAGACGATATATTTTTGGTCAAAATCAATTAAGATTTGAAGATCTTTTTTTACTCGTTTCCCGTCTATTTCATTTCAGCCTCATAAAAGCGACGGATGACGGCACTCTCATGTGTTGATTTTTATCATTTCTTTCTTTTCTTACTTGTCTTGAAACTCGACTTGGACATGAAACATCAACATTCGCTTCTCTTTTGCTTTTTGCTTCTTTCTTCTCATGGGAGCTCGATAAACAATCTTTAATGTAATTAAAAGTCTCTCATGGCTGGTGAAAATAATAAAAGAAACAAAAGACTAGATGTTGGTCAGGTTGAGACTTAAGATATCGGAATTTATTTTTTAACATTCTGTTTCGATGAATAATGATTTGGAAATGTTGCTTATATTTTTATATAAATTTATTTATTTCTTCTCTTCGTTAACTAGCCACACCTTAGGTTAGCTTTTTGTTTTTATTATTTTATGGACATTTTCCGTAAGCTAAAAGATATTTTTATGCAAACATTAAGTCGTTTTGGGTTGAATGAAAAAGAATATTAATGAACTAATGAGATGAACAGAGCGCCAATCAATATGTGAATAATTTTATTTTATAAACTTTCCTTCATCTCACCCGATGATGAAATCTTTTTAAAAATATTTAACTCGAAGTCACTCATTACGCTGTCAAAATAAAGACAAACGTAAATCAAAGTTCATATTCATTAGCAGTAAAGTAATTCGCCAAAAAATATGATGTATGGAATGCAAACGGCACTAAATTTTCGACATTATTCACATTAAATAAAAATTTATGCAAATTGCAATTGAAAGTTAATGAATTTGAAAAACAAATAAAGAAATCGTCAATTAGACTAGACATGAAAGAAAAGCAATAAACAAAAAGAAGTAATTTGGTGGGAAAAAAATTTAAACTTCTTCAAGACGTCTGAATTTATTTACAAATTCTTAGAATTCTTTCATTTTCCTCCATTGATGTCCACCGTCAACAATGAAAAACTTTTATTTATTAGTAAGCTTCTCTCTCCTTCAGCCGACACAATTTAACTTATCGTCTCAATCATGAAACACAAATTTTCGAATGACTAAAATGTCTGTTATGTGTACTAAATATATTTGTTCCTCGTCTTCTCAACTTTACTCAAGCTCAAACTCATCCCCTTCAGCTTAATCCCATAGCGATTTTATTTTCATTTGTTGTCGGCTAAATGATGGCGATGACATTAAAAATACTGAAACGAAGACGTTTTTAATTGTTTGCCGTGACTTGAAAGCGAATTCTGAGAAATTAATTGTGACACATACGTGGCGTGAGTTAAAAACAGTGAATTGCGTTTTAACTTCGTTCATTATCACGGTTGAAGAAGTGTTTAAATTTAGATTTTTTTACTTCAAACAAAATGAATGAAACATTTCAAAAACGAATCATTTGTTATCGAATTAAATTTCATGTTACTAAGTCCAATAACCTTTCCAATGGATTCTATTTATTTTTTTAGCTGAAATATTTGCATAATTTTATTCATTCTTCATTCAAAAAATCATGAGTGGCTTCCGTTTCATATGTCGACAATTTAAATCTGAGAAGCGCAACAAAATATCACAAATTGTTTTGAAATATATAAAAAAAATGTTCAATCGCACGAGGGAAGTGCGAGAAAGGCAAAATGTTGACAGGTTAAGTGGAAATTATCTTTTATTAACCTTGCAGTTTCCATCGTATTCATTTTTCATTTCATTTGTACATTTATTTATAAGTTTATGGCATTTGAGAAACCTGATTGACAAAGCAACATTGTAAGCTGTAATGTGAATCAAATTGGATATTAAAACTGATTGAATCATTGGCAGTTAATTCTTTCTACTGACTGCCTAGATTATTTCACTCACTAAAAGATTCCCGTCTTCATTTCATACATAGTATAATTAACCAAATGAATAATTCTCAATAAATGCAATCAAGAACTTGTTTTCCTTCCAACTTCTCCTTTGTTTCATTCCATTCACTTCCATTTCGCAACAAACCGGCGCCATCACTTTGAGTTCTTCTCTACCTTTCGTTTTATTCTCATCGTCTTCATTCAACACCCGAGAAGTGGCTTTCTTATTGTTTGAAATGCCATTCGGTTACATTGTTGTAAAATCCAATAAAACAAGCTGTGAATCATTTGAGGTGTCTCCCCAAACAGCTTATTTTGTAACACACAAAAGCTTTTTGTTGTTGTTTTTATTAAATCAAGACATTTAAAATCTCATTAGCAACATATCGGCTGGTTTAGCCTGTAACACATTCATAAGCATTCATGTTAAGCTTCTGACTTAAAATTAATGTTACAATAAAGCTATTAACGTTTTCTTTTTCCTTAAGGTGACCCTTGATGACTACAACGCCCATTTCAAACTTCACCCATATCCTTACGTTTACATATAACTTTTAACTTAATTTACATAAATGGAAAATGCAAGAAAATAAAACTAAAAGCATTAATGCAATTTATGATTCTGTGAAAGGTGCGGCGTTTGCAAATTTTCTCACGTTCTCACACTCCTCGTCGCTATAATTCTTCGTCGAGTTGTGACACCAATTTACAGCTCATAATCACATTTTCCGTTTTCTGTCTCGGCCGGATGAGATTTTTTTTTTTTAAATTTATAATGTGAATAAGATAATGAGAGGAGTTTGGCGAGAAGTAAGCATACAAGAATTAGCAGTTTTATTTGTTTGTCAGTTTATTTTTTATTAAGCATAAAGCCTGAGATAATTTTTTTTCTCTTATCTTGATTTTTGTCGCGGCAAATGATGACATCACATAAAAGCTTGTTTCACAATCTTGTATTCTACTTCTCTTCATTGTTTAAAATTATTTACTTGTCGTCGCTTTTTCGCTGATTGAAAATGGCGCTTCATGTCGATGAATCGTGCCTTTATTTGTCCTTGTTAATGTGTGTTGAAAGTTTCTTAACATGCCGTTATGATTAGATAATCAATTAATTAGTGCTATCTTTATTGATAAGGACGTTACAGGTTTTTGCCTTTTTTCCATTTCATTTTTTGCTTACTAAATTCTGTGAAGTTCTTCTACTCATAGATTACAACTTGACTTATTTCCAGAACTTGAGTAGAAGAAAAAATATCTAAAATGTCATTCAACTAACGTTAGGGAAGCTTGTGTTATCGCAAAATAATATTTTGCACTTAAATGGACATGGAGATAACTTTGCTGTGGTTTTAAGTTATCGAGATATGACAGAAATAAACTGCATTTGCAACGTGATACCCTTCACATTCACACGCCTCTTTTAAGTCTTTGACCGACTACGAAACACTTTTGAATAATGAAAGTCAAAAGAACATCAAAAGTTCATTTCATTTTCATTGCTTTTCGGTTTCCCTTCTGCTTTTGCTCTTTCTTTTATTATTTCATTCACAAAAATTTAAGAAATGGAAAAAACATTCGAATCAAAAAGAAAATTTTATTCAAAAATCTTTAATCAATAATTTTTCAAGTTTTATGGAAATGTCTTTGATATTTGATATATGAAAATCTGCATAAAGTGATTAGTGAATTTATGATTTTATTTTTATTTTCATGTGCTAGTCAGTCGCCTGTTGGTTGATCTGTTTCTCGAGTTTCAGGCACGTTTTTGTTTCTCACTCATCATTCAAGTTAATTCAACGATGGGAACAAAAAATGGCTAAAGTGAAGATTTTATGGTCGTTTGTTATCTTTATGCCAGAAGGTATTTTCATCCATTCCTTCTTGTCTATAATTTTTTAACGACCTCTTTTCTTCCTTCACGAGAGATGTTTTGATGGAATGTTGGGTAAATGAAGATCGAGTGGAACAGAGAGAGAAGTTCTTGGAATAGATTCCACATTAGTCGATGGGAAATTTCTATGTAGTAAAAAAGGCAAAACCTGTTGTCTACTTTTGCTAATTCACGCGATTCATTGTAACATGTCTATTATCACGTACATTTATAGAGAAGAAAAAATAATTTCAAAGCTACAGATATTTAGGGCAATTTCAAATAATTCTCAGACTTTCGATTCTTAAGACAATCATCATAAATTTTGATGATTTATTTACAACAGGAATAGAGAAAAAAATTTATTCGACTCGAGAGATTTGCGCAGCCTCAATTCGATGTTCTCAAAAGTGAAGCATAACTTCCGCACCGATTGTAAAGTCAAATTGCTTCGATGTGAAACAACAAATAATATTTCAAAAAGAAAGATTAAGATAAGCCAGAACTCATGACGATGAAGACAGAAATAAAAACAGAATGTTTTGCTGACATTTTCTAGATTAAACCCGAAATTCAATTTATTACGTATCTTCACAGTATGTTCCATATCAAGTGCTTTTAAATTAGCTCTTTTCGAGGAAAGGGAGGAGAGAGGTGACAGCGATCATCGTATTCAAAAATATGGCGACTGCCTTTTAACTTCTGGAATGATTTATTGCTTGACATTTTTTTTTCATCTCATCTCACACAAGGCGAGATGTACAACAACAAAGCACATGAATATTGGCGTGAAAAAAATAAACATTTCTGTATGATTTGCACTGGCACAATGATTTTCAGCTTGACATGCTGTGACATCAGAATCCAGGGCTAAACTGAAATAAGCGCCAAACAAAACAGCAATTTTTCATATTTAATTTTTATGCATGTTTATAGAGCTTCGATGTCAAAACTGATTCATTTGCACGAACTGCGAAAAGCAGTAAAAACGATCTAACTTTTATGTCGTTTGGCTGGTGATCAACAATGATGATCTGAGGCTTAAAGTCCAAATAAATTTCAACACTTAACGACTGTATCCATGGCGTTCTAATTTGTAAACTTAAGTAATACAAGATGAGACACGTTTTAATCTTCGCTGACATTCTTTCCAGATTAAGTTAATAAAAATATTTTAAGCGAATGAAAGTCTTTTTTTTCTTCTCTTCTTGAGATCTTTTGGTCAGTTAAAGATCATAAAAGTTTATTAAAATGTCGAAATGGAGAAAAAAAAGAGTTAAATAAATATTTTACATATTTTTAAGCCACATGGCGCTGCTCGACTTATTTTAACACTCAAATTGACACCGATAAAAGTTTGCGATCGCATTCTGCAAGCATTCGATGCGCACGAAAAACAAAAATTTATTCCATGTTGATGTTGTTCATATTTCTGCTAATTTTTATTTAATCTTTTAAACATGTACGGAATCCTGGCGCCCGTGTAGTGTTTTATCGCTTGATACGCTTTCTCACTCACTCAACTCGCGTATATTAAATGAATATTCATAATATTAATCATTTAATGCATGATTTATTTTTATGACCACTTTTTTTTCGATCAATGAGCTTTACTAAATGTTGTTGTTATTCGTGTGCCGTCAAATTAATTCGCAAAATAAAAATAATCATTAAAATTGTCTGAGACGTGAATAAGCCGTGTGAGGTGTTTGAGTATTTGAATATTTTCATTTTGATTGATTTTCAACTGCATAATATTTTATCGAAGATTCTTTTGAAATTCGTTTCAATATGATGAACGATGAAAAGACGCTGAGCAATGTGAATAATGAAGCGAAGTATAAATGAGTAAATATAAAAATAAACCATAAATTTTGATGGCGGTTAAGCTTCAGAGAATTTCAGTAATTCCCTTTAGCTATTCATAAATTACATCATTAATTAAGCGGATGAAGAATATTGTCACACATTCAAGCCCTACATTATATACCAAAAAAAATGAAACGAAATGAAGTATGTTGATAAGTTAACATCCAATCTGGTGTGTCGACTATTCTACGAAAATTTATTCACTCGACAATAAGTAATCGCGATGTGGGACAACACGTAAATATTCAAAAGAAAAAAAGAAGTAAAGAAAATATCATTTTTATTCGAGATTAAGAGACTTTATTTTCATAACAAAACCGACATCGTAAGAGTCATACTTTGATAACCTGAATGAGGTAATCTGACTAATTTTGTGAAGACTTTTCATTCTTCTTTATTTAATTTGTGATATCAACATGTCAAACAAGAAACTTCGTATCAGGATTTCAGATTGAAATGAAAAATAAGAATTTAAAAGCAAGGAAATTTAAGCTCGCATTTTAAGTGAAAATGGAAGAAAAATTAAATCTCCATCGACAGCCTAAACATCAAAAATTTTCACTCTGGCATCAAGTTAAAAGGGAAACAAATATTAGGCAAACAAATCATAAATTTGCTACACAGTCGTCGACTGTTTATTTTCATCATTTTTTTAGTTCTTTCCTCTGATGTGGAATCATCGTTGCTTTCATCAATAAAGTTTTTCATTTTCATGATTCTTCGTATATGTTTGTGTGTGTTCGTGTAGAAAAACAACTCGGTAAGTTCCAAGCATTGTAATAATGGCTAGAAAATTATTTAATAAACTAACGGATCGATCATTCAAGCACGAAACTCATTATTTTTTCAAACTAAATTTGAATGTTAAAAAAAAGTTTAAAATAGGTTAGTTGGACAACTCATGAATTAGGAAATCTATCGATTCCTGGAAAATTCACATGGAAAACCCCAAATAATTTATGAATAAAGTTAAAGGTACTAAGAATCTTCGTCAACTTTTATTTTACAACATCTCAAGTTGAGAAAATTCACGAGAATTCTAATGAGAATCTTAATTCAATAAAAACTTCGTCTCTGCTTGCTTATTTCTCATGAATTTCATATTCACTGCGGGATCTTATTAATTAAACTTAAAAAGATTTTAATTTTCTTATTTTCTCATAGATATTTTAAGCGAGCGAAAAAATAAATATCTAATACGAAACGATTAAGCAGCATATGAGACAGTTACAGATTATCGTTTGCCTTTTTATTTCTTTACGAACATGTTCGCCCACGTCGTATCTTAATTGATTTCTCCTTTCTTTATTGATTGTAAAACATAACATAATTAATAAGAAGTAAAATAATCTATTTTTTAATGAAATCTTAGCTCTGACATCATAAACGAACACGAGAGTCACGAAACATAAAGTAGACTAGAATATCGCGCCACACATTCAAATTGTGATCTTTTATTTTGTTTTCTTCTCACTTGCTTGCTTCAAGTGTTTGCGCGAAAATATTGCAGGCGCCAAACGCTAAACGTCACCATGCTTAATCGTCGGACGGCCTTCATAACATTTTGCCTGCTTTTGTGTGTTTTCTGTTTTTTTCTCATGTGTATATTTATTTAAACTAGAAGTGGGCACATTCGTCACGAATATTATTTTCACGTTGAAAATCTTCCGTAGGAGAACGCGACATCGTGAATTGTAAATAGAGCCATTCAGCGCCAAGTGATTTTTTCTGTTGTCGCTGTTGGCTAGTTACTTTGCATTTCCTCGAGTTGTTGATTAGTCAAAGCGATGAGAACAATAAAAAAATAATAATAATAATACTTTGAACAAACGTTTGTCCATCAAACAGCAAGTGGAATGCATGTTGGCTGAAGGTCAACTTTTTTTTTCACTTCTTTTTTGGATATTCCAGACATGAGCATGTAATTTATAATTTATAAAGTAAACTCACCTTCACCGTCTGTTGTTAGTGATTCTTTTTGTTGTTTGCTATAGCCTCCGTAAACGTCTTGATCCATTGAATCTTCTGTAATAAGACAAAATAAAATAAAATTAAGATTAAATTAAAAATGGAAATTCTATCATAAAAAGTGGATTAAAATCACATATCCCATCAAAACGTGTGTCGTTAAGTTAAGTTACCGTCATAATGCCATGATGATTTCGAAGGATTAAATGTTCGAAAGAACGGCGACGGTGGCGTGAGCTAATGATGTGGCGACGAGAAAACCTTTAACGATCGCATTTAATCCCTCCATCACTGATATCGATGGAATTAAATTCTCTCTTTCATTTTATTTTGTTTTGTTTTCCAACAGCTACAAAAAGTTTTATTAAACTTGCAAATCTCTAGAAATCTTCTTTTCAATGAAAATTGGATATTCCATAAAAACAACGAGCTTCCTTCTCGACTTAAGTCTCATTTTCATGTCGATTATATATTTCAATGAAGCTTACTGAGAGTTCACATTTCATTCATACAAGGTGCTTGAAACGTCTGCGCCAGTCTCACCACTTATCAGGATTAACTTTGTTAAAAGAATGTCTTTAAATTTTTATTGTCTTTATTCTGTTCTGTGCCTTGATGTCCTCTAAACAAACAAACATTGTTTGTGATTTAGTCTAATGTAGGCTCGTGTCAATCAACAAACTTTAACTATTTGTTTAATATTTATCGCGCCCAACTAGCAGTCAGATAGCAAGATAACAGAACAAACTTATTTTATGACAGGCTGTATGAGTCGCCACCGTAAAGAAAAAAAAATTATATCACAACTTGTAAAGTGAATTAAATTAATCGGTTTGCAAGTACCGAGTGTCGCCATATAAAAATACTTCAATAATAATTTATTTTTTTGGTATCAAACGATTTGTGTTTTTCTCTCCATTCGTTTTACCATCATTTGCATTAGAGAAAAAAAATCGTGTTTACTCAGTGTTCGAAGCGGCAGTTGTTATGTGTGCCTGTTGTCTTTTTGGTATTCAGATAAACCTTAATTTACATTTCTAGCCTGTTATTTTTATATCTTTTTTTTTCATTCATTCACAAAAAAGCGACATATTTATGAGAGACGGGAGACGGTTTTATGAATGATTAAAGAGATGTCTTGGTGTGTTAGTTTGAGTGTCATAAAATCCATGATATCATATTGTTAAGCGATGCAATCGGCTTAAAGTTTTAATCGCATCGTTTTTATTTCTATGCCACCCAAATTAAAAGTTTCGTTTCACTATTCAGCCTTTTCAAAAGCATTGTAAATAAAAGAAGAAAAAAATGCAGTTTCAAAATATGTTTAAATCAAATATTTATGATCTGAAGCTTGAGCACAACAATCATGAAGTCGGGAATGCTTCAATGACATGATCTTTAATAGGCTTTTATTATCTATGTGAAACTGCATTCTTTTAATTTACAGTTAAATGGAAGCTATTTATGAGCGGCAATTGTCTGGAGATTTGTCTTCGTTATGATAATAGAAAGTTTTTTTTTTTTGTAAATGTTTGTCATTCATTGAATGACTTTATTGAGTCCCAAGACGGTATTGTTGTGTCTACAAAAGTCAACTATTCATTGTGCCGCTTTCAACATCAGGTTGGTGACTATGAATATTTATTTACTATGCTTGTTTGTCGCATCACAGAAGTCATTATAATCACCTTCACATTTCACAAAGTAACTTGAACTTTTTTTTGTTTTTACCATTCCAACATTTTCTCTTCGGTTTTTCGATGAAGATCGCGAATATGAGATACACTGAGCATCAAATGAATAAATTTCCGATGAAATAGAAGAAGAAACTTCAATGCATCCGTGGGAACACATCAATTTTTAATACTAAAAAGATTATTTTTATTATTTTAGTTTCTTTTTACGTTGACGCCAGTTGAAGCGGCAACTTGTAAATTACTCGAATCTCCTGCAAAAGATCTCGCTTTTTATTGCATACATTGCGAATGAAATCATTCATCAGAAAGTTTTCTTTCCCCCGCATTTCATCCCAAATGAGAGATGTAATTACGGGTAATTGCAAGTTGACGATTTCGGGGCGGTGATCGGTTGAATAATTTGATGTCATTAAAATCGTCCATGTCAGTGGATGGCAATGAAATTCATTTTGATTAACTGAAATTGTGCAATCCCTATAATTCGAGCCAAATCTCTTTTGATAATGAATTAAAAGTCAAACAAAAACATTAATTTTCCGGATGATTACTCAACAACGAGGAACGCAACAACTCCCACATTTACGAAACTCATTAATATCTTGCATCAATAAATCAAGCTGCTTTTGGAAATCACTGCATTTACGAAAATTCTTTTACTTAAATAACAAAAAGAGAATATAAAAACAATCAATTATTTAACATGCTGATGATGTCTCGGGGAAGCGAAGTAGCGAGAATAAAAGCGAAGAAAAGAAGAAAAAAAAATCAGCAAATCAATGAGTGATGGCAATAAATGTGAATTAATAAAATAAATTATTGTCTGTCTTCATGAAACGGTTGGCATGTTGTGTGCCATAAAAATCTTATAAAGGTTTCTTATTCATTTTTCTTTTGCAATTGGGGTGTTGCAAGTAGAAATTAAACGCAGTTTAAACTTTCTTGGAAGCCGCATTTGCTCATAAAACAGCAAAGAAGATGGAAAGAAGAAAAATCAATCAAGTCAACTTCTGATCGTGCGGTTTGTTTTGATTAATTAATGATTCCAAACACACAAGACAACAAGCGATTTATTAGGAAAATTCACTGCATCGTAATTCCATTTTGAGTCGTTTAATTTATTAATTCTCATACAATTTATTTCGCTTGAGCTTACTTAACTAATAATTTACTAAGCAAATAAATCAGCGTCAGTTTTAGTGCTGCTTGGAATTTATTTACATTAGAACATTGTAGCTAACGTTATATATTTAATACTAACTATTATTTAATTGAAACTGTTCGGTGATCATGCAGTGATCAAGCAATAAAAGTAACTTCGTTTCATGCATAAAAAATATTTATAATTAGAACTGGTCAATTAACGAGGCTACTGTTATCAGTTGAAATGGAATTTAATCGAGTTTATGCGGTTGTGTAAACAAGAGAATCAAAAAAACCATTAAATTTTTACTGCAACTGCACTTTTATGGATGCAAAGTATACAGTGCAAGTAAGCAAAAGTCTCCGAACTGATTAACTGGCGCATAGCACAAAACAAAACGAAACTTTAAATCACAAAAGTAATTCTTCCCTTGTCGACTTTTACAATGGTTCGAGTGACTTTAATTACATTGTCAACGAGAAAAAGAATAATGTGAAACAAAAAAAAAACGAAAAAGAGATCAAATTTACGACACCTTAGACACATTGAAGAAAAATCTCACGACGCTCACGCAATCACTGACAGACACAAGAAAGTTTTTAAATAAAAATATTGTCACATTTCAGAAAACTTTTCATAAATTTTCTCTTCGTTATTCCCTTTTTTTATGCCGTTTTTATTAACTTTGAAAAATTGTGAAATAAGTTGTTTTTAGCTTGATGAGGTTTTTTATCCCATGCATGTCACGTGTAAGCAGAAAGCTCAGTAAGTGCCAAAGTCATTAAGATTAAGACGACATCTTGGGGATAAGAAGGTGTAATAAAATACTCCACATGTGCTTGATAGGAGGACAATGTTGAGATGGGACAAGACATAAAGTGGAGTATCGTTTACTAGCGCGGCGAAAATAAATAAATAGCAAAAAAAGCAAATATATTGCTTTTGTGTAGGCTTAGTGAAGCCAATTTAAAAACTATAAAACTTAATCTAAATATGTTGAGTAAAGTTTTCTTTTTTATTTATCGTTGTTATTGTGTAAATAAACGAAACGTTGAGAAATCTCATGAAGTATTTCCCATCTCAACGATGGCAAAGTAAGGAAAACAAAAACTTTCTTTCTTAACATCGATTCTCATCGGTGAATTTCAAAACGATTGGAAAAGTTTGTTGTTTAAATATTTCGCGCTTTTTGTTTCCCTTGCTCAGGTGTTTGCCACAGCTACGATTACATCATCTGTGTCGCGTTTAATTTTGGAATTTTATTTATTTGTTTGAGTTGTAGTCGATGTTTTTCTTTCCTCTTCTGTTTGCTGTATCGCGTCGTATAGCTCGCTTTCATGATCGAATATCAGGTTTAAAGTGGCGCTGTATCAGTACCGTCGTTTGATCAAGAGGGTCGCATTAAAATTTGAATATTTACATTTTTGATTGAACAAAACGATCTCTTGAGTATGCGTCATTGGCTTATTGCGTCAATAAGCGCATAATTCATAGTCCCAGGTATTTTTAGATATTTATTTATCCACAGATCGTCGTTTATCTTTGGGATTCATAAGACATTCTTTAAGACAAATAAAAAAAATTTAATCGATAAATAAGGAATTTCAACAGTAGATTTTTGATCGACAGTTCGCTCATCTTATCTGACAATCAGCTCTTTCATCGACTTATTGATCAATCCGCGCAACAATGAAAATCCACAAAACGGCAATTTAACAAAGCAGATGAATGAATAAAAAAAATCAGGTTGATGTATTATTTAAGAGAAATCTGAAAGATGCAATGAAGAAAAATGCATAAAAATCTTAAATATTTCCTCCCATCTTCTTTCGCTGTTGCTCTGATAATGCTTATAGCATGTCGGTCGATTTTTCATTCTTTTCTTTCTCTTCTCATCCATTTCGTGGAATTTTTGTTATAAAATAATTCTTCTCTTTTGATTTCTTGTTTCTTTAGTTTCATCTTCTACTTTTATTTTCGCTTTGTATTATTTCGTTTTTTAAATGAGAAATGCACGATTCAAAATGTCCATATTACATGCTTCATCGTTATTCCGCTGTTTCTTGTAAGAACATAAAAAAATATAAAACGAGAAAAAGATCTTAAACAAGAAGCAATTGTCGAAAGTTTTAGTAAACAAAAACGCTGTTCAGGGTTGAAGAAGTTTTTCTTTCTGCTTCAATGTATCTTCAACAATGATCATTTACTTGATTCTTCAGCTTTCGTTCTTCAAATAAGCCCAAGAAATTACCATGGATAAAAAAGAAAACCAACTAATAAAAAAACTAGAACATGAAGAAGCAGAACGAAGAAAAATCTTTCTTTTTGGTTGAAGTTTCTTGTACACGAAATCAACCAACTAGCAAGATGTGATGGCAAAGACATAAACTGCAATGTAATGCATTTAATGATTTCAATTTGATGACTGCTTCATTCTTTTCATCGTATCCCGGTAGTCTGAATTAGTTTAAAGTTTTATGGCTCTTAATGTGCACGCGTTTCGGATTCGAAACTTAAATGGCATAATGGAATTTCTTACGCTCCAAATTCGGTCGATTTTGGATGTAAAAGCCCTCCTAATGCTTCGCACAGCGTCTCTTCTTTTGATGAAATCAAAGAAATTAACTTTTGCTCTCTGATGCATTCATTTAATTGCTTATTTTTTTCACGGCAATTGATTTCATTGGTTTCAGAGGGTTTATTCACTTCTTAAGTCACGTGTTGAATTTAAAATGGATTATGGCTTTGCTACAGCTTCTCATGTCTGACTTAATGGTATAAAATCCGATCGTATTAAATTTCTTTGACCCTGTACGATGTTCCAAATGATAATCCAAAAACGTTATACCACTCACTTAATGGCATTATAGAAAATCAATTAAAACTGTATAAGAAACCAAGCGATACAAGACAGAAAGAAAGAGGCAAAAACCAACAGAACAACGACCAAATTATGAATATAAAAAGTGAATAAATCAAAAGACAAGAACGCAAAGAAACAAAAATTAATTAAACAAGTTTTCTGGCTGGTTTGCGAGTATGCGTTGTAAGTTGGCTCCAGTAAGTCGTTGTCTTTGAAAGGAAAAAAAAAAAGTGAAGTAGAAACATGCTTTTTAGAAGCACATACAAGTGAACCATTCATGAAAAAAAAAACTTCCCAACATTCTCCCAACTCTTGCTTGTATGTTGTCGATTCACGAAGTCACGCAAGTGGCCAAGACCCATTTGATTTCCTGTAAGTACTAAACAGTATAACTAGCTAGGGTGAAAGGGAATGCTGGTTTCTTATCCTCAATCATCCAGACAGTAAAATTACTCACTGCCAGTAGAATGTTGTGAGAAAGACTGATGATCAATGTTTGTTTGTCAGGTGAATGCAAATAAATGTTCGCGATTAATTTAGAAAAAAATGTTATACGAATTCCAGCATCTTAATTTACACAAGCGAATGCAAATCTTCTGTTTAGATATTTCATTCATGTTGTTTGGGTGTGTTTACTTGACATTAGATTTTCTCGTCTTTATGTTCCAGATTACATCTAAAATATTTAAGATGAAGCAAAAAAGAAAAAAATTGTCTTTCACACGATGAAACACGACGATGGCCTTTTATATTCATAATAGATTGGATGTTACTTGAAAACCTGCTTGCGATCATTCCGTTAGACACATGAACGTGGTGGATAAATAGAAAATCTGCTTCTTTTGTTTTTTCAAAATTAATAAGGAAGATTGCTAAACAAGACTTAATCTTTTTTTCTTTAAATTCAATTTTATTATTAACCTTGATTTCTTTTCTTATTATCATAAGAAAGAATAGAAAAAGTCTCTTAGCTATTTACTCGTAATCAAGTTTATAAAAGAATCTAAAAAAAGAATTGTTGAATGTTTTTCAAACGAGAAATATTTTCGCCACATTTCTACAAAGATTTATTGCTGATTACAATTGAATTGTGTCAATTTAAACAACATAAATTTATTAACTTCAATAAAAAAATTCTCTTAGACATTTTAATTGAAAAAAAAATCAAACAATTAAGATGAATAATTGATTAGCAATTATTGCAACTTTGTAAGTACAAAGTAAATATTTTCATGTAGGATTGAACAGAAGTTCTATTCAAGCATTGACTTATGTAAAACAACTGATAAGATATTTGCTGGTAATAAAAAATTGAATACGTCAATGAGTTATTCAATGACTATCAAAACAAATTAAAAATGAAGAGTGTTGACGAGAAAAAGAATTTTTAATCTTTAAACAGATGAACTTTTTTTTAAATGTCGTTTGATGATCTGATAATGATCATATTTTAATTTTTAGTTTTTATTGCATGACGACGACACACATATTTTATGTTAATTATTTTTGTCCTCTCCTCAAATTACAACTCATCTTAGAATGTTCCTTATGTGATTTAAAGGAGAGTTTTCTCAATATAAGAAAAATCGATAGCTGAAAAATTTTCGAGCAGGGACGAAGCGAAAGAAAATTCTGTCAAGCGCCATTCAGTACAAACACTCGAAACGCTTTTTATTCCCTGATAATTCTCTCATGACCTTCGTCGTCATTGGCGGTTGATGAGAATTTTCTCTCTCGATTTCTGCAAGTTTTATTCTCTCCTTACTTTTCATTCTGCAAGTAGCTGTCGAGTCGACAACAAGCAAAGCTTAAAAAGCAAATAAGGAATGTAAGTACTTTAGGGGAAAGTTCTGAAAAGTTCTAAATTTGTGAAAATTTGCTGGAATACGTTTGTTAGATTTCATATTGTCATTGAAAAAACGTGAAAGTTTGACGAAAATCTTATGACACGTCGCGTCTTGATGAGAAAAATTTTGTAATCAGTGAAACGTAATTTAAAGGTCATGGTTATCATTTTCATAATCCTAATTCTTTGAAATTCGATTGATTTGATCTCCAAAACATGAATTAATCAAAGTTTTGTTCATATTTTCCTAAAGAAAAGTGCATTTCATAAAGTCAATTATTATTGCATAATTGCGTAACAGAAAAAGTATTTTTCCACGACATCGAGGTTTTTTCTGATGTATTTTATGAACTTCTAATCATTTTTATGGATAAAGCTAAAGATAACGCCGTGAAAAGAGTTGAAAACGCTTTGGAAAATATGCCGGTATCAAAATTTTCGTCGCCTTTCAAATGACCGCTACGATGGTAAAAAAGGCTGAATAATAAGTGATGTAACAAATTTTCATGATATGAAACTCAGTGATTTAGCTGTTCAATTGAACAATTTATGAAAAGACGTGACTTTTCTCTCGTTGTGAAATTAAATATTGTGACATCATTTTAGAATATTTTTTTCTCACACATTGATGAAAATTTTATGGTTGTGTGCGTTTGTATGAGAAACTTTTTTCTCTTCAAATTTAGAATGTTTTTTTTTTCAAGAACATTTTTTCAATTTGTTACTCAATTTAAAAGCAAATCCCTTTCAAATATTATTGCAATCATCAACCTTGATATTAATCTTGAAATCAAAAACAATCTATCGACAAAAAAACGCATGCGTTGAGTGAAAAAACAAGATTTCCGTAGTGTTTTGCTATCTTGAATCAATGCCAACATGAAGTCTTAGTAACAATCAGTCGATTCTATTGCATAATTCTAAGATTTTCTTCTCATTATCTTTTTCACAGATTTCACCGAATCCTCTCACAAAGCAAACAATAAACTTCAAACATGTCAAAGATCGGAATTAACGGTTTCGGACGTATTGGACGTTTGGTTCTTCGCGCTGCCATTGACAAGGGCGCTGAGGTCGTTGCTGTTAACGATCCATTCATTGGATTGGATTACATGGTTTACATGTTCAAGTACGATTCAACTCACGGACGTTTCAAGGGAGAGGTCAAGGCTGAAGGTGGCTTCCTTGTTATCAATGGCAAGAAGATTACCGTTTTCCAAGAACGCGATCCAAAAGCCATTGCATGGGCAAAGGCTGGCGCTGAATATATTGTTGAATCAACTGGCGTCTTCACAACAATCGAAAAAGCTTCTGCTCATTTTGATGGTGGTGCCAAGAAAGTCATCATCTCAGCTCCATCAGCTGATGCTCCAATGTTTGTTTGCGGTGTCAACTTGGAAGCTTATCAACCATCAATGAAAGTTGTTTCCAACGCTTCTTGCACAACCAACTGCTTGGCTCCACTTGCTAAAGTCATCCATGACAACTTCGAAATTGTTGAGGGCTTGATGACAACTGTTCATGCCACTACAGCAACCCAGAAGACCGTTGACGGACCATCTGGAAAATTATGGCGTGATGGTCGTGGTGCTGCTCAAAACATCATTCCAGCTTCAACTGGTGCAGCTAAAGCTGTCGGCAAAGTCATCCCAGCATTGAATGGAAAACTTACTGGAATGGCTTTCCGTGTTCCAACTGCTGATGTCTCAGTCGTTGACTTGACAGTTCGTCTCGGAAAACCAGCATCTTATGATGCCATCAAACAAAAAGTCAAGGAAGCTGCTGAAGGTCCAATGAAGGGAATTCTCGAATACACCGAAGAAGAAGTCGTTTCATCTGATTTCATTAGTGACACTCACTCATCAGTCTTTGATGCTGCTGCTGGTATTCCATTGAACGATCAATTTGTCAAACTCATCTCATGGTATGACAATGAATTTGGTTACTCCAACCGTGTTATCGATCTCATCAAGTACATGCAAAGCAAGGATTAAGCAACAAGCTTTCTTCAATCTTCAAATACATCATAACAACAACAACACCCAGTTAAAAGTTTCGAAGAAGCTGCTGACACAACAAAAACTAATTTTTGCAAAATGCTAAGTTGGATATTTGTCTTTAAAGTTGTCAGATAATAAAAAAATAATAAAAATAAAGATTTGAATGGAACATCAATTAGCATGATGTACTCTGATATAACTTAAAGTTTAAGATAATTTCAAGGAGCTATTAAATTCATGTTCTGAAATATAATTGAAGTTTAATTTAATTGGTGTTGTTGTCATTTGATCTTTCAGGTGGATTACTTGAAATATTGAACGGTACTCGACTCACAATGAAATATTTCAACTTTATAAAGTGGAGAATATTCACTCGTCAAATCAGATAACTTAAATCATTCACCCACACAATCATACAAAAAACAAGTTAAAATCAAGAGTCTAAACAACAATATGCTGGTAATAAATGTTAGATATATCCAAAATGTCTGAAACAAATCATGTGGATGAGTCATTCAAACAAAAAGCTCCAATAAATTGTTTGGTAAATGGACGATGATCAGCAAAGTTGTGCGCGATTATTTTAAATCAATTCAATGTTGTTTTTGGCATTCAAGTACACTGAAATTTATCTTGAACTTTTGCAGACGGTAACATTTTATTTTGTTTTGCTTTTATTTATTTCATTTGGATTTAGAAGATTTGTTTCTTATATTTTGCGAAAGGTTCGAATGTTATCACGATTGTTATGTAAGAATATTTTAATTTAATGCCCGTCTGAGATGTTTCAAATGATCTTATTTTGAATTTACTATCTCATGTTTGTTTGAAGTCTCGTCTTCATAACTCGCACATGAGACTGTTCATAGATTGAATAATCCGCTAAAAAATTGATAACATCAAACGATCTTAAATTTGCCGACAATATTTGGAGGAAATAAAGGAAAAATTAAAAAGCCGCCACTGATAACTCGGCGCTTCTTCTTTCATATTGAGCTTCTCTTATCAATTTAAATATTTCATAGACACTTTAACGGGCCAAAAAACGATGAGAAAGCAGACGTTGGCGTCAGCTTAATCCAATTTTCCTTGACGCATTTCATCATGAAGATTAAAAACAATTTTATTTCGCTCAGAAATTCAATGAAAACAACTTCGATCTAAGAAGTTCATAGAAAGAAAAATTGCACAATTAATGCTTAATTAATCTTCATTTTCTTATTTACTCGACAAGATTAAAATCTTTCGCTTCTATTATTGTTGCGATTGCACTGAAAACGATATGTACCTTGATTCGAAAAGAATGACAAAAAACCAGGCCAGGCAAAGACTTTTGACATGTGTACAACTTCCACGATTGTCATTTGAACAACATGAAGAAATCTTTAAACAATTAAAACTCTTTGACTTTTCTTCTTTTCTCTATTAATTTAGTAAAGAAATTAAATCTTTCTTGTTGTTCTTTCCTCATATCCATTTCTGTTTATTTATCATGTTGCTTTTAAACTTTTCTCTTCATTAAATATTATTGCAAATGCATGTGAATTTTTTAAACTCGAAGATAAAATGAAAAGGGTGGAAATGGATGCATGACACGAAAACTGCATGATACAAATTCTCCATTACATTGATTTTTCATAAAAGAAAGCGATATTGCAATGAAGAAAGGAAATCACTGGCATATTTTAACGGTATGTAACTCTAAACGCTTGTATAATAACTTTATGACACCATCTCAATGGTAATTAAGTTTCAACTTACCTTCTATTTTGATTGCATACTGATAGGGCGGAGGAGGAGTTTCTGCAAAAAAAAGAAGAAGAAAATGGTTAATTATCTCTCATTTGAATATTGTTTTAGAGACTTTATTGTTTGCTTTTCACTTGACACTTGCCGCTCGAGGGAAAGTTAAGAGTTTTGAAGTCTGTTAAGTAAACGATATAGCATAACAAAAGCCGATCATAAAAATAATTAACCGCATCGTTTTTTCAATTTAGCTGCTTTTAAAATCGCTGAAAAGTTTCATAACTTTTATGACTTTGTTATGTCCACATACTGCTTTATGACTCTTTTTCACATGATTCTTTAAATCACATCCTACGCTATTCAAATGGGGGGCAACATTAAGAAAGAAATAAAAAAAAGAAGCCCCAAGGGTCGTTTGTGAATGCGCCAATCTCATCACAATCCAAAGGAAAACCAAAGTACAAGAAAATAAAACGAAGGAATGTCAGACATTGCGCATTCTTTCCAACCGCAATATTTACTTTTAAAGAACTTGTAAAAAAATGAAACTCAAAATAAGGTTCTTCTTGTTTATCGTTCGTCCAATGATTTATAGCACCATTTTTGGGTAAATGTAAATTTATCTTTCCTTCTTTCTTTGAGAGCTCGTATTATTTTTCTACCTCATTTAAATACAAGCAAATAAAATAATTACATTGCCGAGTAACTAACAATGTTGCTTTGTTGATTACTTATGCATGAAAGCTTTGAAAAGCGACTATAAGACTAAAGACATCATCAAATGCGAATTCTTTTAACGCATGTCTTAAATAATGATCTCAAGCAAGAAGTAATTTTATTCGTTTTACGCTCGGTTTAATTGTTTTGGTTTTAAATGTATGAAAATGCATATTATAAGGTTAATAATATTACAAACTGTTGTTTTTATGTTCTGTTTTATGCAAAAATGTATAACCACACAAATTGGTTGATGTACCAACTTATGATTTAAAGTTTTTTTTTTCTTTTTCTTTCTTATTTTGTAATTAAGAGCAACATGTTTTCTGTTCTTGCTCATAAAATGATTGATGGCTTTAAATGATAGCAAATGAAACGAGCCTGTCAAAACATGAGCGCGAGGCTACAATGTATTTGACTTTGTCTTTGGCCTCAGTAGTTGATGGAATGTGTGTAAGTTGTTACTGAGGCGCAAAATGTCTTTGAACTTTTTGCAGTAATTCGATAAAAAACAATTTATGTGTATTCAAAAAATATATAAAAAAGGTTTCCTTCAATAAATCAAGATGTTGATTGCTATCCTAAAAAGAGATGTTAATATGACGATAAGCCTGCTTTGCGATATTTATGTAGATCAACAAAACATTTTTTGTGAGCTTTTTTTTATTGTTTTTGATCTCCGAGACATTGATAATGAACAGCATCTCTATCAACCCTGAAAACAGCAATCAAAAGAAATCTTTTTATTATTATTTTCTTCGTTCGTTTGCTTCTTTCCATCTCTCTCTAACATCGACTTATTAATTAAGAAGATTAACATTTTTTATGTTTCTTAAACACGTTTCACTTGGCTCGCGAGATAAATAAATGAAAGACAAAAAAAAAGGTTTAGCAATGATCTCATTATGTAAATTTTTGCCGATATATTTTCTTCTTCATTTGTAAGAAACCACCATGGAACGATATGAAGAAATGCAAGGATTTTGAATCAATCTCATCGACAGATTCACGAATTTTAATGAAAATTCTTTCAGCAAGAGTCATAATTGGTGGTTAAACCAGATTTCTTTAGCTTTAAACATACAGAAAAGATCTTTGTGTGTCCTGAGATATAAAATTAATTTCTATTGGCCTTAGGAATGTTCCACTATAATCATTCATGGTGATTTTGTATCTTTCTTCATTTAATCAACATTTTTCAACTTGCTAAATCATGATAGTTATTTTTGGGATCTTTTTATTCTTCTTCCTTTTATTTTTATGGCTTTAAATACCATGTTGGGTCATACATTATGAATTCTAATTCTTTAAACTTTTAATCGTTCTTTAGCACCCTCAAACATTCGACATTAATTTAAAAGTTTTTTTTTTTCATTTTCGTTCTCACTCTCGCTCAAAGATCTCAGAATTTAAATGCTTAAAAATACGAAACAGCATTCCAGAAAAATTATACACATTTAGTATAAATTAAGATTCTTATTTTTATTTCTGTTACTGTTCTCTATACATAATTCTCCTTCTTTCTCTCTCAATGTTCGATATTGTGTGTATTTTTGGAAATTTCTTTGTATGCCTTGGTAGCAGCAAGTAAAAGAAGACGCAACAAGAGAAATCAGAGCAAAACAAAAGAAATTCTCAGTATTCTGTTGAGCTTTGGGATTAAATCACTTTGCGATTCTTATGAAAAGCGAAAAGGTCAAAATTGTTGAGGAAAAAAACGTGGATAATCAATGATCAAGAATATTCTTAAATATTTTCATCTGAGAATTGATGTGGGAAAAGACTTATGCTCTGCTATATCTCCCACTAAATAGAAATTCCCCTCCAAGCAACAATAAATGCCTTCTATGAACCAAAAACTAGATCCATTAAAACTGTAACTATTTAACAGTAGAGAGGAAACGTTTATGTTCACCGACACACAAGTGCACATACGCTAACTATAAATATACATCAGTCGACTTCTTTTCTTTCTTCTTCACTACACTCGTCTTTAGTCGTGTTGGTCTTAAGCGAGGCGCCATCATATACACAGTTAAAATAGATTTAAAATAAATAATCTCTTAATAAATAACATTGCAATTATTTTTCAGGTTTGTAACATGAAGGTGTAGATATTTAAGTACAAAACTTTGTTGTTTTAACTTTTTTTAGATATGACATGAACACAATTTTTGTTTCATTCTCGTTTTACAATTAAAATAAAATAATTTTTTTTTCTCTTCTGATTTTTTTTTTTGAGGTCTCGCCATTAAACGCTTTTTCTATCTATTAATACTTGTGACTAAGTTGACATTCCATTTTATGTGTGATACATGTTTAAATGATAATTAACAACGACGTTGGATAAGTAGACGGAATAAAAAAATTCAATTAGAAACGCATTATCTAAACATGTAGAAAGAAGAAGAAATATTTGTTCACTTTTCTTATCATCGAAAGAACTGAAAATGACGAATTTTAATCGAAAGTTTTCATACGTAAGTTGGTTAGTTACCTGGTACACATAATCGACTCCAATGTGCGGGATTGCAACAGACGTAAATGGGATCCTTCTCGTTCGGACATTTCGGTATGCGTTTGATCTCGTTGGGATCGCAGAGATCGCTCCATCGCCATAGACGACAAGCGATGACTTGCGGTTCTTCGTCGTGAATTAATTGACGTGGAACGAGGACACAATCGGTTGGTTGATATTGATGGGTGTGAACTTTGTTTGACACTTCCGTCGATAATCCGCCTTCGATTGCTTGACACATTGTTTCCAGTTGCCTTTCTTTCTTTAATTGATTTGTTAAGGCTCGAAATAGTTGATAAGTGTCGCCTTCTATTAAATCGATTGTACTGTTGGAATTTGAATTGGAACAACAATTTCGAAGAGCGGCGGTTGTCGTTGACAAAAGTGAGCTCCCTTCGTCTCTTGTGAGACCATAATTGCTCTTTTCTTGATTTGTTTGCGGGCAATAATACTCGGAGCTTGTCTCGTTGGCAAGCTGATAATATTGATCTGACTGTTGTTGTGAAAACGGCTCCTGACGATGCTGTTGGCGCGGTGATGTTGAATCCATTGGTTTTACACGCAATCGCCATAGCCGTTTCTTCAAATTTTTCTTTTTGCTTGGGAAAAACATCGGTCCGCAAATAATACATTTGTAACAATCTACTATATTTTCATTATCACTAGTTAGTGTGAGGGAATGATGATCATAGTCGTCGTCATCGTCGTCTTCGTCAAAAAGGTTTCTCGTTAGAGTATCCACTGTTGCTAATTAACACTAATTTCTCTTTAAAAAACGATTTTTGTTACACTTTATTTTCACTTTGATTTCTTTCTTTCTTTTTTATTTATTTATTTAGGATATGATTACAATTTTCTCTTCTTTTGATAATATTTGTATTCAATTGCACAACATTGATATTATTTATTTATTTGTATTTTAACACATTTTTATGAGCTCTTCTTCACTCTTTTTTCTTTTTTTTTCTTCAAATGATTATGTTGAATTAATTTCTTTAGGATATGTAAATTCAGCACTACAAAATTTATTATTTTAATTTCAGTATTTCCTTTAAACTTTTCGATGTAATAAAATAAAATATCTTGCGAGCAAATAGCAATTTTCACTTACAAAAAACAACCAAGTTTCTCTTTCTTTAAAAATAAACTTCAAGTGAAAAATATTTACGTAGCACCGCGGAAAGAAAAATTTCTTTTAAAATTTATTTCTCGTGAGTTATTTCTATATTTTTTTTTGTTTTAGGTTATGTGTTCTCTTCTTTCTATACGGTTCCTCGTAATCTGAACTTGATAACACTAATCGCCGATGTTTTTTTTTGCGCAAGTTGAAGCAATAAATTATTGAATCGGAGTGGACTAGATAATTCAGATTCAAAGTTGTGACGATTAGAAATTTTATTTATAACTTTTATTAGCTTCTTCTATTTATTTCTGATTCACTTCAATATGATGTTTTTATTAATTTCGATTTCTCTTAAGGCACAATCAAATTACTACTTCGATATATGTAGTTGATATGATATTTTTTTTTACAAAATTGTGAATTTCAGTCGAATTTATTAGTTTTAAGTCGCGAAAATATACTTCCAGTACGATTTGAGTCTGTGATTTTTAATATATTTTAATATTTTTTACCGAATTTCCGCGTAAATAGGTAAATTATACAAAAATTCAATTTAATTGAGACTTTCTCGCTGCGTCGATATGTCGTTGCCAGGTTCTACAACACTTCTGAAGTCGATATTTTTTTTGTGTATGCATAGGCACATATCAGTGTAATCCCGAGAAAAAGAGAGAATAATCAGCGTAATCCCGAGAGAAACAATCATCACACAGTGAAGTTGTACACGGTTGTATTTTAGATCTTTCAAACTGACACTTAACGAAACTTTTATTTATAAATAAATATTTTTTATTAGGGAAGTAGAAATGTTATTCAGTAATCAGCTTTAACTATAGAAAAGGCGCCACACAGAGGGACAGGTCATGACATCAGATACTAGACGCGTTGTTAATTTAAATTTGTGACCATAAAAATTATTTTCCAATAGATTTTGTTATCAGCATTGTTTCTTTGACATAAATCATCTTGTTTAAATTATGAAAACAAAAATATAAAGAAACGCAATGAATGTCTTGTTTAGTCACAGTTTTGCGTTGCCATTGAAACGAAACAATTAGTTTTAATGATCTAAATTGATCAACAATCATAATTATTTTTGAGTTATGAGTTCTCATTGTAGCGGCATGTCTTATATTATTCATTTCTGAGGTATATGAAAACAACACCGATAATAGTCTTTGATAAATGCAAATAATGGTTCAACATCAATCAGAAATTGCACTTAACGCTAATTAATTGAATTAATTTACTTTAACGGAGTAATAATAAACATTGCATGTAGGTTCATACCTTCATTTCATAGAGCAATTAATATTTATTCGTTTAAAATTTTTAAATGTCTCAGACATTTGAGATTTGTTTGCGTGCAACTATTTCTACACTCGAACTCAACAACAATCGACAGTATAGTAAGTGTTGCAAATTTATTAGGCAATGAAGTCTTTCATTATTTTTTTTTTCACTTCAGTTGTAGAGTGCAACAGCGCAAATGAAATCGATGTAATATATTAATTAATGTTCAACAGCTCCACAAGTCTTAAACTCTTTATAGTTATACTTTTCTTCTCTTCTCAGTGTCGCCACTCGAATTGATAATAAAAAGAATTAAAAATAAAATTTATTGTTGTGGAAGTTTTGAAAAGCACTCATGTGTTGTCTGGAAATGCTTGTTGACTCCATCAAAAGACAAATTCGTTAATGAAATTTAATGGAAGTCACTTCACATTGTCTCAAAAAGTTAAACGTTCGGCATTTGACCCACGTTAACATTCAAGGCTAATTTTATGTCATATACAATCTCTCTCTAATGTGTTCACTTCACTTTGATAAACAGATTGACTTATTCACTGTAAATGAAAACTCTAGAAGTTAAATGAAGAGAATAAAAAGCATAACCAATCTTCCGTTGATAATTCAACTCACAAGGCATGACGCCATTAAAGGATTAATTCATGAAACTTGTTCGGACTGCTTAATGATACACATTTTTATATACATCGTGAACCATCTATTTAAAATGTTTGTTTTTCTCTCCATCCTTCTTCCCCATCCATGCAACATGTTATATGTTTTTTGTCTTGTAATTATCTGCCTTTTGTTTCTCGTTCGCCCTTCTTGTTTTGTTTCTTTTCCTTACTTCTTGAAACGATAATTTTGGATTGAAAATGAAAGGCGGACGGGAAAGAATAAAGAAGAAAGAAGATGAAAATAAGAAACACGAGAATGCAAATTCCAAGCAAAAAATTCTTAGAAAATTAGAGAAGCCGGTGTTCTTTCTTGTTCAGTTCCATCTTCCGGAAAATTACAACCTATTCCCACACGAATCAGTGCTTTGAAGGCGCTGGCTTATTTAAAAGAGAGAAATATGAAATTAATTGTCAAATGGCTAATATGAATTGTAGGCTTGACGACTCTTTTTGTTGGGCACATGTCCAGACATTAAATAGATTAGCGTCGCCGGTTTTAACTTCGTGAAGAATATGGGAAAACAACAGAAGACCTTTTTTCGCTACACATGTTATACAATCAAGTTGATGTCGTTACGGTCAGGAGAATGGGAAATAACAGGGCGCCATCGTTATTCACTTTTTCGTTGACAAATTTCCCCATAACTTATTCTACCATAACCCTGACTGTGATCATTTTAAACTTTAAATCATATTTAAATTAATGTTCATAAATGTTGTTCATAAAAATTTTAACTCGCGTATTTTTATTTTATTGAGATGGAAAATATTCATGACTTCTTTATTGACTTTGAGAGTGCATTGGTGTCATTTAAGACTTTAATTTATTGAACCGGTGTGTCTGCATAATAAGGCATGTTCATATATTAGAAGATTAATTTGTTACGAATAAATGTGATTATTTTATTTGATCTCCTTCTTATCGTAATTGCATTAAAAATATTTAAGGTAATTTACAAACGGATATTTCTGAGTTCTTTAATCCGCGTTCACTTTTGTACAATGTTGTGCTAAGAAATGAAATTCATTCGATTGCTTTTTTAATGTAGATATATGAAGCCATACAAGCGACAAGCGCCAGTTTTTTTTTTGCCAGTGGCTTACTTAAATTACTTTCAATTAGCCAGTTCATACAATTGCTTTTGAAACAATAAAACAGAATTCTTAGTGGCTAGCGGTTTCTGAAACAATAACTTGGATTGAACATTACGAGTAAACTTCCAATCACGATATTAATTTCATATCAAGATGATTCAATTAATCTCATCACAAATATTTATAACGCCACTGCTTGTAGAAAAAAAAACTGTTTAGTATTTTTATTGCATAAAAAGCAGTTTAATGTTCATTCCGATGGCGCCTCGATCTGCCCGCGTGTAGTTTTTTTTTACTTAAGATTATGGCAAAAAATGCAAATTTTTATTTTTTTCCATCTCATTCAATTTGAAACAAAAAAAGATACAAAATAACTACTTAATTAGAATTCAATTCGAAAAACGCTCATCATTAGAAAGACGATTTTTTTTATTGAAACAATAGCTTGAAGCGAAATTCTGTCGATCGAGGAAAAGGAAAACGAACCCATAGAAAAAAAATTAAATAAATATTAACCTGCCTTGGCGCCTTCAGTTCCTTTCTTTTTCCCCCCGTCATTATGAACTACTTGGCGCCCCACTTATCGACTGATTTAGCAACACATTGACGACGCTGTTTGTGTTCTTTCTTCTTAATCAATTTTTGGCTAGCATTTATGATTCCCTCCAGCCGGAAGCTCGGTGTCTCCATCAAAGCTGTCATCTGTGTCTAGATTGTCGCCATGAACACACAAAATATTCATGTCAGCTTTTCCAATTGCCAATTGAGACATTTAAAACTTCATAAATTCATTTCATTTCATGATGAAAAATTAAGCAGATGAAGAAGCGAGTGCTCATAAATTTTCGTATGAAATTCTTACCGGAGAGAGTCAAAGAGAAGTGAATTTGAATAATTTCATGCGAAAAACGAAGAAAAATGTTTTTTATTTCAGTTAATAATTTAACCCAGTCAGAAATTCTTGTTTAAGATGGAGAATAATCAGGAACTGATGTCACTGAAGTTTTTAATTAATGATTTTGCTTTCTAGAAAAAAAACTTGCTTTTTCATTCTTTAACTTACCAATGATCTTATTTTATAATTAGAATACTTAGAAAAAAAGTTATTTAATGCTCTACCATCTGGGACGACATCTCGTTATACCATCATGAATCTTATTTTTTCTGTCGCTCCGTCATCCTGTTTCTGGCCGTTTAACAATCTCAATGACTCGGACACACACATTTCAACTCTTCCTTGACTGTTTGCATAAAATTAATGGCTCTATTTTTAATAAATTTTCAAGTGAAATTCATCACAACGAGAAAATGTACAAAAGGTAATAAAGGCAAAGCAAAGAATGTTGGCGAATGAGAGACGAGAATCGCAGTCGATCGATTAAGATTTTAAGACCACCCGTACCCACATAAAAGAGTGATTCTTCCATTTTTTATTTCTTTCTCTTGTTACATCTCCTGATGAGCACCAGAAAAAGCGATCAAGTCGACGGGAAAAGAAAAATCAAGAGACATGTAAAACGAACTGAAAATATTTTCATGATTTTTTAATTTTTTTTTCTGCTTTTTTGAGAAATTGACTTTCGTGTAATTTACGTTCGTCGTCGTCTTTCTTTCCATACAAGACATGGCCATATGGGACAGGTGTGCAAGAGAATAACGCAATGCATTGACCTCTCATCGCTTCGAAAGCAAACTTTCGTACCTACACCTCTGTCATTAACTGTCAGCACAATTTTTTCTTCTCGAAATTTTCTTTAAAAATCTTTTTTATCTTCTTTTCTTTTGTTTCATGAAAACCGAAAGCAGCAAAATTCAAACATGAATCAACAAACATCAGCCAAACGTAATGAGACTAAAAACAGTTTAGTGTTTATTTATTTATTCATTAACCGTAACAATTCGTTTTTATTTCAGGAATCGCTTTTCAATTCAATACAATTTTGTTTCGTTTTTAATTTAATTTAATTTTTTTGTTTCAACTTCTTTAAAGGCAATGGCACACGAGGTAACAAAAAGAATTCTACTAAACTGGTTTTCATGATGGTATTAAAGTTGATTGTAGAATTAAGTAACGATGTGAAGTATTATATCATCAGCAACATACCAATCAAGTTGAAACCTTCGATAAGATAGTAACAAAGATTCATTTTATTTTGCTTAACGAGACGATCGTCAGCCATGAAGTTAAATTAAATGTAGAAGTTGTTTTAAAATTTATCATTCGATTTCTTATCAAAGTATTAAAATCGTTTAATGTTCATTACCTGTCGTGTTATCTCATGCAATAATCAACTACGGAGACAAACAGCAAACAGAAATCCAAACTGCAAACTAATAATGCTAATAAACATTTTTTTTGCTGCAGAGATTAAAAACATGACTGGTTGTTGCAGAAAATCTCTTGCACTAACATGTTCTTCTACCATCCGAGCCTTTCGTTGTTAGACGACAACAAGATGGAAAATAAAATTGTTGCTTCTGCCACCATCGATATGAAGAAGAAAAGAAATCGTAAAAGGTCTTTGCTGTGTGACTCAGGACAAAAACATGAAGCAGAAAGCGAAGTTTGTGCCATGAATAAAAACCAGAAATTCTTACGAGCCATCCCGGCATGAAATCGAAGTTTTCTTCGTCTTTTAATTGACTTCGCTTCAAAAGTAAAATTACCAAAATGCTTGATAAAAAAATTCTCCTTTCAAAATTCTTCTCTCAGCGGTTGTACTCATATCATAAATAAATTAACGAGACGTTTGAAAAGTCGGGCTCGATCATAATGAATGATGATTATGTGGAGCGAAGAGGGAAAGAACAGAAACTCCACCATATATGTCGATAAACACATAGTCGCCCGCCAATAAACTTAATGAGTTGAAATATCTTCTGGGGTCTAAACCGTCGTTTCTCTTTGTTGTTGAATACCTAATAACAGCGTGCTGTTTAGGTTTGTATAAGCACAAATGGAGCATAAAATTATTCGAAAACTTTACTTTTATCTTCTTCTCTCTTTTATTTACTCGATCACATCGATACAACCAGAGGATGAATCATAAAAAATATTTTTAGAGTGAAATCAAAGTTAATTTTGTTTTCGTGAATATTTCAGGGATTATCTTTAACATTTGTAACTAGGCACAGATAACATGCATCGATCTTTGGATTACTGGAAATCTAATCTTTCAAGCCTCATATAACTGATTCATTAATTAAAGCTACCTAAAGATTATTATATCACAAGGCCTATGAAATATCTTCGATGATTCAGAAACCTGAAACATAATCGACGCTCATTGCCTATAGAATAAAGTAATGACCAATGTAGAAGACATACAAAACAAATAATAAATAAATAACTAATAAAAGGGGAAGCAAAAGGAATTTCGTTGAAGAAACGAAGACGATCTGAAGCAAGAAGTCAAACATAGCAGCAATGTGATGTGGGAAAAAGAAGACATTGATCATGAAGAAGACAAACTCGATCAAAAGAAGGCAATCGCAAATACATGGAAAGAGTTAAATATAAGAAAAAAAATAAGCAGCCAGCAGTTAAGAAAAGGAGAGAAGGAAAAGGAATAAAAAATATGTAAGCGCCGGGTATTTTTATGTGTTTTCTGCTTTTGTTGATGTTCTCATCGGTTGAAGATGCGTTGCTCCAACAGTATTTCCTTCTTTTTATACATAGACATCAAGAATTAATTCAGCTTACAATTGCATGTGCATTTTTCAATCATTGCCAAGTAACCGATAATGAAAAGTATTGACGTCTGTATATGACGATAGTAAAAAAATGTTTCGTGTCAAAGACATTTCAATAAACACTGAAGGCGAATGAAGTGAATCGATCAATGTTTAAGTTGTCGGGTGACCGATTTATGGTCACATGAAAGTAACCTCTCGATGGGAAAATAAAAAACGTCAATCTTCAGTGCAATCTGGTAACGTCATACAAGAAAAAAATGTGTAAACATTTAGGTGTGAGTAGACAGTCGTCCTTAGACTCATTGGAAAATATTTTAACGTTTTGTTGATTTAGTTTTTATTACTTTTCACGACTGCAATTTCCAAAGGTTTGTTTAAAATTTTGTAAGAAGATTTATGGGGATTTCCTAAGGGAATTTTCCATATTTCAAGATGTGACAATGTCCTTTGTTTTCTTGGGCTTTAAAACACAAAAATTATGCTAGAAAAAGGTTCATGATCTGGGAATTACCCATTAATCTCATCTACATACAGCAATGTAAAGTTTTTCTTAAGAATCAGTTCAAAGTACTTTGTTACAAAGAAATTTTACATTCTGGAACTTTTCTTAAATCACAACGATTAAAATTAATTATAATTTTGCTATTGCTGCTTTTAAACTCACTTTGTCGATAAAATTAAACATGCGAGACAAGTCAAGCGACCCGTGTGGCTCCATAAACTTCGTTTGTGTGTTTATAATGAAAATATCAAAATCGGAAATTGAGTCGCCACATGCATAGACAGTAGAAAATCGACTAAAGAAAATCAATAGCCAATTAAATTAACAAAAAAAATTCGGACGATTTTTATTTGTTTTTTTTTTTTACTTCTTTATTTTCATAGCAAATCATGATAATTTTAGTATTTCAGGCAATACTGTTCAAAGTTGCTTTGTGCTGTTTTGTGAATGCATAATGAATAAAATAAAGCCGAGAGTTATTTTTCAAATGACTGACCACAAAGGAGTGGCTCCACACGGCAGCACCTCGCTTTGGGGCTACTTCGAACTCTTTATGTATGACATGTGTGAATTTAGAAGGCGCCACTATTCACGATCATTACAAAAGGGATCTAAAAATAAATATCAACAACAAGACGAGTTTATATACATTTTATATTTTGCTATTTTCGAGGCGAATCGTTTCCGAAATGAATTGAAAAGCTCAAGTTGTTAGCACGTTCATTATTTGCAAGCGATGCCCATATGGCGAGGAAACAGAAACGACGCGACACTCTGAGACCCGACAAATTGCATTCGTAAATATTTGAAATAACTTTTTTTTGTCATGAAGGCGATCGAAAGCAATGAAATAATTAATGTAAAGTCAGCAGATATCGTTGCTAATCAAGTGGAAAAATCAATATTCACATCGTAGCGAATCGAAGGCTGTTGGGTGAGAAATGCAATCATGTCGATGCTCGTAACCGTCCAAATATGTGTTCATGAAATCAACTTATTTATAAGCGCCAGTGATTTTTTTCAACTCATCCAAATTCAAAATCAACATTCAGCAAAGGTAGTTGTTGAAATAATTATTTGCACAGCGTAATGTACACATAAAATTTGTTTAAATATTTGCACTAAAAATGTTAATAAATATTCGAACGAAAAATGACACTAAATTGAGAAATTTGCAAAAAAAAATTAATATGATCAGATGGACGGGCGCTTAGAACGATAATTGCATTTTTAAGTGACATAGATTTATGATCGACATCATTGATGACATTGTGACGTGTGGTAAATATAACTAACTATGGCTTTGGGACATTTTTTTTCAGCAAAGCTTATACAATAGATTAAGCAGACGATCATTTATTTTCTGGCATTCTTAAAGACAACTGTCCATTGATGATATTCAAATTTAATGTAAACGATTTTCTTATCATCATCCAATTTAATAAGTTGCACATTTTGAATGCCAAGTCAATGATTTAAGACAATGGTGAAGTTTAGCTCTTTTTTTGCGGTCAAGAATGACTCAAGAAACTGGTTTGCTGACTTTGTACAAGTTTGTCGAGTTTTTTGTTTTGCTTCCTTCTCTTCCCCTTCTACTAAATAGAAGCTCGAGAGTCGTTTAAAGAAAAGTTGAAGGTATAGAAATAAACAGAAGATATTTATTTAGTAGACTAATTGATTTTATGTTCTTATCTGCATGTTGGAAATATTTTGTTTCTCACTGAATGATAATTGCATTCGACAAGACGGGAATCATTGACAAGTTGGGGTATTTAAGCAGAGATCTTCAAAGATCAAAGAAATGATTTCAATTTCGAGAAACTTTCAAGCTGAAAAGGTAAATTCACATTCGCTCTCTTCCAAAGAACATTTTTGTTTGTTTTTCTCGGTATTTTGTTTTGTGTTTCCCTTGTAGACTTGTTATCTTCTTTCCTTAATCGCATTTTCATGAAATTCAAGCCCTCAGACGAAGATTGAAAGGAAACAACATAAGAAAGTCGTGAATGAAACATCAAAATTGGAACTGATGAAATGTATGTCGTCTCCTAATTGCCTTAAATATAGAAAAGGATCTTTTCATATTTCAACATCTTCCAAGTGTCTTTCACCCTTCTTAAGTTCAACATCTCGTCTTGAACTATTCGATAGTAGAAAAGGTTAATGATGCAAGTGTGTGATGCTTATTAAGATCCTTCTACGGCGGCTACTGCGAAGTCACACATCTACACACAAATATTTAGTTAATGGCGCCTACTTTCGGTTGTTAATGTCTGCATCCTACTTCAAGGAACAGCATGTGTTCAACGTCTCGAATTAGAAAAAGAATGAACTTGGATCGTCTTCGTCCTTTTGTTGTATAAAGCCAAAGAAGAAAGACGAAAAAAAAACGAATAGTTGAAGCCTCAAAGTAATTTCGTGCTCGCCTCTTTTTTGTGTACCGATCATTATGTAATTTTCCCTTCGAGTGATTTCTAAAGAATTCCTTCAAAGTCTTCTTGCGCAAAATGAAAAAGAGAAAAAAAATCGGCAATAAAAAACAACTACGATGATCAAGAACCAACACAGCGACGATCATGAGAAAATGATGATGTCTCGAGGGCTGATTCGTGAGCAAGAGTTTTGTAATAAATGCTTGGTGCATTTTAATTGACGCTGACATGAACAATCGTCTAGGCGCCTCATTCCTTCACAACGTTTTTTATGACTCACTTTCAGCTTGCGGCTTCGATGATCTAAGACCATTATTCATTCAACTAAGTATTCATCTGATAAACAAAAGAGCGACTTCACGAGTCGCCAAAGCTGTTTTATTTCAGTAAATTTTATTATCACACCGCAGACTACAAAAAAGCTTCTTCTTCCTCATCTTTTCTTTTATCGCTGAACTCTTCAAGAGGCTTGACATTAAAAATATATTTACTTAATGGAAACCCGAAAAGTCAAAACTTTTTCTTTTTCTTTCTTATTTGAAATGCATTTCATCAAATGTTTGCATTTCATGGCGCTACAATTTCTTACGCCCGTTGTTAATGTTCACTTAAATATTTTATCAATAATAAATATCTGAAGCACACTCAAGATTGCATTTTGCTGCGAAAACATAATAAATATTTTCTTCACATTTTTGATTTTTTTTTTCTTTATTTGTTATTGGTCAACAAGAGAAATAAAGTGTGTTTAATTTATTTCTCACTATTGACATGAAAAGAAGAGAAAAAAGTGTCGCTTAAGTGTCATCTTCAAGTATATAATAAATCGTTCTTTAAACTTGCTGCCTTGCCATCTTGACGACTGCATTGTAAATTAAAGATAAGACGACAGCTTGAATTTCGTATACAGTGGATGTCTCTTGATTACTTCTTCAGCCATTTGTCTGAAGTGGCGCGTCGCGTCTCTGTGTTCACTGATAAAGGAAATATTTGATGTCAGTAGTCAAACGATAAAAGCTTTTCCTGTAAATATAGCGCCAGAGGCAATTAAAATGACATTTCTGTATCAATATTTTCCTTATTTGTTTTCGACTTCATAAAGTGCATTCCAGACACAAGAAGAGGGCATTTTAAGTGCATTAATAAATAAGCAAAAGGTATTAATTACATGCATCCATTGAACGAAACTCTTCACCCCGAAAAAGAGTTTCACTGGTTATTTACATACTTTGTCATTGGGATACGTAAAGACAGTCAATAAGTTAATTTATTTGCCTTATAAAGGCAAATTGTTCACAAATCGAGAAGAATGTAAATTATCAATCTTCTGATGCCATCATCTCACTCTTTTGCTAAAGTCTCATCTCTGTCTCCTTTTTATAAAGTCGATTGGCGTCATCGAATCAATTTATTATTACCAAGTTGAAAGAAGTCGAAAGAAGTAATAATAAACAACAAAACAAGTCATCAATTGAATGAAAGAAGATGGAAAACAAAACTTTTTTTTCTGTCTCTATATTTAAATAAATTAAAACTTTTACGACTGTGCGAGCTTCCTTTGCACTCTGATGCAAAAACATTTATTAAATCGAACGGTGGATGAAATGAAAGAGAAAATAATTTTTTATGATCTCGAACCCAACTCGACTCCCTATCGACATTTATCTTCTCTTATTTTCAAACTATTTGTCTGCAGCAGCTTTCAATGATGCACGGCGCTTTGCCTCAGCGAATAATAAGAATAAAAAGTCAGGAATGAGATAAAAAAAAACTCACACATTCATCATCAGATTCATTCATCTTCGGCGTCCATAATTTTTCTGCAAACATTTTCATGTTTTTATTTTATAAAAAAATTATCTCAAATTAACATAAGTAATTTTATTTTTGAGTTATGGTGTTGCCAGCGATGAGTGAGCTTAAATATTTTTTTAGTTAAGTGACTTTGAATAATGATCATGTAACATCATTCACATTTTAATGATTATTATGTAGAATCTTCTTTTTCTTATGATGCATGAGATTTTTATTTTCGGGGGTATGTAATCAAAATTCAATGGCTTATAATGCACGGATTGTTATGCGATTATTTCTTCGTCGTTGCTTGTGAAATCTTCAACAACAATTCACGAGAGTTCTTTTACTTTCATGTTATTTCTCTTCCTCTCTCACTCTTCGTTTATGCCTTGAAGGATGAAGTCCATTATCTTAATAACAGGCCACTCTGCCGAAATGAAAAATAACGATCTACACAAAGGTAAGGAGAAGAGAAAGAAGAAGATGAAGAAGAAGGAGAAATGAGCTCCACAGCATGGTTCTCCAATCATTTTAATGTCGATTTGAAAAAGAAAAGTGCATTGAGATGTTTTGGGAATGCTCCACGCTTATTGATGTTCTTATAAGATTCGAATTTTTAAGGATCAACAGGAAATTAATAATAAATTAATTTTGAAATCAATAACTTGATAATTGAAATTTGAAAGCATTTTTTCTTCTTTTCTTATCATTGTTAAAAAGCTGAGAATGAAACTCTCAACTTTAGCGTTCAGTTGATGAAGGTAGCAAACGCTTTGTGTTTGCACAAAATTGAAAACATGAAAAATGAGACGATGAAAGGCGCAGCAAAGAAACGACTATCATTTTGTTTAACTTTGAAGAAGTCAAAGACTTAAGATCGTTCCATCGATATTGTACTTGGTGCCTAAAGTGAAATTTGCTTTTTTTTGTTTTCTTTGAGCGAAGAAGATTTATCTACTTCAACTTTAATAATAATGAGATGGTTGTGTACATCAAATGAGAATGCAATTTAATTATAGATGGTTTGCGAATCGATTGCGAAAACAAATATGCATTTAAAATGTCTGTTAGGTCGTCGAACGCTTATGATAACAAATTGGTTCCAAAATCATCATCAGAAAATGCATCGGTTACTCCCTTCAGGCTATTTATTACGCTTCTTTTCAAACACACATATCATTTCATATCACGATTCGTTTAAATTCTTTTTTAACCTGCTTTAAAAAATTATCGCAAGTACCTTTAATTATATTTTCCGAAAGCGGCAATTTTCCCAGCTACGTACGAAATAAATTACAAATTTTCTTCAATTATTCACCGCAAAGTAAATTTACGGTCGACAAGCGATGCGATCGTGGAATTATTTAATTATTTTGCGGCATTTCCCGTCTGATGAGCTTATGACTTTAATTACGCCTGTTGCAAAAAAGAAACATTAACAAGTTATCGAGTCTCGAAGTCATCCTAATTGCAGCTTTCCTGTCAACTCAACCACAACAATTGATTAATCAGCTTAAGATAACGGATCGAAAATATGAATAAATAACAACGAAATTAATGCTGCATGTCATTATCGATCGTCGGGTCGTTCGTTCTTTGCAAAAGAAAAGGTACCGAGTCTGTAATAAAACTGACGATAATTCTTTTGTTGTTTCATGATTGAGACGGGAATCGCTTTAGCGCCAATCTGGCCTTGTTTCTGTGTACAACTCAGAGTTTGACTCAGTCGTGTCGTCTATAAAAATTGCTTTTTATTGCAATCATTAACTGACATCATTCGTTTTTTTTCGGCCACGTCTCTTGCATGAAAGAATAAGTAAGAAGCGAATGGAAGAAAAAAAATCGAATAAAGTCAACAATAATATTGAGACAGTCACCGCCAACCGACCGACAAGTCATAAAAATACAATTTTTTTTCTTCTTTTTCTTGTATTTACTAAAAAAAAACAATCATTTTGAGATTAATATGAGATGCTTCGTCGGCTTGTTTCTCTGGTGTCTTTGTAGCAACTTAGTCTCAAAAATTGTGATGAAATTAATGTCATGTTTCTGTTGGCAGAACAACTCAATAATTTACTCTCCAGCTTCTGATCGCATGAAACCAAATTGGTTTACGAAATTCTTTTCCTATTTGGAAAATGATGTTTGCTCAAGCTTCTCAAAATATATAAAAATAAAATATTTGATTTCTTAAAAAGAATCACCGTCTATTAGGTCATTTGATGATTGAAAGATTGTGTCATAAATTAAAATTATTCTCCTTGAATATTTCCATCAAGCAGCAATTAATATGACGTCACCTTTAAATTATGTCATCTCGAGTCGAAATTTATACTAAAAACCAATTTAAAAGAAATCCAATGCTGGAAGTTGAAACAACATGAAGCGAAGAAATATCAATTAGCAATAAATTTCATCAAAATGAGATATTTTAAGAGACACTCAGACTAAAAAGCTAGCAGCATAATAAAGGATAATTATCATGGCGGTTGATTATGATGGACAATAATATTATATAACCCAGCAGTTTGCCGTCGTCTAAGAATCGACGCAGTCGACTGATCAAAAACCAGTGAGAAAATTATACAGGTGGAGTGGTTTAGTCAGACGCCAATGTAAAACATTTTTTATTATTGTCTTCCGACAGACATTGTTCTCTGCTTACCACCAACATGAATCACCAATTAACCGGTTTTGTTTTTGTTGAACTCTTGCCTTGGACCTACATTATACATCGAAATAAATCGAGGATATTTAACTCAATATCACATTCACATCAATCAACTAACCGACACTATATGCATCGTTCATTCTTTCGAATGCTTTTTGCAGCTAGCGATGACAGAAGACTCTGTCATCGCTCTGTTAAATGATCAACAAACTATTCAAGTCTATTTCAACAGATAGAATTCTTTTATTTTTTATACTTTTTATGTGACTCGTTTTATTTACTTTTAAACTATCCTGAAGCGAATTTATTTTTAACGAGAAGTTTTGAAAACACTTTTGCGTGTAAACTGCATTGCAAAACTATTTTACGTAATAAGAAGAAGTTGTACAGGAAAGCGACTTGTCGAATGGAGATAAATTAAGTGAGAAATAAGACTAAATGTTGCACGACTTTCAACTGTCGTCGTTTTATTATTAAAAATGTAAAAGTTAAGAGGAAAAATCTTGTCTTTTTGATAAGCTTGAGAAGGAAGCAGTAAATTTTCAATATCAAGATAAGCGAAGTTACAATGAAAGGATGTGAGAAAACGGAAATCAATAGAAATGAACGAATGACCAGGACACGAACGTATGAAAAGGATGTTTTTGTGTGACTTTTCAACATAAATTAGAACTGAGAGATTAATTCAATAATGTGACTTTAACAAGTCTTGAAAGTTTATGACTTTTTTAAGAGTCAAATAAATGCTGTTTTATGACAGAAAAGCTTGAATAAATATAAAAATACGCATGTTATTCATTAAATTTATCGTTTCAGCATCCATTAAAAAAACTTCATTTCAAATCTTTATTAAAAAAATATGATTTCAGTTTGACTTTTCGACTTTATGCTAATTACTCTGCATTATTAAAACCTTGATTCTACTAAGCTTGTTCGTTTTACTGACTGCACAATTTCCCGTCGAACCATTGAGTTTGCTGCTATAAAACGTAAATTTTAATCGCACTGCATACGGACATGGCATTCATATTCATTTAAAGATTTGCATACGTGAAAAGAAGTGAGAAGAACGAGAAATGATCTCAGGCGCCAGCTGAATAAAGCACAACAACAAAGTCATTAGCACTGCATGAAAAGCGCTAACCGTAATGAAATAAATTATTCAGAATTGTAATCGTGATTTGAAGAAAAATTATTACATTTGTTGTCAGCTTCGTCGGTCGTTCGGTCGAGCTTGGCGATTTGTTTAATTTATTTCAACTCTTTCATGCACGAGAGAGACATTCAATTGTTATTTCAGCTCAAAATAAAGACTATTAGCACAAATCGCAATTGCTAACTGAAGCTAATTTATGTTGGCAGAAATGAGTCGCTTTAGCATCGTTTGACGATTGTTAAGTTAATGCGATAATCATAAGCACAAAGTGCAAGAAAAATTTGTAAGTACTTCGACTTGATTTACATTCTTAGAATGTCAAAGTGAATTAAGAAGTTATTTCGATCGTTAATTAACGTCAAACAAGCGCCGACTTTTCGTCTTGTTTCCCTTGATCGTACAAACGTCGAGGGAATTTAAACAGCAAAGATGAGAATGAGTTATTTGTGGATTGACTTGAAAACATCTTAATTTTAGTTTATGGGATTTCATTTATTTTCGGAGTGATTAATCTTCAATAATAAAAAGAGTGAAAGAGAAATTTGGGTGAAGAAATTAAGAGCTTAAATTGTTATTAAACTTTTGAAAAATTCACGAACACATGAAGTCTTAAAATGACATTTTTTTCTTCTTGAAAATATTTTTGATTACTTGGATATCTCTAAAACCACACAAAATAAATTCTTCGCCACAGCACTTGTTTGAAAGAATGTCAATGTTGGTGTCATCGCGGAATCACAAAACTGAGAGAGGTTTAAAAGATTCTCGTCTGTTTCTAATATGAAACATTGTCGATGAAATGAATACCAGACGTGTTAAAGAAGTTTGAAAATGATCGAATTTCCCAGAAAATCTTTTTATTTCAAATACATTTCCAGCATTAAGTAAAAGAATAAAATAATTAAAATTGTCTCCCTCTACGATCCCTAAAATAGCAAACGAACTCACATTCACATTTCATTCTCAATTCTAAGATCGTCGATGTTTTATTAGTTAGTTATTTCTTCCGAAGCGCACTCGGGGATATCTACGAACAAATTTAATGTATTTGACTTTAATTAACAAAAAAAAATTCTTTTTTTCTTTCCTCAACTTGGCGCCATAGCTAATAATAGATTGCACAAAAGTGTTTATTTTCCACTTTATTTTTAATTTACCCTTTTTTTCCTCTGATCAAGCGCTGCTTGTAAATTGAAACGATTTCACTTTTTTCTCGTCTTAAAAATATAAAAAAAATTTCCTAAAACTTTTCTCGTTTTTCTTTTTCACTCGTGCGAGGCGCCTCGCCTTTTTCCCGTGAGCGATCTTTTCGATGAATTTTCAATTTTTATGAAGTGGAAAAGACTTTCTAACGTAATTCATCTAAAATTATGAGTTTTGTGTCCCAAATTTCCAATATTTTCCTCGTGTTTAATACTTGGGTGAATACTTAAATTGTTTTCTCTTCAATTTTCTTTTTCGCTAGTAAGTTTCACACGCATGTACAACTTAGAACCAAAATAAACAAGACACGGCTTATAAAAAGAGAGTACGGGCGATTGAAAATATTCCGGGAATTACTGACTCAGATTTAAGTTTTATGAAATTATTTTAACGAGTTCTGACGTAAAATCTCTCTCAGTATGAAGAGTGAAAGGAAAATCATTTGTAGACAGAAGTCTTGCGGTTTTTCTTTAAGATTTAAAACTCCCCTGCGGCTTGATCGTTTTTCTTGTGATCTTTTAAGTTTCTTAAATATAATTTACAAGATTTTTAACGACTTTAACAAGCACTTACCACAATTAAGATGTTTCGACAACTGTTTAAACTTCTTCACTTTGAGATATTTCAATAACTTTTTAAACTTTAACTTCCGACATATAAATTTCCAAATGAATTTTTCCATTCACGTAAATTTTTTGTTTAAATTTTACCAAGTGAACAATGCACATGAATTTTTCGTTGAAAACTAAATTTCACCGCAGATACGACGTCTTTTATATAGCCATCATCATCCATGTGCTTCATTGTGCAAACTAGTTGGGGGTGGATTTGGATGGAAAATGTGTGCTTTTCTTTTATGCGGCGCCGAAGGGTGGAAATGGTTTGTTTACAAATTTTCGTGGAATTTTCCAAACTTTTCTCTCAAAGATGATAAAACCGAGAGAGTATTGAGAAGAATTCGTTATCAAAACACGAATGGAACCATCCGAGATGAAAGCATAACCATTCGGCTTTACCGCGACATCAACAGCAGCTTTATGAATAAGAGAAACATGCTTCGGGTATTTACGATTTTACTACGAAGCGTAGAAGATTTTACTACAATGAGAAGAACTTTGAATGGCACCAATTTTATTTGTTGAGAATTGAATCAAATGTGCTTCGTTTAAAATCGAGAGAATGAATTCGACGATGATTCATTCAATAAAAAAATTCCATCGGATTGCAATCGTGAAAAACTTCGCATAAGAAATTTTAAAACCAACTCACTCCGTTTTCCCCGACCATGACTAAATTTGCTAACCTTAACATTGAAATGTTGAAATCGAGCAACAGTCGCAGCAGGTGCGCGAAAATTTTCCACACAATTTTTCTTCAACTTTTCACAGTTCATGTTTATGACGCCTTAGGATTGTAGATGAGCTCATTAAAAAATCAACTAATGTCAACGATCGTTGGACGCTTTCCAAAATGTCAACCTGAATCTTTCGTTTCGACTCTAAATTTCCGCTAATTATTAAGTAGAAGATTATCACTTTAAGCGTGTTGTTTCATTTTTTTAAAATCATTTTTTGAAAAATTTATTAATGCGGATATGAAAGTTGCAAAGATTGAGATGTTTTTTACTTACCAGCTAGCATTGGAGCCAGTGGAATGGTTGGCAAACCACAGGAATTCGATGTTTCCAACAACAGAATTCCGGCTTCCTGTTAAGAAGCCAACAAACTTTTTTCTTTCATCTCTTCACTCCCTTTAACGTCTCATGCAATCCAAGAAACGATCAAGTCATTTATGTTTATGATATTTTAATAACGAAAGAAATTAAATATTTTGGCTCCATGATACTTTCAAATCTCCTTTCGCCCCCAAACAATATCTCCCCTCGAATAAATATACAGAAAAAATATAAAATATGAAAAAACTTAACCAAATGTCGCCAAGCCAAAGCGTCGAGACAAGTATGAAGAGTCGACTAGAAGGCTGACGACATCTCTGATGATGTTTTTTTTAAAACACAAAAGCAGTTCAGCAGTCATTTATATCAAACAGCGAGCCACGCTGATCTGTTTTTTTTTTCATTTCTTCCTTTCCTCCCAACTCTTTGATCTAAATTGTGAAAGGAAAACATTATCTTTAGTGAGTTCTTTATGACATGTTTCACGGCTGTCATCTAACAGTAAATAATATTCCAATTAATCGGCAATATCAATTCATGTTTGTGACATCTACACGTTCATTCAACTTCTTCATTATGAAGTTATTATAGCAACACAAAATGCGATGTTTTTAACTAAACATTTCCCTCACCCTTCAGCTTTTACACTCATCGTATTCTCATATATGCCGAGTCAAAGATTTTCCATTAAATATGACATACATAAAAAGAACTATGACGACAAAATGTATACAAAACACATTAATTCGCCGTCTATTTTGGGCGCCAAACAATTTTTTTCTCTTTTTTTCGGTATAAATTTTCATTTGATTCCATTTTCGTCGATTCGATTAACCACTTCTTTGCACCCTCTTCATGAAAAAAAGGCAAGCGGTGTGACGCCGAAACTGAAAGAAAAAGCCGGGAAGTTGATCAATTTGTAAACTATTTTTCATGCACAAATTTCATAAATCATTAGGCACATAAATATGCTATTTATGTTTTCCTTTCTCTTCGTATGCTTGTATAAACACAAGTCATCGCTACTTCATTCTTTTTAGAAACAAACCGCGAGCGTGCGAAGCCATCAAACTCAAGAGTTACTACACAATATTTCTCATTATTTATGAGATTGGAGGGGTGACGCTTCCAAGGAGGGAATCAATTCGGAATTGAAAACGGAAAAGGAAAATCAAACAGGACATAAACTTTATGAGTTTGTATTGTTTTTCATCCCTGATTTTACTCGAATCATTAATACATAAATAAAAGGGGGAATGAGTTTCTAAATCATCACTTTCATCGGCGCCCTGATGAACCCCCGCAGACCGAAATAATTTTCCCGCCAAAATGTGTCATTGGTCGACGCCACTCGATTTCCATTTCGATGCCTGAATAATAAAAATGATGAAACATGAGTCGTTTGTGTGGAGTCAATATCGGCACTGAACGCTGAGTAAAAATCTTGAGAAGAAGACTGGCGCTGGCCGATAGACGACGACGACAACGGCAACGAGGAAAATTTTTCTCCCTTTCTTGTCTCTCGGATTTTTCCTCGAAACTTCGGGTGGTGGAAAATTTCTTTCTCTCGTTTTCCATTTCTTTTCAATGAGCTTGCAGATTTTCTTCATCATCGGTGTTTATGTTGTTGCTTTTATTTTTGCTCGCCTTGATTAGTGTTAAGAGTAACAACATCAACAATAAGAAGAATGGAAAAGGAAAATGCATGGAAAATAAATGCTTTGGAAATTTATTTGATAAACGACACGATTTGCTTTTTACTATGTTTAAGAGTTGTGCGATAGATGAAGGAAGTAGCCCAATTTGCATAATTGCATGTCAAGTACATGAAAATTTATTAGCTTGACCCTTGTGATGAATGCTTTCATGTCAGCAGTTGCTGCAATTCCTGCTGTTTTTGCCTCGCTTAATCTTCTTAATTATGAAGTCAAGTCAACTTTAATCAAGAAACAAATGTCACATAATGATGGATTGGTCATAAAACTTATTAAGTTTGATGCTTTGTCGAGTGTGAAGTCATCGAATCATTTAAAAATAAGTTGAATATCAAAAGACCAGTGAAAAAAGACAACGAAAAGCAAATTTCAATTCAAATATTTGCCTAACTCAACAGGTTGATTTGATGACAACAATGAGAAGCTTAATAGGATGAATAAACAAAAAAGCGAGAAATGACACAAAAGCTCGATTATAACATTTGAATCTGATTATTCGAATCATAAAAGCTGTACGAAAGCTTATAAAATATTCAGATAAAAATCTTCTTGTTATTCAAAACTCGCGTCTTTTAAAGAAATCACCAAATAAAAAGGAAAATGAAATCGAACGCAGAACGATAATGTAAACATTTGAACATTAATCAGTGTAGCTTTTATTATTTTATCTGTTTTTATCTTTTTCACATGAAAATCGTTAGAAACACATGTCAATTGTCAATTGAAATTTAAAGACGAAATTCGTTGTCTGTAATAATTTTTTTAAGGAAACAGAAATACATATTTTCACTTTTATTGAATTTTGAAACGACTTTTTTAATTCATTAAACTGGTACACACTTGAGAACTTTAGATGATTCTGTTGGGATGAAATAAAATTAATTGTAATAAAATTAAATACCTTTCAAAGCTTTTTTTTTTCGTAATTACCGCTTGGACAGTTTTCATATTTAGGGCAGCATTCTCCTTCTACTTTAACTTCTGTACATTCAGAGGCATTTGCAGGTATGTCGCAAATTACATCATCGAGTTTTTCGAAAATTCCCCAATAGCATGCGTACTTTTCACACCCTATCCCATTGAATGGACCAAGTAAGATATCTTGTACTTCAAACCATTGACCATTGAATCTGCATGGTTCGCTGCAAAAAAAAATTATTTAGCTTTCATCCTAAGGATTTTAAGCAAACTTACGGTGTTGCGTTAGCAAGAGCGATGATGCTTGTCACGAAAAGTTTACGAAAATGATTTTATTCATCTTTCAACCTTAGCTTGATACTGTGAACTTAAAAGACGATCTTCGAATCATTTATCTTTATTTAAGAAAAGTTTTCCCCTTTTTACATACAGAAACAATGAGAATTTAAGTGGGGCGAGAAACATCACATCTGTTTTTTTAATATCTACAAACTGTTTATTAAATGACTTCTTATCTCTACAGTTCTAAACTTCTTTACGATATTATGAGAATGTATGACATTTGAGCTTTTTCTGCTTTTATAAATGTCATGAGTATCTCGCTATTCTACAATAAAAAAATTAGAATAAGATGGGAAAGCTTTTAATGAAATTTCCTATAAATTTCTCATAATTTCTGACCAAATGTTCAAAGTAAAAGTTAATCATTATTCTAAATGAAACGAAAAATCAAAAGCTCCTTCTGAAACTTTCACATTAAATAGCATGAAAGGGATTTATGAGTCATTTTAGTGATTCAGGACATTTGACTTCAACATCAAGCTGCCTAATCACACATTATGGAGAACTAGAATTGCTTAGTGAAATTTATGAAGTTCTTAACTAGCACGCAGTAAAGATTATTGAATAACAAACATTTTCTTAAATGACTTTTAAAGAACATTGACATTACGTACAAAGTTTATTATTGTTTAATTAATCGTGAGTCAATTAAGCAAATATGTAAGTGGATATGACTGTTTTGCGATAAAAACATACTTGGAAACGTGGTTATTGATTGTATTGAAGCTTTTCCTACAAAGTTCATTAGCAACAAAAGTTATTTGATATTACTGGCCTTGAACATTTTAAAACTTTCATCTGATGAAGAAATCGAAACAAAACATCAGAGAAACAATTTTGTCGTGAATTAAACAATTTTATTGAATCTCAGAATAAATTTGATTTTTTTAATTCCTTACAAAAACACATTTTTTTGTTTGAGGCACGTGATTCGTGATTTCTGTGACAAAATAATGTAATTAGACAAAAATTGTTAGATTACTTAGTTTTTCAATTACCTGTGCAAAGATATTTGGGACAACATTTATTTGGAGTAAATTCTTTCGGACATGAAGGAATCGGTGGTGGATCGCAGTCAATAAAGTATTTAGGTTGGATTTGGGCATTCTTGCACCAGTAGACATAACATCCTGTATCTTCATATGGGCCGGTGTAAACGTAATCCTCATCTTCATAAGTTTTATCATCATAAAAGCATATTTGTTGAGGAATTACATCTTTAAAATAGAATTTATTGCGTTAATTATCATTCAATTGACTTTACGACTAATTCACTAATCACCAGGCGGATCCCTTGCAAATGCACTAAATAAATGAAAAAAAAATAAAATTTTCTAGTTTTCTTTCATGTAAACTTTAATAAACTTACACGTTGGCTAAAGCACAAAGAAATATTGGAATGATTGTATTCATCCTTTAATTGTTGTTTGGTTCTGACTAGCTTAATTGCGAGTTTTCAAGTTTTATTCTTATTTTGACAAACACATTTGGTGGAGGTAAAATTTCCTTATTTATTTCAATACAAGCATAAAAAATATGAAAAAGAATTAATATGCAAATAGAATTTAATTCCCCTCATTATTTCAATATATTCCAATTCTGTTATAATTCCAACACATAGATAAGCAAAAATAGTAGATTCACCAAAACTAAAGTATAAAATCAAAAATTTGAAATGAATAAAAGAATTAGACTCGTTTAGCTATTAGCTTGAAGTTCTTCATCAGCATTACGAATTGGTCAGTCAAATAAATTACCAATTTAATGAAAACTGCTTCAACATTACTCAAGTAAGAAGACATGAGTTGCCTCAATTAAATTTAATCCTTTACCACCAACCACAAGTTGAAAAGCTTTAATTTGACATCTTTAGAAAAGTTTCTAAAATCTTAAATTTGTTTACTAAAACTTTGTGTTTGTTATTCAAAACTCGCGTCTGTTTTAGAAATCACCAAATAAAAAGGAAAATAAAATCTTTCAAATTTTATCTTTGGCGCAACGCAAACATTTATTCATCATCATCGCAGCCGAGAAGCCTGGCAGCAGCTGAAATGGCTTAGTAATCTACAAGAGAAATGCAGCTCACATCTAATGTCGCACTTACAGCCATTGGAGACGATAATTTTGATTGGCAAGAAAAGCAAAGACAAACAGAATTATCATTATTGAATACGAGACACAAAGACTGAATAAATAAAGTAATAAACTATAATCGAGTCCAAAAACCTATAAAATGAAAGAGTTTAGGAGACTTAACGTCTTTTCACAGCATCAGTTTAGTTAAATGAGTTTATGGCAACATTTGAGTTCAACCAGCTCGTCTTCCAACCAACCATCTTCTTGAGATCTCCACAAAGTCTCTTAAAATAATCTGAATCGAAGCCAAACTGACAAGATGCATGCTTATCTTAATATTGTTTGTGAAAAGCTCATTTTCTCCACCAAAATAAGATTTTCCTGTGAGAAAAGGAAACAATAAAGGCGTCAAAGGGACGGAAAAAGGTTTGGAAAGGGAAACAATCGGCCAGAAATAAAAAAATGCGAAAAGGAAAATAAAAACTCACTCACTTATTTGTTGACGATGAAATTGATGGAGACATGATGTATAGAATGTTTGTCGTCAAACGACTTTGATGGCTTTTCATGCTGCTTGATGGGTTAAAGACAGAAAAAGAAAAAAAATTAAACGAGAAGTTCATTAAAATAAATTGACTTGGTTTAGTGTCAAAGATGCAAGAATATTGAAAAATCAACAAGCGGTGCAGTTTATGACCGAACAGATCCATATGCGATGCTTGTTCATTAAGTCAATGCGGTTTACGACGTCACTAAACATTCGTTTCTCATGAGACGTTTAATTTATGTATTTTTGAAGTTTTATTCAGATCATCTAAATGATTTGACTGACACAAAAAAAAAGTCTCATTCCCTTCAATGATCATAAATTCTGATCGAGTAGACTTGCAATTATGCAAATTGCCTTCTTACATCTCTTTCAATTTACATAACAGCAAAAAAAGAATTAAAAAGAATTGAAAGGGAGGAAAATAAAAAAATGAAGGAAATCGTGTCGTTTATCAAATAAATTTCCAAAGCATTTATTTTCCATGCATTTTCCTTTTCCATTCTTCTTATTGTTGATGTTGTTACTCTTAACACTAATCAAGACGAGCAAATATAAAAGCAACAACATAAACACCGATGATGAAGAAAATCTGCAAGCTCATTGAAAAGAAATGGAAAACGAGAGAAAGAAATTTTCCACCACCCGAAGTTTCGAGGAAAAATCCGAGAGACAAGAAAGGGAGAAAAATTTCCTCGTTGCCGTTGTCGTCGTCGTCTATCGGCCAGCGCCCGTCTTCTTCTCAAGACTTTTACTCAGCGTTCAGTGCCGATATTGACTCCACACAAACGACTCATGTTTCATCATTTTTATTATTCAGGCATCGAAATGGAAATCGAGTGGCGTCGACCAATGACACATTTTGGCGGGAAAGCTTTTTTTTCTAAGCGAAATGTTGTTGGCGATCATTAATGAAGTGGTTTATGTCGCATAGATAAGTTCGAGGCATGTCTCTTAATCATAGTCAAATTATTTTAATAAACTCTTTTTCTTTCCACAATCCAAATAAATATCTGGCAATCAAAGTTATTTGTCGTCAAATATTCTATACATCGTGTCTCCATCAACTTTCTTTCTAGACAAATGTTCAAAAGCTCAGCTTTTGTTGTCTCACAAGAATATTTGTTGGTCCATTGTTTCGTTCCTCAAACCTTTCTCAAATCATTCTCGTCTTATTGTCGCCCTTATTCAAACTTTCTACCAGCAAAACATCTTTTGAAATAATTTTAAGCTGATTTTTAGAAATTTTCTTTTTAAAATCTTTTGTGAAATTATGAAGTTTTCATGCGATAATTAAAGTGTTGATTTGGTTATCATTGAGAGTTTAATGCTTTGCATTGGGCAATCAAAATTTCGAAGCAAACTTACTCATCAATTAAAAATAAATAAAACAAATAAATTTATTAATATCAAATTATCTATCACGATTTTATTAAAATATTTCAACCCCACAATATTCTATCAAAAATCTGATCTCACTGGAATGTTATCAAAATATCAATTTCCCTGTCACATCTTTCAAACTCCTAAATCACCAAAATTTGAACTAAAAAATTTAAGAAAGTTTTACAGATTGCTGGGAATCTAAATAAAAGTTTTCATGTCACTATAATTAAAAAAAATATAATTCTAAAAAAATTTTTGTTCTGATCTTTAGTTCTGACGTTCCATCATAGCTCGAGCCATTTCACGATATCTTTCAAGCATCGGCTCGTAGATCTCTCCACATAAACCATTAGGTAATGCAACTCGTTGTAAATCCTTATCACAAAATTGCTTAATGAATTCGTGATAACTTTTGTACTTGTCACCAGCTTTTTTTGAAGCTTCAAGATAAACGACATATCTTGCACGATAAGCAGCTCCCAGACAAGCTGATTCCGGAGTTTTCTTGATATAAACCGGACAATCAAAAACATCGGCCATAACTTTCAAAATCGATTTATTCAAACTTGAGCCTCCTGTTGCAATGATCTTCGCGTTACCACCAAAATTGAATCCCATATCCAAAGCAAAAGCTTTTCTATTTAACATTTGTCCCTCAATCAAAGCCCGAATTTCTATTTGTTGTGATGGAAATTGAACTTTTTCGTCTTTCTTTTGCTTATGATTGTCATAATTGTCAGTTGGTGACCATCTTAATGATCCAGCACTTACAAATGGCAAAATTTCGTGAGATAAGTAATGAAGTGCCATATAACCGAAATTTCCATGTGGTGCTAATTCCAAAAGTTCTGAAAACTTCACCCAACTGTCATTCGCTTCCGACTTCTTGAAAGTATCACGGACATGCGAACCATTTTTGAAGCAAAGTAAACCCATGAAATGTTCATCTTTCGTTGGATGAATCAGCACGTGACCATGTTCTAACAATGGAGGATTGTCAAGTGACATAATGATCGTGTCAGATGTTCCTAAAGAGAATGCTAAACATTCATCGTCTAAATTAAGTCCCGACAATGCTGAACAATTGTCACCAGTGAATGCAATGACTTTACAATCGGCATTGAATTTATAACGGTGAATAAAAAAATTTCCAACTGTTCCAATGATCGTGCTTGTCGGTACAGGATCGCCAAGTTTTTCTTCCAATCTCTCAGCACATGCTGCAAGACATCTCTGCGACCAACAGCGTTTATTGATATCAAGCAGATTCATTCCCGAACCATCTGATAAGTCGATCGGTGCAATGTCGTTGAGAAAAAGCGAAGCTAAAAATGATGACACGAGTGAAATTCTTACCGTATTGTGATATGCATCAGGTTGTTGTTGAAATATTTTCCTTATTTGTGCACCTGTGAATCTTTCATAAGCTTTCGATCCTGTTATTCTCAACATTTCATCACGACCACCAACAGCTTGTTCCATTTCTTCGCATTGTTTTGTTGTGCTGCTGTCCATCCAAATGGGCGATTTTTTGACAGCAAATGCATCTTCATTAATTTGATTGTATAGAAATTTATCAAAATCGAGATCTTTCAAAGTATCTATTCCGTGTTTATTCCAGTAAACACTTCCATGTTGCTGAGCAGATCCACTGATACCAGCCACGATAGAAAAGTCAGCTCCCTCAAAAATTAAACGGTCTAACACTGTGTCAACTGCTTTCACCCACATTTTAGGATTGACGTAATATTCATTTTTATTTTCACCCATACATACACCACCTGACACTCCGAATTCACCTGATGAATCCTCATCGAACTTCACTTCTGATTGCTGAAGAATCTCAAGCCTTTCGTTGAGAATAACAGCTTTAAGCTGAAGAAGAAAAAAAAATGTTCAAGGTTACAAAGAAATCTGAATGGATCGACTGATCAATGGAGGTCAACATAAGTGACGCTTGAAGAAGGTAATAGAATAAAAAAATCAATTGCGCGATGTATTTTTTAATGGCCAAGAAATAACTTTTACCTTTTGAGTGCTTAAATCTAGTCCCAGATACGTCTTTTCCATTGCGTTATTGTTTATTGATAATCACTGAGATGAGTTGGAATGAAATCTATATTATATGCTTATCAGTTAATAATTTTAAAATTAAAAACAAGAAACGAATAAAAACCAAGAATGTTCCTTGTAAATAAAAACAGAGTAGATGAACATATTGCTGAATAATCTAGAAAGGAATTTTTCTTTTTATGCTTATGCTGCATTATTAGGTTGACAATTATTTTTAAGGATTCATTAAGATTATGTTTTATAACAATTACTTGTAATTAAATAATTTACTTAAATAGAAAACATGTTTTGACATTCATTCTAATGTGTTGAAGTATGGTAAGCAACCCTGGATCTTCTTTTCTTTTATTGTCCGTTGACATTTTTGCTAAACCATTCAAAATCTTTTCCCATAATATTTAACAGTGTGATTCTGTGCTAAAATGCTAAAACTTTTGTAACCTTCATAAAGTAAATCGCGTACTTCATTATCAGTTTTGAATTCTCTTTTCTTAAGTTAATATTTTCAATATAAATTGCACAACTAATTAAACAGATAATTTGATACGTTTTAAAATCATTCTATATTTATTTAAACCTTCGTATTGGGGAAAGTTAAACGCACTTAACGTAACTTTTTCCATACTCATAACGTCTGTGTTAACTTTCTCTAAGAATTCTCTTTGAAACTATGAGATTTTGATAAAAAGCTTGAGTATTTTTTAATTGCCATTTATACCCATGGCAGATTCGTTTTTTGGCTTTGATACAACGCTACCGGTAAGTAAAAATCATTTATGCAGCTGATGATGTAGAAATGTTTAATTAAACTATCATCAACAATGATAAAAACCTAAAAAACTATTTCGTTAATTTCTCGTGATTTTACATTTATTCTGTTGTCCCGCAAACACAGCAAGATGAAGACTTGGGTAGTTTAGATCGCGAATTATCTGAAGATGAATACGACGCACTAAATGATGAAACATTTACACATGCTGTAAGAGACGATTGGGAAGGTAAATTGAAAAAAAATTTATTTCATGATCCAGCTCACTGGATGTTAATTTTTCATTTAATTATTCAATCAATTTCAGATGGACATGAAAACCTTGTCCGAAGTCAACGTAAAGGAACGATAAATGACAAATTAGAAGACTCCGAAGAAGAATATGACTCGGATTTGGATATAAATTTTATAACGAGGAAACTTGAAGACTATGAAATTCGAAACGATGAGACCGACGTAAGAAATCAATTTCAACTTGATCCTAGTGTATGGACAAATCCAATTAAACCTGTGACACCTCACAAAGTTCCAAATGCATACAACAATAAATTCAATGAACATGATCATCCCATGGGATCAAGAAAATTTCCCCCCCCTGGCATTGCACCGCCGCCATCATTGGCACAACAAACTAACGTCCTTCAACAATTCATCGGAGGTGCGCCAAGTTCTCCTCATCCCAAAATTATGTCGCTTGAAGAAATAGAACGTAATTTAATTAATCAACAGCAAATTCAGCAACATCAAAAAATGATGCAAGAGAAACTCGCTGCGATTCAATCGAAAGTTGGCCAACAGCAATCGAATGTCACATCGCCAAATCAACTTCAACCTCCTCCTCAGCAACAGCAACAACAACACCAGCAACCTCCAAATGTTCAACAACAGCAATTGAGAAAAATTATGACAAATCAGATGCCAGGCCAACCTCAACCCCAGCAATCGCCCGGTTTAATGTTTCCACCTCATATGAACATGAATGGTCCGCCACCACCAGCAGGATTTCCCCCAATTCCACCACATCTTCAAGGACCGAATTTATCAAAATTCAATCCTCTCATGAACATGGCAAATCATCCAATGAACATCAACAACTTTCATCCTAACTTTGGTCCAATGCCAATGCGACCTGGCGTTCAACTTCCACCACCAATGAATCGTTTGCCTCCACATTTAATGAACATGCAAGGAAACACTTTGATGTATCAAAATGTTCAAAATTCAGCGCAATTTAATCAACGTTTGGTACAAGAAATTCAACAAAATCATCCAATGTTGAATCCCATGTTCCAACGACAGCAACAACAGCAGCAGCAACATCATCATAACAATAACAATAACAACATCAACAATAATCATCATTTCCATCATCAACATCATCAAAGATTCAACAACAATAATGGAAAGCCTGATGAATATGATGAATATGCAAATTTAATGAGTAATCGAGACAAACAATTCTTGATAACAATTCAATTAATGCAGTTGAACACTGAGACACCATACTTTGATGATTACTACTACACGATGTATAAAGAACGTCAAAGATTACGTGGCATTGAGAATGAGAGTCAAGCTCATCGTGATAACCAGTTAAATCATCCATTCACACAGCCGAAAGGTCACGCTCAAATGCTTCTTCGACAGTTCAACAACATTGGCAAGAATGGATTGCAAAATCAAAAGAATGGAATGGGACGTGAAAGAAGAAGCTCGGAATCGAGTCAGAAGAATAATGAGAAGGAAGCACCGACACCGCGAACCTACACGCCATTGCAATTTGAGAACTCTTTAGGAAAACTTCAATGCGGAAGTGTCACAGCACCAAGAAAGATTATTGACATGGAAATCGTTGGAACTGGTGAAAATGGTGGACAATCATCAGTCTCTGAATTGAGTACGCAGAAGAAATCAAGACAAATTCTCATGCACATTGAGACACTTTATAAGATTGTCTTGAAGTTGGAAGATCTTCAACATCCGATGGCAATTTCAGCTACGATCATTATGAAGGTGAGTTGATGCTGAGACGTAATTAATCAATTCAGTTCTTAATTATTTTACATTTCTTAGGAGAAACGTGAAAAGCAACGTCAACAACAAGAACAAGATTCAAGAAATGATAATGACGAGAATGCTTCAACAAAGTCGTCAATTTCCATTAACGAAGCTGAGACACAAAGTGAATTGATGATAAAGTTGCTGGCTTTGTTGTGTGTTGAGAAGATTCCTGGAATGATGGCAGTACGTAAAGGACGTGTGAGTGAAACTTTGAATTCATTCAAAGTGAATTTCATTTAATTCTTTCTTCTTTTTAATTCTTAGAACCTCATCAAACGTATCATGCCTCATATTAAAGATCAACCAATTCGTTGGGATATTTGGAACGCGGTTTTCATATCTTTAACTGTTTTTAAACGTGACAAACTTGAAGAGAATGAATCTTCTTTGATGGCGCTTTATTATGAGTTTGCTTTGCATTTGCAAGATGCTGACTTAAGTGATTTGTTGAAGGTGACAAATAATATGATGACGAGTGACAAGTTGATGAGTTTTGTTAATGGATGCAAGGTGAGACTACAAAAGAAGTGAAAATATTAGCAAAATTAATGATTTTTTTTTTAAAATCAAAGCTTGTGGTTTCGAGTATCATTGCGATGATCATCAAATCGGAACTTTTATATCAGAAGTCGGGCGATGCGATAAACTTCGCAGAAGAAGAGCAGTGGATTCGATTCTTAAATAAACTTTTTGAAATCGTCAACAATGATCGCACTGTCGACGCACAGATTCTGAATTCCGCTAACAACGTTCATCGCGATAAAAATGACAACGAACGGATCATCAAGACCGTGATGGTTCATTTTCAACGCTTCAAAGCACGTTTCACGAGCGACGAGGAGAAATTGGTGAAACTTTTGGGAATTCAATACGATGTGAAGTAAGTTCGCTTCCCATAAATATTTATTTCCATTTCATACTTTGAAAATAATATTCTTATCATAGAAAATACTTTTTACATAAAACTGCATAAAAGAAAAATTTTCCAATCGCAAAACAAGCATAAGAAAAATTAAATGGACAAAAAGAAAAAGAAGAAGAAAAAACTTCGATAATTGTAAAAATCACGTTTTTATTTGTTAATTATTTTTGTGGATAAATTTTTTCTCATTTTTATTTTCAAAGCTTTGATTAAATGGTTAAAAATACGTGAGATGTAGATTAGTTGACTCAGTTTATGAATAAATGCGGTTAGATAAGTGTTTAAATTGTACTTAAACAATTTAATTTCATCTCAGTGTTTAGATTTTAATGAATTCTTACAAGTGCTTGACTTGCTGCTGTTTGATTAATCAATGGACGCTTCGGTATGAATGCTGAAATGAATTTAAATTGTTTAAGTATTCAAAGAGCGATTAACCGACAACATTCGTCAACTGAGTCTGCATTATAAACGATTGAAAAATGTTAAAGATGAAAATAAAAAATCTTTACAAGTTTTCTTTTTTAAATCACGAAAGTTAATAGGAAAATAAATTAGATTTGATGTTCTTAATTAAAGAGAAAAAAAAACAAACATGAAAACGTGTCGTTTAAAAAGAATTTTTTTCTGCAATTTTTCAATTATTTAGCTTCGTTTTTTTATCAATTCTAATAATTTGTCAAGAAGTTAATCGTCAACCATAACAAAAGTCTTGAAGGTTTCATTAAAAATCCAAGACGCAGTGTAATGAGTAATTAAATCAAACTTATGACGTGGATTAAAACTTGTTTAATATTTCAACAAAAGTGAGCTCAGATGTCATTTGTAGAACTTGGCCTAACACAGAAACTTTTTGCTTACAATTAAAATTCTTCAATTTCATAGTGTGAATGAAATTTTTTTCTTCTTTTTAAAAACAAAAATAATTTTAAAGTTCTGTCGAGAGTGAAGCAACAAAATAAAATGTAAAATTTTTGTGAATGTGACCGGAAGGATTTTTCAACATTGATTTCATTAAAATCCTTTGAATGTGAATGAAAATTGAAGAATTTTAATTGTAGGATTCGCAAGAAGTTTCCAAACAATCTTCAGAACATTTGCAATATTAATGATGTTGACATTAAACCATCTCCAGTGACTCCAAACTTAAATATTCAGCTTCAAGACAAACAAAAGAACATTTGCAATCATCAATGAATATTTGTTTTTAAAAATTGATGATGCAAATGCACAGTAACAAATCTTCTTGTTTTTTATACAAAAAAAAATTAAAAATTCGTTTTAAATTAATTTTAAGATTGTTTTGGATGATTCTGCGATTGTTATAAAGTCAAAATATTTCAGACTTTCAATCATTCATCTGAATAAATTCATTTTGATTTCTACTTCAACTTTATATATTTAGACACCCACGCAACCTAAACTATCATAGATTCGATCTTTGAATGTAATATTTTCAAACTTATGGGATAAACACAAAAAGAAAAGTAACTGAAACGACACTTTCATATATTAATCTATTTTAAGAAGTTGAATAAAAAGAAAAGCATTAAGGAAAATAAAAATAATTAAAAAAATAATCAATTGAAGATTTTTATTAAATTTTTATTCTTTCAGATGAAATTATTAAACTTGAAATTTATTTTTTACGACCACCACGCTCTTTAACTTGCAAGTGGACTGTGACACCTGACAATAAATTATAGAAAGCGACAGTGTTGTTGTCTTTAAAGAAGATTCCATCGTGAGAAATCTTTTGTTTAGCTGGAGGCATTTCAGTTTCTTCTTGAACTTTCTGTTTAAGACGTTGAATCGTGTCTCCAAGTCCAATGTTAATAGAAAGCGTTTGTCCATTCAACTTCCATTCTGGTTTGTCACCGACACTCGGCACTTGAACTTGAATCGTTACCGGGCTCTGAAAGTAAAGAAAATGAATTTCCGTGAGTTTCATTCAATCAAAAAGCAATCAAAAATTCATTTCTTACCTTGTGACATTGCATGAAAACATCTTCAGGGATGAGATTGTCTTCTTGACGTGATTTCTTATTTTGAGGTTCATCGTCAGGTATTTCCATAACAGGCGGAGCTGGAGCTAATGGTGGCATTCCTGGAACACCTGGGAAACCAACAGGAAAGCCAGGAGGAGCTGAAATTTAAATTGAAAATTTATTTAAAAGTTTTAATTGAAAAATGATGAAATTAACTCACGAATCAATGGCGGTGGTCTTAACGGCGGCCCTCCACGCATTGGATTCATCATTGGGTTCATCATGACAGGCGGTGGTGGAACGCTTGGCATTGGTGGTGCTGAATGATGTGCAATTTGTCCAGGAATATTTATCGGAGGATGAACTTGCGGTGCTGATGTGATTGGAGGCTTTGGTGGTGCAGAAATTCCCGACATTTGCTTCGGTCCAATTTTCTCTTTTTCTTCATCAGGTAAAAGCCCTTTAACTTTATGAATCTGGTGGATTTGATCTTCAAGTGAAACATTTCTGGCTGCTGCCCGTGTCGCTGCTTCTACACTACTTGTATGACCATCCCAAGTCACACGATCATCTTTACGTGGTTCCTCTTCTCCCAACTTCTTACCAATTGCTGCTTCTTCATCACCAACACCGAAGATATCCGTACGACGTTCAGCCAATTGCTTAAGACTCGCTTCAATTGCAGCACCAGGCGCATAAACATTTTCTTCACGTACTTTCTCGAAATGTTTGTCACGTTGTTCGACCCAACGTGAATCCAACAATCCAATTCGCATATGTTCAGCGACTTTCGATGCTGGAATCTTTTCACCGGTGATTGGAGAGATGAGATATTCGTCACTCGATGGAACTGGTCTTGCAATTTTCTGTGCTTGTTTTGGATCGTATTTCTTAACGACAACTTTATCGTGAGTTGGTGGCATGAGGGGAGCGACTGCTGGTTGTTTGTTAGCGTCATCGTCGCTTGATTCTTCATCCATATCTTGTACTTGAGTGTTGTCTTTCACACGATTCTCCATAACTGTTAACTTAACATTCGAATGTGGAATTGGGACTTGTTGATCAGGCAGTTCGTCGTCCGATTCAATTTGCATTTCAATGTCGTTATCATCTTCATGGAAACGTTGCTCCATTAGAACGCGAGCTCCAACTTCATCCGGTGTTGTTGGTGCTGGAAAGTTTCCAGACTCATAAGGTTGATATTCAACAACTTCAACCACAACAAAGTCATGCCAATCAATTTGAGCGTAAGCGACGCGTTCACGTTCAATTTTTTCTTCTTCACGACGTCTTTGAGCTTCTTGATGCTTCAACCAATTTGCTCTGTATTTGACTTGATCAAGAATGTGATTAGTTCCATCACGCCCTGAATCAGCTTCTAAACGAAGTTTTCCAAGTAAATCCTTTGGTGGAATTAGAATTTTTGTGTATTGTTCAAGAAGCTTCGTGAAATATTGGAAAAGTGAATGTTGAGGACGTAAAAAATCAAATTGAAAGTTTCTTTGTTCACGATTCATGAGATTTGTCAAAAATTGACGGCCGTTACGAGCCACGAATTGTGCTGTGAGCTTGACAATGTCAAGATCCAGGGCACTGATTGAAGGTGGATCAGCGACGAATTCAAATTCAACTGGCGGTTCTTTTGGAACAAATTGTTGTTCGGTTGCTTGTTTCAATAATTCTTGTTGTTTTTGTTGAGCTGCAGAGGTCACTGATAACTTCTGAAGACCGGGAAGAACGGCAAAGTCCTTAACATTTCCTTCACGGAATTCTCTCACTTTGAACTGATAATAAGCATGATAAGGATCGCCGGGATTAAGGAAACCAAACTTTTTATTTCCTTGTTCACTTTGATGAATTCTGCTTTCAAATTCTGGTCCATTCCTGGCCACAAAACCAGCAGTTTTATCAACAATATCTAAGAAAAACAAATATTAAATTAAACGATTACAATTGTAAAATTAATTTTTACTCACTTCTCACTTCAGGTGGCGGATAAATTATTCCAATAATTGGTCCAGAGAGTGTTTGTGATGGATCAGTGAAACCTGGAGCACTTAAATTCTCTATTTGAGTACTCATTTCTGATATTTTTATATTTTCATTAGCGTGTTTACATGAATAGAAAATTATTTTGGGGGGCTTACAACTTTAGCGGTAATGATCATAGTTCCCAACCCCTCAAATTTAAATTTAGCACTAAAATTTCTGCTAAAACAAACCAAACAAGTTTGAAAAATTCTCAGAACAAACTCATGTTTCGATAATTTAATCGAAACATTAAACTTTCTAATCATTATTTTAGTCGCAATAGACATATAAACTAAAATGTAAGTAATAGTTTATTAAATATCTTCAAATCACTTTGTCATTTAGTTAGGAAATTAGTAAAATACTTTTTATCGGTTAATGTAATTTTTACAGTTAACTTTTTGTTTAACAATTTAAAACAGCGTGACAATGGCAAATATCGAAATTGAACCAAGAGATGTTGGAAAAATCATTGGAACTAAAGGTGCAACCATTAGACAACTTCAAGATGATTACAACGTTCGTATTAACATTTCGCGAGAAGAAAATGAAGTAAGTTTTGTAAATATTACGAAATTTTCACAATATCTAAGAAAATTGTCTATTTCAGAATGGTAAGAGAGTCGCTGAAATAAAAGGAGATGAAAGAGATGTTGAAAGAGCTGTAAATGCAATTTACGATCGATTCAATCAAGAAGGAGGAGGAAATGGCGGATACAAAGGACGTGACGAATCTGGCGGCTATCGCAATAAACGTCGTCAACCAGACAATCAACAAAGTAATTATACTGACAGCTATAATTCTCAAGCTTCGAACAGAATGAAAACTAACGATGATGATGAGTGGGATAATGCAATTCCTAATACTGATTTTAAGCCAAGTGCAAACACTTACCAAGTTAGTCGTGATGATGACTATCAGAAACCTCATCGTGATAATGACTATCAAAAACCTCATCGATCAAACTATCGATCAGGAAACTCTTCTTCTAACAATAACTATCAAAGATCTAACTACACAAGTGGAAATCGTTCAAGTTACAGAAATGTGGAAGAATTTCCATCAACTGTTGAGTCAACACAATCAGATTTTGAACCCATCGATTGGGATAAAGCAAATGCTGAATGTGAAGCAGCTAGAAAAGCTCGTTGGGCCGCTTTGCCAAATTTGATAAAGGATTTTTACACTGAACATCCAGAAGTAACTGACATGACTGAAGAAGAAGTTGATAAATTCCGCAAAGAAAACAAAAACATTGTCGTTGGACGAACTTTCGCTGACAAAGATTCGAAAGAGGAAATGCCAAAGCCGACAACAAAGTTCGAACATGCATTTGAAAAATTTCCAGATTTATTAGCTGAAATTAAGAAAGCTGGATTCGAAAAGCCTTCACCAATTCAAAGCCAAATGTGGCCAATCTTGTTAGCTGGTGAAGATTGTATTGGCATTGCTCAAACTGGAACGGGAAAGACTTTAGCGTTCTTGTTACCAGCGTTGATTCACACTGACGGACAACCACATCCTCGAGGAATTAAAGCTCGTGGTGGACCAAATGTTTTAGTTCTTGCACCAACTCGTGAACTTGCCATTCAAATTGAGAAAGAAGTTGGAAAATATCAATTTCGAGGGATTCGAGCGTAGGTTTTGAATTTAAATTTTAATCAAGCATAATTCATCAATTTCTGATTTTATAGAATTTGCATTTATGGTGGAAATGATCGAAACAAGCAAATTGAAGTTGTTGAAAGTGGAGTTGAAATAATTATCGCAACACCAGGACGTTTGAACGATCTTGTTGCTGATGGACACATTAAAATTGATTCTGTCACTTATTTGATCCTTGATGAAGCTGACCGAATGTAATTTCATTTTTTCCTGATTTTAAATTATGTAACTTTATTAAATTTTCTTTGTCTACCAGGCTTGACATGGGCTTTGAACCACAAATTCGTAAACTTTTATTGGACATTCGGGAAGATCGTCAAACTGTGATGACATCAGCAACATGGCCCAGTGGTGTTCGTCGATTGGCAGCAAGTTACATGAAGAATCCTTTTCAAGTATTTGTTGGAAGTTTGGATCTTGCTGCTACTCACACAGTGACTCAACTCATTGAAATAATGGACGAAGAAGAGAAATTCAATCGCATTATTAAATTTACACGTGAAATGAGTGACACTGACAAGGCAATAATATTCTGTGGACGAAAAGATAGCGCAGATAGTTTAAGCACTGAGTTCGCTTTGTTGGGAATCAATTGTCAAAGTATTCATGGAAATCGTGAGCAATCTGACCGTGAACAGGCACTTGCTGACATTAAGAGCGGAGAAGTTCGAATTTTGATAGCGACTGACGTTGCAAGTCGAGGAATTGACATTGAAGACATTACTTACGTTGTTAATTATGATTTTCCTCGTAATATTGAAGAATATGTTCATCGTGTTGGTCGAACTGGCAGAGCAAATCGACGTGGAACATCATTGAGTTTCATGACACGTTCCAATTGGGGATCGGCAGCTGAATTAATTGAAATTCTAAAAGAAGCTGATCAGAATATTCCCGAAGAACTTCAAAACATGGCTGAGCGATTCAAGGCAAAGAAAGAACGTGAAAAGGAAGAAAGAAATTCCATTGGTGGAGCATTCCGTGGAGGCAATCGAAATGGTGGACGAGGTGGCGGGTATGGACATGGAGGTCGTGACAGAAATCGTTGGTAAATAATGTTCTACAAAAATAATTAATAATATGTTCGAACAAATGAAAAGAACATAAAACATCTAAGAAAACCAAAAGTCTGATAAAATGAAACTCTTTATGCTTCCTAGCAATGGCTGTAAGTTGTTTAATCAATGAAAGAAGAAATATAAAAATATTTTATGAACAATTTAAGCAAAAATAATAAAGAAAAACTTTTTTTGGATCTCATTAAACGTGAGTTTTTATGTGAAAAATTAAAACATTGCAGCATAAATTATGTTGAAAGTTTTTCTTATCTTATCGTCGTAACAGAAAAGTCTGCAACATAAATAACAATTATAACTTGATACTGTTGATTCAACGAAATTGAGCAGATGAAGCGTGAGAAAATAAATTGTGACAGAGTTGTAATTTTACACTTTTACGAGATTTAAAATTTTATAAATTAATTTTTATTCCTCAATTAGAAAAATGACACGAATTCGTGATGCAAATTTACAAACTGTGACCTGAATACTTCAAACATGTTTTGAAAAATGAAATAAATAACTTACATCCACTACAACCCTGTGTTGTGCAACTCTGAAATTGTGTTGTGATCATTTTCGCTTCTCTCTCTTTCTAATATTCTCGAGAAAAATTCAGTTGACTTCGAGTTGTGATTGTGGTCAGTTGAATAAAGAAATTATTCCAATTGCTTTATTAATTCCACTTAATAAACAGTTTAAGGAAGTGATGTGAAAAGCATTAAAGTTGAAATTATAATTAAAAATAACGCTGTGTGAATAATTAAATTACTTTCGATGAACTGTGACCGCCTTAAGTGAAGTTTGATAACAATATTTAACTGAGACGCTATCAAGAGAAAAGCTTGCAAATACTATAAAAATAAATGAACAATTCATGTGGAATCGAATGCCGGTTTAAACATTAATTAATGACAGTTAAACATTGATAAATGTTATTTAAATATTCTTCGACACACAAACATAAATATTAAAGTTATCAAGGTATGTAAATATTTAAATTAGTAAAATTTCATTTAATAATTCATCGGAGAATGTCTTCGAAGAGAATGTCTTCGAATATTTCTCAAACAAACAAAAACATAAACAAATAAAAACTTGTCAATCAAGTATCGTTAATCATCCATAAACAAGCCACGTGAGAGATGTTAGACAGGTTTAAGTTCATTGCATTTTTTTTCTCGTGTCGATGAGTCATTAGAATCTCGACTTAAATACTCTCAATTTAAAAGGAAAAGAAAAAAATTCTACGCGTGTATGTTGTTGAGATGGTCTTTGATAGGTCAGAAAAGAATTTGCAAGCAATCAACAAAATGTTTTTATTATTTTATTTTATTATTCTTCAAGCAGTCTTAATTTGCATAAACGCAAACAAGAGATCGAAGTATTCCAATATATTGAAATCAATTTCGTTATATTCATAATCATCGATTCTTCTTCAATTCTTGCTAATTTTCATTTGATTTAAACTTGTCACGAGCTTGGAATCAAGAATGATCTTTAACATTTGATAATTCGTTACATATCAATTATCGTTTATTTATTATTTTTCAAAACAAATTAATTAAAATGTTGTTGTAAAAACCTTCAAATCTTTCAAATTGTCTAAACAAAACATCGCATCGCAATCACAGTGTTGCATGCCATCACGTAGCTGCTGACATGACTGACAAATTCTTTAACTCAGCAGTTTCTTGTTGTAATGCTATTACAAGAGTTTAAGATACGAGTAGATTGTGTTACGTGATTAGGAAGTAAAATTTACATAAACGTATTAGTAATTGCCTCACTAGTAATCTCATCTCATTAACAACTTCACGAAGTCTTAAGTTAAGAGTTTCAAGATCTTTCAGGTGTCATAACAAAAATCTTACTGAAAAATGAAGAAAACAACTCTATCAATTATTTTAATGCTTGTTGTTAACTTAAACAACGTTTCATCATTGGAAAGTGGTAAGTTTAATTTTTCTTACAAATTTTCTAAATTATTCATTTAAAATGTTAATCTTTCAAAGACATTGAAGAATTGAACTTAAACTTCAATCAAATAAAAAGGCTCATTGCTAGTTTCAGTAATGAAAATCTTATTAAAGCTGTAAATTTTGCAACAGAATCAACAGACAGTTCCAAAAGGTAATTTGAGATTTATTAATTAATTAATGCGAATGAATTATTTCCCAACGTATTTCTAGTCTTGAACATCGAATATCAACTAAAGCTAAAATCAGAAATGGAACAATTTCCCATTCACAATTTATCGAATCTCTTCCTAATAATGACACGAAGAAAATTGATTCAGTCGCTCAAGATATCTTGAAAGCTTCGTCATATTTACTCAATTTGTATTGTAAGACAGCTGGCATCTCAAATAAAGATTGTGTAAAGTTTATGTCAAAATATACTTTACCTGAAACTAAGCTGGGGTTAAAATGTTTCCAAATGAGAAAGAATCATCATGCATATGGACGATTGCTACCCGCAAGCTATCAAGATGGTCTTCATAAAGTAATCAAATTGCCAAATACAATTATCCTGAATAATTAATGAAAAGTTTTCTTACTTAGATACGAAGAAGCATTTCTAAGAAAGAACTTCCATTGCCGCGAGTAATTTCCAACTCTTTATACACTTCTGGATTGAATGAAATCAACCAAAGAAGTGAGAATAAATTAATTCCGACGACAAGTGAAGGTGTTTTAGACCGCAAATTGAGTTTGTCTGCTGCCCAATGGACTCAATTTCTCGAACATGATCTGAGTAAAACAGTTGTTCGATCAATGTGTATGTTCAATGTTTATTGAATCGTCAAATGTTATTTAAAATGAACAAAATGATTTGTTTTGACAGCTAATGGCGCTTCAATTGAGTGTTGTGATCAAGAATCAGTGTCAATACAGCCGAGATATCTTCATCCATCATGTCTACCATTAGTCATTCCAAGTGATGATTCTCATTATCGTCAACTACGCGTTACATGCTTGAACTATGTTCGATCAGCTTTAGCAGTCAACGATCAATGTAGATTTGGTAGCATTAATCAGGTGAGCTTTTATTTAAAAGCTCTAAGAAAGCTTTCGTTCATTCAAATAATAAAACTCGCCGTTTTAGTAATTAATCAAACACATAAAATATGCCATCAATCAAATTGAAATCAATTAATTCCTCATGTTGATTTTGTTACATTAATTTCATCTTTGCTGTGACGTTTAAGGTCACTAATTATTGCCACTAATTCCAATTAAAACGTTACGAAATGTTAATGCAATTTGCATGATCGATTTTTTCAATTATGAAAAGTAGAAATTGAAATTCGCTGAAATATTTGACGTCGCTTTTCTTTCTTTAGTTAAACCAAGCTACAAGTAGACTTGATCTGTCACAGCTTTATGGCATCGACGAAGCAGAACAGGAAAAGTTGAGACGCTTTCAACAAGGTTTACTTTTGACATCAACTGATGACGGTTCACTTCTACCAAACAATCTTGAACATTTCTGTTCGTCTTCGTCTTCTAATGAGACCAGCAATGTTTGTTATCTTTCGGGTGACTCGCGCGTTAATGCAAACCCATTAGTTACTTCTCTCTACACAATCTTCTTAAGATCTCACAATCAAATCGCACAAAAACTCAGACGAATGAATCCAAAGTGGAACGACAACCAACTGTTTAATGTCGCAAAATACATCAACGTTGCTATTTATCAAAAGTTCATCTACAATGATTGGGCGAATGTTGTGTTGGGAAAACGAACAGCATTGGAAATAAGAAACAAGAATTTCGATCACGATGTTAAAAAATATAAATCAGATAAAGTAAGTAATGAGTTTGGAACTGCTGCTGTGAAGTTTTACAACACGATGCTTCCTGGTGATGTTTTAAGTCATCAAGATGACTTCACAACAATGACATCGCAGAGTTCTGAAAACACAATTGAAGCACGTGGTTCAGGCAAACGTAGAGAAATTCTTAAGCTGCAAGACTCGTTTTATAAGCCTCGAGACTTCAGTAAACAGCAAATATTTGATCAGCTGATGAATGCGATCTTAAGACAAAATTCTATGGCAGTCGACAACAGTTACGTTGATGATTTATCACTTCAACTTTACCGTTCGAAGATGTTTGACAACAAAGTGTTTGGAGGTGATTCCTTAGCATTTGACATTCAGCGTACTCGTGATCATGGCCTTCAACCATACATAAGTTACATCAAAAAATGCTTCAATATTCGAGTTACCAGATGGGATGATTTGCGCAACATAATTAAAGAAGAAGATTTGGCGAAACTTCGGTCGATTTATGAATCGTTCCATGACATTGACTTGATTGTTGGTGGGCTGTCTGAGATTCCGATAGAAAATGCCACTGTTGGTCCAACATTTTCTTGTATTTTAAGTAAGTTTAATCATTACTCGGCACAAAATATTTTCTCGTTGTTCAATGAACTTCAAAAAACTTTCAATGTTGCATAATTAACTTTTTATTTTCTTCTTTTGCATCCGTTTCATTTGTTTGCACAGAAAATTTGACAAAATTTCACAAATGATTTAATTAAAAAAAAAATCACACAAATTTCTCGAAGCTCAAGGAAATTAAATTTTAAAAAATTATGCAAAGATTTCCTGCGATGTTTATTTACATGTGTCATAAAAGCAACTGGCAGCGTTCAATCTCTCAGTGTTTATGTAACATGTAATTGTAACTATTGCTTCAGCTGTTGATATTAATAAATGTTGTAAAAACTCATAATTACCACACAAGTAAATACCTGCAACAATATTTTTTGTGGTTTATTTCAAGCGATAAAAAATACTTTAAGTACATTCCAAGTAATTTAAAAAAACGCCCTGCAAATGTTTTCATTCCCTTTCCAAAATGCTTTTAATATTCATCTCAGCAAAGTTATCATACATGTCATGGTCGGTTATTCACGTCGTTTCACGGATTAATATGAAACTTCCGTGTTAAAATTAAAGCAAAATAATTTTGATTTCTAATGAACTTAATTCACAGGTGATCAATTGATTAACTCGAGACTGTTTGATGAGACATTTTATAACCGGAAAACTGACGACAGTGGTGAGAAAGTTATGAAGACTGTCGAGAATTATTCAGCAACGAGATTTATTTGTGACAACACGCACTTGAAAATGGTTCAAAAAAATATTTTCCATATTCCGTCAGACGAGTAAGTTCATTGTTGGTTTTAAATTTCATTTTATTAAATTAATTTCTTTCACAGAAACCCGCTTATTGATTGTTCTGATTACGAGAAACTCCCAAAGCTTGACCTTAGTTATTGGTTGGTGATGCAATCTCAAGCATAAGAATCGTTTTAATTCAATTCCTGAACAACAATTTAAGCCCAGCAGTCATTAATCAAAGCAAATCAAACCCTTTTTGCTCTTACAGGGCTTTATTAGATACTTTGATTGACAAGTTCATTGTCATCGATTACAAAATAATCACATAAAAATAACATAAATTTAGAACACAACTTAATGTAAGTAATTTTAACAGTAGACACGATTTTTTTCTATTTGCAATAAAGTTTAAGTTAAAAGCAAAAGTCATTAATGTTCAATTTTCGATTGTGTTTGGGGTCATTTGTCACAAAGGTTGTTTCTTGGAGCAAGGTCGATTCGACGATCTCAAAATTTACCTTTTGTTTTGTTTGTTTAGAAGATAATTTGCAGTCATAATCGACACTTGAGTTGGGTGAGGTGCTTAAGCTTTGATTCATTCAAATTCATTGAGTTTAAGATGTTAGGTTTTTGTTTCATGACGTGATCATGTATACATGAACGATCTCTCTTGACCTAGCCGAAAAACATCACGTTCAATGGGTAAATGAGACCGCCCAATTAAGTTTGTCTCAACAATTTCACTTGCAATCACTTTCCGTCGTATTAGCCACTTATGAACAATGAGTCAAGGAAGTCTAAGTAATGGAAACTTTTTCCGTAATTTTTTATGAAATTTGAAACATGCAAAAGTATTTCTGATGGGCAATAACCAAATTCAAGGTCACGACTATGTGATCTTGAATAAATTTTCTCGAATTGTTTTTAAACTGGAATGAAGAATTTCAATTGAATATTTGAACGTGTTTTTGCGTAAACGAAGAAAAAAAACTATTTAGTCGATTTACGACATGACTTAATAACAGATCAATTAACTAATAGTTTCAAACCTTGTATTAATGCACGTACATGAATATTTAAATAAAGGAGACAATCGTTATGTTAAGATTAAGAAATGGTAATCTCGTCTTAACCTGATAACAATTTGATTGTCAGTTTTAATTATTTTCCATTTGAAAATCTGTGGTCAACTTTTCAGGAGTTCAATAAACATTTCTTCGTAAATTTCAACATAATTAAATTATAATATTTTTAATTTTCATTTCAATCTATTTTTAACTCAATCACAATGTGTAAATAAGTTTCTCATTTCTGCAAATTCATCTGACATCACATCTGCATAAAAAAAATTAATTTGAGCTTGCAACAACATAATTTCGAAACTTTTCATTCTAATTTTCTTCTAAATTCAATATTTGTTTACAAAACTAACATATCAATATTTCTATGAAGAAAAAACTGGTCGACTTCAATTTAATAGCGTTAAATTGATTCAAACTTTGAAGCAATGAAATAAGAAAAAAAAAACTTTGGGGGCAGTGGGTTCATCGCTTTCATGTATTGTGGAAAGAAGTTTGAGAAAAGTTGACCGAATGGTTGAGTAAGTAGCATTATGTAGTTCAAGGTAAGTACATGGTCTTTCAAAAAAGCATGTTTGGGCTTTTTGCAGCTTCATATTGACACATTGATAGCCGCCTTTATATCCTAACAAAGAACTCACAAGGTAAGCAAATAAATGTCCAAATTTCCGAATATTGTTGTTAGCGATTTTCGTTCAACATAAAATTTTATGAATAGAAAGAACGCATTAAATCTATCAAGTTGCATTGAGCTGTAAAATTTATTAATTAGCATTAAATTGCAATCATTTAATAAAGTTTTTATTCCACTTCGCTCATATTTGATTGATAGAATTACCAAAATTTGCTTCGATTAGGAGTTTAAATCTACTTCTAGTTTTGCTTAAGTTTATTATTCTTTTCAAATATAACCACGGGTGTTGGTGAAACACAAATTAATATGACAATCAATTTGCAATTTTAAATAAGAATTCAGTCAGGTTGAGAAAATTAAGAAAATCGTGAGACATTTCAAAACACGTCTGTTTCGTTTATTTCCACTCTAGTTTGTCACTTAATTATAACTCTTGCTTATGTTCTTCTAATTATATTAATTATAACATAAAAATTTCGTATTGCTCTTCGCAACTTTTCAATGTTATTAAGGCGTCAATCGTCATGCTCAAAGTTTAAAGTGTCCATTGAAGTGACAAGTTACTCATGTAGATAATTAGTTCTCCACTTTCCATACGGGTTCAATATCAAGTGCTTCGTTTCTTTTCACGATCAATTAGACGTAAACCTTTGGCATTGACAAGGATGTTAGATTGAGATATTTAAAAGTTTCTGTCTTGTCTCAACTGAAGTCTGGTCGGCGAATAATTAATCAAAAACTATTTTTCACGCTTATTTAATGTTGAAATCTCAAATGGGGATAAATGTTCCAGTTCTATTCTCATGTTTGACACTCCTAATTCATTGAGTCACTGTTTTTATAGTCAATCAATTTGTGTGCGTATTGTTCTCAGGAAGAAGTAAAAAATCTGTCGACAGATTTTTCGTTCAGATTTCCGGGATTTTCATATTCTAGTTAAACATGGATTTTAATTTGGCTTGAGGCTACGATCAGTCAAAGCAAGATATGATTGAAATGTGAATGAATCTAACTTATTTATTCATCACCTGACATTGAGTACTCTTTTAAATCATTAGCAAGATTGCATATGTGGTTTACTATTATTGGAATAATTATTAAAGAATTTTTTGCACAGTAGGAGAAGAATCATGTGTGGATGTTAAAAACGTCTTCAATGAGAATATTTTGAGTCAATTTACAGTGAGTGAAGCAAATGATTTCTAAATTTTAATGCATTTGAATAACACCGCAAAATCTTTTGATCTTAATGAACAAATACATTTGATATTTAAAGTTCTGCACGATCATGAAGTATCTTTGAGCATTTTTTTTTGTGTAGAGCATTCAGTAATGGAGCTTATCGAGTGAAACTTTAGATTTTAAAGGAAATAAATCAAAACTATTAAGACCCCGATGGCGTACATAATCGCTTATGTTTATTCGCATATATTTAGAGCAACGTTTGACAAGTTTCATTGATTACTAGCTTGTAAATTTAAGAACAATTTAAAATAAATTAAATGCGATTTACAATTAACCGAGACAATAAATAAGTGGTAAAGAAAATTCACGAAATTCTCACTGAAAATTTAATTTTATGGATGAACTTCGCTCCAAACACATTTAAAAGCTGAATGCACAAATTCAGTTTGTTGGATGACTGGAAGAAAGAACAGAAATTGAAAAACAATTGTTGCACATAATGCATGACTTGCAAAACCTTCGTGAAGAATTTTAAACTCACGAAGAGTTTTTTTATTAATTTTTCAATCGCTTTCCGTGAATATGAATAAAAAAGTTCCCGACAACTTCTCACATGTGAAATTATTGCGTGGCAAAATATCATAAACACATTTAATGATTAAAACGAGAAAGTCTTCAACAGTTTATTTACACAACAAAATCAATTAAGTCATCATGAAATATGTGTTAATTACTTTGTCATATTATTTGTAAACTTTACATCTTTAAGTTATGACGCGTGGCATATATTTTGACTTTAACGTCTTGTTAACGTCAATTATCGATGAAGAAGGAAAAGAAATTTTCAATCATTTTTATTCACTTTAACAAGCCTCGAAAGCTAATCTACTAAAATCTACTCAGTTGCATGGTTGCGTAATAATTCAAGATAAATTAGGCAAAATACAGAGATTTCGTGTTGATTGATTATTCGCCGGTTAGTTTGAATACGATTGACTTCAATTAGCCTCTGGAATTTGCTTTAGTTCCAGGCTTTATTATTAAGCATATGTGTGGATATAAGAGAAAAGTTTCAGATTTTTTTGTAATGATTGCAGGTCACAAGCCGGTGATTAATTGATACGAAATATTTAACAAACAATAAACTTCACATTCAGTTCTTTTATGTAATAGAAATTAAAATAGATATCTAATTAGGAAAGCTTCGAATTAAAATAATCAAAATACAATACAACACCTTAATAACATTTTTTGTGAATGTCGATTGTTGTTTGTCATTTCAGAATCAACAACAGTGCAACATACAATTCACAAATCGATCAGTAATGCATGGTAATCTCTTTCTTCCATAAACATTACATAAAAAGTTTCTTGATTGTTTACTTTCGTTTAAGAAAAGAAGGAAAAAATGTGCGAGTAACTTTCGCATGTGTCTGACACATTTCCACGGTTTAATTGGTGCCCGAACCAATGGGCTGAAAGAAACAGTTCATTTCAGATGCTTTTAACAATTTTTTCTGTCTTCAGAATTGCAAGTTTCGTTTCTTCTTTTTTTCTTAAAAGGTTGAGTTAAGCATTAAGTGCTGTTGCATAACTTTCTGATGACTAGACGCATTTGTGTTTGATGTTCTTTGTGCGTTGCTGCTTAAACAAATTCAATAATAAAAATCTCACTACCTTAAATTCCCACGCAACATTTCATTTGTAGATCGTGAAGTTTTTGTGTCAAAAAAAAGAAGTTGTTTCGATCTTTTGAAATTATTCAATTCTAAGCATCCATGCGAGTGTTGAATGCTCGAAACGAAGTAATGAAACTGAAACAAAGTTTATCAATGAGCATGAAACTGTTTGTTTTTCAATTCATTCGAAAAATTAGGTGTTGTAAACAGCTTACTACTGTTAAGTAAATAATCGCGTGTGTCACTCATCTTGCATCATCGTTTTCACTCTAATTTTCCCGCTAATTACTGTCGAACGTCAACAATACATAAAATTGAGAAAATTGGTTAATAATAGAATCGATGTTGTCAACTATTTTCCTTTTGTTCATCATGTGAAATTTACGGTTTGTTATCTTTGTCGCTTCACTCAGCTTTTAACTTTATAAATTTAACAAATTACTACAATTTGAGATTTGAAATGAATACGAAAATCTCATTGGAAAGCCTAGTTGAACAATTGAGCGAATTATGATGTAACTGAAGTTTACTTTTGTCTCTTCGATACTTTACAGCGCAAAGAGAAGTGTTAACTTATTTAATACCTCAACAAATGAATTTGATTAACAAGAAATAAATCTCTGTACTGACTGATCTGAACATTATTATTCATGCCACAACTTCTGACCAGGAAATCAAAGATTTAACAACACCGATTATTTCTCCTACACAAAAGCAATCGAAATGATCTCATCTCTTTATATTTTTATGCAATTTTTGTCAAACTTTCACTCTTAGAAACAATAAAATTCACAAATGTAAAATTAAGTAAAATGTGTCATTGCAATATCGTGCAATTTATGTCTCACCGACATCAATCAACTCGTATTTTGATTAAAACATGGGATTAATGTTCAATAAAAAGTATTTCATTCATAAACTTGGGTAGATCAGCTTCTCAACTTCTCTCTGAGTATTTTTATGTCTTTCATGAGCACAACTAACAGCAAAAGCTTTGATCGTTGTTTGAAGCTTTATGAGAAAATGCAGCTAACTTAAAGAAACATTTAACTTCACAAGAAGTGGGATAAAATGTACTTCAAGTCTGTTTGAAATTTATCGAGAGTATAAATTGGAGCACGAATGAAAAATTCGGAAACAGTCTGTTGCTGACCGTTTAAAGTGTTTGACGTGAAAAATTGTGTGAAAGGATTTTAAGAAAGGATTTTACAAAAAAAATAAATAAATCAAACATAAAAAGTGTAAAGAAAAAGAAAGAAATTTTTAAGAAATCTTAAAAGAAATATAAGAAAAGTAAGTGGACAAATTATTTGGATTATGCAGTCATTTGAAAGTGAAAAAAAGAAACATTTGAGAAATTATTTTCCGATGAATAAATTCAATAGTTCTCGTAGTTGTACAACTGTTCATGACTGGAAAAAATCATCGTGTGGTTCTTAAACGCAGTTTTCAAACAACAAAACTCCGATCAAGAAAATAAAATTGGAAAATCAATCGAAAAGTTATGAATAAAGATTACAAAATTGAGATAATGATTTGAGAAATAAAAACAAGTCAAAGAAATCACGACAAAAGAAAGAACTCAACTTAAATAAAAAAAGAGATTAAGGAAAAAGATTTCCATTGAAGTTAAATGAAATTTGATTATGAAGCTGTTAAAGTCACAGATATCTTTCGAAAATCTTTCGTGCTTTTGTCGTGAGACATGCTCAAATGCTTTTCCCAAATCTCAAAAAGCTTCACAAAAAAAATTGATTGAAGTGTGACTTTGTCAAATTAGATCGATTAAAATATTTTCCATTGCGTAAGAAAAGTTAACAAAAGAAAAGTTTAATTATAAAGAGAAAGAATAAATTCAGCCATCGATTTTTGGTGAAATTCAGTGAACGACTCAGACGCTTAAATCTTGAATGAAAGCTGAACAATATGATTGCTGTTGGGAAAGGTTAAATGGATTAAATGAAGACGTTTACGATCGTTAATAACTAATTTTTGCAGACGGTTATTAATCATAATTAGCGGTGAAAAAATGTTTAATGATATCAATTAAATATGACGTCAGTCTAGTAAATAAAATTCTCAAAGAAGCGTTGATCGGTGTAATGATGATCGTAACGCAATTAAGTAAAACTCGCACTTAAGACAGAATCGTTTGTGCGTTTGATGATTTACATAATTTTTCCAATAACAATAAACATTGTTGAAATTCAAATAAAAATCTCAAAGCAATACGAAAGCATGTTTAACAACTTTAATAAATTTCTCAGCCAGATGAGTCTTGCTGAGTGGAAAAATGAAACTGCAAATATCGGGGATTAAATGAAACAATACTTAATTTGTTCAAAATGGTTGTTTAGCTCGTGTTGTGCTATTGATTTAATTAAAAATACAAACATTTATTTATTGAGAGATGATTATTAAAATAAATATTTACATGGAAATTCAATAACAAAACTACGGAAAAACATTTTTCTGTTTCGTCATTTCAAATAAAGATTTTTCAAGTAAGATGAGTTGCGATTAAATTTGATCATCAATTATTTCATTATTTGTCGATTTGCAAATCAATTCTTGCGAAAAGTTAAAAACAAATCGCTCAGGCTCATGAAGAAATCCAAGGATGAAGAATAAGTCCAATTGATGTGGAAATAGATTTTTTTTTGTAATTCATCAAACTGCGTAGTGTGAGATTTGATTAAAAAGTCATTATAAATGAAAGGAGTTATTCGACCGTGTAAATAGCTGACAGTTGACAGCATGATAAAGATTTAATTAATGTCACCATAACTCGCTATTCAAAAGGCTTTGAAACCGCTTTTTGTATTAATGGAAAGTTTCTACATTCGCATGCATAAACCAGAATTGCGTTTCCTGATTTTGATTGTTTTCAATTTCTCTGAAAAAAATACTGAGAATATATTGAGACATGATGTGATTCAACCTTGAATTGCGAATATTTAGAATGCATGAAAGTGTTGATAAAGTGACAAGTGTAAAACCACGCACGTAAATCAATCTCTCTTGTTAAAACATTACATAATTCGATATAAAAGCAGTCTACTTAACAGCTACCGCAAAAATGCAAAAATCAAGTGGAAACAAATTACTTCTTTGATCAATTTCAATGAATTCTCGTTTTGTTATGCGAATTTTTGCTTTAATAAACGCGATCAAATTTTCTTTCATTCATTAATATTCATAAATATTCATACTTTGGCTCAATTTCTCTTTCAAGGAAATTCAAATTTCATTTAAAGCAACAATAAAAGCGATCTATAAAAAGAAGAAGAATGAAATGCTTTCCATAATTATCTATTTAACGAACGAAATGTTTGGCTCACAACAACAAAAACTTTTTTTAACTTCCTCGCAAAGTAAAAATTTTATTTTTAATGATATTGCAAATAAATGAGAATCAGATTTGCCGGTTGAGGAAACAATAAACTACGTAACCCAATTAAATTGACGCTATATAAGTAACATTAAGTCCACAGACATTTATATAAAAATAAATTGAATTAATCTTGAAATTGGTAAACCTCTCTGCATAAAATTGATTTGGTTGGTTCCATGAGTTGACCACAAGTTGTTTATGTTTGAATCAATCAAGCATTGTCTTAAACATTTAAACATAAACACTAATCCCAATATCAATTAAACTGTCAAGGTAATTAATTAATTAGATATTTAAAGAAAACATTTTACAGTTGACACAGTTATCGAAAATTCGATTTAATCCAAAACTAACACGAAAGGTTTTCTCGGTTTCCATTTCTCGTTATTGAATGTCAAAATGTTCCCAACTTGCGGGCGTAATGAACTGTTAAAATGTAAACTTTAAAAGTTTAATATTGCATAAGAAAAATAAAACATTCAAGTTTACTTCAGGCCATTCGGTTACATTTTTCAAAACTTGTTAGCATATCGTGAGAGTTTTTTTCTTCACATAAAAATGTAAAGCGACCTTTGATAAAATATTTAAGATTTTTGGAAGCGAAGAGAAAGATTGAGCGCGTGCTACGTGAAGCATAAAAAAAAGGTGTCTGAGGCTGATTGAAAGCGAAAGTATAAAAATTACTTAATGTAAAGAAAACAAATGAGGGTCAATCAGTCTTCAAGATCGAGACCACTTTAAGCGGAATATTTTGTTTCATTACTAAATTCCGGTAGTTGAAAATGGAATTTGATATTATTTCCCAATTTAGTCATGAAGGAGAATTAATTGTTTGGATAATCGTTTTTTAAAGATTCTTCTTAAGTAGCAAGGAAATCAATAAATGAGAAAGAAAAAATATTTATTTTGTACATGTGGCAAAGAGCGGAACGAACAAAGAATCGTGATTCGTTACACAATTGTTTCTTAGTTTGTTACATTCAACACATCACGACAATGTTCTTTACGAGAATCTGTTTGAAAAGATCGAATGGCTGATGACTTATGACTTTCATTTGATATTTTTATGTAATGAAAAGTTCACAATAATGAACTTGAATGGAGAACTTAGCAAAGCTTATGAGGGTGTGTACGATAATTACGTCACGCCAGATTAATTTAATCCACGTTTTTGCTGATTTTTCAAGGTAATCGCTTAAATTGAAATCTTTGAGATTTCACGGTAAATAAAATCAGAAGAATTGCTAGTGACACCGTTTATGAAAATTTTAATGATATTTGAAGTTTCAAAAAGAAAATCGCAACATCCAATAAATAAACTATTTTGTACCGTTCAAAAATGATTACACTCAAATTGATTTCACAAAATTTAACATGTTTCAGTTATGCAACAACTCTTTTCCATAAGACGACGAAAAATTATTTTCAATCAAATCAACTTTCTATAATCAATGTTTGCTTGTGATTAAAAGATTAAAATTTGTTCATTTTCTTCTCCTTCTTTTCGTTGAAACAGATGAAATTGCTGATATTAACAGCAATTGTCATTGGTACAGTTTGTAGTGTGAATGTGCCAACAACTTCATACGTAACTTATCATGGATCAAGCCCCAGTTACAATCCATTTATCAAATCTTTTTCACCGTCAAAGCCAGCAACTTTTTATGATAATTCAAACTCTTATTTCGAAAGTGGACCATCAACCTTCTTCTCTCAAGCACCAGAACCAATTCCTTCACAAATGTGCCCAGCCACGCCACCATTATGTGCAAAATCACGTTATCGTACATTAGATGGAACATGCAACAACCTCCAAAACCCATTGTGGGGATCAGCAAATAATCGTTACGGTCGTTTGTTGACACCAAAATATGGCGATGGAATTTCAAGTCCACCAACTTCGATTTCTGGTGAAGAATTACCAAATTCAAGATTAGTATCATTGGTTGTTTTCGGTGAAGCTGACGTTCCTGATCCACAATACACAATTGTTAATATGCAATGGGGTCAGATAATGACACATGACATGAGTATGCAAGCTGGTGGAACTCAATCAAAACGTCATGCAACGAGATGTTGTACAGAAGAAGGAAAATTAATCTCGTCTGGTCAACATGCCACTTGTTATGCAATTATCATACCAAAGAATGATCCAGCACATTCACAAACGGGAACTGAATGTCAGAACTTTGTTCGCACGTTAACTGACCGTGACAATAATTGCAAGGGAACTACATCAGTGAAACCAGCGGAACAACTGACAACTGTGACAGCTTTCATGGATTTATCGCTTGTTTATGGAAATTCAGAACAGCAAAATCGCCCAATTCGTGCTTTTACTGGAGGTAGAATGTTGGTTGAAAATCGCGGTGGACATGAATGGCCTCCACAAGACACAAATGCAACAGCATCATGCGATGCACAAAGTCAAGAAGAAACTTGTTATCTTGCTGGCGATTCTCGTGTTAATCAAAATCCCGGACTAACAATCCTTCAAATCGTTCTTCTTCGTGAACATAACAGGCTCGCTGATAATCTTCAACATGTGAATCCTCATTGGGATGACGAAACAATTTTCCAAGAAGCTCGAAGAATCAACATTGCTCAATATCAATACATCAGTTACTATGAATGGCTTCCAATCTTCTTAGGAATGGAGAACATGTTAAAGAATCGTTTGATCTATCAAACAACCAAAGGAAGCTACGTTAATGATTACAATTCCAATATCGATCCATCAGTTCTCAACTCTCATGCAACAGCTGCTTTCAGATATTTCCATTCACAAATCGAAGGGAGATTGGAGTAAGAAATTCAACAAACGAGACGATTATAAAAAAAAACTTTAAATTCACTTTCTTTTTTCTTTCTTTTTCTTTAACGCTTTCAGTCTTATTTCAGAGTCACGATCACGTGTCGGCTCATTGCGTTTGAGCGACTGGTTCAACCGTCCAGTTATCGTTGAGTCCGGAGATAATTATGACTTCCTGACTCGCGGTATGGCGACGCAGCCTGAAGAGTTAACAGATATTAATTTTGATGTCGAAATTAAACACTTTTTGTTCCGACGCGGTATGCCATTTGGCATGGATTTGAGAGCCATTGACATTCAAAGAAATCGAGATCATGGACTTGCAAGTTATAATGACTTTAGACAGTTCTGTGGACTTCCACGTGCACATAGTTGGGAAGACTTCTTGGATTTAATCTCACAAAGAGTAAGTTCATCATAGAAAGAAGATTCAATGAGAAATTTTTAAAATTTTCTTCTCAAAGGATGTCGACAACTTAAAATCACTTTATAAAAGTCACGAAGATGTTGACTTGACAGTTGGAGCTTCCTTGGAATCTCATGTCGCTGGAGCTTTAGCTGGGCCAACGTTCTTATGCATTCTCACTGAACAGTTCTATAGAACTCGTGTTGGTGACAGATATTTCTTCGAGAATGGACATAATGAAGGTGCTTTGTCACGTGATCAATTGAGTGAGATTCGTAAGTCGAGTATGGCAAGACTTTTATGCGATAATGGCAACAGCATTGAAATGATGCAACCGAAAGCTTTCCTTAGAATTGCTGACAAGTAAGAACTTTTCGTCATTTAATTATTTATTCATTTTTATAACTTTTTCTTATTTATTTCAACAGCAATAAAATTGTTCCTTGTGAAGAAATTCCACAAATAGATTTAAGTTTGTGGCGTGATAAAACGACACTTCCATCGTACACAAACAACTTTATTTCATCTCACACTTATCCTTCTTACTATTCCCAATTTACATCATAAAAGAATGTTTAAATAAGTTTTTATTAGACTCCTTTGAGCTTGGAAGGAACGTTCGTGGAAAATTTAAATTGAAATGAAACGAGAACGTTTCTGTTGAAAGCTCATTGTCTTTGCCTTTTTTGTTGTATGCCATTGAATGTTAAAATATTTATTTTTGTAAAATATTTCACAATTCTTTAAATTGCTGCTCATAATGATTAGTAAGTAAATGTTTTTTCATCTTTTCGCTTTATCATCAACATCATTACTTAGGTTTATTATTTTACAAAAAATCGCCACGAGCTTTTCTTGTGGAGACAATTTCTTATCATCTTTAGATAGAATTAAATGTCTTTTCTGTAAACTTGTCTTTAGTAAAATAAAAGAGAATTTAAAACAATCTAAAATGTGTCACCACTGAAACATTCCATTCTTTGTACTAAGTATGACAGGACTTCATTGTTCATGACAATAAAATTTAAATACTTTAACGGTAAGTCAAATTAACAATCGAGAAGCTTTTAAGTTTTAAAAAGAAAATGAAAGCTTTTCTTCTGATTATCCATTACTAAATGAATTATTGAATTGTTATTTAACGATATCACTTTAACTTCATTTGCGTTTCCAATAAACTCTACTTATTCTATCAAAACTAGCTGATTCCTGTCACACTTCTTTCCATTTCATATTTAGCAAAGGAAGGAATTCAACACATTCAGCCACAAATCATCGTGTACTTGCGATAAAATTTAATCGTGATGACTTGAAAGTTAAATTTCAATTTTAATACTTCGAGGTGCACTTTATAAGACTAGAAGCAATCGCAAAAATTTTCATAACGTTAGAATATCGTAAGGAAGATGTTTGGTGTGAAAAGTTCTCCGTTTATTGCGTTAGTTTTTATTGGATTTGTAAATTCAATTTGCTTGCCATCTGATCCGATTCCAATGTAGGAAAATATATTTAAGAAGAAGTAAAGTAAAGTTATAAAAGTTATAATCAACAACGTTTTCTTCCTTCAAGTTGTTTCACTCAGTCAGAATTCGACGATGCTTTCAATATAACTCGACATCAAGTCTCAGTTATGGAAGAATTTTTAATTTCACATTATGATGAAGATGGAGTCGCTTTAAATCATCATGACCCAGCATTTGACCACTTTAAGACTTCTGACATTCCTTCAGACGCTTTGGAAGATAATCGAATAGCAACTGCCATCAATGTTGCATTAACTGTTCTCAAAAGTGCGAAAAATCTTACAAAATCTCAATTGGAATTTTGTGTACAAAAAATATCTTTGAATGAAATTTGCACTCCTAAAATTGCTAACTGTAAAGCATCAGAAACCAGGCAAGTTAAACGATTGCTTCAAATATTGTACAGTTTTTTATAGTTTTTTAATTAGTTATTATCGTTTCGATGGACAATGCAATAACGTGATTAACCCTTTGTGGGGTTCTAAACAGTCGCCAATAATTCGTTTACTGAAAAATGGCTTCGACGACGGAATCAATCCGAATGAGTCGGAAGAGTCAGCACGAGATGATTCCGTCATTGCAAATCATGCGAAGGGTATTAGTGATCAGACAGTGCAGGAAGTTCATAACGATATGAGTACAATGATGGGACAACTTTTGACACATGAAATGCTTGAAACGAAAAAAACGCAAGTTTTCAGTAAAGCTGGAAAAGGAGGATTTAATTGTTGTAATCCCACAAAGAATGAAACGCTCGATCAGGTTATCAAAATCAATAAATATTGCATGCCAATTAAAGTTAAAACAAGTGATTCATGCTATCAAGGAAACGTTAAATGTTTAAATTATATTAAAACATTAAAAGCAATTGACGATTGTGGTCTTCATGAATCTCCAATGCCGATTAACTTCCACACACCTTACATTGATGCTGAATTGATTTACAATGAAATAAGTGCAAAGCATTTGCATGATAATGGAGGGAAATTTGATTTCGATAATGATGAGAAGATGAAGGAAATTCTTGTTGGTTACGACGTCAGATCGATGCAACTTCCAGGACTTTTCCTTTATTTAAGTTTCTTTGCACATTTGCATAATATGTGCTTTGATGAGATGAAACGTATTCATGGACAGAACAGCAACGATGAAATTTCATTTGAATGTCGACGAATCACAACAGCAATTTATCAAAGAATTTTTGTTGATTTTGTTGCACATTTGCTTCGTAAGAATTCTGAATAACTTTTGTTTAATATTATTAAAAACTTAATCTTTCAGCTGGACCTCAAGCATCAAAAATTAATGGCTTAAGAAAATGCTACGATCCATCACACAATCCACAAGTTTCACTCGAATTCAATCTTTCTCTTCGTTTCTTTCATTATTTTCTCCGTCAAAAAATGTTCATTTATGACGAGGAATTTTTTGCAGTCAAAAATGGTTTGAGAGGAAAAAGTCCATCGGAAGTAGATTTTCCTGATTTGATTGATAATTTAACTTTTTATACTGACAATCAATGCGGTTTAACTCATGGATTGCTTGATACTTCATGGAATCTTGGAGGACTTCAAAGCAATGTAATTTCTAAAATTTTCATTATGAAGTTTTCCAAGAATTTTCTTTTTTAATTTTTAGATTCATTGCAACTTTTTCGCACCAAATAAAACATCGCTCGGCATTGATTTAAGAAGTCTTGATTATCAGTTGGGAAAAGAGGACGGTCAACCTTCACTTACTGAGATTCTTAGAGAGATTTGGAAGATTGATAAATGTGATGAAGAGTTTACGATTAAAGATATGATTAATCATGATGACAACACAAGAAGAATGTTTATGGATCGATATGACAATAAACTTAGTAAAGTCGGCTTTACAATTGCGACTGACTTTGAAGATCGGCGTGGAAATCTTATTGGACCGACTGTGGCTCATGTCATCACTGAACAGTTTGAACGAACGATTTGTGGTGACAGATTTTACTTTGAAAATTTAGATAATTTCAGGGAAGGTTTGTTTTCTAAACAATTTTTGTTGTTGATGAAGAATTGATGAAATTATTTTGCATCCAGATCAAAAAGAAGCAATAAGGCAATGGACACTTTTCGATCTCATTTGTTTAGTTCATGATTGCAAGGATACGCGCATTCAACAGACAGCAACATCGTCACCAGGATTTGGAAACTTGAAGTCAACATGTCCATCCAAAACTGAATTAATTCAACGACTGACGAAACTAGCGGATTGGTTTTAATTTAACTCATATTTAATGGGCATTTACAGACTGTAAATTACAGTGGAGTTCTACTTTTAAAACTCAATAAATTTTATTGGCTTTTCGAGTATATTTGATTGTAAATATTTATTAGATGTTTGTTAAAGTAAGTGGACTTAAAATATAATTTCCAGTAAAAATAAAGTTCAGAAAAACAAGAATATTGTGGTTAATTTTTCTTTTTAAAAATACAATGAAACTTCACTTGATATCGGATCACGATTAATGTCGTGAATTTATGAACAGATTGATAAATAAAAAATTGCTATAAAAAGAAGACATTTTAATTTTTCAGTGCAGTTTTTCCCGTGGTTTAATGAAAGTGCTGTGGAAAGCCATGAAAAGAAAAACAAGTGGAAAATTCTTAAAATTATTTTTCTTAATCAAAATTGTTTATTTTTAAATTGTTCCATCAAATTTTAACAGTCAAATGAATGTTTCTCGATTGATGATTTTAACATTCAAAGAAAGTTCAAATCTTTAAAAAGTTTTGTTGAAATCTTTAAATAATTTTCTTTCAACATTCTAACCCAGCCTTGTGTTGACTTATTTCATGGTGGTGAACTTACTAAAGAAATGAAAGAACGAAATTTATATGGAAACTCAATGATAGCATTTTTGGAAAACATTTGTAGAGACACTGGAATGAGTCGAGTGAAGAATTTCTTTATTGCACGAAACAATTCAATGTCATTGCTGAATACTTAGGAATTTGTGAAAAAAATACGAATTTGTAAATTGCCAAAAAAGAAATTTAAAGTGAGTTGAATTAATTCAAATAGGAAAGAAGTTTGTTGAGAAACTTGAAAATTATTTTTATTCAATTATCAACATTAGACGGCGTCTGTGTGAATCAAAATTGTCATCATCGAAGCGCCATTCGAACTCCTTACAAACGACTTTTAAAAAAATTCTTCGATGACTGTAAGCTGCCCCACTTACAAATGCTTCCGTATTACATGTCAATAACGATTTATTATCTATTTCAGCTGTTCACGAAGTTAGGTCAAGTATTAATTCGACTCATTTTTCAAGTGCACGACTTATTTCGTCAGGGTTAAGGACAATTCATGTTCTGATAGTTTCGAGACAGAAGAGAACTTGCATAATGACTTCATTCTAGTTAGTCATTGATAGAAATGTTGGTGAAGCTATTCGAAACAATGGAAAATTTAATGAAAATGAAAATGAGATACATTGAACGATCATTTCCGCTTATGAACTTTCAATTATTTTCCCACAATTTCATGCTTTAGTCATTGTATGGATAAAGTTTCACAACATTGTTGTAGATACAATCACAAGACTTTATCCTGATCTCTCATCAGAAGTTCTGATGCTCGACGTTTTGTTATTGCAGTTTAGTAGAATATCCTGTACATGCAAGCACTTCCGTTAGACATCGCTCAACGATCATTTGTTAGACATCGTCTAAGAAGTTTAAACTCATGTTACGATCCAAATGTAACAGTTGACTTTGCTTCGTCAGCTTAATGCATTTTTTAACTTTATTCATAATGATTACGCTGTGAAATTTAAGAATCGAACAAAATTCTGAAATATTGTTAAGAGATTTGGCAGATATTTAGAGATTTAGGATATCATGAACTTGCTGGTGTTATCTCTGGATGTCTCGATCGATCATTGAACACTAAAACAATCGCTGATGAACTGAGAAATATTTCTTTATTGACATTGAACCGAATACTGAACTGCAAATTTTTCAGCCTTCAAATTTCTTATTCACAACAAACGATAGACCGGGACTTGATGCTTTGTATTATTTCAATATTACAGACGGTCAATGCATATCGAATTTTCTGATTTCGAGGCTTTCTTCACTGACACTGTAAACTAATGGAATTTGACTCTGTGGAAATTTATTGCTAATTGCTTATCCCACATTTAGGAATTCGAATTTCTTAAATATGCATATGAAGAGCCTTGTGATGTTGATTTTGGTGTTGGTGCAAGTATGCATGCTGCAAAAGATAGCAGTGACCTTCTAGGTGAAATTAACGATCGAATAGCGAGACAGTTCGAAAGTTTGAAATGCTCACTTTTACATAAATTTCCTCTACAAAGTAGATTTAAATAATAATTTCACTGATTTTTTATAAAGTTTTTTTAGTTAAAATTGCTGATCAAATCGATTTTGTCATTGATTTATCGTTCGGAGATATTCTTTGTTCCAGACTTATCCAATCAAACGTATTTGTAACACCTGCTTAAGGTAATGAAGAAAAGATTTGCAATGGAAAATTGAATTTAAGCATTGAAGAAAATTCTAAATGAAAAACTTCNGAAATTAACGATCGAATAGCGAGACAGTTCGAAAGTTTGAAATGCTCACTTTTACATAAATTTCCTCTACAAAAGGTAGACTTAAACAACAATTTCACTGATTTTTTATAAAGTTTTCTTGGTTAAAATTGCAGATCAAACCGATTTTGCCATTAATTTATCGTTCAGAGATTTTCTTTGCAACACAATCCCAGACTTATCCAATCAAACGTATTTGTAACACCTGCTTAAGGTAATGAAGAAAAGATTTGCAATGGAAAATTGAATTTAAGCATTGAAGAATATTCTAAGTAAATGAAAAACTTCTTCAAATTCATGCAAATGAAATAATTACAATCATCATTCACAACAGTAAATTTTACAAAACTTTATTAGCTTAAATGTTAAGTTTATGCAATTAAAAATAAAACTTATGAATAAAATTCGCAATTAAAAGAAAGAACGAAGGAAACAAAAATTGCATTCAAAAAGTTTCATTGAAAAATTTTGCTGAAAGAAGTGCTGACAGTTGGACATGGTTAGACAATAAAAGACACGTTTTGCGTTTTGTTAATTCAACAGCAAGTTTCTTTCCATTCATTTCTGAAATTCTTTTATTCTTCAGTATTTAATATCAGCTTCATGAATATTTAGCAACAGTGAGATGTTTTGGATATTTTGTTTCTATTTAATTCTTTCGTTGAATTTTTGTCGGATCTCAAGCGAGACAAAAGAGAATGATTTAAGGTAGCTATAAAAATACTAAAAAAATAATATTAAAGAAAATATTCAAGCAGCAACATTGTCAGTTGAAATCTCATGAAAATATTTAAAGAGTTTAATTGAAGGTAATAAAATTTCTTTCCAGATGCCACGAGCTGCACAAGTTGTTTGAAGAAAGTTCACAATTTGTGAATCTCAGAAGAATCTACGACAACCTTTTAAGAAAAAATCAAGTGACATTGTCTGAGAATGAAATTGGATTGGATTACTTTAAGTCGCATCCGCTGGAGTTTAATTTGAGTGAACAATACTTGAAAGCAGATATTTACACGTGAGAATGTTTAGTTAGTTTAGTGTCATAAATTTTTAGGAAAACCTTTGATTTTATCAAACCACAGACAAACTGCTTCGCTCTTTTATGATCAAATCAAATTAACAAAAGGAGACGCAGACATTCCAACACTTTTCTTGAATTATTCAAATTGCTTTTTTGAACAACAAAACCTTTCAAAGCCTACAAACTTTTCCACTTCGGAATATCGATCGATTGATGGAACTAACAATAACATGAAGCATAGAAATTGGGGAGCAAGTCATACATCTTATGGTAGATTTCTTAAAGCTCATTACGATGATAATATTCACGCAGTAAGAAAAAGTATTCGAGGCTACACATTGCCAAGTCCAAGAAACATTGTTCGGAAACTTTTCTTGAATGACGAAGTTCATTTGAATAAATTTGAAGGGCGGAAGAATATTCCAAATATGCTTGCCGTAATGTTTGCTAAATTTATAGCTAATGATGTTGGTTCTCAACAAATTGTACAATATGCTGATGGAAGCAATGGTGAGTTGGAATGTGAAGTAAATTTATTTTAGTTTTATTTTTATTTTTCCAAATTAGAAGGAATTCGATGTTGTTCACATTTTAATAAAAATTGTTTGCCCGAATCACTGAAACATTCCGCATGTTTTCCCATAACGATATCAAGAAGTGATCCAATTTATGCGCCGAAGAATGTAAAGTGTATGAGTTTTGTTAGATCAAGTTTAATATCGAATAATCCATACCAAATTGAAATTGGAGAAAAGGCAAATGTTGTCACAAGCTTCTTAGACCTTTCGACAATTTACGGTTCTGATTACAAAACAATGAAGAAGATTCGAAGCTTTAACGGTGGAAGACTTAAAAGTAACTTGAGAAATGTTTTACCAATTGACAAAGGAAATTATTTTTCGGGGGATGTTCGAGTTAATCAAACACCTTTCTTGGCTGTTTGGCATTCAATTTTCATAAGACAACATAATAACTTTGCTGACAAACTTGCAATCATCAATCGACATTGGAATGAAGAGAAACTTTTCAATGAAGCTAGGAAAATTAATATTGCAATTTATCAGAAAATCATTTACGAAGAATGGCTTCCACTTTTCTTAGGAACAAAATATTGTGAAAGATACGAGAATATTGTTTACAATGTTGACGTTAACCCAAAGACGACAAACGAGTTTGCGGCAGGAAGTTTTCGACATTTTCATGCATTTATTAATTCTCAGTTTGACTTGTTCGATGGGGAGATGAAAGTTAAAAGTTTTAATGTATCAGACACAATCAACAGGCCGAAACTTTTGGAGAATTTTTATGATGAAATCTTACAAGGGCTTTCAAAGCAACCGATGAATCTTCTTGGCTATTCAAATGAAATCCTGAATAAATTATATAAAAATAAGGAAGACCTTGGTCTGGACCTTCTATCAATTGATATTGTTCGTGGTCGAGATCATGGCATTCCACCGTATCATCAATTTAGGAAAATTTGCAATATGAATTCAGACATTAAAATTTTCAACGATTTATATCCAGAAGTAACCGCGAATGCAATAACACATTTAAGGCAAACATATAAATCTGTTTATGATATTGATTTGTTGGTCGGTGGAGGTTTAGAAAGTGTTACATCATCTTCTAATCAAACAGAAGATGAACTCGGATTTCTGGGACCAACATTTCAATGTACAATTGGTGAACAATTTTATCGATTTAAAGCTGGTGATTCATTCTTTTATTCACATGCGGATAATTTCACTCCAAGTAAGTTTCATTGAAAATTCTTTACAAGAATCTGTCTTTTATCGAAACTTTTTTTCTATTCAGATCAACTTAATGTAATCAATTCCTTCAGCATGGCGCATGTTTTATGTGAAAATTCGCATCTCAGCTATGTTCAAAAGAAAATGTTTTCCCTTAAAAGGGAATCTATTGACAACGAAGCTTTAAATTGTGAACATCTGCCATACATGAATTTAAGTTTATGGAGAGATGATATTGATGAGATATAAAATATACATTTGAATATATTTCTTAATGTTTTCTTACCAAGTTTATGTTTTAACATTAAAATGTTTCATTTAAATGAATTTGTTTGCAAACTTAGTTTTGATTATTTTATGTAGATGGCGCTATAACCACCAAAGAGATATTTTTTAAAGTTCTTTGTTTTTCCTTGATTTTTCGTTTAAAATGATTATTTTAAGTATATATAGAAATTCGTGATTACGAGAAAATAACTTATTTCAATCAAATTGCAGCTTTCCTTTGAGAGATTTAGAAAGAAACTAAAGTAAAAGTTTTATTTTATTGCAATAGATTAACGAACACATTGTGTTTGAATCAGAGATCGAAACCTGTTTAATATTCGAGTCGAGTCGAGTCGAGTGTCTCAATTAAGAAGACCTTTTTCCACAATTTATTAAAATGGATATTTCTAACAGAAAAAGCATTTTTCGCAATCTTAAAATACTTTAATTACTTTCATTAAGTGTCATAGAGTAGAAGTAATATATTCGTTGCCACTAAGCTCTCGAAAATTGTGTAAAAAGTGAAAAAACATAAAATGGTTCGAAGAAAAAAAATGAAAAACTATTGAACCAATCCACTCTCATTAATGGAATTCTGGACTGAAAACATCACAAAAACGAGATTAGACTATTCATTAAGCAATTTCCAGCTAAAGTTTTAACATAAAGTGCAAAAATTATCGAGCTAAGAGTTTAAAATTAAGAACATTTTTGCTTTTTGATTTTTTGTGTGGTGTCGTAAGTGTGTGTATAAAGGAGAAGAGAAAAAAAATAAATTATTGTAAAATGTCCATCGAAAATATTCTAAGAACGAAGGACAAATCACATTCTATCACATCAATTGCATTTCTATTGATCATCGCAATAGCTTTTGATCATTGTAATTGTGATCAAGGTAACATAATTTTTGCCATCCGAAAATACAAAAAAAAATAATTTTTGCCTGCACCATTCATACTCATCTCGATTCTCTATTGTTCTCCATTGTTGATTGTTGTTGTTGGATGCAGTTTTTTTTCATTTGTTGTTGGTGAAATTCTCTGTATGTGGATTTAAGAAGTAAGAAGAAAGAGACGAAAGAAGAATAAGAAAAAAATATTTAAGGGTGTCCTTTTAGTTTTGAATTGTTCACTGATGATGTGACAAAGATAACATTTCCATTATTAACTTTTTTCCCGAAAAGTGAAAATTATCCAAGCGGAAAATCTTTTCCCTTTTACATTTCGACGGATTGTTGAGTGAAAGAAACGGGGAGCCTTCTTGTGCCACCCTTTCATCCTCCAAAATAGCTTGTACAACACTTTAATCCCTTTCCACCTTCCATCTCTTCAAAAAATACTTTCCAACCATCCATGTTACATATTTTTTATTTGTCACGCATCTAAAGAGACGAAGATGATTTTATTTCTTTTTTTTCGGTTAAAACAAAAAAGTAAAAACTTTCGTAGACGAAAATTAAGGAAAGAGAAAGAAGAAGACAAATGATGATGTTTTCGGATGGGGATTTTTTTATGAATGTGCTGCTTGGTTGGGAAAGTAAAAACGACACATCAAAGAGCAGTAGAGAAAAGAGACGAAAAAAAAGACAGAATGCACTAAAAATTGTGTTCATTAATTTTAATTTCTGTCTTTATCGTACCTTTAGTTGTTCTGTTGGATACCACCAAAGAGGCAACATTAGAATGGACCCGTTATCCATACGGACCTCAGGCACAGACACCAGGCGTAAGTTTGATAAGCTTCTCATTTCTTTTCTTATTCCTTCGACAATTTCTTACTCATTCCAATCTCTTTTTTTTTCTTCCACTTGTTTTCCTTTCTCCGACATAAAAAAAATACACAAAAAATTACTTTTTGCTCTTATCAAACGCAAACCAACCTTGTCGGTAAAAGTGGGTTGAGGAGTCGTTTACAAACTATGGAAAAGGAATAAATTGGAGGAGTTATGTAGTGTGTGATGTTGCATATCAGGACGTTAACAATTGGCTTTGGTCACCGTTCATTGATCGTGGACCAGCTAATCGCTTATACATCGAAATTCATTTCACGATAAGAGATTGTTCACTTTTCCCGGGCAATGCCCTCAGTTGTAAGGAGACGTTCAGTCTTCTCTTCTATGAGTTCGATGCAGTGACTCGTGAGCCACCGCCATGGCAACCCGAAAGTTACAAGCTTATTGGACGAATAGCAGCGGGGGAAGGTCGTTTCAATCACAATTCGGATGTTGACATTAACGTTGAGACGAAAAGCATTGCTGTAACAAAGAAAGGCGTTTATTTTGCATTTCGGGACCAAGGCGCATGCATTAGTGTGCTTGCTGTTAAAGTTTATTACTTAACATGTCCAGCAGTTACAGCGAATTTTGCACATTTTAATGAAACACCGACAGGACGTGAAGTGACAGTGATTGAGAAACAACAAGGTGTTTGTGTTGATAACGCCGAACCAATTGATCAGCCATCGTATCATTGTAAAGGTGATGGAAAGTGGACATTGCTGTTAGGCGGCTGTCGTTGTAAAGTCGGTTATGAGCCCGATGAAGAGAAGCAAAGTTGCAAAGGTAATGAAATTATAATTTGCAATCTATTCGTATCAAATATTTGATTTGTCAGCTTTTCAATTCAATTTCCTTTTTCATTTTTTAACGTAGTTTGTCCTGCTGGAACATTCCGTTCAGCAGAAGTTCCCGTTTGCACACTTTGTCCATCAAATTCAAAAACAAACAAAGCAGGTTCAAGTCACTGCGTTTGTGTGTCGGGTCATTATCGACATCCACTCGATGGAAAGCACATGCCGTGTCATAAACCACCAGGACCTCCAGTGAACCTTTCATTGCTGTTCATTGATCAAACAAGCGCAATTTTGTCGTGGAGTCCACCGATGAAAGGAACTGAAGATCATTTATTAAATCAACAGTTCCGGAATGACGTCGTGTTTCGAGTCAAATGCACATCATGTGCCAACAATGTCGTTTTCAATCCTTCTGGTGACGTTTTCAATGAAACAAAATTAACATTGACAAATTTAGATCCAGTGACGACATACACAGTTCAAATTCATACACTTAATGGTCCATCTTACTCACTTGGAAATAATTACAATTATAATTTGTCATCTTTTGGAGGTAATGATGTGACTGAGAGTCCATTAAAGCAGAGAAATAATTATGGGATGGACATCAAGACGGAATATGCTGAAATATCATTTACAACTGAATCAGCGATTTTAAGTACAATTTTTAACATCAAAATTGTGACAATCACGAGTAAGGAAGTTGAATTGGCATGGGATAAGCCAGTTCATAGTGATTCACCAATTGAGTTCTATGAGGTTCGCTGGTTTCCTAAAACAGAAGTTGATGCCATCAATAAAACAACTTACAGTACCAAGGAGACAAAAGCTGTGTTGTCAGATTTGATGGAGAATACCGAATATGGCTTTCAGATTCGATGCAAAACACTTAATGGATGGGGAACTTACAGTAATATCGTTTACGCTCAAACGCTTCAGAGTATTACGCCAGGTAAGCGATGTTCATTCTTTCATTATATTATTCATGTAATTGAGCAATTTTCATTTAATGTTCTTACTTTTCTTTTTTTTCTCTCATCACATTTCAGTGTTTAATGAATCATCAGTTCAAAATCGTCTCGTTGCTGGTGCAACCGTTTTGATTGTCTTCATTGTTGTGCTTGGAATTGTCGCAACAGTTCTCGTTTTACGTACGAAAAATCAAGATGATTTGGATAAGAAAACTAGTAATCATTTGCCATTACCTTTAGATTACGCTAGCAATGAAGGTTTGTTGATGTTATTTAGATTTTTGTTTTGATCCCTTAGTTTAATTTAACTTCTTCTCAAACTCACAAAAGTCATTCATCTTATGAGTGATTTTCTGTTTTGATAGATTTTATTCACATAATTTCCTTTCATTCACCATCAGCATCACGAAAAATGATTTTCTTTCCACTTTTTCATATCAAATTTCATTTTATTTTTATTATTCTTTTTGAAAATTCGGTTTAAAATCAACAAAATTCTCTTTTATTTCTTTCTTTCTCTTTTCCCTCTTTCTCTCTCTCTCTTTCTTCAGGGTTAATCGTAACTTATAGTAAGTGCAATGTCCCTTTTCAAATGGACGATACAATTTTTTTTAAAGAAAAAGAATTTCTTTGCTTTCAATTGAATTTCCTTTTTTTTCGGTTTCATTTTTGGCATAAAACTTTCAAAATTATTTGTTTTGCGCTTTATTCTCGTCGGTTGGTCACTGAAAAATGCATGAAAATTGTGGATGGAGATCGCTTAAGGTTTTTTTATTTCTCTTCTCCCCTTTTTATTTATTTTCAGTCGATTTAGAAAGTTTATTTATTTTTTATTTTGTGTGGAAAATCCTTTGAAGAAAAGCTTTTAAAGTTATACATATGCACACATACATACACATAAGTCACAACATATATTTTATGTTACTGTCCAAGTCTTGCTTTTGGTATGTTGTTGTCAAAAGCTTTTTAAAGTTTGACAAACAACTTCGACTTTTGATTGTGGTAGAATCTTTTCGAGTGTAGCTTTTAAGCATAATCCTCGTCATCATTTGGTCTCATTCCCGTCATTAACATAGAAAAAGAACAAAAACAAAAAATCTCATCAGCAAGTTGATCTGATAAATCTAAAGATAGAAAGAAAGAGCAATGAAACACCTCCCCAAGTATTAAATCCTCCCCCATCCATCCGTCATACTTCTTCTCACCCTCAGATCCACTTAAACTTTCAAAAGGTTTTCTTCTCATCAGAATGACGAATTTTCAATGCATTTTCTGAACACTTCAACCTCATAAGCTTTTCCAAAAGCAGCTTCAATGTGAACTAGTAAATTTTGTCTAACGAAAGTTTCCACCAAATGCTGCACGAAAATAAAATATAAAAAACAGAGAAAGATTTGAATAATTTTGCTCTCCTCCTGACTCAGGAATTTCTTCTCCACTTCACATCTTTGTGATTAAAAGTTTGTGCATTTCGGCAGATTTTTTATTATTTTATTTCTTTTTCATAACGATGTTGAGCAGAGTTCATTGTTGACAGCGTCTTTTGTTTTTCGTCATGGATCCATTACATAAATTACGAGATATGCAAAAGTCAATGTGCGAGAATTTTTTTTTCTTCTTTGATTTTAACATTTAAAGTTCAATGCTCCAAAGCCTTTTCTGTCTTTGATATTAATTAATTACATAGAGCTAGTAATTAGAGTTTTGTTAGCTTTCATGGTTCAAGAATTTCTGTTTCTCCTTTTAAAATGCGATGAAATCTGAAAAAAAGTTTAAAACTTGTTGAAAATTGCACATGACGACATTTAACACCCACAACTTTCTCTTTATTCTTTATTTCTTTGTATCATATTAAGACTTTTTCTCATATTCTCACCTTTGGAATTTTTCTTTATTTACATTTCTTAATTTGTTTATGTTGAAACATTTCATGTTGTTTTGTATTTAGAAAAATAATTTTTGAATGAGCGTAAAGAAAGAAAGAAAAACTTGAAACGTTTCCATTGGCAATTATTTGTGAGTTGATGAAACATTCAAACATTCAAAAAAAATTGCAATTACGTTTGCATATCGAACTTCATCAACTCACAATTTTCTTTCTTCTTTTTTTGCGAGTGAAGTTTTGATTAAACTTTTCTAATTTATGTTTTTTTTTTTCTTTTTTTTTATATCTGACATTTTTCTGTTGCATGTTTTGAAACGAAAACAAATATAAATATGAAATCGTTGTTGATTGGCACATAAATGATGAAAACCTGATGCACTTCGAAACAAAACAAAACTAAATAAAAAAAAATGAATATTATTGTGTGGTGTGGCATTTTATGGTGTGCGCTCATTGATTGCAACTCTATCTGCATATCCGACATGCTGCCTGCTGCTCATCCCGTCTGGAATGGCTTCACTTCTTTGTTTTTGTGTGACTTTATGGTTTATGTAATAAAAAAAATCGCTTCAATACGATACAAATAAGTAGAAGGTGGCTATAAATATTATTCTGCTCGCCGCAATAATTTTGCAGTGACAACGCCACTTTTTGGAGCCAACCGAACAACCTACGTTGATCCACACAACTATGAAGATCCAAATCAAGCGATACGTGAATTTGCCAGGGAAATCGACGCCAGTTACATTACAATTGAGGCGATAATTGGTGAGTTTTGATCGACAGTTGAAGGATAAATAACCACGGAGATGTCGGTTGACAATTTAATATAAATTAATTAAATATTCGAAGAAATTTACTTTACTCAAGTATCTTAAATCTCAAAGATTGTTATTTATCTCACAAGTGGCCACTTAAGATTTCTTTTTCCTTTCCTCGAGACACTTGAAGTTTTTAATTGATTGTTCAAGCTGAGTTCTTATCATAAATTTAGACAAACTCCGTGGTTTTTTTGAGAAAAAAGAGATAAAAATTAATTATGCATAAAATTATTCCAGGTGGTGGTGAATTCGGTGATGTTTGTCGCGGTCGTTTAAAGATTCCGCCCAACTTCATGCAAGAAATCGATGTAGCAATCAAAACATTAAAGCCAGGATCCAGTGAAAAGTCGCGATGCGATTTCCTGACAGAAGCATCCATAATGGGACAATTTGATCATCCCAACGTGATTTATTTACAAGGTGTCGTGACACGATCCAATCCAGTGATGATAATCACTGAATATATGGAAAATGGAAGTCTCGACACATTCTTAAGAGCCAATGATGGCAAATTCCAAACGATACAACTTATTGGAATGCTGAGAGGTATTGCAGCTGGCATGTCATACCTCAGCGACATGAATTACGTCCATCGAGATCTTGCAGCTCGTAATGTTCTCGTAAATGCATCACTTATATGTAAAATCGCTGACTTTGGATTGTCACGTGAGATTGAAAATGCAAGTGATGCATATACGACAAGGGGCGGCAAGATTCCTGTTAGATGGACGGCACCAGAAGCGATAGCATTCCGTAAGTTCACATCAGCATCTGATGTGTGGTCGTATGGCGTTGTGCTATGGGAGGTGATGTCATATGGTGAACGTCCATATTGGAACTGGTCGAATCAAGATGTGATTAAAAGCATTGAGAAAGGCTATAGATTACCGGCACCGATGGATTGTCCTGAAGCGCTGTATCAATTGATGCTTGATTGTTGGCAGAAGCAACGAACACATCGACCAACTTTCGCAAGCATCACACAAACACTCGACAATCTTGCGCGTCAGCCGCAACTTTTACTCGCGTTAAGAAATTCACCGACTGAACAAGGCCCAGATATCTTCCATCATACGCCAACATCATCGTCATCGTCGAACAATCAACATCAGCCACAACAAATCATGATGAGTCATACGATGGATAGTCGATGTGGAACGATGGGAACAGCAACAGCCGTTGTTGTCTTTAATACAACCGAACAATGGTTGTCAGAGATAAAAATGGGACGTTATGCGCAACATTTTAAAGATTCAGGATTAGTAACCGCTCAACAGGTGATTATTATTTGAGAATTGACACAATTTGAAACAAACTTCCAGCTCTGTCATTACAAAAAATATTTTTCCGTCACTTTTAGGTCGCTCGTCTGACAGCTCAACAACTTTCTGATATGGGAATCACGCTTGTCGGACATCAGAAGAAAATACTTCATCAAGCACGTCAGCTCGATACTGTAATTTAAAGACACTGATTAATTATTACATTAATACTTGGCAACTGAAGTGATTCATCTTAAACTAACTGAAATCTCTTCTCTTTTTATCTTTGCTTGTTCTCTTCTCACTTTTTTTACTTTCTTGTGATTTCATTCCACGCAATGATTTTAATCTCCTGCAAAAACAAAAACATAAAAAAAGAATATCGAGATGGACAATTTTCTGGCGACGCCAACTTCCATGTTTGTATGATCTCCGAAAACTTCACATTACAATGAATGTAATTTGTAAATATATTTCTTTCTTCTTCTTCTTCATCCATTCTAAGAATTTCACAGTGAATGAAGGGGCGCTTTGGGGGATGCATCCATCAGTCATGTCACGAGAATTTATTGCCTAATTGCTTGAAAAGAATTTTTTGTACACTTGAATTGGAAATCTTGCGAAATGTCGGTGAAAGAAAAGATCATCTTTAATTGCTTATAAAACTTCTTCCATATGTGACAACATAGATGGATCATCCCTTTTGTCCAAATAAACACGAGAAAGGAAAAAAGAAAACACCATCTTTAAGTAGTCCATAAATTGGATTTCATTTAAGAAATTAGCAATTTTTTTAAAAGAAAAATTAACACAATGAAAAGCTTAGAAGAATTTTAGTAAAAGAAAAATTTTCATTTTATCTTTCGATGAACCTTTCTTCACATTATTTGATTGAAAATGTTGAATAATTATTATGATAATCGATATCCAGCCAGTATTAAGATCTTCCTGATTTGTGACTTTAAAATTGGATAAAATTCTGTTGAAAGAAATTAAATTGAATGAAAAGGAAAACTTTTCTCCACCCATGTTATTAATGATGAAAGTTTTCATTTGATTCAAATATTTGAAATGAAAAACTAATTTCCATATTCAAATGTTTAACTTAAATCAAAACTTTAACATTAAGCAGCTTTTTTATTTTTCTTCTACTGAGTCATCGAAAGAGTTAACGACGTACAAAAACATTAAAGAAAGAATTAAATTCAATCAAATGAAAGTTAAAATGAAATCATAAAAAGAATTCTTGCCATTTTTTTCCTTTTTCTTCTTTGCTGCTGGCATAAAAAGAGATTTAATGAGCTTAGAGTATATTTTATGAATGAACATGAATAATTATCATTCTTTTATTATCGCAAATTTATCGCAACAAACATGACAAGAAACAGAGAGAAAACATAACAAAAACTCGTAAACTACATTGAAACTGCAATAGACTGGATTTTATTTTAATGAAAACTTGCCGCACAGCATAACAAAACTTAACTAGTGTTCATTTTCTCACCCTCAACTAATGAAATCGCTTGAGAAAAAAAAGAGAGAAAATTTAATATGAACACGAATCCGTACACTAATTTACAATAATAATTACATAACAGAGAAAATGACTTAACTGATGAATAATTATATTGAAATCATTTAACATGCTCGCTCCCAACAAAAGCCTTTTGTTTAATCGACTTAGGTAGATCTCGTGTTATGATTTTAACTTTTATTCATGCATTTAATCAGAACAATACATAAATTGTACAATATAGTAATGAAGATGATTAAATTATAATTGAGTTGAAAAATGTTTCACAATTTTCACAATGACATTGACAGTTAAAATATAGAAAAGTGAAATTTTATACTTTTTTTGTGATACAAACATTTATTTGTATAAAAGGAAATTGGAAAGATTAAAATGCTAAGACTTTAATGCTTAATTAAATGATTTGAATTCTTAAAAGCAAAATGTAATAGAAAAAAGATTTTTCCAATTAACAAGTTACTTAAATAACTGAAACTGTGCTGGTTGATGCATTTAAAGTTCACCACAACTTTTTATTTCTTGAAACTAAATATTCAAGTGTTGAATAATTTTATTTTATTTTTAATTATCTGAATAACAAACGAATTTTAATTCATTTATTCCGCAAAACTCACTTACAAACAGACAACGCACATCACATTCCAAAACGAAAGTCAAACAATTTGTATTTTGTTGATTTATTTGTGGAGCTTCTTTTTGAGAGATTCAAGATTTGTGTGATGAACTTAGAAGTGTCATGAAAGCTTCAATCAACATAAAAACATTAATCTTGAAGCTTTTGAATCTCCAATGTTTTTTCTTTTCGAAAATCTCTTGCCATAGATCCCACTGGGAATAAGATTGATTCCCTTATTTATCTTACTCGATGCATTTTATTGTTTTTATTTTAATTAATTAATTAACCATTCGATATTAAGACTAAAAATCAAAAAAAGTGTTTCTTAATCCTTTATGATTTTACAAACGATTTTCATAAGACTGCAAAAATGGGTGAACATAAAAATTATCTATTTAATCTTTTCTTTATACTAATGTTTATTATTATTATTATCATTATATAATTATTATAATTATTATTATCTCGTGAGAAGAAACAAATCACTTTGAAAGATGAAAACATTTAAGAAAAAAAATCTTTCTTCCTTAGGATTAAGTGACAAAAGAGATCTTAAATTTTAAGGACACAAAAAATGAAAAGAAAAAAAGAATATTAATAGCAATAAATTTTAATACAATTGAGAGAGGGTGAAAATGTTTTATAGAAAAGTTTTTTCTGCGCGCTTCATTGTTTTCGCTTATCAAGAAAGAGATTGGAGTTGCATTCATACATTGCGTCACATGTAAAGAATGATATTAATGAAACTACAAGTGGATCTATGTTTGCTACCTTCAATTCTACGATACACTTGGAAAGAAAATTATGAAAATGATATTTAAATGACACAATGTCTGAAACAACTCACAAAATGATTAAAAGGATGAATGAAAACAATTCTTTGCAATTTTTTGCTAAAATTAAATTATAAATGTAAACAAAAAAAAATATGTGGTGAAATCAAAAAATAATGAAAATGAAAATTACAAATTAACAGGTAAAGGTTTCGTTTTTGATTTGTGTAATTTTAGGTGAGAACGATATCAAAATAAAACGAAAATAGAATCGCGTCAAAGTAATGATATTAAGAAACGGAAGTTTAGTGAAACTTTAATTAAGAAAATTTTTGTTTCATTAGAAAATTTCTATTAAAAGAAGAAAGACAAAGATGAAGAAAAAACTTAGGAAACGGTCTATGAAATAACAGAAAATGAAAAATCATAAGAAATCTTATAATTTCCTCTCTATTTGTCTCATATTTTGATAAGATAAACACTCGTGTAAATATCATTTAAAAACATTGAACAGTGAAAAGAAAAACACAAAAACAAGCCCAATTGTGAAGTAAAATCTGAATCATTAATTTAAATTGAATAAAAATCATCAAAAACAAAATAAACTTTGTTTTCTTCGACAAACAGTTTACAGCAATTTTAAATGTAAATTTTTTAGCAACATAAATCTTCGCACGAAAGCCAAGAAAGTTGTTGATTGTGTGGTTATTGATTTCTGAAACAAAGGAAAGTTTTCTTAAAAGGCTTCCATAAAAACAAGAAATTCTTAATTATAAACTTTTCTTAAAACCATAAAAGTCTCAATGTTGATTCAACATAATTATGATTTCACCCTCACTTGCTTGTAATCAACATTCTCTTTATTCGTACGATGAAGAAAATTTTCAAACTGAACAATTTTATTCTTCATTTGTTTCTGACTTCTATAATTTAGAATTTGGAATGAAAAAGCTTTCACAAAAAGCTCAAAAAGAGCTTTCGTGAGAAAGAGAAAGAGAGGATTATAAAAAATTGAGAGAGTAAATATTTACAGTATTAAAAAATATCTTTTTATTAATTTTCATGTTTTAATGAATGAAAATTTCTTACAAATTTTTAAATATTTTATAGTTATGACTAAGAAATCTTTCCCACTTATTTTTGGGTGCATTTAAATGCTTTGAAATGACTTCTTATGACTCATCTGTCAAGTCCATCGCGATGATCATAAACTGCTTCAATCACGTTGATTGTGTATGTGTCGATTATGCGTAGTAAATAATTTATACGAATAGCTTCCTTTACTACATATCTATACACGCAAATTACTCACTCTCACTTTTCAGAAAGTCCATCGATGCTTGTGAGTAAGTAACTCAACGCTCCATGCCGTTGACACAACACTTTCTCAATGCCGAAGTAAATAGAAACCACCAAAAAATTCTCTCATCACTTTTTTTCGGTTTAACTTCAACAGCATGACGGCAGAAGAAGTGAACACATCGCTGAATTCTCGCAATATATTTTTTGCATTAGAAAAAGAAGTAAACACACCACTACAACTTCAGAACGTCACATAGAATGTTCTCAATTTACACACAGTGGAAGAAAAAAAAACATCGTTCTTCTTAGGTTGAGTCAGGCGAAGTTTTCGCTTTCAGTTTTTCATTCGTCGAACTGAGGAGCGGTCGCAAAACACAAGAATTCTTTTTCAATTCGCGCTCTCTTACTCAAAAATAGTTTTATAATTAAAAAATATTCGCGGTACCGAAATTTCTTCTGTTTTATGATTTTTTTCTTTGTGTCTCTATTTTATTTGAACAAAGATTAACAAAAAAAAATTAATCTTTGGCAATCAAAAAGATAAAAAAGGAAACTGAAATTAATAGGAAAAAAAACAGGAAAAATATTTTCGGATTTCAACTTTACTTTTTCTCCGACTGCAAAATTCTTCCTCAACAACGGTCGCGTGTGTCAAAGTTTGTCGACGAACGAAAGATAAATAAATATCGAGACAAGAGCCTAATTAAATTACCCGCATTTTACAAGAAAGGAAGAAAGAAAAATCCCAAAACAAAACCAAATAGTCGTAAAACGAACTGATAGGTTTATCGAATTGAAGGCGAAAGAAAAGAAAGAAATAATTTGCACTACATAGAATTTGGGATTATAGTAATGACATAAGCTAGATTATTAGCTGACATGACAGTAGACAATCCTTAGCAGGAAAGTAAAAATTCTTCATTTGCACCTTTCGTGTTGAAAGAATGTCGAAGGTGATGACGCGCACGGATAATCGTCAATCGTCTTTTATATTTTTTTCTTCACTTTTCTTTTCATTAAATTGAAATTCTCTACGAATTGACCATGAAATATTTTTCTACTCCACGATCTCGGCCGCCAGTAGAGAAAAGAAAAGAAAAATCCCGATAAATTTTACAAAAGCCAGAGAGGAGTGGATAAGATCGTCGCTTTTCTTTTTTAAATTTTCTTGGCATGCATATTGTCAGGCTCAACGAAGAGTAAGGAAAAATGAAAGAAGAAAAATTTTCATTATAAAAATATAATTTTGCTTTGCTATGAAAAAAAAATTTCATTGGGTGAGTTGAAGCTCCCTGTGTCAGTGAAGGCGGATGATCGTCATCATCTTATTCATCTTCAGAGTTCTTAAGTTATTTCATTGCAGAATTTACGCAAATGTAGTTGATCAATACTTTCTTTTTCTCTCTTTCACTCATCAACTCATTGACCACAATAAGTTTCAAGTGCTTTCCACTTAATACCCGCTACTGTTTGATGTTGAAAATAAATTTTCATTTTTTTTATTTTCAAGACTTCCCAGGGTTTTTCTTTTCCTTTTTCTCAAAAAGAAAATTATTTAATTTTTCTTTGAGCTAAGAGCGAGCGCGACTAGTAGTCTTCGTACCTTTGATTCGCGCGTGTCGATCGGTCTTTTCAGTCGTACTGGTTTTCCCAGGTGCAAGCTTCATTAGTTCCGATCGTTATCGCATGAAAGTGATAATCGAGAGGATTCTTGAGTGCTTTCTTCCCTTCGAATGTTGTTGTGTCAGCTCTTAACATCTAATGATTTCATCAACCGAATGAAATGATTAATTTTTTTTGTTATTTTAGTTGAATATTTCGAGCATGTCGATTGAAAAGTAATCGATTAACCCAACCAGAAAAATATTTTTCTCCAATCTTATTGATAAGATATCTTGTCGATATTTAAAAAATTTGGAAGAATAAAAAAGGGAAAAAAATGTGAAATTAGTGCCGAAAGAATAACGTGAGTGTGTGAATGGTCGAGACATAAAAAAGAATTGTCAAGAAGAAGAAGAAGCAAAAAAATTATAATTAGAAAAATATTTCTTCTCGAAAGGAGCAACAAATAAAAAAAATATCTTACAGAGAAAGAAATGTTAAAATTAGCTTCGCGGGCAAAGTGATAAATTCTAATGGATATTTTCTTCTGGTGATGTTCATCGTGAACCTACAGCAACTTTCTCAAGAGCGACACAACGATTTAAGAACCAATTAAGTGCCCCGCGAGACATTGAAAATTAGTGTCATCTTCAATAAACGTTTGTGTGTATAAATGTTCACCTACTTAGTCACGGGGTTACAAATCCTCCTAGAAATATAAAATATTTTTATAACAAAAGAAGGTGAATTTATCTAAAATATCTGTCTGCCTTTCGGCTTCTTCTCTTTCCTTCTCTCTTTCTTTTCGACGGGGCGTAATAATATAAAATTAAAATAAAATCAAAGTGAAGCAGTACAAAAACGGGAGCAAAAAATATAAAATTTTTAATATACAGCAAAAAAGATCGCTCACAAGTAAATTTTATTTATAGTTCTAGTGTAGTGAACGTCGAAAAGTTTTTTTTTGCTTGTAACGTCAAGAAGGAAAATCACGAAAAAATATACAATAATAAAGGGAGAAAAGTTACAAAATAATTAATTAATAATTTTGTTCAGAAAAGAAAAGTTTTTGGTGAGAAGAAAGTAACAGAAAAAGAATATCACGGAAGTAGTGAAACAATGGAAAGAATTAAAACGACCAATCGATTTCAACAAGCATTCAGTTAGCACCGTATCGGTCGTTAAGAAAGCAGAAAAAAAAACTCAAACACGAGGGCCGATTAGACAAAAAAGAAAATAAACAATTTAAAGTGCGAACGTAAATAATTTTTTTCCTACAAATCCAGTGAGTCAGTGAAAATAAAAAAAGGAAAAACTAGCGAATTATTAATTTTCATAAAAGAAAAGAAAAGTTTTCTTCGCTAAAAATAATACCTAACTATCTTAGTTGGCTAATCGTCAACAAGAGCTTTCCTATGTTGTAAAAGAACGAAAGTGAGAAAGATTTTATTTTTGTGCTTTGAACTCTCGAGATTCTGTTTTACTTCTCAGACGTTTTGAGTAAATAAATATCTAAGAAAGAAGAAGAAGAAGATACAACGAGATTATCGGAAAAAGTAAAACAATTTTTTGTTTGTTGTGAAGGAAAAGCGAAACGAGCATTTGAATAAATATCCACAAATATTTTGTTGTGCTGTTGTTCTTCGATTTAGTTTATTTGTAATACAAATCAACACGAGAAGAAATAGAAATGGGATCAGCAGGGTTAATTGGATTGATGCTGATGTTGGTGGCATCGGCTTCGGTTGCTTTAGCGCAAGTCTCAAACTCGTCAGTTCCACCACCAGTCGAAGATGACACGATTTGTAATGATGATGGGTTGCTTCTGAAGGTTTGGCAGCCGCAATATGGAATTACGATAGGCGATCGCTTTGCACGAGGTGCTGCTTACTTTTTTGCGCTTTGTTATCTCTTCATCGGTGTATCGATTGTGTCAGATCGATTTATGGCAGCCATTGAAGTCATCACATCGAAAGAAAAGGAAGTTAAAGTGAAGAAGCCAAACGGTGAAGTTCAAATTGTCATTGTGCGCGTTTGGAATGAAACTGTTGCCAATTTAACATTGATGGCACTTGGTTCAAGTGCACCAGAAATTCTCTTGTCGGTGATTGAAATGTTTGCGAAGAAGTTCAAAGCTGGTGAGCTTGGACCGGGTACAATTGTTGGTTCAGCGGCCTACAACTTGTTCGTCATCATCGCCATTTGTGTTCTCGTGATTCCAAAGGGTGAAGTGAGAAAAATTAAGCATCTGCGAGTCTTCTTCGTGACAGCTACATGGTCAGTTTTCGCCTACGTTTGGCTTTATTTAATTCTCGATGTCATTTCACCAAACGTTGTCAATATTTGGGAAGGTGTCGTCACTTTCTTATTCTTCCCTGCAACTGTTGGAACTGCTTACATCGCTGATCGACGTCTTCTCATCTACAAATATATTAATAAACGCTATCGCATGAATAAACGCGGTGTCATGGTTCAAACTGAACAATCCGAGCAAACACTCGAAATGAACAATCATCATGATGATAATTTTAAAGCATTGGAAGATGGAATCATTACTGAAGATGTTCGAGATTTTGAAGATGCTCGTCGTGATTACATTACAACCCTTAAGGAATTGCGCAAAAAGTATCCTCAACATGATTTAGAGCAACTTGAGATTATGGCACATGAACAGATAATGAACAAAGGTCCGAAGTCTCGTGCTTTTTATCGGATTCAAGCGACAAGAAAAATGATGGGCAGTGGCAACATTATGCGAAAGATATCAGAACGCGCCCAAAGTGACTTGAGTGAAGTCAAAGCAGAACTTCAACGTGTTGATATCATCGAAACGACCGATGATGGTAATGCATGCAAAGTTTATTTCGAACCAGGTCATTACACAGTCATGGAAAGTTGTGGGGATTTCGAGTTGCGTGTTGTTCGACGTGGTGATTTGTCATCGTTGGTGACAGTTGATTTTGAAACAGAAGATGGTTCTGCTGAAGCGGGAAGTGATTACATTGGCAAAAAGGGCACGCTTTCTTTCCCACCTGGCGTCGATGAACAACGTTTCCGTTTAGAAGTCATTGATGACGATGTCTTTGAACAAGATGAACATTTCTATGTTCGATTAAGCAACATAAGTGACAATGCAACACTTTGCACACCTAAAGTCGCTACTGTCATGATTCTTGATGATGACCACGGTGGCATCTTTGCATTTGCTTCCAAAGATCATGAACTTGTTGAATCGATTGGTGCATACGAGTTGAAAGTTCAACGTTATTCGGGCGCGCGCGGTAAAGTTGTTGTACCGTATTGGACCGAGGATGGTACGGCCAAGTCTGGAAAGGATTATGATTCAATGCGAGGAGAATTGATATTTGAAAATAATGAAATCGAGTGAGTACTTAAACACTTTTTTTTCTTTTCTAACTGTTAAGAAGATAAAACATAAAATGAAATATTAAGGAACGAGAAAAGCGCGTTAAAAGTTCACTTCCTACAATTAGCAGTTACACGTGCCGTAACATAATTTTCTCATTCTTTTATGTTTCTGTTTCACGTTAAATGTGAGGCAGATGATTGAGTAAGCAAAGTTACTTATGAGTTCTTTTTGAAAGAAGATATTTTCGATGAAGTTCGTGGGCGTTTGTTAACGAGATGTTATCAATCTAGATTTATATTTGCAAAGGCTTGCATGATTGTAACTTGATAATCGATGTTTATTGAAAATGAAAAATTGTATAGGTGGCTGAATGAATGATTTGATTTCTCATGGATAATTAGTTACTTGAGCTTCCCATAGTAACATAAGCGTCCCTGACCTTTCCCTTCTTGTTTGCGTTTCTTTGAGCGCGAGTAAAACGTTTTTTCGGTAAGAATATCAAACATTGCTATAACATGAGAAAAGAAGGGAATTATATTAAACAGCAACACATAAATTTACATACAATTACAGGAAAACGAAGGAAAAAAGCTTTGAAAATGTTTTGATTACGCTTCAAAGAATAAATTGAAAAGAAAATTTTCTTTTCCTCGGCTGCTGATTCAATGAATTTAATTTTAATCAATTTGGAAAATTAAAAGAGGGGAATAATTTTTTTCTTTTAATACTTTTTAATCTTACGCAGTTTATTCCAATGGTTAATTCATTTTATATGTCATAGTAACGACCAATGTCAATTATAATTATTCTTCTAACTTTAATCATTTCATGTGCATGCAATTCCATCATAAAAGATTAAAAATATGTCGCGTGACTTTAACTGCAAACTTTTTCACCTTCAACGTTGATAAAATCTTCAGTGCTGTGTAATTTCTCCTACCAACACTTTAATCATTAAAAAGTAAATTTCCTTAGTTACATGTTTTTCCTGTTTTTCAAGGCGAGAAGTAAAAAAGGATATTTTTTGTTGCCTTGAGGTAAATAAATTTTAAAGTAACAAATGCGCCTTCTGCCTACACAGAAAAGTTTCTGTCACTTAATTAGGAGAATTTCTTGTGTTGTTGGTAATTAGACTTTTATTCATTCCTCGAGATGTTCCTACTGTTTTTATTATCCAAATTTAAGATCTAAAAATAACATCTTCGTCAGTTGTGTTAAACTTTATCATCTGTCGACTGTCGTGTAAAGAAACATCTCATTACGTTCACGTCATGCTACATTTTATGCAGTTCTACTGCTTCTCTCAGAGTTTATTGATGTCAAATAAATTAACCACGACGTGAACTTTAAATTTGATTTAAGCAATTTATTGTTTGTTGAGTAAAATTGTGATTGATTTTTTCGGTTAAAGTTTAAGTTAACTATCAGTCTTATTGAAGCAATTGCTGTCAGTTTATGTTAGCAACAAAATTCATTTCGAACATGAAATGCATTTCCTTCAGTCTAATAAATTTCTTATTACGAAAATTTAGATTGAAACGTTGTTGGTTGTGGTTTTATAGGAAGAAAAGGATGTAATATCGTTTTATGAGATTATGGGCTTTAAAAGTCGGGTTTTTGTCGCTTTGAATAATGAATAGGCTTGAAAGTTAGGAAAGGTGCTTTCTTTGCAATTCTTAAGCATAAACTCAATATTTTTTATATTATGTTGGTGGAAAGAAAGAAGCTCTAGTTTCTAACTCCATGCGTTTGTATTTAATACTTGAAAGTAATAATATTTTCCTCCCCCGCTGTTCACTCTTTCGAGTTGAAGCATACGGTAGAATATAGATTTTCGATAAAGTTCGATACATTTTATGTGACATAAAAATTTATGTTGTAAGTTCATAGCTGCTTTCAGTTTTTAAGACGGATCGTCACAAGAATATTTTGTTTACTCTAGAAAATGTTTTAAGCCTTGAGGCGCTTCAATGAAACTCAAAGCTTTCATTTCCTTCTTCTTCTTGTCACTTCATCATGTCACCTTGATTCTATTCTTTCTTGAAATGATAAGCAAGATGAAAAAGTGAAAGCATCCTGATTCAATAGAGAATAACCGTCAATAATATTTAAAAAGGAGAAAACTCTTCCAAATCAATTGTTGCTTGATAAGCGTCAATAATGACATAACAGAATCCAAACAATTTCTTGATTTTGTCAAGTATAAAACTCTTTTCTTAAGATGTTCTTCACAAAAATCTATCTGAAAAAGAATCAAATAGGAATAGAAAAGAAGCAACAATCGCTTTCTACACGAATAGACAACAAAACCGAACAATGAGAAGGAAAACTTTTCTACGCATCTCACTTGGAAAAAAATAGGTCAAAATTGGAAAGAGGGGAGAGAAAACGAGAGTAATGGAAGAAGCGTCTGTTATTGTATGCTGTTAGGGCCTCGGAAAATATGAGATTTAAGAAACGCACCAAGACTAGAGCTGTTTACGATGCGCATTTTTCTAACAATTTTCATTATCGTACGGTGGCCCACTGCTAGCCAAATATCATTTTTCCAAGGAAACATGTTTATGGTAACGTTATAGTTATGATGAAGGAAGACAACAGTGAATTATGAGCGAATAAATTAAAGAAAATTACTTTCAATGCCTTACAGCATCACGTAGAATTAGAAACGATAAGATTTATTAATTCACATTTGATGGCGACTGTTGACAACATTGAAAAGATTGACTGCGTAGTTGAGTTTAAAGGTCACGGGGATGAGAAGAAATGGAATTCTGGTTATATTCAAAGTAGATTATCCTTAGCTTTGCAGATGTTGAGAAATGTTCAACCCTTACTGAGCTCATAAATATTTGTTATGAAATAGTTTCGTCTCCTTTTACCCTTGGAAATATTTCAAAAGACGTTGAATGAATGTTATGCGAATATTGAACATCTGAGTTCTTGTTAAATAAATATTCGTATTCACATCATTTTCACAAGGAAAATTGGAACCAAAAAGAAGAAATAATATTCCGGAATTTTCCTTTAACTTTATATTTTTATGCTGATAAATTAACTGAGAAAAGTAATTTCGAAGAAATGCACGACAGTTAAATTTTGTTTGCAATTAAAGTTTTAATTACGATAATAAAACATTAACAGTTTATTTAGAAACGTCTCTTTCCCACCATGAACGTGAGTTTTCTAAACTTTTTTTGCATTTGATTGTTTGGATATTATTTTTATATTCTCTTTCTCTCGACATCGAATAGATATTGAATATATCTGAGATATCTCATTACAAACTTTAACTGTCGTACATAAATAAAGATCTAAGCTCAAAATTTTCATCTCCATTGTCACAATCAACTTTATGATGCAGAATGTGATACGGAAATCAAGTAATTATGGAGTTTAATGTACAACATAATTACGAGAAAAGTTCTCGCCATTGTGCATCATTTTTCAAAGCGACGAGCTTGGAACTTTGTTAAAATAATCTTTCCTTCTTTTTATGTGCGTAGCATTGAACATAAAACTCATTTGTGGAAATGTTGTCTGGTGTTTTCTTTTCTCAAATGTTCTTTTCTTTTATTCTTCGTCTTTTTTTAACTTTAACCATGTGTGTATGAACGAAGTGAATAACATGAAAATTTATATCGTACATGGATGAAAATTAATATGTTTCATCCAACTTAAAGCGTGATCTATTAATCATCAAGCTCGTTTCTTTTGTGCGATAAAAAGAGCCAAACCAACCGCCCGACCTGTGTTTGCATGAAAATGAAAAATGACGTCAATTCGACGAGAAGAATGTTTTCGATCACACAGTTCATGAATGTTAGGAAGTGAAAAGCCAGACGAAATCATGTCAGGTAATTCTGATAAAAGCATCTTGTTCTGTTTTTGGATGAAGCGGAAGAATTTAAAGAATAAATTATTTCGGCCTGTTTCAAATTTTATAAAAATGAAATTAAGCATCGTCACTGCGATGATGACGAGCATTCGTTGCTCTCCCCTTATAAAATGTGAGCTTACTTAACAGTTAACAAGTAACTTAATCAGCACGATTTACATCGTTAATGTCCATCTGGTGATGTGGTAATTTAATCAAAATCTCTCTCATTTGCCCCTGATTTTTGCCTGTGCCAATAAAAAATTGTTTCTCTGTTCCCTCCTGTTTGTGTAATTTCTCTTCTTTTATTTCGTGTATCCAAAAATAAATTCCCGCTTTTGTATATTTTTTCCACTGACCGCGTGAAAATCATGAAGAAAAAAAATTACGTAAAGAAAAAGAAAAAAAAAATTTTCACTCGCATTATGATCACCAAGCATGAGAGTCTTTACAATCAATTTCGATTATAAAACTGAAGAAAAAAAGAAGAAAGATGAAGACGAAAAGTTTCAAGCTGTTTGATGTTTAGCTTAAGTGAAATGAAAAATATTTTCCAACTTCTTCGAAATTTCTCACATCAACGAATTCAAATTCTTCTCGCGAAATGCTTTTGGATTATTTTTTTCACTGTGGCAGACATAAAACCACCTGATTTTATTTTAACTTCATCTACACAATCAAATTAAAGTTTTCTTTTTTTATTTTGTGGCTACGCTGTAACAACGTTGAGGAATGTTTGCAATTTTCTAAGGTGACGACGAGGGACGGAAAACATTTGGTGTTTGATCTCCATATCGACTAAAATTCCTAAAAATTAAAGTAGGAAGTTCAAAACAAAACCAGAAAAGAGTTCAAGAAAATATTTTTTTATCATTCTTTGAAATTTGTGTTTATCAAAAGAAACTTTTCCTTTATTTCCCCAACCCCTTCATCATCTAAGAAGTTTTCCTTGCCAATGAATGCAACAGATTAAATAAAACAACAACAATTCAAGAAGATCATGTGAAATTTTCCTTCAAAAGAATTCTTTTGAGACGAGATTAATGCGTTCCTTTCCTCGTTTTCCCTTCCCCCGCATCTTCACTGATGTATCATAGCGCGTTTATTTATAGTTGCTCTGTGTCTGTTGCGTTCCAATCATACACAAATCAGAGGAGAGAGAGAGAGAGAGAACAGATGAGGCTCAGCATTAATTCATTCGGTTTGCTTCCTGCTTGTCTTTTCTTTCTTTTCACCTTCGGCCATTCGTTTAGTTTATCACGCGGAAAAGTTATCAAAAAGGCCAGCTAAATTATTTAAAAGCATATATTTGACATTGGGAATTAATAAGAGAAACGAAATAAGAAACCTCACACGCCTTTCGTGCTTCTTGTTGTTCTAAAAGTTCTTCAAATTCTCTGCTTTTAATTTTCTTTATGGGCTTCTATTTTTAGAGGGACTCAGTGGATCAAGGTTGACATTGGAGACGCTTATAAAAGCTGACTGAGTGATATTAGAGACAACGACGAATGATATTTTTAGTCTTAACCACGAAAAAAAAGGAAATTTTATGTTCGAAACTTTTGTTTCATGTTTTCCATCATTTTATTGCTTGAATACTTTCGACAAAATTTCATCTTCTTGTACTAGATATTGAAGATCAAAGATTTTAATGATGTCCCCGAAGCATTTCACGTGTCATTTCACATACAATTCCTTTGTTGTTCATATAAGAATAGAAATGAGATGGAAGTTTTCAAAGCAACATATTAATTATTTTATGAGGTACTTTGCTCGAGGAAAATTTATGACAGAATAAATCTAAGTTGTAAATAACCCTTGATTATTTTTGTTACTTTTATTAAAAGTCTTGAGAGTTTATAGTAAAATTAACGATCTGTTACAACATATAAAACCTTGAATATTTACAAAAATCATTTAACTTTTAGCGATTATTTAACAAACAAGCAGTAAACAAAGAGTCGAAAATTATAAAGCGATGTTCTTTATGGAAAAACTTTTTCAATCTTCTTTTACAATGTTTGATAATTTATTAGAACTCCTGCTGGAACAAGGAAAAGGAAAAGGAAGTCAAAGATAGAAAGTCGAGTAAGAGAGAAAAGGTTAAAAAATATTACCATAGGAATTATCAAGGACGATGAAAGCGAATAAGGGGAAAGTTTTATTTTCCAGGTCGATTTTCCGCCAAGAAGTTGCATGTAATAACGAAAATTTCGTGTTACAACTTGTGGGTAGCGACTAGTGTAATTAGGTCGTTAATTTTCAAAGTAACAAAGAAGGAGAAATTTAATTTTTAAAGCTTGAATGAGAAGCCAAACAAGTGAAAATTTAAATTTTCTATGAAAGGAAAATTCAACCAAGTGGTCAACGAAATTTAAATTCTTCTTTTTCCCTTCCATAAAATCCCAGGAAATATTTATAATTGTTTGCTTTGCCACAAAATAAACTTTCATGTATCATTTATTAATCGAATTCATTGTTGATGTTGATCGAAAAGCTATTAAGCTTGTACGACGCAACAGAAATGCGTGTTGAAGCGAGTAACTTTCCGCTTTACCCCATTGTTTAAATTGCTAATCGTCCTTTCATACTGTTGCTTCTGCTACGGTTGCTATATTTGTAAAACGCGACATTGATATCAACATAAACATCGTAACTGAATAAACGAACATAATTGAATATTTTACATGCTTTTGAAAGTATTAAATTTGTTGTAATGTTATCAAAACAACGAATTGAAATTTATAGTTTTCATTGTATTGCTGACGACACTGCAATTAACCTTCGAAATCAAAAAACTTCTTTCGTAAATGTTAAGCAATTAAAAATCTTCGAATTAAAAGCAAAAGATAAATAAAAAAAATTCTGGCGCCTGAACTTCTTATCATAAGGTGGATTAATAATTTCACGTTCACATTAAAACTTCTACGAAATTACAAATCATCAAAACTTCATGACATACATTTGGTTTGGTAATAAAATAAAAGTGATAAGTGAATAAAAAGTCCGTGACATCTTCACAAATAGCTTTCTCATACGATTACAGCACCGGATGTTGTCGCTAAAATTTTAATATCTTTCCACTTGCTTGCGTTTCACTAAATTGCCTCTTAATTATCATACACATGTTATCATAATCAGAAACCACTCAGGACCTAAAAGGGAGAACAATTGTCACTTGCTTTAAAAGCTGTCAAATTAACAACTTTTGCGTCATTGAGCTGACTAAAGGAAGTAATGTGCTGATTTACTACCGCATGATTCACACTGAAAACTTTTATGATGATTTGATAAACCTTTGATAAAAAACAAGCGAAATATTGTTCATTATTATCAAATGATGATTATGAATGAAAAGTTCAAAAAAGATAGAGAGACTGATAAGTTTTAAATCATATCTAGTCTATGCTTCCTCGTCAGGCAAGCACCAACGTCAATGAAAGATAATTTTAAAGGTTTTTCTCTGCTATCAAAATGTCGTAATGCAGCAAAATTATGGTTCCTATTTCAGTCTTTAAAAGCTTGATAAATAAATGAATAAAAGACGTTTTCACTGATAAATAACTAACAGCGAAAGATAAAATTATTTTTTAGTTATTTTTATAATCTTTACAAATTGCGAGGTTATCTAACAATTTAACTTTCAAAAAGAAGTCAATGAAATATCGACGAGAAATAACTTACAACAGAAAATTGGATTAAGTTGTTGCACAACTGGCAATAATATGATTTTTCTTTAATCACTTCATAGTATGAAGTGACATTAATATCACATTTCTCTATTTCTTAATGTAATTTCATGACTGATTAATGCATTGTCATAGACAAAAATGAATGCAAGTCTTAAATTGCTAATTTATTATTGGAAAACAAAATGGACTTTGTTATTTGATGAACTTATTTTTATCGTAACCTAATTGATGTCATTGAAGTATTTGAAATAGTTCTGGAACGAAGAAAGTGAAGCAACATGCTGTTTTTCAAAATATTTCATGCTACATAAATTAATTGACCTTTCAACTTAGTAACCTTATCCGATCTAGATAGTCATCTGTTGACATGCATAGTCTTAGTCTGAGTTTAATCTTTAATTTATAATTAAAGAATCTTTTCTTCTTTAGATAAAATACAAAAAGTTCCACCATGGAATGAAACTTTCTTAACATTCAATCCTTCAAAAAATGTCCAACTCTAATCTCTCAACCCAAAATTAGATTTTCTTATTTAAATATTCATTAACGAGAATCGATTACTTAAATTTACATAACGAAAAATAATGAAAGAAATCCAACAAAACTGCGGGAGCTTCTCAGCTATAACTTCCGAAGCAAAGCTGTCTTCGTCTATCTTCTTGAATAATTAACAAGTTAATGTCCAAAAAGGTTTCTAAGTGTATAACTAATCAACTTAATTTCCTTTTCTCTTATCTGTATTTAAACTTAGAAATTATTGAGCTTAAATACGTATTTTGCTAAATAAGTGATTTTAATGTTGGGGTTTGATCTTGAAAAATGTTAAAGTTATGGCCAATTTTCCCTTAAAAAGGTTTGCATAATCATTAAACTTTATACCCAAAATGGTTTCATGAAATTTTCGGTTTATTAATGATAAAATTCAGAAACTTTATATAAAAATTTTTTTTTGACAACTTATCGTGTCTATCTAGAAAATTTTCTCGTCATTTCCACTGACGTAGATATTTCGATCAGGAAAAGAAAATTTTCCATTATTGTTAATTTGATGACTCGATGTTATTTTTAGCTGGAGGTGAAAGCGACCGACAAAAAGGATCAATGCACAATTTTCGAATGTTCAGTTTAATGAAGCGATAAAAGCGGCGTCCCTAAAGGCTAAACATTGTTTTCAATTACTTATTTTTTGTATATAATATGAGATAAAAGAAAATTGAATAAAATTCTTTATTTTGTTTGGAGAGTGGATGCCATGAATGTTGCATGACGAAAGGTATCACAAAGGCACTCGACGAAATTGTGTATTTTGTTAAAATAAAACAGCGAACGACTCTGACACGAACACTGACCATTGACAAATTGATTATTTTTATTACAATTATAAACTTACTAACCATTCATTTGGTATGAATATCACTGGCACTAAACGGTTGTCTTGTATGTAAATAAATAAGCCAACATTTAACGTCAATTCATCACGGCGTAAAGAATTTCTTTCTCATGAAAATTTCTCACGTGGAAGTAAAAACAATTCACGAGACTCATGACATCGAGGGCTTCACCGACGAGTAAGTATCATGATGAGAAATGTGTGGCAATAATGTCAAGGTCGCAGTCAATATTTCAATCATTCTTATTCATTCATTCATGCATAGTTTCGGTTTCCGTTGTTTGCGCATAAAGAATGGAAAATAAAAAGAAAATTGTTGGAACGAATGGAAGAAAAACAAAGAAATGAAAAATGATGATGATGAATACAAGAAAACACCAAAATATGAAGGAAAAGTTTGTTTGATCAATTAGGGATTGATTTATTTTGCGTGTTTTCCCTTTTTTCTGGCTTTCTTGATTGTTGAATTTTCTCTCTCTCCCTCTCTCTGTCTCTCTCACTCTCTTAAAAGATTTAATGCCTTACGGAAAATTTACTTTTTTAAAGTGATTGAAAAGAAAACTTCGGTGAAGTTAAATCGAGTGTTTTTTTTACATCAGATGTTGAATGAATTTCATTATTTTAATTTCAAGGGATGGAGAATGAAAAGCACTTAAGTTTTCTTTCATCATGAGTTGGAAGAGAAAATTTTGGTCGCAACATGTCTTGGTTAAATATATCATAGATGAGTAAGAATAATTCAGATGTTTAATCAAAGTAACTGTCTAAGATAATATATGTAAGAACTTCGAAGTTTCTATGACTTTGTGAAATGTTGAAAGAATTGAATTATGGAACTTATCGAGTTAGAAAGTTCTTCATCCTTCAATTGCCATCAAGTAGAATTTCTTCTTCAAATGTCTAACTAGTAATGACTGATTATTGATTTTCAATTAATTTCAGAAGTTCTGAATCCACAAAGCACTGAAATGAATTGTTTCATTTTCACCTGCTCAGAATAAGATGAAGAAATAAATTTAAATGATAATTCTTTTGCATTTTAATGAATTCATTTCTTATCTTCTTGTTGAAAATCGTTTTGAGAGTAACATTGAAATATTTAATTCTTTCAATCTTTATTCTATCGAGAATCTCATTCCCAACATTAGATTAAACTTTATAGCATCATAAACAATCATCAAGGCTCGCCATTGTTTGTTTCCAACTCAATGTGTTTCTTCGCTCCCTTCTGGTTTTCAAGTTCAACTGTTTTGTGCCAGAACAGTTTGAACGGCGAGGCCCCTTGGCGCCTTAGATAAATTTTCCGTTTAACTGCCAAACGCCAGATTTATTGCGTGAGCCAACAGCAAATATTTGTTCTGAAAACCATTTTCCGGGATTAAAATGAACATTTTTTGTTTGATTCTGCAACTAGAATTCTTTTCATGTCATGAATCATGCTGGTCATTAGCCGTGTTTCAACTGGTGGCCAATGGTTAAATAAAGGAAAGAAGGAAAGGATCGAAGCATTTCCTATTCTGACTCAACAGCTTTCAATGTCGGTTGAAAAATATCCTTCGGGAAATGAACTTCGTCGGAAGAGAATTCATTAATGTTTAGACAAAATACATAATTTTTCGATTTGTTCAACTTCCCTAAGAATTCAACATAAATGCGAACATTTTAGTATTCGTTGTTGTGTTACTTGAAGTAACACATTGTTTGATCCTTTGATTTCGTAATGATTTTTTTTTCTCTTTCTTCAAAAAGCTTTGTAATTACAGAAATAAAACAAATTGATTGTTGTTGTTGCCTTTCGGCAAGGCTTTTACTCGATGAAAAGCGTGAATGTGAAACATTGAAAGATATATTCGGCATACGTATTTACTAGATTATATTAAATCACGAAACTTCAGAATTTATCCACTTTTCGACTTAAATGGTGAATAATTTATTGTGATTTCTTGTAGGCTTCTCGTGTTTACACACTTAAGTTAAGAAATTTTATTATGAAAGTTCACGGAAACATGTTTTTGAGAAAAAATGTTGGTTAGAAAATTCATTGAATATCTGAATGAAAAAATCAGTTTTGGTCGATTAAGAAAATCATCGAGAATTTTACCCAAGAAATTAACATATCTGAATATCTCTAAAAATCCTGAAAACCAGTTTCATTTACTTTACAAGTTTCTGCTACGTGATTTGAAACGAACTTTCAGTGTTTCTGTATACATTTCGCTTTCATGTCATGTTTTCATGAAAACCCAAATCGGAAAATGTCTTTTCACTTTTCTATGTGTTTGTTTAGAAATGTAACTCAGTGTAGGAGTCAAAACACGTTTTTTTAATCGCTACAAAATATATTTCGAATGATTTCATCTTCATGTAACCTTGGCGACGCACAAAAATTCTTGATACACTAAACTTGGTATCATGTTGAAGTTTCCTTGGAAAATCCAATAATTCTTTCATAAAACTTCTTCTTGTTCGTCTGAGAGACAAAGTTAATTTTATGCGCACTGAAGTCAAAGAGATTATCAAAAGAATTTATCAACTGTCTTGGAAAAACTCCAAAAAAATATTAGACTGCACAATAATCGCTAAAGATCAAAGTCTTAACAACTATGAAGTTTTAATGGCTTAATGAATGCATTGATGTCCACAAATTAAAGCTTCTAAATAGAGTCAAACTCTGCAGAGGAAAGGGAATGAAATAAATCTTCTAAAAATAGAAAACGATTATTAACGAAGACAAAATTAATACTTAAAATTCTTTAAAGCATTTCGTTCCTACTCTTTGATTGTGTTGTCGAAATTAATCTTTTGTTATGGCTTGAATGAAAGATACACAGACAAAGCAGTAAAGCATGTTATGTCATTTCGACTTCCATGTTTTGTGCTGATGTTTCGGCTTGTGACGACGTCGATATTGAATTATAAGATTAAACCACGAACACAACTGAAGTATTTCATTTTGTTTTGGTATGAAGAGGTAAATATGGAAAGCATTCATCGATTAAAGTGAGATTTTATTACAGAAATATTTGTCGAGAACAAGAAGACATTTTTTATGTTGAGTTGCGTCATTTTAAGACTAGCGAAATAAATTCATCTTCTGGTCATGTATTTCATTTTTAAAAGCATTATAAATTATTACGATGATCATAAATAAATAGCACTAGACATAAATATTTGCTTTAATGTCTTTTGTATTGCTAGATTTAAAGAAAAGTTTACTTAACGTGAATTAAGGGTCTTTAAACGACAAACGTTTTATGTTCTAAATGGCTTTAATGCTTCAAAATTGTTTTCGATAATTAAAGTAAAAGATTCTGTCATTTATCGAGACATTAATTTCTACAAATCAATTTTCTTTAATTAATTTTTCCTTATCACATGAATTCAATTATACAAGACAATATTGGAAAATAATAAATAGAACACAAATTCCCACTTCCATTTTAAGCTCAACAGATATTGATTTATGATTATCTATCATAGATTGTGTAATCAAAGTAATTGTGCATGGATATCTTTCCCTCTCCCTCTCACTTTAATATGATGATTGGATTCTTGGTGCCCTTTCATGCTTTGATTTATTAGCTTCGTATTGGAAATTATCGATTTTTAATTTTCAACAGCTTATAAATCACATTCCTTGTGCCAAGTAACCTGCTGCTGAATGTCATCAAACAATGTTTAACATAATTTATGAAAAATCAAGGATCGAAAACGTGACCAATTCAGATTATGACCGATAGAAATTTATATTAATAGATATTTGTTTATCAACGCATATGTACACATAATTATGTTTATTCACCAAACATATCGGTAAAAGGCAAGTGTGAAACCTCTTTATTGATACTGATAAATGCGATAATGCATAAAAGGATAATAAGTGGTAAAACCGACCTTTCCAACTTCTCTTTACATAATTAATAACATTTTTGTTTGTAGAAGAAAAATGAAAACGCTATCGGTCGATATATCAAATAATTAACTGTTTCAATACAAAAAAACGAGGATGTGCGTGTAAGCAATTGTTGCTTCACTTACTTAAATAAGAATTGAACATTTTGAATAGATAATTGGGTTGTTAACTCGCTTTTTTGTTTATGAAAAAAATCTCAATATGTAAATTTCGTTGGCTTTTTTTTTGATGAAATAAACAACTTTATCACTGTCTAAATACACTCGTGATTTAATATTTTATCTGAAGCAGAAACTTGCTGACAAAGCTTTCCAGCACAATGAATTATGAGTGATGATTCAACTTTTCATCTTTTTCCCTTCGCACTTTCTTAAAACGTCAGACTTGATTTCACAAATGGCATTTGGCAAGTGCCAATTCACAAATTACTTTCGTCGCAATCATTTCAGTAGGAATGCTGTAATGTGCTGGCAAATGTGTAGATGCTGTACTGAACTATTAATATCAGTTTTTTTCTGTTTGATTCATTGACTGAAATGCGATACAGATTTTTTCCTTCGCTTTTATGATTTCGTTTGGAATGAAACAAAAGAACTTTTATGGCACCATAAAAAATCTTTTGCAGCTTTTTATTTCGGTTTCGTCTGTCAGCATTAATTTTATAAACATAACTAGACCATTACGTTTGGTTTTTCCTGTGGTGAAGATTGGTTCGTGAAAGTTGAAAACGCTTCGATAAGATACAAGTGAAGATCACTTTTACCAGCGTTGTTAACCTGAATATAAACAAAAATGTTGAAATAACAATTATTCTGACAAATTGAATCGTTTGCATAAACAAATACCTCATTCTTTATTTTTCTTTTTCATTCATATATTTTACATCCCATTGGAAAATAGTTTTCTTAAAACGGTTGAGAAATGTTTGCTTTTTTCTTGCTAAATTTTGAGGAAATTTCATTTAAAAAAAATGAAAATTTTAAATCAAGCAGCTGTTCATGATTTTTTGGGTGACACTGACCTCATTTCGTTTCATCCACTTCTAAATTGCCAATAATATCTGTCGCGCCAGAATCTAAAAATAGCTTTTGGAAAAATCTTTTCTTCATCAAGTCATAAAGAAAATTTTTGGTTTACAAAATGAAAATTTTCTTCGCGACTTAGTCAAGATTTTCATTTATATTTCCTTGCAGTCAAAAGATTATGCGATCAACACGGCTGCTTCTTGCTTTCAATTGATTTATCTTTGTAAATGACTATAAGAAATCAAAAACATTTCAATTCTAGTAATTAAAATTCTTGTTTTGAACATTATTCATGTCGTGATTTCTCAAATAATTTCTAAAGTATTTTAATTATGATCAATAAAGTGTTTATAAAAACCTTTAAATATCTTGCAACATTATTGTAAAGCTGGGCATAATTACATGTTTCAGTGTAATTATTTAATTAATGTCAATTAACATCACTCATCATTGTCGAACGAAATTGCCTTTCAAAATGTGTCTCCTGGTTTCCTTAATAAAATGTTTACAGAATAAATTTAATTCTACTTAATAATTTTCTCTCACTTCTTATTTATGTAAACTGAAAACAAAACTATTGGAAAACAATTAGGTACATCAACTAAATGCTGTAGACTTAAAACCTCCCAAATAGCGTTTGTGAAAGTCATTAAATGAAGAAGTGAGAAATATAAAATGCTTTATTAATATCTGCAGATGATTTATTGATCATCGTTATGTCGAGCCTTTTTCAATTACAGACAAATTATTTCCTTAATAAATGATAAATGATGTTAACTGACGTCACTGATCTTCTTATTATACGAAATTTGTATTCAAGAAAAACTCAACTTGAATATTGTATAATATTTCCATTGCAAAGTTTATTTTAAGGTTGAAGATCTGTCCATTCATGTCAATTAATATCACTTTGAATTTTATTTAAGGATGTTGTCATGAGAATGTGAAACTTTTTAGGAAATCCATTTGGTTTTAAAACTTTCGAACTTGTCTTGAATTTTGATTCTCGTATGTCTGAATAAATTCAAAATTCTTTATTTCACACCAACGTCAATTCTAGATTATGTAACGATAATAATCCTTCCAAGAGCTTGTCTCTTGAATAATGATCAACAGACAACTTAATTGGAAAATCTCAGTGAAATCTTTTGAGGAGTGAATGATTGTCATGAAGGATTATTAATGAACATGAAGGGTTACCAATGGTTTCACTTTCTCTCACTTTGTTCTTCTTATATTAAGTCTTTAAATCAACTGAGGGAAATAATTCATAAATGATGGAAGCAAAAATTCTGAAGATGATTGATCGACTTAATAATGAGACTTGGAACATCTTACCTAGACTTATTCAAGTAAAAATGAACACAAAGCTTTAATAAGCACAAAAAGTTAAGTTTATGTAATTTGATGCGAAGCTTTTCCTCCACAATTCCTTTTAAAACGATCACGTTTCCCAATACAATAAAGATTTATGTCTTCTCAATGATAAATAGGAAATTGTGAAGGTAAAAATAAAGTTCAACCTTAGGACAAGAGCTATTGGAAGATAGAATGTGAATGTAGATGAAGGCAAGTTACACATTCCTGTACATGTGAATAACATTCCACATATTGATGCTATTTTTTATTCTGAATAGGCCGGAGAATTCACTACAAGAAGATAAAGCATTTATAGTAAATAACATCACGACAAGCTGACATTCAACCTTTCGCCAATAACAATAATCAGTTATTTCTGTAAGAGTTTCTCAGGTGGTTTTGTCAGGAAAATTGCTATGCTGACTTTCATGTTTTCTCATTTCCTTTTCGTTTCCACCCCTCCTTGAAGTATTTCACATCTAATTCTTCTTCTTGCTCTGATTAAATGATCCATGAAAGCTTAATGAATACAGCTGATAATCATTTCGTGATGTTGATTTATACATTAGAAGGTCATGGCTCGAAATCATTTCACCTGATTAAACGAACCGTAAATTTATTATGAGAGAAAGCAGAAAGCACAAACCACAGAATAAAAAAAATCTTTCCCTTAGTTGATTGAAATAATTTAATAAATAATTGCGACAAATTTCCATAAATATTCGATAAAACAAGTTAAAGAATCCAGATACTGGAAATGCTGCTGACACAATGTAAATGGAAACTGTCTTTATCATCATTGCTGCTTAATTTATTCATGAAAAACAGCAGCGGCTATAAAAAGCAAGAATGATAGCAAAACATGCCGAAAGCTTTCATGTGAGATGGAGAACGAGAAGTTGAATGGAATTCCTTCGGCAGCAAGCGACGGTTAGAATCTTCTTTATTATTCATGGCTCTTGTTTCCTGTTTAAACAGAAGGAAAATTTATTTCTACCTTCTTCGAGAAGCTTTCCAAACTTTCATTTCCTTTTAAAAAAACTTTCTTAGAGACACTTTAGAAATTTAATTTATTACTGCACTCACTAAGTATTCTCAAAATTTAATAAATGAAATCAAGTTCAAGGAAGTAACACAGAAAATAAAATTTAAGCTCAACGCTTTTCTCCACTAACATTTTGTTAACATAGAAAATTACAAAAGTTTCATGCAAATCGCAAAGAATGATAAAAGGAAATTACGGTTGAGAGTCAAACAACTATTAAAGTGACATTTGTGAATAATCATGTTAAGGAAAACCCCAAAGTTGCAGTTGTTGAGGGAAAACTTAATGTAATATTGCTCCCAGCATGCTTGTAAGTGTAAATAACTTGGAACAAATTTTTCTCCTTCATTAGACGACATTCTGCTTTCTGCGATAACATTTTTGGAACAAAATATCCTTGAAATAAAAGCAAGCATTTCTTCCCCAACATATTTTCAAGCATTTCCACTAAATTCCTTTCTCTTTAAAATTTTAAGATTTTTTTTCATCTTCACATACGATTTAAGCAATCAAAGCAACATTTTGGAACAATAGAACAGAAGAATTGTTTTTATGCTTCATAATAAATGAAACTGAAAACTTTTTGCGCAATCATTACGTTGATGTTAAGGAAAAAAGGAAAAATATGAATCGCAATTTAACTTGTCAGTTGAATGAACCGTTGAAACAAACAGTTAAGAAAATTTAGCTTAGAATTAATGAATATGACCCTGCAGCGTGGGAGTTTTTACTTCATTCCTATATTTCATCCTTATTGTTTTAGTCTTTGGATGTAATTCATTTTCATTATCCTAAAATGATTAATTTTCAAGCTGTAAACTTGATTTTGCTTTTTAACACTTCTTGACGTCACTGCAGCTTTGTCTTCAATGTCGTTAAGTTTGTTTCCTTTTCTTAAGAAACAAATGATCTCTACCGCAGAACACAAAATGCTCATTATCTCCAAAACATGGTCAGGAAAAAGGACTTTGGAAATCTGCTGCGTTGGCAAATTTAATGAGAAATTGGAGATGGGCAAGCTCCACATGGGGAAGCTTCAAATTATGCCACAGCATAATTTTAAAGATACTCCGGCCTATGTGGGAATCTAAAATACATAATTTCTCTTGATTAGGATTTCCTAGATTAAGATTAAGATTAGGTTAAGATCAAGATTAGATTAAAATCAGGATTAATTTGGGGTCAATTTGTATGGCAGGTACCTGAAATATAGAAGGTACAGACCCCATTTTCTCAGAATAATTGTCCCCCGATGAGAAACTCATCTTCCCAAAATATTTTCAAGATCGCTTGAGAAATGTGGAAGTTATTACGATTTTAAAAAGTTACAGACAGAGTCGAAATCCGACGGCGAAAAAAAAGTTAATTTTTTTCACTTTTCTCGACGTTTCATGACATTTTAAGCATATTTAAGCAAAAAAAATTTTTCAAAATTTTTTGCCGGTTTCAATACGATGGCCCATGTTAATATGGTATGGGGCCGTCGTAATTATTCCACTCAATGTTATCATTTTCACTCTTAAATGTTTCCACATTACTGAAAACATGTCATGATTTCAGGTGAAAAAATGTTTTGTGGGTGTTAAGAAATCCTTGAACAGTAAGGAATGCCATTGCATGGCAACTTTACTGTTCTTCTTACTCTCTGTGGTTTTACTTTATCACATCTAAAAGCTCAATTCACGATATCGAATTCACATTACTTCTGATTCAATTACATTATATGGTGCGAGAAAGAAAAAAAAATACACGGCAAAGGAAGTCAATGGGAAGCGTGAAAAATAATGAAGAGAAATCGAAAATTTATAGAATGTCCGGAAATATTTCATTCTCATTTTTCCTAATACATTAATTTTCGATAAAAGATCATGCGATACGGCAATTTTTGCTTCTTTATCTTCCGCATAGCCAGCCATTTATCTTTATGAGCGACAAGAAGACGAAATCAAATTTGATTGGATTTTTCGTTTTGTTTATATTCAAACTTCTATGGATAAAGCATCAAAATAGATTGTGAGAATTGAAATTCATCGAATTTGGCCCATTGTTACCTGCGGGGGCGTAAAAAGAGAATTTTCAATATAAACTCCCATCGATCGTTTCTAAGGAGTGAAGGCAATTTTACGGATGTTTCAATTCATTACAATTTCAAATTAGTTTCGGCCTTCTTGGGTGTGACGAGAAAGAATGGAAACAGAAGAAAAGCGATTCTTGAGTTGATGTGGACATTGTGAATCGATAGAAATGAGCAAACAAAACAAAAACTAACAACATTTTATTGTATCTTAATCCACAGCCTGAATTGAAGTAAGCTTGTGTTGAGCTGTATAAATATATTTACGACGAGAAATATTCTTTTTATGAAAAAAGCTTTTAAAGTTTATCTTCCTAGAAACTTTATTTTCATGGCGTAACTTTTATATCATCACGTTAAACTTTCTTTCATTTTCCTTCAATTCCAACAGCATTATGAGATTGAAATGAAAGTCATATTAATTGACAGCTTCATTGTCAGTTATTGGGATTTAATAAGAAACTAAATCATTTTTCGTTTCATAAAGCACAGTTGTAAAAAAAATCTCATAACTATAAAATTGCTCAATACGAAACTACGTCAAGCTCAACACATTGTAAGGTGATGAATTTCAGGATATTTTTACAACTTCTGTGTATATTTGTGCGCTTAAATAACAAAACAACGTTGTCGACAGTTACCAGGCTCTTGAGTAGGAAAAAATACTGTTGAACGTCTGCTTTTGATTGAAATTTATTCTGTTTATTAAAGATGGAGGGAATGCGCCAAGGAAAAAGGAAAAACAACGAAAAAAGTGTTTGATAACTTTCTTCATTTTTGCTTTATCTTGTCAAAATATTTTCCCTTCTGTATCTGAAATGATGTTTACTCTCATCGCTAGGTATGAAGCTTCCTCCTTTTTTTTACAGTAGCAAAGCTTAAAATATTTTCACAGTGGAACCTTCATACACGCTCTTCATACAATGTTTTTACGATAGAACGATGCTGTCAGTCTCTCCCTTAAAAAACAATTGCAACGATTATTTACTTGATGCAACGATTTACTTGAAACAACGTTCCACTTTATATCCATTTCTTGATCCAAACGATACTTTTGTTTGAGAGGCGAAATACTTGTTGGCGTATGATCTAAAGGGTTGTAAAATTGAAATATTATTTTGATATACAGTCAACTCTTGATAAGAAAACCTTTCGATAAGAAATTTCACTCGATAGTGAAACAAAAAAAATTGCATCTGGGTCGATATCTGGAACAAAATTCCCTCAATAAGAAATTTTCAATTCCTTCAATGTTTCCTTATTATGAGTTGACTGTATTGAAATAATCACTCATTGGGCTTCTGTTTGCTTAAGCCACCCCTTGGCATTTCTTTTCTTGTTGACGTCTCTTTTGAAATAAAAAAGGAAAACCAAAAGATGAACGGAAGTGAAATTTCTATTCCATTGAATCTCATGATTTCTAAGAGAACACTTTTCCGGGAAAATGTTACATCAATAATCCTGATTTAATGATGAAAAAATCACTTATTTTTCCATTTCCATGCCAAATCATTTGAAGGAAATTAAAAGCAACTTAATCACTATAAAGATTCTAAATGAGAGATTTGTTAGTCTAAATTTAATGAATTGAAAACGAAATTGTTCTGAGTTTTTAGTTGAAGTCGTTAAATGAGATTTTTACGTCGAACGTGTCTATGCCTATGAAAAATCATTACGAAACGAGAACAATTTTGGTTCATGAGATAAATTTTAAGCAACGACAAAATGAAATAAAAAGGAAAAGTGTTAATGAATATTTAAAGAAACCCTTTAGACACTCTCATTCTAATCGCAACCATAACAATTCCCTTAAGTGTAACGTCACAAACACAGCTCTGAGAATTTCATCCTTGCTTACTTTTTTATACAAAAACGAGCAATAACATTCAAAGATGATATTTATGACTATAACGTGATAGTTTTCTGTTAAAGCTTTTTAAAGTTGATAACATTCTAATGTAACGATTTTTAACATCGATACAAAGAAAGCTTTAAGAAAGGAAAATGGGAAAAAAAAGTTTCAATGACGAGGGGAAAAGTGAAAAAGTTTTTCTCAACATTTCTTGAATAGAAACCACAATAAAAAAAGTATTTCGCTTTCCTCGATCCATAGTGAAAGCACGGAAGTTGATTAAAGAGTCCCAAATGTATCATGAAACGTTATCCAAAATAAACCATGCGGAAGCTTTAAGAAAATCGTGAAAAAACTGCGAAATGAAATTATTACGAAATGAAAATGGCAATCGTAAAGTCAAAGTGACCACTTAAACTTTTTGCCGGCCCATTTCAACCTGTATTATTTTCAGCACACTTAGAGATATCAAAGAGCGACCCAATCTTCAAATTTAGGCAACAGGAAAGATTAAAGTCATTTTGTTCCTTCTAACCGTTCTCAGAAGATTTCAAGCGTGAAAACGGAAGCGAGGAAATAAGTCAAACACTTCAAAAATATTTCTTATTCACTCTTTTGCCTTAACCCAATAATTATATTTTCGAGGTACTTTGTATTTACCTTTGACAAATAAGGGACGGAAAAGTTAAATAAATCAAACGACCTTTGGAAGCAACAGTCCGGTGGGCGTGAAAATCTTCCAGTTACTTGACATTTGCTTTCTTTTTACAACAGGTTTCTAAATTTATAAAGAAGGCGAAGGTGTTTCAAGCAATCAAAATGATTCGACTTAACAGTGACGATTTAAAGCTTGACTAAATTAGAATTCGACAACTGTTACTTTTAATAAATATTTTTATATACAAAAATTATTCCCAAGAGAAAGTCTCTTGATAAATGTTTTCATCTAAAAACACCCTTGAGAATTCAAGCCAAATGATTAATTTACTGGAAGACGGCATAACTTGAGTTGCAATAAATCGCTGGAAATTGTCAATGTTGCCAATTATTAACCAACTTCTTAACACTGAGACAAACAGAGTTTAAAATTTCAATGTTAGAAATATTTGTGTTAAGACGATCGAATCTGAAATTGAAAAAGCATTTACGACCAGCACCACGTTACGAATTAAAAATGACGTTTAATGTTCATATCAAAAGCTTTTATATTCTCCATGAAAGCTGCGTGAAGTTATTTTTCATAGATTACGAAAAATGTTGTGCCATAAAATGTCATAAAACTAATCAAAGCTTCATCATCTCCATCTCCTTTCCCAACATTGCAAACATACAAGCAGGCATACATGAGAATTAGATTCGGGGTGAAAGCTTTAAAAAGAATCTCTCCAAAAATGTACCGCAAATCCCTAGCCACTTGTATCTTTTTTTTTTGAATCTAACCATGAAAAGGTTCACTGGAAAAACAAATCGGACAAAGAAGAAGAGAAAAAAAGGAAAATAACAACCCAGAACAAAAATGATTTTCTTTTTCCATTGCAAATATTAGATTGCAGCTTTTTGAGTTAGCAGTTAGACCTTCAAGCTTTCAAATGATTTTCCAAGTCCATTGTGTTGTTTCCCTCAGATGTGTTGTTCAGTTATTTGTTTGTTGGGTTAAATAAAAGGATTTTCAATCAAAGCCTCGAGTCATGTATTGACTTAGGAAATCTGATCTTTTCAAACATTGAGCGTCTTAAGTTATATTTCTTCCATTTTACATTTTCTGTTATTTACTTTAAGTAAAACCATTTTCTATTCCCTTTATTTTCAATTCTCATGCATTTCTATTTAACTTCGAAGCCATCGATTTGTAATATAACCAATTTTGATGATTCTGGCTCACAAAAACAATAAAGTTTGTTTTACGAGTCAAAATTTAAGTGAAATGACTGAAAGGAAAAACTGCATAAATCATGAATTTATCGTTAAAGCTTTGCGAAAGCATCATTGGAAAACCACCCACGACATTTTTCTTTTCTTCAATTACTTGATGTTTATTTTCAGAGTTGCCAATTTGCTTCCCTCCCTCTCCGAAACTACAAGAAATCCTATCATGATAAATGGATTCGATTCTTTTTATTTCCTTGATTTTACAAGGAAGAAAGTGAAATAAGCTGAGAAAGCAATTTCTGGCGCATCATCGTAAAATCAAAACATCATGCAAAGTGGAACGATTCTTTTTATTTATTGAGAAATCAAAACAGAAATAAAATGCATTTAAACATTTTCGCTAATGTGTAAAAAAGCTATAAGAATATCATTAAAAGAATATTTTAAATATTTATATTTACGATGTGATATACTCTGGAAAGGAAAATTCTCAACCTTTTTTCAATCTCAAATAAATATACAAATATAAAAAAGAAATAAATGTGGTTGCATGATTATTTGAATTAATTCATTTCTAAATAGACACACAATAATAATTGCATAGAAATGTTTGTTTTTCTAAAGCGGTGAGTTTATTTTCATGAGAATGCGAGGTTCACAGCCATGTGGGAAATGAAAAGCGACGTTTTAGTTTACAGATCATTTTTTAAAGATATGAAAAAGAAAATGATGATTAGTCAATCAAAGTTTTTATATCAAAAAGTTGTACTGATGAAGATGTAAAAACCTCATCAATTTCAAAGCTTTCATTTAATGTAAACGTAACATCGAAAATCGCTCTTCACATTTGACAACTCATCTCGCATAACACATTAAACCTTATAAATCGAATCTTTATGTGATAAATTCACTTCTTAACACCAATTTCTCATTCATGCTGACATTTTTTGTATTATATTGAATGGCACTTGAATCTTACCTGAAGTGTCTGAAAAAGGAATCAAATTCTTATACTTCTATATTGAGTAGAAAAAATAAATCAAATTCTAATGTCACGGTCTAATTTTCTGAATTGAAAAATAAAAAAAAATTGTTTTACCTTTCCACTCGATTTTATTTCAATTTATAACGAAAGAGGTCAAACCTTTTGTCAGCATTTTTTGATGAAATAAAACAATTCTGTTGGCCTTTAAAAGTATTCAGTAAAATTAAATTGGTTCAGTGGAGCATATCGTATTGAGCTTCATCAAGGCAAATGCTTACATAAATATACAACAAACGACTTTTCAATAGATATTCGGATAGCAAAAATCGATCTATTGATTGTTAGGATAGGAAAACAGAAACACTTTAGGGACTTCATAATCACCGGATTGGAGTTGCTTTTCTTATATCTCACCACAGGCTATAGCTAATTCCAGTTGCTTACCATTACCACGTGCGATTTCTTTTTTCTTTAAGTTATTCTTCAGTGGAATTGACAATAATAATGATTAAAATATTCCTATTTTCGGCTTTTAATTCATTATACTTATGTCAAAGATTTGCTAGATGTGATTCGATGATAAAATTGTGAAGAACGAACAAGAAAATTGTCTGTCACTGGCAACATTTATGTTTTGAGTTTTATTTGATTTGCAGCTATTTATAGACATCAGAAGTAAAATTAATATTTTATTGAGATATTTTCGTAGCATGACATTTAAAGATAACAGACTCAAGCCTTACCCGCACGTAGACAAATAAAAATTTCCAACTTCAAATGAAAAAGTTAACTTAAAACCAACCATTAAAACAAACAATAATAAAGTTACACATTTCAAATATTTTCGTGAGTGCCTAAAACTTTCTTGTGGGAGAAAACTTTGAGTTTTGTCAGCAAAACATTTATTTGGAAGATTAAAGAACGCAGAAATCAAGTCGGATACGTTCAAATTCGTTTCTCAACATGTTTAAAGAAATAAAAGTAAACATTCAATGATCGTTTATTTCATTCACTTGTCGGGGAAGACGTGATGTTCATCCAAATATATTCCTTTAGTTTACACATGATAAAAATCACTCACTGAATCATAAATAATGCAATTCGCTTCCATGCGTTTAAACTTCGCCAACCTTTTCCTCCTTTTAAGGTAAATTTCTTAAAAGTTTTCTGAAGCGAATGTTATTCTCTGCTTTTCGTTTTCGTTTTCATATGAAACGTTCGTCCCTTTTGAAAACGAGAATATAATAAAATTTTATTGGTTTGCTTTTATGAATATTCATTGCCTCAATTCATAGCACCTTCAATCCCTAGATACTCTTAAAGTAAGATGATCAATGTTCAGGGTAGAAAGCCATGATTTGCAGTCATTTGTTATTTGTATCTTTATGTTTTCTTTAAAGAACTTTTATCCTTTCAGAATAAAATTTTTGAATGTTTTCATTGCTCTAGGCTGATTTAAAGGATTAAATGTTATAGAAATTGAATTCGATCAAAAATATCTTTGAAAAGTTCTCCTTCTCTCTTTTATTAGTTTTCACGGAAGGGATTTTTTCTTTATAGAAAGCTTTCAATTTTTTTTTGTTACGATGCCAACCTTAAATTGAATATTCTGACATTCAAGTAAATTAATATTTAATGAATTTTTATGATGATTGAAAAAAGGTCTTAAAATGAAAGAACAAAAATTCTTAAAATAATTTTCAAAGCAACTTTAATGATATTTTAATGGAGCCTTTGTCATCTCATTTTGAATAATCCGAAGCATTTTTGAAATTTGATTTTTTTAAAACCAAGCTTGCTTTCATCACGTTTTCTATCTCGTTTCCCTGTTTTATTATTCTCTTAGACATTTTTGAAGAAATTTCATGCGAAATCCTATTCGTCGTTTAAAATATTTGTTCTATTATTTTTACTCTGGAAATATCCATATCGCTTTTTATGCGACTCTAAATATCTGTCAACATCAAGTGGATAATCACTCGTGACATTTTAACGTTAGCTTTTGAACAAGCACGCCATAGCTATTAAACATCGATTTAATTAAACTTTTCATTATGTCATGAAGTTTACTGTTAATTCTTCTTTTAAAGCTTTCATAGAAACTTCTTGAAAACTCAATACGAAAGTTCAAAAAGATATTTAAAAGTTCTAACGAAAGAATTTTGTTGTTATTTCTTGCGAATTTAAAAGATATCAAAATCAAGATTGAGTCAGATAAGAAGTTAAAGTTTCGTGTTTTAATTTCTACTTATAGTTTCAGTTCGAAAGAACTCAAATTAACCCGACCAAAGTTTTGTTTAAGCAGAATCATCTCTTAATTGTTTTTAAGTTTGGAAACAATCAACTTTTTATCAACAGCAAACTTAACAATTCCTTACAAACAGTCCAGTAATTGTTATTAAATTCAAAATGCGATGGCAGAATATTTGATTAATTATTCATGGTCTGACCTTCTGTTGATTCCATTCAATCATTCAAAATGTCCTTGACACATTAATTTATTCTTCAAATTATTATTCATGAGTTGTAACCAAATAATATCCTAGAGCATTAATATAACTAATCAAAAGTTTTATTGAGTTTCTTATTCAAAATTGAAATTCATTTCTTTTATTCTGTTTTCCAAAGCAACATAAAATATTATTCCTTGTTTTATGTAGCATAAATTCATTATGAAATGTTCCTTTGTTTTATAAAGAATTAAAATTGGAAAACATTGCCGAACAAACGTTTCGATCACTTTCAAACAAACTTTCATTTGAAGCTTAAATTTCTTTAAGTGCTTGTTGAACACTCACAAAAAACTTGTTGCTTTCACATTAATTCAAAATACCTATTCACGTTCATTAAACATTCTCCTTATTGTGAAAAATGTTTTTCTATCTTGTGCTTTACCATAGCTGGTCCCTCATTCATTTTTCCTTACCAGAGTTCCTTATCGTCATCTATGATTGCCTAATCCAATGACTTGCTTAAACTTTACAAGTCTGTTTTTTTTACCTTCTTCTTTTTCCACCGACAACGCTGGCTTTTGTTCACAAGAAATGAAATATTCAGGCGAGACGAAGGGAAGCAAGAGAATAAATGATAAAAAAGATGCTTAATCACTTTCATTCATCGTTAATTTCTTCCATCTGATTCCTGTGGGATTCATTTAGACTAAAGTATCGTCCCAATTTGATGTGAATTTCAAATCGAAGCAACCACAAAACAAACGCACAGATTGATCATCTGAAAATGTGATGAAATACTTCCTCGAGGTATATTTTTGTCTGGGATATGAAAATGTTTGAACTTTTGGAAAGTTTCCAAAAATTGAAAAGAATAAAATTTCATCAGCTACAAATCACTTTACAAGTTCATCTTCAAAATTAGCCATCAACAGTCCCGCTTAGACTTTTGCAAATCAATCATTTCGATGATTTAATGGTGTCATTTTGTATCTTTTTTCTCTTTTTTTTGGGGTTTCATCGCTGGTGGTTGCTGACAAAAATTTTCAATGTCATGATACAAACGTCACAACATAATTTACAAACCGCGTTTGCAATAAATATTCGAGGACGTAGCTGATGACGTAAAATGAAAATTTAATTCTGTTTCACATTTCCCTCGACTTGTATAATTAGAATATGTTTTAGCCAAATTATAGGGAGCAAGGGAGATTCTATAATTAGTTCAACAGCACATTAGAAAAATAAAATCTCACTAAAAATAAGTTTTTAATAAAGTTTTATGGGACGGTCAAATGTTACGTCAACTATTTTTTTATGAGACGTCAGAAATTATTAATTATAGATTCTGAAAGCTTTTACTGCCTAGACTTCATGACGCCAGAATATTGAAAAAAAATTTGATCATTCATAGCAAGAAACTTTACTTGTGACGTCATACATGCTTTAAAGTATCGGAAAAATGTTTTCATCTCAAATGAAATTCAACGAAGAGAAAAGGCTGAAGAAAATGTATTCTGAAAAGAAATAAGAAGAAGGTTGAGGTCAGTTTTCGTTTTATATTCACAGCTTTTCTAAGAATGTGACGTGAACGAAGCAACATTCATTAATCGCGTTTCTCATCATCATAATAAATTAGGGATTTTTATGCTTCTTAATTTTCTTTTTTTCGATTGAATTTCAAATTTTCGCTTCGCTGTCGTGATAATATCTGCTGGGTTATATTTTGTGTAAGTAATTGCTACTTAATTATACAGAGAAGAAGCAAAGTTTTATTTTTTTTTGCATGGGTGGAAAATGTTAATAAACTCTAAAATATTTTTGTTGTGGGATGAAACTTGAATAATTTTCTCAACATCTTCGCTTCAAATTTCAATGGTTGATGTGACGGGTTTTCATTATTGAGATACCTTATATTTGTGAAAACTTCAACAACAGATGACTTAATTCAAGGTTGACTAAGCTCCAGATGATTCAAGTGATATCTTGCTTTCATTCTGGATAAATCTATCTTCGAATTTAATTTGGGTGAATTTAAATTGAATGAAATTTGAAATTACCTTCAGGCAACAACAGAAAACTGTCAGTTAAATTCAATAAATTACGCTCTGCGCTATTGGGAATGGTAAATGGCGATAAGAGACCATTTAATAATCATTTTTGATATCAAATTTATTTTATTATCTTTCTACAATATGTAAATAATAAAAAAAATTTAAAATACCTGTGTTCCAATAAAATAACATGAAAAATAATTTTGATTTCATAAATTGATTAAGTTTTCATTTACAATCATAACAACGACTTGAATATTCCAACCCATTTCAACTTCAACCCAATGTTTAAATTACAAGGGTTTAAAATAATTTTAAAAAAATATTCCCCAGCATAAGTTTGAGGTATGAAATTCGAGTATTTATGTATGTACATAAACTTGAAGCGTTAATGCTCGTAGCTTAACTTTATCTTCTGTTATTTTATGTTTGCCTGCTCTCGAATTCTTTAATCAAACTGAAAGGAGAAATGAATATAGTGAACTAATGCTTTCCTTTATTTCTTTTATTTTTCAGAAAAGATATTCCATTAGTTATCCTAGAAGAAGGCAGTTACGAGAAAGATGTCCTGTTTTATGTGAATATTGGCGAGCCACAAATGATTGGAGGTAATTTTTATATTGTTACAATACACAAAGTTACAAGATTCATAAAAAAAAGAAAAAATAATGTCACAACATCATTTATCATGAATGTAACATCACACAAAATTTTTTTAGTATCTTTTTTAACTGATATATGTTTGCAAAACACAAGTATACAAACATGTAAGGTTTTTCTTTCAAGCAAAAGTTTAAACACAGCGCAGTGGTGTAGCTCCTCTAGAGGAAAATTGCTGAAATTTTGCAAAATAATTTGGCGCTTAATTGCTCCTCTGAGGATGAAAATAAAACTTAAAAAGTATTTAGTTGACGATAAATTTAATACTCATTACGCCACTTAAAATCACAGTTTAAAATGTTTTACTTCACACACGTTTGGTTTTTTTATTCTTCTTCTTTTACTTTAATTAAATTTAATTTAATTTATAGCGAGAAGTTTTCACATGATTATTCACCAGACATTTTGAGACTTCTTCGAATTATTCTATGAAAATGAGAACAATCGTAATGAATAATTGAAATGTTTGTTCATGTGAAAGCGTCTCTTCCACATAAAAAATTAGTTTTCCACAGTTTTCTATAATTTGGTTTTCTTTTTCGTAGAAAAGCGCTTTGATTTTATTTTTCAATTAATTTTTTAAACATGACGCATTTACTTCTATGAGTTTCATCGCCTTCGGTAAACTTTTCTTGTTTTCTTTCTTCTTATTAACGTCTTTATAACGACGGGGAATCAATCCCTTGTTTACTTTTTCATTCACGATAAGAATAATAAACACTAGAATTTCCCGAAGATTTCCATTCAGCAAGTTAATTACTTATTAATAATTTTCCTTCTACTCGCGGTTTCTGTTTATTGAAACATCAAGAAAATGAAAAAGAAAAATATTTAAATGATCATTAAAATTCTCCATCAGCTTCTGAATTCAGCGAAGAAAAAAATTATCCATAAAATTTTGTATTCCGGTTCGTTTATTGATTTTTGATTGATATTTGAGTGTCATTAACACCCATTCGATCGAGATTTTAATATTTAAAATTTATTTACAATTTTATCTTAATGCTACATAATTATTTAATTGGATTTAGAATTTTCTTTTATAAAAGCCTTCGCCACTTTGGCAAATTGAATTATTGGAGAATTTCAGATTTCCAATATAAAACTTGACTTTTTACTTTGAGGATTTCTAAGGAAAAATATTGTTTGAAACTTTTCAAACATTTTGTTCTGTGGTGCGACCTTTCAACGTGAAACTCAATTAAGTAAATAAAAAAATTTTTGGTTTCAACTTTAACTTATTGATGGAAATTTTATTGGAATTTCATTCTGTTGTATTTTATCTTGTTTTTCTTCTCTTATTTATCGTAATTTTATTCACAGATTACGACACTGTAGAAATGAAAACTTGTATTTACCTAAATTTAATGGCTTTTGCCAAGCAAAGGAATAATCGAAGGAAAAACAAACGATTTATCTTTGGGATTCCTTCATCAATGATGTTTTTGAATAACATAAAATTGTACATAAATAAATAGATCAATTTATATAAACTTAGGAAGCTTTTTTCGCTCTTAGACCAGTTGCTGGGGATCATTGGTGAATGTTTTCCTTCTGTTTTTATTAAGTTTTTTCTTCGACTTCAATTTTCACTTTCAAAATTTTTTAATTTACTATTTCGATATTTTTTTTCTTTTTATATCTATTGCTTGTTACTTCTACTACCATTCTGCAAAAAAATGTGTACTTCTACTGTTTAATCATACCGTTAACTGCTACATCATCAAACAAACCGAAATGTCGAAAATGACTCATATGAAAACAAATATGATAAAAACAATGAAAAACGATCAAAAATATGACTTGACTGTGATGGCTGTTGATTTACCTTTTGTTTGTTTAACGTTTTGTGAAATTTGAATTAAACAATCAACAAATCAATCTTATAAATCGTCACTTTAAACAACATGAAATCAATCAAAATATATCGTGTTTTGGTGTTGTATGTACGCGATTGAATTCATCATGGACTCACATGGAAATCATTATTTCTGTTTTGACTGCGAAATATGCTGACCGGAATAAAACTGACTCTCAAATATATGTGACAATTGTGTACATGCAACTGGACGGAATTGAAATTGATTACAAACATTGTTGGATGTTGTTTTTGTTGATTTTACGAATGAAAAAAAAAACATTTAAAACTCGAACACAATTTCAATACAAAAAATAAAAATAAATAAAACTTGACTAATTTTGTAAGTAATGAATCAAATTTTCTTCTCTATAATTAGTTGATGATGATTTTGTGTCCACTGTTTATTGTGTGCTGTGACAGATCGAGATCATTGTGTACATATAACTAAATATTGTGGTGTGTTAGAGCTTTCAGCACATATCTATTGCATTTTCGATCAAAAATGTCAAAGGCAAAAGAAGTTACATCAATGCGAATGACTCTCAAGTGTTTTATCATGACAAATTGAACGACTGCTACAGAAATCTTAATTGAGTTCTATTGACAATAAATAAGACATGAAGTCGGCAATGAACTTGATATCTACTTCTCAACATTTTCTTTCCTTAATCGTTGTCGTGTCGTGTCATTTTCGAAATCGTTTAACAAGCAAAACATGTAAAAAGAAAATTTTTAGGAACAGAATGAAGATTGGATTAAAAACATTTTAATATTCATGTGGGGAGACAAGAAAAGTTTCTAATTTGACTAGAATTTAAGATAAATGTTTGCACAATAAATCTCACAAGGTAAAAAAGAAATTCCGCATTTTAGCAGCATGTCGCTTTGTAGGAGATTTTTATCAGAAAGTTTTCCTAAACAAAACAAAAATGTTTTTCTTTTGTGTTGCCATTAGTTGATGTGAAATGGAAATAACAAATTTTCCATTTAATTGAAGAAAGCCACACCAAACATTTTGGAATTTGTGTATAACATTCTACTTTTTTCCATTTACCGTGTGTAAAGTTTTTATGATAGTTCAAGCATCATTAGTGGGCAGATGCATAATTACATAATTTACATGATAATCTGTAAATGAAAATAGGGAAAAAATTTCTCTCCACAAAAAACTAAAACAAGAATTAAATAATAAATAAAAAGTTTTTCTTTCGTGAACGTAATTGATAGCTTACTTTCCATAATGATATTTTTTAATAATTACGGAATTAATTACCACTCATAAAAAGCAACACAATCAAATCTCAACTTACAAATATAATTAATTTTACTCTTGAGAGTTCTTTTTAATATCTTCTTTTGCCTTTCCATTTACATCATGATAAAATTTCATTTCCCTTAAACACGTAAAGTAGCTCAAAGCACATAAGTATCTAGTAGAAGCATTTGCGCTACACAAGTTTATTGTTTTTTATTTTGCTAGTTAAAACTGCTTTTTTTTTTACTTTAAGGAAAGAGCCACGACACACTCTACACGGTGTGAAAATTATTTTTCATTCCACCGCTTTTCACTTTAATCGCTATTGTCGTATCATGCTTTGTGCGTTTTTTTTTTAAGAAAAAATGTGTCGTCTTTTTGCACTTAGTGAAAGCTGCTTTGTAAAATAATGTTTTAACACAACTGTGGCAAAGATCGGATGTGACTGAAAATGTTTCCAGCTTTTCTTCATGCTTAGCTATTTATTCGCCATCATCACAAGTCATTTAACAAAATTTACACCACTTTATCTTTTCTCTGTTTTCCATCCTGTAAGCGAAAATGTTTATCTAAATAAATATTAAATGTTTAGTCGTATTCTCTGTGTTTCTTCTTTACATCCGCTAATCTACCATAAAATCTGTGAAACACATAATTTGGCTCTTTCGGTCTGCATTTAAAGTTTAAACTTCTCTCCTGTCTTTCTCTTTCATTCTATCTCTCTATCTCTCTCTCATTAGGTTTATTGTTTAGTTTTATTTAATTTTTTATTTATTTATTATGTTTTGAATGGTTTGTCCCTTTCCCCTACAAAATAACATTTAGACAAACTTTTTGTTTAACGTCTTTAAGCTAAGAAAGTAAAAAAAATATAAAACATAAGAAAAGATAATGTTTTTATGTTAGAACAAGATTTTCATTCCTTCTACCCCCAACAAAAGCCAACAATTAAGATAAAAAAATTCTCTCATGATATCTGTGAGTTAAGGAATAATTTACTAATAATGTTTTTTCTTTTATCAAATAATTCGACCAACAATGAAACAATTATAATCAGGCTCTGATCCGGATGACGACATAGCGCAACAGATTCAAGAGGCGGAAGCTAAAGCGCCAGAGGATCTCACAGAGGAAGACAAAATGGTGCTGCTCGGGAGACCGAAAAATGGTGATATTATTCGAGCACAACTACGCATTAAGGAATCAAAAGAGTTTAAGGTAAGTAACAGCGTAAAACATAAAATATTTATGTGACTTTGTTGATAAAATATTTAGAATCTAATAGAATTCAAATTCCTAAGAGAGAAATGATTCTTTCACGAATCTTGTTTTCATTTCCTTTAAAAAGATAAAAATGAAACATACAAGAGAAAAAATAAATAAAAACAAAGAAAAACCTATCCTCGAGCAACAAGAAAATTGAATAATACATGTTGCCATGCATCGCGAAAATATTCGATTTGAATTTCATCAAAATACAAATTTCCATCTTTAAGAACAAATTGAAAAACCAACTCAACGCGTCAGGTTGATCTTCGAAACAAGATGAAATATAAAGTACAACAAATTTTCATCGACACATGTGCTATTGATGAGAAACGCAAAAAAGAAATGTTTCAAATCGAAGGAAAATTCCGATAGGAAAATCTGCGCTTTTATTGTCTCTTTGGTATTTTGTTTATTGATTAGATTCTTCGTCTTTCATTTGAATAATTTTCAACACGTTTTCGAGTCAATATAAACATAAAATCTACAACTTATGGCTATGACTGCCATTCGGCAATATAAAATGCCTTCTGTCATTTTAACATAACGAATCGTATAAAATCTGGTAATTACTCCTGTCTTCATATCGTCCCAACTCCCGATATCCAATAAAGTTTATAATTATTGCGTGAAATAAGCCAGAAGTTTCAATCGGAATGCTTTGAAACATGCGAAGTTTTTTCTTTTTCTGTATAAACATTTGATGTCAGGAAATTATTTCCTATCGAATTCTTTACGTAATTTCCATAGGCAATGAAGAAAATCAATGAAAAGAAAACAGAAATTTTATCAGCTTAATTAATCAACGAGTTAATTACAATAAATCACAAACAGCTGAGAAGGCTGTGTCAGTAATCAACTTAGGTTTTATTACTTACAACTTTAGATTAGAAAGAAGTTTTTCACAGTTCATTAAATTGAATGTTCAATTAAACGAGTGAATAAAAGTTACACATTGAATTATAGAAAAAAAAGTTTGATTCGAAAGATCTGCTCTACATTTTTTGAAATGGATATTTAAACAAAAAAGAAGAAAATTTCTAGACAAAAAAAATTATTAACACAGTTTTAAAAGAAATCAAGAAGCTTGAAACTTTTTTTATGAGATTAAAATAAAGTTTGAGAACCAGTGGTGTATCTCAATAGTTAAAAAGTTTTTGTTAAAGAGATATCCACAAATTTTTTAGTACTTTTTAAAGTCTTTACACATCATCACTCTTAATTCGTGTCAAACATCAGGAAGCCAAGATACATAGAGTTATTAGGTTAAAAGCATTTGTTTGCTTTCTTTTGTGATGTTATCTTTTTTTGCAATTTTTAAAATGTATGTTGTTGTCTTTAACGTTACTTGATTGAAGATAAGAATGAATGTAAGTACACGTATTTAATTTGACGACTTAAGAAGAAAACTTCTTTGTTTGTGTGTGAGTTTCGTAAATATTAAGCATACCTTAAGGAAAAATCATTAAATTTCTTGATAATCTTCGTTCGTTGTCGCAAATTCTCTTCCATTTCTACCGTCGAAACTTTGAGATCGTAGGGAAAGAATGAGAGCTTTTCAAAACGACTTAAATATATAAATGAAATTTGTGAGGAAAGGGGAATGTTCAAGAAGATTTAATGAATATAAACTTGATTTCTTATTCTACTTCTTCGGAATTTTTATGGAGACAAAGTTTAGAAATATTTAAAAAATATTGTGGAAGAAAAGTTTGACGAAGAAGAGGGAGCAAAGATGATTAAAAAGTTGAGAAAAGAGACGCCCAATTACCAGCATCTTTTGCTTTGAGCGTTGAAAAGGAAAGCGTATCAAATTGACAAAGATTATCACCCGCATTCTTTCCGAGGGGACCGGATTTCCTTTTTTCCCTTTCTTAAACCTTGGCATACTTTTTCTTGTACTCAATTAACTTAAAGCGACAAATTTACGTTTTTTTTCTGCTTTCTTTCTGTTTTAGAATCTTTCGGCCATTCACGTACCGTTTCAAATCCCCTCGTCTTTTTCTTATTTAATTTCTTTTCGTATTCTCAATGCAGATTCCTCTTTTAATGTTTTTTTTTCCTTTTCGTTTTCTGGTGAAAAACATTTAGCATTTCAAGAAGTCTATTGCTTTCATCCATTTAAAGACATAAAAAAAATAAATTCTAAATATAAGTATAAGAATAAGAAGAGAACGAGATGAAAATTTTAATAAGAACTTTTTCCTTGTAAATGACACAAAGGATGTTGCTGCAAATGAAGAAAGAACGTCGTTTCAAGACACCTTTCACTTTATTGCGTACTTACTTAAAAAGAATGATGTGAAAATATGTATGATGTCATGAGATGTCATGCATATTAGGAATTCTCATCTCTCAGTTCTTCCATTTAATGACTTTGTTACTGTCAAATTTTTCAGACTTTTGATGAACTAAATAAAATAAAAGGTCTAAAAAGAAATGAAGCTATATCAACAATCCTTGTCATAACTTGACATGCTGTCTGATATTTCTATGCAAATCAATTCCATCATTATTTTTGCTATATCAATTTCTTCTCATTTTTCTAAACTTTTTTCGTTTTGTTTTCAAATCATTCAAAAATTTTGTTGATGTTTGAAAAAAATAAAAATTTATTCGCTTCTGTTACTCTAACAATTATTTTATCTTTATTACTTATTTGTGGGAAACACCTAAATTATAATTACAATGTCGATAACATTGTTGGTAATGATGTATAAGTATTAATGATTCAACTAACAACCACGTTGTTGCACCTTTGGACTTTCATACTCAAGTGATTCAGCACCTGTCTATCATGAGTAATTATCTGTATGAAAAACGTAGGAAAACATCACTTCACATTTATTCCAATCTTAAAAATATTTGCCACACTTATGCATTGTGTATGTGTCAAAACGATAAATTCAAACCCCTATGTTATCTTATCTCTGAACGAAAGCGATAAGATTGTGAGTCATTTAATACAAGAAAATTTAACACTTTCTAGTATTTCCATCGTTAGTTGACTCGTGGTTGTAGTCGCTGCAAGTTCACAAAATTATTCAAACTTTCTAATCTAATTAAAGTGACTCAGAAGATTTAAAAAAAGCAAAATGGCGTCAACTTCTGTGTTAATCTTCATAACTTTAATTCTGTTTCTGCTGCTATCATACGTGAAGAAGAAATATTCTTATTTTAGTAGTCGCAAAGTTTTATCACAAGTTCCAATATTTCCTTTGGGAAATTTCTGGAAGGTCGGAATATCTCTTCATTTCATTGAAAAAATCAATTCGCTTTATAGAGAATTCAAAGGCAGAGATGTTCTTTGTGGATTTTATGTCTTCACCAGACCAGTGTATCTCATTCTTGATGTGGAACTCATTAAGAATATTTTAGTGAAGGATTTCTATTCATTTCACGATCGAGGACTCTATCATAATGAACACACGGATCCACTTTCAGCACATTTATTTTCGGTAAAAATTCTAATCTATCAAAGCGTCGCGCTTGCGATAAGAAGCTAAAAACTTTTACATTTTATCGTTATCTATTTTAATATTTTTTGAGGTCGATGGTGAACACTGGAGAATTCTCAGGAATAAGATGACAACAACTTTTTCGAGCGGTAAAATTAAGGGAATGATGCCTACACTCACAGAAATTTCCCAAGAGTTATCTGACGTGATTAATGAAGCTGTTGAAGATAAGCAGTGTTTAAATTTTCGTGATATTGCTTCACGTTATATGTGCGAAATCATAGGACAAGTTGCTTTTGGACTTAAATGTAATTTGATATTGAAACTTCGCTTATTTTCTTGAAATGGATGATTATGACATGTTGATTTTAGGCAACGCATTACGTGATCAGAACTGTCAAATGATGGTTATGGCAGACTTCTTAAGCTTCACTGATATGAAGCAACGAATCAGTTTCCTTTTAGCAAACGCTTATCAAGATATTTGTCGAAAAATGAGCATACAAATAACGCCAAAATATATTCAAGACTTCTTTCTTAAACTCGTCATCGACACTGTTGATTATCGAGAGAAAAACAAAATCGAGAGAAATGATTTCCTTAGTATGTTGATTCAGTTGAAAAATAATGGAAAACTCGATGGTGATGAACGAGAAATTGGAAAGATATCATTCACCGACCTTGCCGCTCAATGTTTTGTGTAAACAAATTGAACAAATTTTCTGTAATTTATGGGATTTGTTTAAATCAATGTAAAACATATTTTAGATTCTTCTTAGCTGGTTTTGAAACATCATCGACTGCTCTTTCATATGCACTCTATGAGCTTGCGATTAATCAAGAACTTCAAGACAAAACTCGAAATGAAATCGAAAATGTTCTCAAAAAATATGATGGTGAAGTCACGTACGATGCAGTCATGAATATGGAATACTGCGGTCAGGTCATCAATGAATCCATGCGCAAATATACTCCTGGTAATGTTCTCCTACGTATTTGTACAAAAGATTATCACGTTCCGGGAACAAATCATATAATCGAAAAAGGAGCTAATCTCATGCTACCGATGCATGCAATTCATAATGATCCCGAGTTTTTCCCCAATCCTGATAAATACGATCCTGAGAGATTTTCACCAGAAGAAGTTAAAAAAAGAAATCCGTTCACGTTTCTTCCCTTCGGTAATTGAAATTTATTTTGTCTTGCGATGAAATTCAATTTTTAATAAAAAAACCTTTCAGGTGAAGGTCCTAGAAACTGCATGGGATTACGCTTTGGTGTCTTACAAACACGCTTGGGATTAACGACAATTCTTCGAAATTATCGTGTCACTTTGAATAAAAAGACGATTCATCCAGTTCGGTTTGATCCAAAAGACGTTACGATGATGCCAATGGGGGGAATATGGCTGGATGTTCATCGTATTTAATTCCTGATTTTCCCTTATGCATCTTTTCATCTAAGGAGCTTTCATTATCATCATCTCGTATCAACAGCTGTTTTTTAAAAAACAAAAATGAACTAAAAGAATAAAAATGGTTGAAATTGATAAAAACTTTTTCACTACGAAAATTTCTAATTGTTCGAGCAATAAAATGCAGGAAAATCAATTACACAATCGATAAGTGAGTAACATTCACTCAAACTTTTTAAATGAATGAAAAAGCATTGCGCAATCGTTGATAACATTCGTTTGTTTGAGTATATAAAGATAAAAATACATTCATGACCTATGAATAAAATCGCATTTGATTTTTGAAGCTTAATTAAAATTGTCATTTAAAAGATAACAAAATCTTATCAACTTTCATATTGTTTATCTTTTAGGCTATTTCTAGAAAATCTCGCATCCAAATGTCTGCTCATGTTTACACAAAAATGTGATGTGTATCGAAATTGAATACCATTTCGTTAACGAAAGTTGAACCTACCTGTAATATTTTTGATACGCCTCCACAGAATTTCTATTAATTTAGTCGCTTTACTTGCCATGACTACCATGAGAAGGTTTCGTTAGCAAAAATAATCTTATGCACACGTTTCACTGTCATCATTATCAGTCTTTGGTTACGACTTTGGTTTCAGATTCAGAATGTTTTGCGATAGGATGTGTGAATTTATCTGTTTTTGCTAAATGTGGAAATTCTTTGACACTTAAGATTTTACGAGATGATTGAAGTTTTTTTGGGTTAGCTTGAGTTGTCATGCCAAGAGCGTTTAAGAACCTTTTATGACTGATTTTGATATCACATTTTTTGCAGACAAGTTTGTCAAAAAGTTCTGATGAAATATCCAAAAGTTGCCTAATTTGTCGACAATGTCCATAAAACTGAAATTCTCCTTAATTGATTCCCAAAGTTCTGTCGATACTAAAACAACGAATTGATTGAAAATTTTTCATGTCATTTTTATACAGAAGCAAAATATTGCAAAATTCGAGATAGAAATTGAAACTCTGACAGTTCAATTTTCACAAATTAATACTCAAGGGAAACATGAAATGTCGTGTACACTTTGTTTCACTTTACTTCATTGGATTTTATCTTCGGTAACTTTGAAAATCACGATTAAATGAATTTGTGAAATAAATATCTGAGCTGAAAAGGGACGCAAAATTGCATTTGTTTGAGCTTGGGGAATCCAAAGTTATGATCAGGGATTTAGATATGATTTGATTAGCTTGGAACTTTCATGACACAAATAATAAATAAAATGTTAAAATAACTACATGAAACTTAATGGGACCCAAAATAATTGAACTATATGTCGGAGAATTGTGCATTCGATTTATAATTTAATTATAAACCTTGCTTTTGACTAGAATGACTAAACTGTAAGCTTCGAGAGTTTACTTTTGATTATTCTTCTATTGATTAAAAAGCTGATTTAACTTAAAACAATTTTTCCTTTTTCTATCATACTGGTGTAGCTATACAAAGACATCACATGCCTTTCAAAAATGGTTAATGTTTATTAGATAAAAGCAAAACAAAAACGGATTCAGATATAAAACTTTTTTGTTCTTATCTATATTCCGTTTAAGGCATTTCATCAAATAAGGCCTTCATTTTATCAGTAGCCATGATAGCCATAAAATCAATTTTCCATTCCAAGTTAGATTTAATCAAAATAACAAGTTTCAGTTAACTTTTTAACCCATCTCGCAAAGCAAGAGTATAAATTTGACTGAATTTATCGTTCAAAACTTCAGTTTTTTGTTAACATTCAAAAGCTTCGAATGTAAAAATGAATTTTACGGAAGTTTTCTTGTATATTATTTTGCCTTCGGTCATTGCTGGTTATTTTTATTTGAAGAAAAAATTTTCATATTTTGAGGAAAAAGGAATTCCACATTTGAAGCCATCATGGCCAATGGGGAGCATGGGTGCTGTTGGAGTTAGTGAAAGTTTTATTGACGTTTTGACAAGAGCTTACGAGTATGGAAAAGGAAAAGATGTCATTGCAGGTTTCTACACCTTAATTAATCCAACGATCATCGTTACTGATGCTGATCTTGCCAAAGCAGTTTTGATAAAAGATTTTGCTTATTTCACCGATCGTAGTGGTTTTGTAAACGAAGAAGATGAGCCGCTGACTGGTCATCTTGTAGCTATCGGTGGTGAAAAGTGGAGATTCTTAAGGAACAAATTGAGTCCAGTTTTTACATCTGGAAAAATCAAAATGATGTACAATGTAATATCAGATCGAGGTGACCACTTTGTAAAGGCAATCGAAAAAGCTTCTTCAAATGGATCATCGATCAATGTCAAGGACATAAGTAACAGATTGTTAATTGATATTGTTAGCTCGGTTGCTTTCGGTATGGAGTCGAATACATTGAATAATGAACATCCAGAATTTGTGGAAGTGTTCAAAATTGTCTTTGGCGGTGACGACAGTTCAAATTTTTTCCTTTATTTCGCACTTATAGGAATGTTTCCAAATGTTGCGAAATTTTTAAAACTTAAACTTTTCGATAAAAAAGTTGAAGCTTTCTTTAATAATGTCGTGGGTGGAAATATTAAGTATCGCGAAGAAAATAACGTGAAACGAAATGATTTTGTTGACATGTTGATTCAGTTGAAGAATAAAGGATCGATTGACAATGAAATATCAACTCAAACAAGGAAATTAAGTTGGGGTGAATGTTTGGCTCAAGCGTTTGTGTTTTTCTTTGCTGGTGCTGATACTTCAAGTACTGCCATTTCATGGGGAATGGTTGAGCTTGGAAGTCATAAAGCAATTCAAGATAAGTTGAGAGAGGAAGTTTTAGAAAAAATTAAACCAACGAATGGCGAAATAACTTACGACAATCTCCATCAAATGACTTACTTAAACCAAGTTGTCAATGGTAACTTTAATATTTTTCTCGCGAAATTTTTAAAAGTTGTTTCAAATTTTCTTCAGAAATTCTTCGCAAATATACTTCCGTGTTTCTCTTAAACAGAGAAGCTGTAAAGGATTACCACATCCCGAATTCGAAGCATATAATTGAGAAAGGAACTCAAGTCCTTATCCCAAATATTGCTTTCCAAAATGATGACCGCTTTTGGGAAAATCCCAAAGAATTCAATCCTGATCGTTTTGCCCCTGAAAAAGTTGCGTCGATTCCAAGCATGGCTAATATGCCATTTGGTGAAGGTCCACGTAATTGTATTGGAATGAGGTGACAATCGATATTTAAACTTATACAATATAATTAAAATAACATTAAATATTATTTAGATTTGCACTGGTTAATGTGAAATTTGTTATTGCAACAATTATAAAGAACTTTAAAGTCACTTTGGATACGACAAAGACCCCATCATCCTTTAAGTTCTGCCCTAAAAGTACATTTATTGCACCAGTCGGAGGGTTCTGGGCTAAATTCGAGAAGGTATAAAAAGGAAACTGATAATATCAATAAAAGTTTTGTTTTCTGAATGAAAATGTAACGAATAAAAAAGAAATTCAATCAATATGAAATGTTTTAGTTGATTTGTGAAATTATAGTAAATTTGTCATACTTGCATGCGTTCGCCTTATCAAGCATATGCGAATACGTGCCATACATGTCGGTATACATGCCACCGCTGTACTTGCCTACTTTTCTACATTCATTCGCATTTTTTACTAATCCAAATTACGTCAACGTTCTATCGAATATGGCTTCGAATTTATTAATAAATAAATTTAAATGACAAATCTAATCAAAAAGAAATGTTTGGTGACTAAAAAATCAGTCAATGTTCTTCAAGACTTTTATCAGCTTTTAATTATACAAAAAAGGAAAGAAAAACGTTATCAATATTTTACTTGATCGAGACTTGACGTGTGTAAGCTTTTTGTTTTTCTATTCCATATATGGCAAGCGATACTAAAAGAGTATTTTTCGCTCTTAAAGTCTTCAATTCACTGAGAACAAACAGCAAATGAGTATAAATTCTCATGATAGTTGAGCTCGTGAGCAGTGTTGTTTAAAGTGTTGCTTTGAAAACTTCGTGGAGAAAATGAGTTTCTCGGATATTTTAATTTACTTTATTTTGCCATTGTTGTTGATTATTTTCCTCTTTTTGAGGTATAAATTTTCACATTTTGACAGACATGGAATTCTACACAATAAGCCGGAATCTTGGATTTTGGGAAACATGAGTGGTGTTGGAACCAAAATTCACTTTGTTGATGTAATGCGGAATTTTTACGAACAGTTTAAAGGAAAAGATGTTATCGGAGGGCTTTACAATACAATTGTTCCTTCAATTGTCGCAATTGATATCGATTTAATTAAGTTAATCACCATAAAAGAGTTTGACACTTTCAATGATCGTGGAATGTTTATAAATGAAGATGAACCATTAACTGGTCATTTGTTCTCGCTTGGCGGTGAAAAATGGAGATTTTTAAGAAACAAATTAAGTCCAGTGTTCACTTCTGGTAAGATTAAGTTGATGTACCACACGATTTCTGATACAGGCGATAATTTTTTGAAAGCCATTGAGACAAAATCAGTTAAAGGTTCGATTGAAATGAAAGATTTCGCGAACCGATTCACAATTGATGTGATTAGTAAATGTGCCTTCGGAATGGAGGCAAACACTCTAAACATGGAACATCCTGAGCTTGTTAATATATTCAAAAAGGTCTTCGAAGTTGAAGGACTTGCAAGATTTAAATTTCTCGTTATGGGAGTCTATCCAAAGATAGGAAAGTTTTTCGGAATCCGATTATTTGATAAATCGATTGAAGATTTGTTTTACGTCGTTGTTGGAACTAACATAAGAAATCGAGAAGCAGAAAAGATCAAACGAAATGATTTTCTTGACATGTTAATTCAACTTAAGAACAAAGGATCGATCGATGGAGAAATATCCACAGAAACGAGAAAGCTCACATTTGATGAGATCCTTGCACAAGCATTTCTGTTTTTCTTCGCTGGTGCTGATACATCAAGTAACGTCATTGCTTATGCTATCACCGAGTTGAGTTATCGTCCGGAAATGCAAGAAAAATTAAGAAAAGAAATTATTGAAAAAATAAAACCAACAAATGGTGAAATAACTTACGATAATCTTCATGAAATGACTTATTTAAATCAAGTTATGAATGGTAAATTATTTAATTATTTTTCTTGAAAGTTTTAACTCGCAACACTGACAACTTCTTTTCAAATGCTTCAGAAACGCTCCGAATGTACTCTCCTGGATTTGTAACCCTCAGACAACCAAATCAAGACTTTCATATTCCTAATTCGAAACATGTGATTAAGAAGGGAACACAAGTTTTGATTCCTAATCTTGCGATACATTACGACTCACGGTATTGGAAAGATCCCGACACTTTCGATCCTGATCGTTTCACTAACGAAGAAATTGCGAAACGCCCAACTGGAACATTTATGCCATTTGGAGAAGGTCCGAAAAATTGTATTGGAATGAGGTACATGCATAAAGAAATTATTCTCATAAGAAAAGTCACTCATTGAAAATTATTTTATTCAGATTCGCTCAAGTCAATGTCAAGTTTGCTATTGCGACAATTATCAAGAACTTCAAAGTTACTCTTGATCAAAGCAAAACTCCGCTGCCATTGAAATTCGATCCAAAAGAACAAAATTTGTATCCAATCGGAAGATTCAATGTGAAATTTGAAAGAATTTAATTCTTTATGATTTTTCAAATAGAAATAAATCGTAAAAGTTGTAGATAAAGCAAACACACGAGTTTTCACCTTTTTTTTATAAAATTTTGACGTCGAGGCTTACGGGCGCAATTCAATTTCAAAGTAAAGTTTCTGATAAGAATTATCTCAAATGAGTAATTTTCAAATAAAAAATTATCTGATTTTGATTCTCATTTTCGTTGTAAATTAAATTAAATTAAATTTAGCCTAAGGCCAAGGTCGTTTTATCTTCTCCAGTATTATTCAAGTTGACTTCACTTCAATATATTGATAATATTATTAGAATTATTTATGTATTCAACATTCTGAAATCTTTTTCGCTCAAAAATTGTTCAATCATGATATCAACTCTCTTGACTGTCGATGTTTGTGTTAGTTTTATTCACAAACAATTTTTTTGTCATTCAATCTACAGATGGTTAAGTAAATATTGCGTGACAAGTAAACTTATTTATTCCCACAATTAATTACAAGAACAAGCGGATTTATTTATTTATATTTTTTCAACTTTTAACCACATGCCATTCGCTGGTGCTAAAATGAATGACTTCGGATCAAACTTCAAAGGAATTTCTGTTTTCGGTGAAGGGAAAAACTTGAAATTTTTCAGTAATTGAATCAAAGCTATTTTCGTTTGCATCAAAGCGAATCTCATGCCGATACCTAGAAGTGAATTTTTGAGATCAGTTTTCATTTAATTAAATTTGTTAATCAATGTCAAGAAGCCTCACAATTTCTGGGACCATCACCGAAAGGCATGTAAGCCATTTGATGTCTGTTTCGTTTCTGATCTTCTGAGAAGCGTTCGGGATCAAATTTTTCAGGATTTGGATAGTATTCTGGGTCCATGTGAATTGCATTAATCGGAATAATGACCAGCATATCTTTGAGGATTTTAAGATTTGTATTGGGAATGTTGTAGTCACTTGAAGCCTTTCGAATAAGTTGTGGCGCTGGCGCGTATAAACGAAGCGTTTCTTAAAGTGATGAAAATATTTTAGCACATTTAAACTAAATTTTTGTTCACTTTCAACTTACCATCAAGAACCATTTGAAGGTATTTCATTTCTTGCATTGATTCATAAGTGAGCTCATCGTTGTGATTCTTCAAAACGCTTTTTATTTCATTTCGTAGCTTGTCTTGAATCTCTTGATGTATCGACAAGGCATACAAAGCAAAAGTTGCAGCTGAACTGCTCGTTTCAAATCCTTGACAATTTCAAATTCAGATAAGATAATAAAAAACATTCTTCTTATGACTCACCAGCAATCCAAAATAAAAAACATTGCGCAGTAAGTTCGTTTAACGAAAGCTTTCCTTCTTCATGACATTCTGGATCGTAAATTTTCAGAAGAATGTCTAAAACATCGTTGCGTTCAATTTTGTTTTTTAAACGATAATCAATCGTCTCGAGTATAACTTTCGAGAAGAATTCTGAAACATCTGATGGTAGAAATTTCATTTTCAACTTCCTAGCGAGATTTCTGAAGCTTGTGAGTAGAAAAATTTTAATTTGCACATTCTTGTCTTGTTTGAAGATTTTCGATCCCATTTTGCGGAATTTCGAATCGGGATCAGCAATTGAATTCAGTTCAAGTCCAAAAGCCACATTTCCAATGACATCCGTTGTGTATTTACTTAATTTATCTTTAATTTCTGTCATGTTTAAGTTTGGATCCTTCTCAAGTTGTTTAAGCATCAACTCAGACACATCAACCAAAGTTTGAAACATCATTTTCATCTTTCCACTTGTAAAAGTTGGTGTCAATTTTGCTCTCATATTTCTCCAATCATTATCTTCTAAAGCTACCAAATGTCCGGTCAATGGATCATCTTTAACATTATAATAAATTCCACGATTATGAAAAATATCAAAATTCTTCATTAAAACATCTTTTATGACATCAAGGTCAGTTATAACGACATCAGGCGCAATCGAGAAATAAATTCCAAACGCCGGTGCTTTTCCTTTAAACTTGTCATAATATTCTCTTAATCGATAAACAATATGAGTGGTTGAGCCAACACCTTTCAAATTTCCGAATGGAAATGTCGGCTTTTCATACAAAAAGCCATTTTCTTCGAAAAACAAAAACTTTTTACGAACCCAAAAATAAGCTAAAGTGATAATGGCGATTACGAAATAAATAATATTTGTCACAAGCATCGTAAGTTGTTAGCTTGTTGTTACTTTCGGGACTGAAAAATTGAAGCAAACACAGCTTCGTTTTATTCATACAAACGCTTATCTTACGACCGCATACAACAAAAGATGAGAGAATGAGCGAAATTTGTCACAAAAATATAACTTTTGGAAGTTAAAAAATTTTTAAGTTGAAAACTTTATTAACCATCTTGAACGTTCTTAAACAATGCAAATAATAGTTGATTAGTGCAATAAAATTCTATAGTTGACTATCACCAAATATTCTTGAATTCGCGGTTACAACTTTTCAACTTTCAACCACATATCATTTTTAGGCCTTATAAATCCAGCATTTGGTTTGATCTCCATTGGAATTAAAGTTTTTGGTGATGGCGAGAATTTAAAATTCATTAACAACATAATTAGACCAATCTTTGTTTGCATGAATCCAAATCTGCTTCCAATACCTGAATAAAAGAAAAGTTATTGATTGAAAAAAGTTGATAATAGAATTAAAGCAGAACTTACAATTCCTTGGACCTTCGCCAAATGGAATATGAGCCATTGGATGACGATTTTTCTTATTTTCTTCAGAGAATCTTTCAGGGTCAAACTTCTCTGGATCTGGATAAAGTTTTGGATCCATATGAATAGCATAAATAGAAACTACTGTCAAAACTCCTTTTTCAATCACAAGATCTGTGTTAGGAATTTTGTAATCATGCGAAGGTGTTCTGAGTAAATTGTCGAGTGGTGGAAATTTCCTCAAAGTTTCTAGAATTAAATTAAAAAAATTGTTTTCGAAAATTTCATTTGTAAATATCCTCACCATCAATAACCATTTGCAAATACTTCATTTCGATCATTGATTCATAAGTGATTTCGTTGTTATGATTACTAATCGTTGATTGAATCTCTTCACGAAGCTTATCTTGGATATCTTGATTCAATGCCAATTCATAGAGAGCAAAAGTCATTGCTGAACTACTAGTTTCGAAACTTTTTAGAAATTAATTAATGAAATCAATTATTAAAGCATGAACCAACACAAAAAATTCTTACCCAGCTAAAAAGAATAAAAATGCTTGAGCAGCTAATTCTTCAACTGTTAAGTTACCAAGTGATTCATCGGAATCATCGTTTACCTTTCCTTTATTTTTTATTTGTAAGAGTAGATTGAAGAAATCATCACGGTTGATGTTATTCGTTTCACGATATTCTATATTTTGTCTTACTGATGAAATGAAGAAGTCGGAAACTTCAGCGTCTGTTACTTTGAGTTTAAGTTTCAAGGACAATTCTTTAAAAGAAGTCATGAAAACCGATTTCATAATCATCAATGCTGATGGATTGAAGAACTTTTTTCCCATTTCTCTGAATTTTGATTCAGGATTTTTCATTGAATTTATGTCTAAGCCGAAAGCAACATTGCCAATAACGTCAGTTGTAAATCGACCGAGAATATCATTAAGTTCGATTTCAACTGAATTTTCATTTTTGTTCATAAAGTCAATCATTTCTTGGCAAACATTTTTCACAGTATTAAACATCATTTTCATTTTTCCGCTTGTAAACGTGGGTGTTAATTTCGTTCTCATTTGTTTCCATTCCGCTCCTTTAAAAATATTTATTCAATCTTTTTTAAACTAATTAATTTTATCTTCAACTTGCCTTCTAACGCAAACATATGTGCCGATAATGGATCGGTTTCCTTACAATAGTAAACTCCACGATCATGAAAGGAACCAAAATCTTTCACAAGAACATGTTTGACAAGTTCTAAATCTGTCACCAGCATGATTGGTGAAATGAAGAAATATAATCCAACAGCTTTTGTATTATTTCCATATTCTGTATAAATCTTTTGCATGACTTGTGAGAAATGGATTGTTGAACCAGCACCTTTTATACTTCCATATGGAAAATCAACTTTTGTGCTTACAAATCCACGATCTTTCCAATATTCATATTTCCTTTTCACATAATAAACTAAAAGTCCAATAGCTAAAGCGGCTAACGTTAAGAAAAGATTTAAACTCATGTTGATGACTTGAATTCTTCTAACGTACTGCGACTCGAAAACATTTTCATTCGAAATGAGAGAAACTTCAATTATCCAATACAACTTCAGAATTATTTTATAACTTTAATATTTGTTTCGTGAGAAACACACATTTGCAGAAAGACTTAAATATAAAATTAATTTTGAATTAAAAAAAATCGATTAGCAATGATTTAAGATATGATTCCGTAAAATTCATCACACTTGCGATAAGTTATCAGTTAATTTTTTCAATATTAAGGCACATGCCTCCAACTGGATTCAAGAATACAGATTTGGGAACGAATTTCATCGGTATTGTTGTCTTTTCACAAGGCGAGAATCTGAAGTTTTGTAGCAATTTCACAAGAGCGATTTTTGTTTGCATCACACCGAAACGCATTCCGATACCTGTTGAAGAAATTTTTAAGAATATTTTGAAATATCTTTTGAATTTTCAAAAAGTTTCTCTCACAAATTCTTGGACCTTCACTGAATGGAATATAAACGTAAGGATGACGTTTCTTAACATTCTCGTCAGTGAAACGTTCGGGATCGAAAACACTTGGATTCTCCCAAAATCTTTCATCATGATGTAAAGCTTGTGCTGATATAATAACTGAAGTCCCACTGGGAATTGTGAGGTTCGTGTTTGGAATTTTATAATCTCGATTGCATTTTCTGAATTGTGAATCGACTACGGGATATTTTCGGAGAGTTTCATTGAATACCATGTCTAAGTACTTCATTTCCATAATGCCCTCGTAGGTGACTTTATTGTCATGTGCTGCTACAGTATCTTCAATTTCTTGTCTCAATCGTTCTTGAATTTCTTGGTTTAAAGCAAGCTCATATAATGCGAACGTTGCAACACTTGATGACGTCTCAAATCTATAATAAAGTTAATAAGATTAGAATTTGTTATCATAACAAATAAATTATCATTTACCCTGCTACGAAAAACACAAAACTATTTGCTGCGATTTCATTAAAGCTCAATCCACTCTCACTGTCTCTAATATGAATTAAAAGTTGAAGGAAATCATTTCGTTGAACGTTGTTTGTGTCTCGATATTTCAAGCTGTTCTCAATGACACCCATGAAGAAGTTTGTTGTTTCTTTCGAGTTGAGTGATAGTCGTAGAAATTTGGATAAATCTTGAAAAGCTGTCATGAAAAGAAATTTCGCAACTTCCCACACTGGAGGATCAAAAACTGCAGCTGCCATTTTCCTGAATTCATTTTTAGGATTTCCAAGACATTTTGTTTCTAGTCCAAAAGCTACTGAACTTATGACTTCAGTGGTGAATGACGAAAGAACTTCCTTCATCTCAACATCACCTTTTGGATTAGCAGTTGGCTTGATAAAGTCAATCATTCGATCACAAATATCAGAAACATTTCCAAACATCATTTTCATTTTTCCACTTGTAAATGTTGGACTTAATTTAATTCGTAGATCTTTCCATTGTTGTCCACTTACAGTAAACAAATGTCCAGTCAATGGATCGTCTCGTTCATTGAAATAAAATCCACGATCATGGAAACTTTCAAAATGTCGCACAAAAATATCTTTCACAACTTCTGGATCAGTTGGTAAAAATACTGGATCCGTCATTAAGTACATACCAACACCACCAGGTGCGTCTTCTTTATGTTCATCATAAAATCTTTTAAACAAAACTGACGAGTGAAATTTTCTTCCTAAGTCATTTGCACTTCCCAATGGGAATTTTCCGGGAATGAATGGAAATCCATGCTTTTCCCAAAAAGAAAACTTTTGCTTGAAAAAAAGATAAACAAGCACTAAAACAACAATCAACGAAAAAATGAATAACATCACGATATGAATTCTAAAATGCGACTGATCTCAGCTCTTCCAACACATTTGTACAAAACTCGTTGATTTTTTTCTCACTCTCAATAAATCTCCCAAGAAATCTCAGAATGAATGAGAAATTTCAGACCTCTCTCAATGAGTCATTTCAGACCTTAAATGGAACATCAGATTATATTTCCTACACCAGTTAATCTTTTATTAGTTCAGACTTAATATTTGTAAGATAACAAATCAGTTAATAGCTTCAATGTTCAGCCACATGCCGCCCACAGGTGTTTGAAATGCAGCTGATGGAACATATTTCATTGGAATTGTCGTTTTACTGCACGGCGAAAATTTATAAGAGCGAAGTAATTTAACGAGCGCAATCATCGTTTGAATCATGCCAAAGCGCAATCCAATACCTGATGAAAATACTTTTAGTAACATGAAATAAATTAAGTGAAAATTTACTTACAAATGCGTGGACCTTCACCTGAAAATAAATTTTAGTTAGAAAATTATTAAAATATTTCTGATTAAACTCACTAAATGGAATATATGCAAATGGATGACGTTTCTTAATGTTTTCTTCGGTAAACCTTTCAGGATTGAATTCATTTGGATTATCCCAGAATCTTTCGTCGTGATGTATTGCTTGTGATGAAATAATGATTGTGGTTTCCGATGGTATTGTTAGATGAGTGTTCGGAATTGGATAATCTTTTGTGCTTTTTCTAAATTGAATATCAACTACTGGATACTTTCTCAAAGTTTCACTGAACACCATATCCAAATATTTCATTTCCATGATCCCATCATACGTCACTTTACCATCATATTTTGACAAAACTTCTTCAATTTCTTGTCTCAATCGCTCTTGAATTTCTTGATTTAAAGCAAGTTCATATAATGCAAAAGTTGCAACACTTGACGATGTCTCAAATCTGAAAGAAAAAGAAAGTAAATAAAATTATATGAAACTTATATAAATTGAAGGTTTTGTTTAAATTTACCCAGCTAAGAAAAACACGAAACTATTTGCAGCAATCTCATTGTCAGATATTTCATTTCCATTATTCTTCATTTCAATCATCAGCTGAAGGAAATCATTTCGTTGAATATTATTTTCTTTTCTATACTTCATTGTGTTCTGAATGACACCCATGAAGAAATCTGTTGTTTCTTTAGAATTTATACGTAACTTCAAAAAGTCTGCGACACTTGGAAATTGACTCATGAACAAAACTTTTATTGTCTCATACCAGGGTGGATTGAAAATTTCATCTGCCATTTTCCTGAATTCATTGTTTGGATTTCCAAGAGATTTTGTTTCTAGTCCAAAAGCTACTGAACTTATAACTTCAGTGGTGAATGACGATAGAACTTCCTTCATCTCAACGTCTCCTTTTGGATTTGCAGTTGGCTTGATAAAGTCGATCATTCGATCACAAATATCAGAAACAGTTCCAAACATCATTTTTATTTTTCCACTCGTAAATGTTGGACTTAATTTTGCTCTTAAATCTTTCCATCTTTGACCACTTACAAAGAACAAATGTCCAGTCAATGGATCGTCTCGTTCATTGACATAAAATCCACGATCATGGAAGGTATCGAAGTGTCGCACAAAGACGTCTTTCAAAAGTTCGAGATCCGTAGGAATTAAGACTGGCTGCGCTAAAAAATAAACTCCAACTGCAGGCGTTTTATCCTTGAATTTATCATAAAACTGTTTCAAAACAACACACGAATGTTCTTTTCTTCCCATTTCCCCAATACTTCCAAAAGGAATTTTTCCCGGAACTGATAAAAATCCATGATTTTCCCAAAAGGAAAACTTCTTCTTGAACCAGTAATAAATTAAAGCAACTATAACAAGAAGATAGAAAAACATTTTATGAACAGTCTGACGGGTACTGAGACTTGATATAAACTAAAGGGTTAAACACGAGTTGATAAGCTTGATACCGAATTAATAAAGACGACTATCACAATTACATACAAACACAAACGATAAAAATTACGAGAGAATTGAGTAAGAAATTTTCAAAATATCCAGAAAAAAATCAACGATGAATACATGAAAAATAAATAAAATACGTATTTGTGGTCTACAGATTTTTTTTGTCAAGGTCGAAAAACATTAATTTAGACTTAATTTTACTTCACAACGATGTAAGAAAATTTAGATTTAAAAATTCTTTTTGTGACATTTGATATCTGTATAGAATTTTATTCTCGTTTGAAAACGCTTTAAATAAAAACATTGGCCATTATTGGATGACTCAGTCAGATGAGTTTATGTTGTTTAAATTGCTAAATAATATTAAAAACGGGAGAATGAGAATGAGAAATAAAACCGGTTTTTATGAAATTGAAGTTGAAATTTGATACTGAAGTTTATTTTTAATATTTTTCTAATAAAACTCATGACGTGAGTGCAATTAATTTGATCCCACAACGAACTTTCAATTGATGCGTTTAATTTCAAGTAGCATGCCCCCCGCTGAAGATTAAAAATGGAGATGATGGAACAAATTCCAAAGGAATCTTCGTTTAACTGCAAAGTTTGATAAATTTTTCCCCAGCATAATTTTCATTCGAAGCATTGTGAAACCTGCACTGTTTTTGAGTAATTTTAGGCCTTAAATGGAACATCAGATTATATTTCCTACACCAGTTAATCTTTTATTAGTTCAGACTAAATATTTGTAAGATAACAAATCAGTTAATAGCTTCAATGTTCAGCCACATGCCGCCCACAGGTGTTTGAAATGCAGCTGATGGAACATATTTCATTGGAATTGTCGTTTTGCTGCACGGCGAAAATTTATAAGAGCCAAGTAATTTAACGAGCGCAATCTTCGTTTGAATCATGCCAAAACGCAATCCAATACCTGATCAAAATCAAAATACTTTAAGTAACATGAAATAAATTAAATGAACAGTTCCTTACAAATGCGTGGACCTTCACCTGAAAATAAATTTTAGTTAGAAAATTATTAAAGTATTTCTGATTAAACTCACTAAATGGAATATATGCAAATGGAGGACGTTTCTTAATGTTTTCTTCGGTAAACCTTTCAGGATTGAATTCATTTGGATTATCCCAGAATCTTTCGTCGTGATGTATTGCTTGTGATGAAATAATGATTAGAGTTTCAGATGGTATTGTTAGATGAGTGTTCGGAATTGGATAATCTTTTGTGCTTTTTCTAAATTGAATATCAACTACTGGATACTTTCTCAAAGTTTCACTGAACACCATATCCAAATATTTCATTTCCATGATTCCATCATACGTCACTTTACCATCATATTTTGACAAGATTTCTTCAATTTCTTGTCTCAATCGTTCTTGAATATCTTGATTTAAAGCAAGTTCATATAATGCAAAAGTTGCAACACTTGAGGATGTCTCAAATCTGATAAAGGAAGAAAGTTAAAGATTAAACTAAATTAAAGATTTTGTTTATATTTACCCAGCTAAGAAAAACAAGAAACTATTCGCAGCAATCTCATTATCAGATATTTCATTCCCATTATTCTTCATTTCAATCATCAGTTGAAGGAAATCATTTCGTTGAATATTATTTTCTTTTCTATAATTCATTGTGTTCTGAATGACACCCATGAAGAAATCTGTTGTCTTTTTAGAACTTATACGTAACTTCAAATATTTTGCGACACTGGGAAAATTATTCATGAATATCATTTTTATGGTTTCATACCAGGGTGGATTGAAAATTTCATCTGCCATTTTCCTGAATTCATTGTTTGGATTTCCAAGAGATTTTGTTTCTAGTCCAAAAGCTACTGAACTTATAACTTCAGTGGTGAATGACGAAAGAACTTCCTTCATTTCAACGTCACCTTTTGGATTTGCAGTTGACTTGATAAAGTCGATCATTCGATCACAAATATCAGAAACAGTTCCAAACATCATTTTTATTTTTCCACTCGTAAATGTTGGACTTAATTTTGCTCTTAAATCTTTCCATCTTTGACCACTTACAAAGAACAAATGTCCAGTCAATGGATCGTCTCGTTCATTGACATAAAATCCACGATCATGGAAGGTATCGAAGTGTCGCACAAAGACGTCTTTCAAAAGTTCGAGATCCGTAGGAATTAAGACTGGCTGCGCTAAAAAATAAACTCCAACTGCAGGCGTTTTATCCTTGAATTTATCATAAAACTGTTTCAAAACAACACACGAATGTTCTTTTCTTCCCATTTCCCCAATACTTCCAAAAGGAATTTTTCCCGGAACTGATAAAAATCCATGATTTTCCCAAAAAGAAAGCTTCTTCTTGAACCAATAATAAATTAAAGCAACTATAACAAGAAGGTAGAAGAACATTTTCTGAACAGTCTGATAGGTTTTGAGACTTGATATAAACTAAAGGGTTAAACACGTGTATGGTTGATTATTTTCATATCGAATAACAGAAAACGGCTATCGCAATGACATACAAACACAAATGATGAAAATTACGAGAGAATTGAGTAAGAAATTTTCAAAATATCCAGAAAAAATCAACGATGAATACATGTAAATAAATGAAATACGCGATTGGAGACTGCAGATAAATTTATTTAATTTTTCGTCAAGGTCGAAAAACAATAATGAACATTAGTTTAGACTTAATTCTACTACACAACGATGTAAGAAAATTTAGATTTAAAATAAACCCTGTGACATTTGATATCTGTATAGAATTTTAATCTCGTTTGAAAACGTTGTAAATACTTACATAAATTGATTATTTATATGTAGTTGGATGACTAAGATGAGCTCATGTTGCTGAAATTGTTAAACAATATTAAAAACGGGAGAATGGGAATGCGAAATAAAACCGGTTTTTATGAAATTGAAGTTGAAATTTGATTCTGAAGTTTATTTTCAATATTTTTCAAATAAAACTCATGAATTTGATCCCAGAACGAACTTTCAATTGATGCGTTTAATTTCAAGTAGCATGCCACCCACTGGAGCTAAAAATGGAGATGATGAAACAAACTCCAAAGGAATCTTTGTTTGATCGCAAACTTTGACTTCAAAGTTTGATAAAATTTTCACCAGCGCAATTTTCATTTGAAGCATTGCGAAACGTGCACCAATGCAAATATGCGGACCTTCACCGAAAGTTAAAAACGTCATTGGATCTCGAACTTCGGAATTTCTACGTGAAAACCTTTCGGGATCGAATGTTTCTGGATCTGGATAATATTCGGGATCATGTTGAATTGAATAAATTGGTATCAAAACTTTTCTACCCTTTTCAATGATCAAATCTGTGTCGGGAATTTTGTATTCTTGTGTGCACTTTCTCGACATGGCAGGAATGATTGGATATTTCCTTAAAGCTTCTTTCACTACCATATCTAAATATTCAAAATTGAATAGAAGATCATAAGTAAGTTTTCCATCATTAGCTTCGATTCCATCTTGAATCTCTCTTCTCATTCGCTGTTGAATCTCATGACTTTGGGCAAGTTCGAATAAAAGGAACGTCAATGTAGATGAACTCGTTTCAAATCCTCCAGCGAAAAATATGAAAGCTTCCGCAGCCATTTCATCTAAAGAGAGCGGGACAGTTTCACGAAGTTTAAATAAAAGTTGAACGAAATCATTTCTTTGTGTTCCTTTCAATTCTCTTTCTTTTAAAGTTTCTGTGAAGACTCTGCGAAGAAAGTCACAAGGTTCTTTTGGATTTGCCACCATTCCAAGCATTCTTCCACCTTCTGGAGAACTTGAAGTGAACAAGAGTCTCATCATTTCATATGACGATAAATTAAAAAGTCGTTTTCCCATCTTTAAGAATTCTGAGTTTGGATCTTCCAGGCAATTACTGTCAATCCCAAAAGCAATATTTGATATGACGTCAGTTGAAAACTTTGCCATCAATTCACGAATTTCAAACACTGATGTTTTGTTTAATTCTTTGTCAATTGCTTTGACAAACTTGTCACCAATGGAGTCAACTAAATCAAACATCATTTTAATTTTTCCTGTTGTAAATACTGGACTGAGTTTTGTGCGATGATCTTTCCATTCTTGACCTTCTAACGTTAACTTTGAAAAGAAAAGTTATAAAAATATTTTTTTATGGAAGTCTTCTAAATTTCTCACCAAATTACATGACAAAGGATCAGTTTTTTTGTTTGAGTAAAATCCTCGATCATGAAACGATGTAAAGTCTCTGATGTAGATATTTTTCAACAGTTCAAGATCGATGATTAACAGTGACGGTGAAAAAAAGAAATAAATTCCTAATGCGGGTGTTTTTCCTTTAAATTTCTCATAGTAATTGTTAAGTCCTACATGTGTCGGAATTTTAGTCCCGAATTCCCTAAAACTTCCAAATGGAAACACACCCGGCAGCGACACAAAACCTCGTTCATCCCAATACTTGTAAATCTTTTGCACGTATAAATAAATTACGGTTAACAATGCAAGAACCAAAAATATAAACAACATGTTGCTTTGCTTGTGTGACTCAAATTGAATGAAAATTACGAGAAACTTTCGAAATGATTAAAAAATGAGAGTCGAATATTGAAAGAGAAACTTAATCGTTTGTACTCAGCGGTTCTCGTCAACTTCACTACAAGATAACTTCAAAAATACTTCAGATTTGCTTCAAAAGTCTTTTGAAAAACTAAACTAAACAGAATTGTTTCAATCTTCTTAAATTTTAATAAGATTATTAAAAACTCTCACATGAAACTCTGTAAAGTTTTTGCCGCAATGTCTCAAGTGTCTGGAAAAGGTTGAGAAACACTGATTTAACCTGCTTGCTCAATAATTTACTCATAAATACATAAACAGAAAACCGTGCGAACATCATCAGCTGTTAGGTAAATTTTATAACAAACTTGTACGTAACTCAAAGCTCTTTATTCGATTTAAAATGTAAGGTTCGTGTTGAGGAATATAAAATAATGTATCGTAAGCAACTTACTCTTGTAATTAAAATTATCTGTTTAAAGATTCTCATTAAATATTCTTCATATTTAACCACATGTCAGCAGACGGTGTAGGAAACGGTGATGAAGGCACAAACCTAACTGGAATAGAAGTTTTAACGCATTGTGAGAACTGAAAATGTTGAATAAGTTTGACAACGCCAATCTTTGATTGCATTAAATCAAACCTCATGTCAATGCTTGCTCAAAACAAAATTTAAATAATCAATTCGACAACACTTCTCAAACAAGAAATTCATCTTATAAATTTCTCGATCCATCACCAAATGGCAAAAATGTTTTTGGGGTACGATCTTTGATGCTGTCTGGGGAGAAATCATTCCATGATTTTGCTGCTTGCTTAAGCCCATAAATGGCTTTTCGCAAGCGACAAACTTGGTCATTTATTTTAAAGCCTTCTGGCTGTTGCATGTAAATTTCTTCGTCTAGAATGCCATTTAAAAACGCTGTTTTCACATCAAATTGTTTTATTATCAATTTGTGTTTTCCAGCCATTGAGAGAAGTAGCCTTATGGTCGGAGCTCTAGCAACTGGTGCAAAGACTTCATCATAATCTTCTCCGTATTTTTGCGAAAAACCTTTTGCCACTAATCTGGCTTTGAAACGGGCTTCATCGTTCTCATCTTTTCGTTTATACACCCATTTGCATCCAATGGCTTTTCGATCTTTTGGTAGGTTCGATAAATAATAGGTATCATTTTTCTTTAATGAATCAATTTCTTCGTGCATGGCTTTGAACCAACTTTCTTTATTCGGAGAATTCATAGCTTGTTTATAAGTACGAGGATCTGAACCATCTGTTATCAAAGACGAGTGAGCCGTTTGAATCGATGCTAAATTTTTGATTCTTTCTGATCGCCTAGGAACTGTAATTTCTTCCTTCAAATTTGTTTCATTATCATTTATATGATTTTTAATGTTGGTGTTGGAGAGTGGGTTGGTGTATGATATTGTGTTAGTTAATTTTTCTTTTATATTCCGATCGACAATTACTTTTGAACCATTCCAAACTCTGAAACCTTTAGCAGTGTCATCAACGCATAAAAATCTCATTACTTCGGCATGAGGTTCTAATTTTCCTCTACCTTGTCGTTGGGTTGTGACGTAAACGGATTTCCCAAATTCTATAAATGTTCCATTACATTTTTTATTGAAAAATAATTCAATTGGGGAATAAGTTTTATTCTTACGAACAATTCTGTTGTGTGTATAAACGACGTTATTTATGGCTTCACCCCAAAGAAAATTCGGAAGATCGGAAGCTATCAAAATAGTTCTAACAGAATCATTTAAAGTTCTGTTTTTACGCTCTGCGATTCCGTTCTGTTCTGGAGTATTTGCAGTTGTTGTTTCGAAACGAATTCCTTCTTTAGAAAAATATTCTTTAAGTTCAGAATTCACAAACTCTCCACCACCATCAGATCTAAAGATTTTTGGCTTTTTAGATATTTGATTCTTTGTAAATTCGATGTAATTAATTATATGTTGTTTAGCTTCGTTTTTGTGTTTTAATAATTTTACATATGTGAAATCAGTGCATACATCTGTGATTGTGAGAAAATATCGTGCTCCACCTATAGTTTGTGTTCGTAAAGGGCCACATAGATCACTCACAACAATGTCGAGAGAATTTTCAGGTTTCAGAGAGTGATTGAAAGGAAGAACTGTCGATTTTCCTTTTTTGCATGGGTCACATTGATCAGAACAAGTGCATTTTGTTATCTTTAGCCCAAAATTTTTAAGATATTTAATGTCTCTTAAATTCTTATGAGCGAATCTTCGATGCCATTCATGCACACATATAAATGCGTGATTATCAAAATGTTCTTTTAATATGTAATTGTTATTTGTGAATTCTGCAATATCAATGAATGTTTCATTAATTTTTATTTTGCATAAATTCTTTTCAAAAAGAATTGAATGTCCAATTTTGTTTAGTTTATGGACAGAAATTAGATTAATTTTTAATTCAGGAACATAAGCTACATCTTCAAGAACAATGCCTATTGGTTCGTTCGATGTTTTAATTAATATTTTAATTTTTCCACGCCCTATTATTTTTAAGATTTTGCCGTCGGCAATTTTAATATTTCCATAATTTTCAAATTTTAAATCTGTAAATAAATGTTTATTTGAACTCATGTGTAATGAAGCGCCTGAGTCAATTATCCATCCTGAAACTTTTGAATCATTTAATGTTGAATGAAAACAAGTCGAATAAGATTGTAATGATTTATTATTGAATAAAGAATTCATTTCATTATCATTTACATGCAATTCAATTTCAGTGTTATTTTGTTTAAATGTTTCATTTAAATCCATACCCTTACCAGGAGTTGGTGGAATATTAAATTTACATTCACTTTTTATAAATTGCTTTTCAGGAATATTTGGCAAGGAAAATTTTTTCTCTTGCTGAATAATAGCTGATTGATTCTTATCATCCATTTTTTTTGAAGGCGGAGCCTTTTTATAAATCACCTTGCGAATATGATGGCCGCGATCAGGTTGAATGATGACAGAAGCAATTTTATTTTTCAAAACAGTCGAGTTAGCCCTAGTTTCACGTTTAAAAGGCGGTGCGATCTTTTCGTTCATGCGACCATCTTTGATGCGTAAGCCTACGTTACGTGGTGCTAAGCGATTTAATGCACTTTTACGCTGCGTTGCATTTGGTGGAAAACGAAAATTATTTCCAATGCAAGGAAACGCAGAATGAAAAGATGACGCGTACATTGATGTTGAATCTGTTACTTCACAATCATTTATAGAAGAATAGTTTGATGATTGTTTGTCAGATTTACGAAAATTATTCAATGGCTTTTTTTGAAACTTTTCATTCTGATTATTTTTAAGAAGACATCTTTCAATCGTATGACCCTTTTTTCCGCAATGGTCACACTTGAACATCTTTTTTCGTTCAAACCTGTTTAAAGGTTTATTTTCATGGGAAGAAGTAGCTGCAACACTTTCACGTGGATCAGATTGGGAATTGAATGATTTACTTGAAGCTAAAACATTTCTTCGTTGTTCCCCAATTACAGCATTTGCCACTTTTTCAAATTTAATTTTATCATCTTCCATTTGTAAGAAGATGGTAAAAATGTGATCATACTCACGTGGTAATCCCATCATGAGATTGCATACTGATTGCATCTCAGGAAATTTTAATCCTTTTTCATTGAGACGTTTGTAGTAGCATCTTATTTTGTCGATATATTTATCAACTGGTCCACTTGAATACGTTGTGTGGAGAGCTGACCATAATGTCTCAAAAGCTGATATCGCCCCTTTTCCTTCATACTTTTCACGTAATGCTCGTAGTGCTTTTACTGAATCAAACTGTGCAACTGATTCAAGAAACAAAACGTGTTCAGTATCAACTCGAAGCAAGATATCAAAGTAAGCTTTTCTTGCTGTTTCCACTTGAGCTGGTGATAATTCAGCTTCTTGATCGATGTCAATCCACAGCTTTTTAATTTCAAGCACAGCTCGAATGAGACTTATCCATGCATGATAATTTTCACTGTTGAGTTTATCAAACTTAACACCGACATCCATTGTTTCGTTATCACGTGTAATTTCCACCACGCTGTCTGAGATATTCAGAGATTGATTTTCTTCTTTTATCTCAGTGTCTTCTTTTGTGTTTTTTAGAAGATCTGTAATACTTTCTGGTGATAGCGCAGGAAATAAAAATGCTGTATTGTCTGAAATGTCGTTTTGTTGTTGAATAGATTTTTCTTCTATTAAATTCTTCGTCGGTGTTGTATCTTCAATATCAGACATTCACTCAACTTGAATTATTCAGAATTAAATCTTTATTATAATTAAATTATTTTTGTTAAATAATTTAGTAATGCTCTAAATTTAGTTCAACAATATTTAAGGGCATAGGCCCATAACCTGTAGGAACTAATGAAAACACGTTTAAGTTTAAATAGCTTACTGTTTTTATTTCGTGTCGTATTAGTTCGGGATCTCTTATTAAAGTGATCTTCTAATAAGTAGATTATCCAAAAGTCACGTCAGATATTTGGATGATCAACTTATCGATAGTCGAATGTAATAATCATTTACATTTCGGCTTTTAAATAAAGTACTAGTGTACGTGCGTTACACGTTCTAACAATAAATAACACATTTGTACCCATTACTGCTCTTCTATGCACTACTAGCTTANGCAAGAACCAAAAATATAAACAACATGTTGCTTTGCTTGTGTGACTCAAATTGAATGAAAATTACGAGAAACTTTCGAAATGATTAAAAAATGAGAGTCGAATATTGAAAGAGAAACTTAATCGTTTGTACTCAGCGGTTCTCGTCAACTTCACTACAAGATAACTTCAAAAATACTTCAGATTTGCTTCAAAAGTCTTTTGAAAAACTAAACTAAACAGAATTGTTTCAATCTTCTTAAATTTTAATAAGATTATTAAAAACTCTCACATGAAACTCTGTAAAGTTTTTGCCGCAATGTCTCAAGTGTCTGGAAAAGGTTGAGAAACACTGATTTAACCTGCTTGCTCAATAATTTACTCATAAATACATAAACAGAAAACCGTGCGAACATCATCAGCTGTTAGGTAAATTTTATAACAAACTTGTACGTAACTCAAAGCTCTTTATTCGATTTAAAATGTAAGGTTCGTGTTGAGGAATATAAAATAATGTATCGTAAGCAACTTACTCTTGTAATTAAAATTATCTGTTTAAAGATTCTCATTAAATATTCTTCATATTTAACCACATGTCAGCAGACGGTGTAGGAAACGGTGATGAAGGCACAAACCTAACTGGAATAGAAGTTTTAACGCATTGTGAGAACTGAAAATGTTGAATAAGTTTGGCAACGCCAATCTTTGATTGCATTAAATCAAACCTCATGTCAATGCTTGCTCAAAACAAAATTTAAATAATCAATTCGACAACACTTCTCAAACAAGAAATTCATCTTATAAATTTCTCGATCCATCACCAAATGGCAAAAATGTTTTTGGGGTACGATCTTTGATGCTGTCTGGGGAGAACCTTTTGAGGCCAAATAAGTCTGGTTTTAGATAGTACTTAGAATCATGATGAATTGAATATACTGACAAAGTAACATTTGTGCCCTTTGGTTTAGTTCACTATGTTAGTATCAGAAAACTCATAGTCAGTAGAAGCTGTTCTAATTCTATTGGGAATTGGCAAATATGTTCTCAAAATTTCATTGATTCATCTCAAAGAGACTGTCGTAAGTCAATTTTCAATCACTTTCTTGAAGAACTGACTTTATTTCACCACGTTGTTTCTCCTGATTCAAAGGCTTGAGTGCAAGTTCATAAATTAAATATCTTACGAGTGTAGAACTTGTTTCAAAACCTCCACCATAAACCAAAAACTTTCAACAAATTCAAAGAATCTTTCAAACCCAAAAAAAATGAGACGAAGCAATTTCGTTTAATTTGATTTTTTGGCGATACTCATGACTTTGAATAAAAAGTTTTAAAAAGAAATCATTTTGCTGTAGGATTACCAAGAACATGAAATTTTCTGGAAAGATTTGGAAATGTAATGATTATAAACTTTTCAACAATCATATCGACGAGTTTCAAACGTAATCTTCATTATTCCTGAAGTGAATTTTGGCGAGAGTTTAATTCTGCTTTCCCTCCATTCGTGGCCTCCAAGTTTCAAGACTAAATTTTTGTAAGAAAAAAAAGTATTTAATCAGACTAATATTTATGAAGGAAAAGAAAAATGAAACCAATTTACATTGCGGGCATTGGGTCGTCTTCTTTGTTGAAATATAATCCTCGATCTTGGGAAGAAGAAAAATCTCTGACAAGAATGCTTTTATAAAACTTGGCATCAATAGGCGAGAATATTGGAGACGTAAAAGGAAAATTCCAACAAATTTCTCCTTTCTTTTGTATTTTTTATAATTTAAATCGTTGGCTTCGGTGAAATGCAATTCTGTGTTGACACCTTTCAATGTCCTGAAAGGAAAAGTTGTGGGTGGAAATAAAATTCCAATATCCTTCCAAAAGTTGTATTGTTCGTCAAGCCTTAGATATTCCAAGATGGCAACGCTCAATAAGAAACACAAAATCCAGCCCATTGCGTTACTCATCTCAACAACTGAATCGATTAAAGCTCAATTGAAAACTGAGAGTTACAAATAAAAACAAAATAATGTCTTGAAGTGGTTTTGTGTGTTTGCTTTCAGTTTCTATTTTTATCTAAATTGTTTACTGTGTGTTTGCTCAAATGGGTGCTCCAAAGTTCATCATACGATAGCAAATCAGAGTGTTCAGCCTTATCTTGATTGAGATTGAAATTAAAATGTACTCACGTGTACAAGAAAAAAATTGCGTGTTTCGTTTCACATCAAAATATTGATAAAATGCTGAAATTCTTTATCAAAGTTAAGCGAAGCGTTGCAGATTGCTGAATCATTAACAACAACAGATAATTTTATTCTTGAATAATTAGCATCGAAAAACTGATCTAAGTATTTGTTTCTTTCCAAATTAATTACATTAACAATACATTTAATTAATTTTGGTTAAATCGAGCCACAGTCCGCCAAGAGGTGCAAGGAAAAATGAAGTAGGAGCAAATTTCAGCGGAATTGGACTTCTTTCGCAAGTTGTCAGTTTAAAGTTCTGAACAATTTTTACGACTGCAACTTTTGATTGCATTAATCCGAATCTTAAACCAATGCCTGTGGACATAGAAATATAAATTTTTGCAATTATTCTTTAATTAATTTTACTCACAATTTCTTGGCCCATCTCCGAAGGGAATGAAAGTTGCCGAATCACGAGCCTTAACCATTTCAGGAGAAAATCTTTCTGGATCGAATTTCGATGGATTTGGATAATGTTCCGGATCTTGATGCAAAGAATAAATTGGAATTTCAATGTTTGTGTCTTTTGGAAGGATTAAACTCGTTCCAGGGATCGGATAATCTTTCACACATCTCCTAACTGTATTTGGAATTGGTGGATGCTTTCTTAAAGTTTCATTCATCACTTTCTCAAGATATTTCATGCCAAAAAGGGCATCATATGTCAGTTTGTTCTCATTCTCTTCCAATGATAAATTTATTTCTTTGCGAAGCTTATCTTGAATATCGGGATTAAGTGCAAGCTCCAACAAAGCAAATGTGATAAGTGTTGAGCTTGTTTCGAAGCCACCATTATACACAAGAAAGCTTTCTGCTGCGAGTTCCAATGGAGTAAAATGTTCTTTCATTCCTAAAAGCAACGAAACAAAATCATTTCTTTTGATATTGTTTTTCTCGCGATATTCAATTGTCTGAAGAAAAGCGTTTTTAAAGAAATTTGTTGGTTCTTCCGTATTAGCAGGAAGATGAAGCTTTCGTGCTAAGTTTGGAAATGAAGATGAGAAAATAAATCGAAGCAATTCATATGGTGTTACGTCAAAAAGTCTTCGCCCATGCTTTAAAAATTCTGAATCTGGATTATCAAGACCTTAGATAAGAAAGTAAAAATGATTTAATTAAAGCTTCATGACGTGACTGTCAAAACTCACAATTGCATTCTAAGCCAAAGGCAACATTCCCAATAACATCGCTTGTAAATCTTGCAGCATAATTTCGCGTCTCCAACGATGGGCTTTCCTTGGTTTTATTTTTCAACACATCAATTAACTTGTCACCAAGCTTATCAACAGTGTCAAACATCATTTTCATTTTTCCTGATGTGAATATCGGTGAAAGTTTAATTCTTCTCTCCCTCCATTCTTGTCCTTCAAGTGTTAGCAAACTGTAATCAGTAAAATTAATTGCATGATAAAAGAAATTTACATCACTTTACATACTTTGCTGAAGTTGGATCATCTTCTTTGTTGTAATAAAATGCGCGATCGTGAAACGAGCCAAAATCTCTCACCAAAATATTTTTTACAAGTTCAGGACTTATGACCAAGTAAGTTGGTTTCAAGAAGAAGAAAAGTCCAACGCCAGGAGCTTTTCCCTTGTATTTCTTGTAATAACTATCTATAGCCTCAAAATTTGTAGTCACTGTTCCAACTCCTTTCAATGCGCCGAAGGGAAAGGAATACTTTGGTGATGGGAAACCTTTTTCATTCCAAAAATTCGAAAGTTTCTTAATAAAATAATAAACGAGAGCCGCAACACCAAATAAGAGATAAATAAGAGCGTTCATTATATCGCGCAGTCAACTGAAGAAAAGTCAAAATTCAACTGAGAGGCAAGTGAGAATATCATGTTAGTTAAATAGTAAACAGAGTTGTGTACGTTAATATTAATTATACATCTTCCTCCAACACATTGAAACATTAATTGACCCGAAGACTCAAAATGCTTTGTTAAAATATGATGAATCACTTTGATGTTATAATAAATTGAACTCTTTTGTTTGGATTCGTAAATTTCATTCCTTTTATAGAGATAATCTTATCTAAAGGTTTAGTTAATGTCTGATAACAGAAAATATTTGTTTTAAAATTATAAACTGAGACAGTTGGCAGGTGTTCTTATAAAAAAATCATTTATTGTTAAAATTATTAAATATTTGATGTGAAAACTGCTTAAACTGTTCAAATCTTTAAATCTTTTCAAAAATCAAAGCAAACACCAACGTCACTTACTATAATTAAAATCATAAGCACGTTTATTCTCTGAGTGGTGGATTTATTTATAAATTTATTTTAAAGCTTTATTCAAATACTTTTCGTTTATTTTCGAATAACAATATCATAAATTCATTCAGGCTTTTCGTTTCTTTACCTTGAGGAACAAATCTTCATTCTCAGGTGATAACACTAAGCTTTTAACTGAGAATTTCATAGGGATGGGTGTCCTGAAGCTTTTGTCGAATTCAAACTCTGTCATCAGTTTTACAAGTGCAATCTTAGTTACCATTAAAGCAAATCGAACTCCAATGCCTGTCAGAGAAATTTTTGTTTAAATTTATTTAGTTCTAACTAAAGATATTAAATTAATTACTTACAAATTCTTGGACCTTCACCTGATTGGAATATCAAAAGATGAAATTATTCAATAATTTGATTGTTTTCAAATATTTGTCGATTACTTACCGAAAGGTAAATAAGTGAATGGTCGAATGTTGCTCACGTTTTCGTCATTAAATCTCTCGGGATCAAATTTTAAAGGGTCGGGAAAGAATTGAGGATCTCGATGCATTGAATATGTCGGAATTGTTATTTGAGTGCCTTCTGGAACTACAAGATTTGAACCAGGAATTTTATACTCTTTTGTACATTTTCTTGTAATGACATTGACTGGCGGATATTTTCTTAAAGCTTCATTTACAACCATCTCAAGATACTTCATCTGAGAAATCAAATCGTACGTCAAATTTCCACCATTTTCATTGATTTTCTTCACAATTTCTTCATGAAGTTTGACTTGTATGTCGTGATTTAAAGCCAACTCGTACAAGATAAAATTCATTAACGATGCGGAAGTGTGAAAACCACCAACATGAACGATAAAAGCTTCAGCTGCTGCTTCTTCGTGTGACAACAAACCATTGTTCTTTAATTGGATTAGGATCTGAATCAAATCATTTCGTTCCGTGTTGTTCTTTTGACGATAATCTACGGTTTCTGTGAAAACATTCATAAAGAAGTCGGCAACATCTTTGTCGTTAAACATAAATCCCATTTTCCTGGAAAACTTTTGAAAAGAATTCACGAATAACATTTTCAAGGCACTTGCGGGGGTGTCGACTTTGAAGATTTTCCTGCCGTGTTTTCGGAAATCTGTCTCGGGATTCTCTAAACAATTGCAATCAATTCCAAATGCAATATTTCCAATGACATCTGTAGTGTATCGGGCAAGCCATTCGGACACTTCCAGTTCTTCACTCAATTTCAAATCTTTCTCAATTGCTTTCACAAACTTCTCGCCAATCTCATTTATCGTATTGAACATCATTTTCATCTTTCCCGAAGTGAAAATTGGAGTTAATTTGATTCTTCTGTCTTTCCATTTCTGACCCTCAATTGCTAGTAAATGTGCTGACAATGGATCGTCTTGTTCATTGTAATATAAATAATGATCATGAAAGTATGAAAAATCTTTGACAAGAATCGCTTGAATTAAGCGTGGATCGTAAACAGCAAGAGCCGGTGTGAACACAAAAAATAAACCGACGATTGGTTGACCTTTAAATTGTTGATAATATTCATCAAACTTTTCAGCACTATGAAGTGTCAATCCAGTGCCTGAAAGCGAATCAAGGGGGAAGTTGGGGGTATCAGATGGAAAACCTCTTTTAATCCAATACTGATAATGATTTTTATACCAAGCTTTGATTACAAAAAATAAAACAACACTCAAAATAATAAGAAAAAACATTTTACGAACAAGAAACTTTTCTACCGCGAGCGAGCGTCGCTGGGTAACTAAACCAAATAAAATATTTTCAAGGTTTTTGTAATCAAAAATCATTCTCATATTCTCGCTTTAAATTCCACTCTCACGAGACATAAAATTGTACAATAAAAGTTGTTGATTGTTAAAGTCTTCTCACACGCAACCACATCCTATCAGCGGGTGAAAGGAAAAGCGCTGGTGGTGAGAACTTCATTGGGATTGTTGTTTGACCACATGGCAAGAATTCGAAATTAAGAATTAATTTCACGATTCCTAGCTTTGCTTGAAGCATTCCAAATCTTCCTCCAATACATTTTCGAGGTCCATCACCTTGAATTAAAAGATAAAACAGAAATGATAGAAATCTTTGTCCCAATCGTAAACTAACTCACCAAAGGGAATAAATGTAAATGGTTTTCGATTTCTGATATTTTCGCTCGTAAATCTTTCCGGATCAAACTTTTCCGGCTCAGGATAATATTCCGGATCGCGATGAATCGATAAAACATTAATGTTTATGTCGGTATTTGCTGGTATGACCATTTCAGTTTCTGGTATTTTAAAATCTTTCGTGCTGTTTCTCGTTATGATGAAAGCTGGTGGATATTTTCTCAACGTTTCGTTCATTACCATGTCGAGAAATTTCAATTGAAACAAAAGATCATAAGTCAGTTTTCCATCATTCTTCTCAATTTCCACCTTCAATTCATTTCGAAGATTTTCTTGAATCTCAACGTTAAGTGCGAGTTCATAAATCGCAAAGACTGAAAGGGAACTGGAGGTTTCGAAACCTGCAGTGTTATGAATTATAACGTCGTTATCACAAATTACCTAATTCAAAAATATAAAATTGAAAAATTACCACCCAGGAAGAATATGAAGCTCTCAGCAGCCATTTCCGACACAGTCAAAGACGCTGACTTTTTCAAATCGAGAAGAATCTGCAGGAAATCTTTTCTCACAATATTATTTCGTTCACGATATTCCAAGTTATGTTTAAATGTGTTGTAGAAAAACTTGATGACGTTCTTTTTATTTGCTGTTATGTGCAGTTTTCTTGACAACCCCGGGAATGAGCTTGTGAAGAAAAACTTCAGAAAACCCATCGCGTCTAAGTCGAGAATTTCTTTGCCATATTTTCTGAATTCCGAATCGGGATTTTCAAGACTGTTACTGTCTAAACCAAAAGCAACATGAGATATGTTATCGGTTGTAAATCTTGCAAGAAGTTCGTGAATTTCAATTTCGTGCGAAGATTTGGTTGCTTGTTTAATGACGTGAATAAATTTATCACCATTCTTATCGATTATGTCGAACATTAACTTCATTTTTCCAGACGAGAAAGTCGGTGTTAGTTTTACTCTACGTTCACGCCATGCTTTGCCTATTATGCAATTGAATTTTACTTTCATCTGTGCAATAACTTTTTCTCCTTCCTACTCACCTTCAAGTGCTAATAAATGCGCTGAGATTGGATCGTCTTCTTTGTTATAATAAATCAATCGATCTTGAAAGCAATCGAAGTTTGTAATCAAAATATTTTTTATCAACTTGGGATCAATTGGCATAAGCATTGGTTTCACAAAATAAAACAATCCAACTGCGGGACCTTTGCCTTTAAACTTTTTATAAAATTCATCAAGTCCAATACACAAAGATTTCTCAGTTCCGATTCCCTTCAATGATCCAAATGGAAAAATAAGTTCAGCTGATGGAAATCCACGAATATTCCAATAATTTCGACGCTTTTTAAGCCACAAATAAGTAAAAATAAAAAATAATGTTGCACTTGCAATGAAAATGTTCATTTTCACTTCGCTTGCACTCCGCGAGTGTTGTTAGTTAACTGACTGAATTAAACGTCGATTTGAATAGTGAAAGTTTTCACTAACATGCATCGTGTTCAACAGTAGAAGTTGCAGTTAAAAGCAGAAATGTTTCAACGATTTATGTATTTTAATTTAATTCCCATTAACTCTTTTTGTTCTCTCAACAAAGTTACAGAAAATTAAAATACAAATTACGAAACTAATTAATTATCTTTCTTTTACAAACAGAATACTGTAGACAAATTAGTGCAACGAGCAAATGCATCTCTATTGATTGGAACATCATCATGGAAAGAGCAGTTTGTTGAAGCTTTAACTGTAAACGCTGGTAAGTATTTTCTCTGATGTTTAACTTCTCTCTTTAAAATGAAAATATTTTTCTTGTTTAAAAGGTGACGATGATGGCGGAGAAGAAGGAAATCCTGACGATGAACCACCGTCACCAAGCTGCATGGATTACATTATGCACTTCCTTACACTTTTCTGGAAAATTATTTTTGCATTCATCCCACCAACAGGTGACTTAATGAAGTTTACAATGAAATTTTATAGTCGAATGGAAAAAGAATTTTTAGAAATCATTTTTAGAAAAAGAATTTCATGTGATAAAGTAAACAAATTTATCTTAAAAACGAATCCATTGAACTTTAGGGACGACATAAAAAATTCTTTTGTGTATGAAAATGTAATTTCACTTTTAAAAGTCAAAAGTTGGCGCAAGGTGCTCGTTCAGTGACTTCAGTCACATCATAAAAACGCTTTTCTTTTGTCGCCCTCAGGCGTTCGAACTTAATAGAAAAAAAAACATATTTTTCATCAAATTGCAACGTTAAATTACAAAGATAAATTTTTGTTTCTCATCCAAAAAAATCTCAAAATGTAGACTTGTTTGGCGGATATTTATGCTTCGTAGTTTCCATCATTTGTATCGGTCTCGTGACAGCTATTATCGGAGACGTGGCTTCACATTTCGGCTGCACATTAGGAATAAAAGATTCGGTAACTGCTATTGTGTTTGTTGCTCTGGGAACGAGCATACCAGGTAAGAATCTATTGAGTGATAAGCACAATGATCTTTATGTAAATAAAAAATTTCCATTAGATACGTTCGCAAGTAAAGTGGCAGCAATTCAGGATAAATATGCAGATGCGAGTGTTGGTAATGTCACCGGCAGTAATGCTGTTAATGTCTTCTTGGGTATCGGTATCGCATGGACAATGGCCGCTGTTTATCATGCCATGAATCCCACAACACTCGCTTCAGGAGAGCTTGATTACGCGTTTCGTGTTCCATCGGGAAAGTATGAATTTCAACTTTAATCTCAAATATGGATTACAACTTAAATTCTTCCTTTATCTTTCAGTTTGGCTTTTTCGGTGACACTCTTTTGCTCTGAAGCTGCCATTGCTATCCTAATTTTACTGCTGCGTCGTACAAAATCAATAGGTGGTGAACTTGGTGGTCCACCGTTCTTCAAGTACGTGACCGCAACAGCACTCATCGGCTTATGGGTCGTTTATCTTCTTATGAGCAGCTTAGAGGCCTATGGCGTTATTAAATTTGGAGCGAAAGCATAAATTTGTGTATGATTTTCTTTTTCATTTAGCCAATTTTCATCAAATCACAATGATCCCTTAAATTTATATTAAAATAATGTAAAAAATCAAAAAGTTTTCTTTTTCTTTTCCTTTTACGATATTTTATTGAAAAAAACAAAAATTTATTTTCTTAGTAAAATTATTTAAGAGAATCTGACACTTTCATTAATAAATTTGGATTCTATAATTTTTTTTTGTTTTTCAAAAGATGATACGATGTAGGAAAACGCAAAGCGACAAAAGCATTAAAAATATAAGAAATGAACCAAATAATAATTAAAATAAATTAATGAAAAAAGGCATATCGTTGTGACATGAAACGATGAATAAGATGAAACTTTAGTTCTTCCTTATGTAATTTCGATTTGATCATTTAGAGTGAAGAAAGAATTTTGTTAGGCCATAGTTGGAGTCATTCGTCATCCAAACTCTCATGTCATCATGGAGAACCAATGGAATTTTTAAAAATCCACTCACTAAACAATATTCATAGCTGAATGAAAATTTTATACGAATGAAACTTATTGCGTAGTCTATGTAACTGTTTACAACACAATTTTTATCCTTCATAACTGTTTCGATATTTCCAAATCCATTGAACAACCATCTATGAATAATGTTACATATGAACGCCAATTTAATATGTGTCTTGCCTAAACAGGTGTTTTTAAGAAATAGAGAATGAAAAGAACTCTAAAAAGCATTGTACATTTTTTTGAAGACCACTTAAGGTACTGTAACGTCCAGATGAGACTTAACTTTTAAGATTTACAATTTATTTTATGTTTAGTTTTGACAAAAGAATTAACTTCTGAGGGTTTAATAAATTTTTCAGGAAGTTCTAGGTTGAGAGATTTGCCAGATGTTTTAATCTCGACTCTTTTTACATCCAATGACTCTTATTTGAGAAATTAATTCTTTTACCATTGCAATCTTTTTAAGCTTCACTTCAATTCATTTAAAACTTCGTCATTGAAAACACCGTCGCTTGGTTAAAAAATAATTCAAAAGATATTCTTCCTAGTCGTTGAATTAAAGGAAAGATTTTCATTTCTAGTTTCTTAAAAATAAATTCACTAATTCGAAATATGTTGTTACGTTTTTAAATAAATCATCGAAGAATCGAATTAAAAAAAAGAAGAAAAATTATGTTAAGAAAAATGAAATATAGTTGTTACTTTTAACTTGTCAGTTGGTGTAAAAAAGAAATTGTACATTTTATTTACGGATAAATATTTAATAGATTATGAAGTAAAATGTAGTTAGCGTCAAAATCCTGTTCAAATATTATTATTATTAAAATTTACTTAAACTTTTATTTTCAATTAAAACTTTGTTCATTGAGGTTTGTGACGCTGAACAAAATTAATTTTTTTTATTAACTGTTTTAACAAAATATTCAAGATTCACAAGTCGCGATTGAAAATGAACGAGGGAAAACTAGTTTTCTAAGAGTTAGCGTTTAATCACTGCCTCTCTTTCATTAACTTATGTTTACTCAATCCCAACTTTCTCTTCCCATTTCTTTAATACTTTTCTAAAAGTTCCTTGAAATTCATAAACTCTATAAAAATCCTCTAAACACCAAATAAATACTTATTGAAACTTTTCTTTCTCTTTCATGGCACTTTCGAATACTTATTCTCTTACTACTCAATGTCTTCTGAATGAAAACTTTTTGTGAACGTCCATATTTTTATGGCGATCGGAACTATGAACCAAGTCTTATTAGATATTCTCAAGAAAGAAGAAAAAATCAATATATGTTTATTCCTGTTTGACAAAATATAAGAAAATTGACATAAATGCTTACAATGTATGAGAAAATTGTCTTCTAGAATGGAAATTGAATCCAAGAAAAGAAAGAAAGAAGAACGAAAACTCTCTATTTAATAGGTTTTTAAATTTTCCTTGGCGAAATACATTTGAACTTTCTTAGTTTTATGGAAATTACCTGCTAAACTAATGCTAGAAGGATAAGAAAAATAAAACCTAAAGTGAAAGTTTTGCCTTCATCATCATAACCGAATACTAAAAATAACAGAATTTATTTTAGTAACTACTTACGTACTTTCATTATAATTTATTATTTTATTTTGAGGAGCATTTAAAATGTCTTCTTTAAAGCTTTGGTTGAATAGCTTTCATGAAAATTTGTTGTTAAAAACTGCGAATAATATTTTGTTGGCATTCTTTTCTCAACGCATGTGTAGGGAAAATACAAAAAAAAAGTTTTTTTCATTTAAATATATTGACTAACGAAGTGATTTTGTGAGATGTTATTCATCAAGCTCACATATGAATCGAGCGAGGAAAGCAAAACTTATATTTTATAAAAGACAATGAGGTTCTCAATGAAAGAACAATGAGAACATAAGAATATACATGATACATGATGATAAGCTAGCTTAGTATCTAGTGAATGATGAATAAATTAAATTGAAAATTGAAATTGTTCAAATTGAGAAAAACAAAATTATATTCAATACGAATGTTTGATTTTCTGTGCTAACTAATTAAACATCAACAGATATAATATTAAAACATTTGTTAAAAGATAGACATCTTATCAAAGGACATATTTATCAAATTAAAAGCAAATCGTAAATGATGAAATATTAATGAGGAAAGAAATGTTTTAATTTTTATTAAACAAAAAATAAAAGGCCACAAGAAGAAAATTTAAATCAATGTTTTCCTGAATGTAAATAAATAATTTTTCTTTCAGACAGTTGCATAAAAATTAAATATTTTCAAACAATTAATCACACTTTGTTTTAAAGTTTTTGTTTCTTTAATTGGAAAAACGAGATGAGAATGAAAAAGTTTATCACTTCTTTCCAAAAGGTTTCAAAAGGTTTTATGTTCACTGGTAAATAATGTTTGAGTATCTCTGGAATTAACTGATCATTCTCAAACTTTTATTTGTCAAACGTGTCTTAAAAACTTTCCTTTGTGATTAATTTTTTAACATTATCATGACGAATATGTAATAAGTTTGTACTATATTGTGTGCTTAATAAAAAATGCAACATTATTTATTCAAAAAACTTATTTTTGTTCTCTTCTTATTGCATAAAATATGAAAGTCATTGAAATCTCTCCTGAATAATTCTCAGTATTGATGTAATAAATCAACCAGTTGAAGCAAACATGTCTATAATGCTAACAGAATATCGTGTCTTAAGATCAATGAATAAATAATGGAACTAATAAGAAGCATCATGTAAACGATTTGTATATGCGCTCTCTTTCACCCTGACCTACTTCCAGTCAATTAATTTCGTAGCAATGAGTTTTATTTCAACCCTCATAAGCCCAAAAAAATTCCCACATAAAAAGTTAATGGATCATCGAATCGGGTAGAATATAAAAAGCCGGCTGAATACTTACATGTGATATTTGAACGCAACAACGTAACTGTATGGAAGGACATCAATATGTATGTCAACAATAAACCGATGACAAACTAACATTGTCTTAATCAAGCAACATTCAAGTCTCCTAAATATTTAAAAGCTTCTCATTCTTTACTCAATAATAAATCACATGTTTTCGTGCACTTTCTATATCAATATTTATTGATTTCTAAATGTCCTCAACTCATACATGTAGATAAGGTCATATGATGTTTGTCCACTAAACTCTTTCTCAACTATTTCGGTTTTCTATTGTATGTAATACGCTGACTAGTAAGTGAAACTTTTCAGTGCCTCGTTGAACATTGTCGAGCAATCAAGCATTGTGAATTTTTCTTGTTAAAAAGTTTTAGATATTAAATTGTGACATAAGGTTGTTTAAACTACTCCTGACGATAAAATTCTTTTTGCAAAACATTTGTCGTTTGATTAGCTATTACTGAATTTTCATGTTCTCTTAATTGTTCAATTCTGATAAAAAATTTATATCAGAACTGCAGTAGGAAGTTTCATAACTTTGTTAGTCGATTTTAAATAGTTAAAGTGTGAGAACGTGAGAAATCTTAAAATAAATTGAAATGAAATCTCTGACGATTATCTTGTTATGTTGTGTGATCTTGGGAACAGTTTCCTGTTTTCCAAACAGTCACAATCCTGTGTTGATAGAAAAACAATCAGAAATGAATCCAGATTTGGAAAATTCTGAAACAAAATCGGATACAGTAGAAGAAGGAGTTGAAAGAACAAAATTAAAAGCAACAACTCAATCAGCAGATACTTCAGATGCTTCAGAAGTTGATGGAACTACAATCAAAAGTTCTAAACATAATAAAAAGTCAAATCAGGAAGAAACTCCACCCACGAGTATAATTTCAGAGCAAACAGACGCCGTAACAGCTGAAGAACTTGCAACTACTACATCAATAAAATCATCTTCTACTGAATCAACAATGTCAGTAAATTCCGAACCCTCAGCGGAAGTTCAAACAACGATGACTCCATTAAAAACTGAATCAACTACTATAATGACGTCAACAATCACAACGTCACAAACATCATCGATAGAAGAAAATGTATCGACAGCGGCATCATCAAATCCTGAAACAAATGCTGAAACAACAACAACGGAAAGCACAACAACTTTCATTCCCGAAACCACAACAGTTCTTACAACAACTATTCCCGTTGAAACAACAACGATGGAAAGCACAACAATTGTACCTTTCACAACACAACAACCAACAACACAAATCATTACGACAACCATTCCCGTTGAAACAACTACAAGTGATTCATCTTCTCATAATAAGAAAATTAGTTTCTTCATCGCATCATCACTTTCGATTGTTCTTCTCATTATTTAAATCATCACACTAAATAGCATAATCGACAGATTACTCACAAACATTCCGCTCACAATTGAAAATGGAAATTTAGTCGGAAGACCGTTGAGATAATGAGACGCGTGATGATATTTTTTTAATTGCGATCTCTTTCGATCATTAACTTTCCATTTTCTTGCTTTCAAATAAAAATTCATCGTGCTAATCTAGAAAGTCATTACGGTTACATAATAATATTGATTTCTTATTAGAAACATTTTCTTAGTGACACAAATTTTTATGGAATTTAATTAAACGATTTATGGTTTGGTGAAGTTTTTTGAAATTTGTTTATCGTTACCAAGTTTCGTTTATTTCTTTTTCTCCATGAACTGAATCTGAACCTTTTGAACTTTTTATACTTTCACTAAAACACAAATCTAGATAAATTCTAAAATTAGAAAATAATTGAACTTCCCCGTCTCCTTTCAATTTGATAATCATAAACGAAGTAAGCAAACAAGTCACACGAAAGTCAGACACATGCAGTGGTAATAAATGAAATGAAACATGTTTCCAAATTCATATTGACAGATTTTGAAATAAAATAAATGTTTTCTAGATAATCTTTTTGAATACCTATCTATATAAATGTTTATTTAATGAACTTGTAGTTTATATGATTTTTTGAGAGAAATAAAAGAATGCAATTTTGTTGTCTCCTTTGAAATTGGTTTGACTTCATCTCAGATTTTGATGAGTTTTCTCTGCAATTTTTTTTTGTTCTCAGATTTTTGCTTCATTTTTTCTCAAATATTCAAATAATTTAATTTAGATAAAAAAAACCATCCATTATAAAATCAAAGATTCTGTGATAGTTGAAGTTGTAGCACTTTTAGTTGAGTAGAAGATCAACTGCTGGCATAAAGACTTTAATAAGAAGTTAAAAATAATTGTAAATTTTCACATTCTATATTCAACCAATTAATTTTATTATTAATANTCATATTCATTATATACATCTCATCATCGAAACGATCCTACTCAATGTTGATTCAGTTTTGTTCACACGAATAATCAGGAAATTTCGAACTTTGAAATGTTAATCCCTTTTAACCACTTTAATTCGTCTAATCATCTTGTTGCTTTAAAAGGGCACAAGAAAAATATTGAAACGACATATAAACCTTTTTCTCATTCTATTTGCTCGTTCACTTGTGTGTAAACGAGATAATACGTGAGAAACGAAGCACCTGCTAATCACTGAATGATACAATCGAAATACTTTTTGAGTCAAAATGGAGATAGAATTTAGGATTGAACAGTACATATCAAGACCACGACTTTTGATTTCTCCATTTTTCCCTCTTTCAATGTCGTCACTTAATGTATAAGCAACTCTCTTGACTTAAACTCGAATAAGAATTGAAAAGAAAAGTACCAATACAGGTAATAATAAATACATCTATCTATCTATCTATTAAGACGTGATCGCGATAGATAAGTGAATGAAATATCTAATTATCAGAGTTGGGATTTGACTGACTGACTGACAGACATTGACTTGTCAGTCTGTCAGTCAAACGACTTGAGCGGAACATTTATATGAACGTGTCCCAACAAACGAATATTTTTGTTCGCGATTTTGACTGACTGACTGACTGACTGACAGACATTGACATGTCAGTCAGTCAGTCAATCGAGTTGAACGGAACATTTGCCCATCTCTGAAGTAACTTCAGAGTTTGTTGTCATATTCTGATTGAATTTCTTCTTAAGTGTCTGCTATTAAAAGTAATGACAGTTATTAAGATATTAAATATCAGACTTAGCTTCAATCAGCACTTTACTTTATTGACCCAAAAACATTATTTTAATTTGTTTTTCTTTCTCAACTAAGAAGTTTTCTTTCGTTAACAGTTTATTGAAATATAAAACCTCTAAGGAAATTTTCACAATTGAATTAATTTCACCAGCATAAATAATTGCAGTGACTCATTTACTTTCCATGATTAATTATTCAAACAAGTGGCTATAAAATAAATAAAATCATTTCAGTTTAATTAGATCATTTCCTTTGTGCAATCACTCAATGAATTGTAATAAATTTTCACGACAATTTTCAAGATCACTTGAAATCACCTTGACTATTGCCAATTGCAAGTGTTCTAAATAACTTTTTATGTAATATTTATTAATTAGCAACACTTGTTATCAGTTGGAAAAATATTTTTTAATACCTAAACAAACAATTGTTTTTAACTGTGAACATGAAACGGAAACCTCGAGTTTTAATTTCCCCTTGTCAAAAATTCATTAAATTTTTTGTTGCTTTTACATTAAGTAAATTATTTTCTTATCAGTAAACTTGATTGTATGACAGAAATTGATTCGAATGTCATCGATATTGCTCTCGAGTGTCAATAACAATTAATTCCCTAATTAATATTTTAAGTATTAATTGCATCGTAGAATTAATCGATCATGCAATAAAAAGGAAATATTTTGATAAGTAACAAAAAAATGATGCACCAAGGAAAATGAAATGTTTGCCGACTCTCTTTTATAATTTATCAGTTCTTGAACTTGATCTTGATTAATTGGTAATATCGCATTAAGTTGTTGAGTTAATGAAAAAGTGTAGAATTGCACATTGAATTTTATTGCATTGAATAAAAAATTTATGACCTTTTAATTGATTTCTTACTTTAGCTTCTCAATACAAAATTCTTAATCTCGATTATATGCTTTTATTATGTATTTTAAGCCATTATAAAAGATGAAAAGTTGCAAATATAGTTACAGTTGACATTTTCTATTTGGAGAAACGGAAAGAAATGGCAAAAGTATTTATTATTTTCAGTTGTTTCGTGGTAGCGTACTCTCAGCTGATTTGACCTCAGTGTCCATCAACTAACGACACTGGGACAGCTTTGCCTCATGAAAGCGATTGTACGAAGTTCTACGTGTGCAATTGGGGAGAACCTGTTGAATTTACCTGTCCTGAAGGCACAATTTATGGACCAAATGTAGATCGATGTGACTACGAATGGTGAATACTTAAGAAAAGGAATATGAAAACTTGTAGATGATGAAATATTATTTTCTTTGAAAGGTATGCAATTTGTGCAGTGCCAGGAGGTAATGGTACAAGTGAGATCGTTCATTTAATTATTTTTTAAAGAAAAACTTAAATATTCGAATCATTTTTTTAGCTGGTCCTCAGTGCCCTCCAAACAATGATGATGTGATACTTTTGCCTCACGAAACCGATTGCAACAGATACTACAAATGTGAATTTGGAATTGCAATCGAATTTTATTGTCCTCCAGAACAGGTGTTCGGAGTAGCAATCAATCGATGCGATTTCGGAGGGTAAATAAAATAGCATTTATATACAATCAGGAAACTGAAATAAGAATGATGATTTTTAAAGGTACGCAGAGTGTTTTCTTGGAGGACCTTCAGATGGCTCTAATGAACATAGCAATAGTGAAGGCAATTAATAGATGAACACTTTATTTTGGAAGAGTAAAAAGTTAAATTACTTATTTAATCTTTGGAAAATCCTTTTATCTAACAAAACTTCTTAACTTAAGAACCTCTGGAAATGTTCGTAATAAACGAATAAAATTGAAATGAGTTAATTAAATGAAATAAATTAACAAAAGCCTATTTAATGAATATTGATTTCAGTTTTATTATAAACTTTTTCAAGAAAGTAGATCAATGAAAGTTACGTAAATCTGTGCTTTCTGATAATTTCTTCAAAATATTATTCATGACTCATGTCAACAATTGCATCATTTGAAAACTTTTTCAAGAAACTTTTAAAACATTTGAACACGAGTTAATCCAAAAATTGAAAATTCAAATTTCTTCCAAACAAACAACAATTAAAAGTGAATGTGTGAATTCACAACTTGTCAAATTAATATCTTATCCTAATCTATTACAGACACAATTAGATATTATTTCAAAATAACAAGTCCCCGAATGAATGAAAAGTTGTTTTCCCGACAAACTCAAACGAAGTACTGAACAAAACTCTTTAAGTCATTTCACATATAATTGTCAAGTGTTGTCAATGATCATTATCTAGTTTCTTGTTCACACATCAACAAACCTATGATTTTATTTAATCATAGTATAATTACTATCAATGTTTGTTAATATCATTGAATTTCTAATTAATAATTAAACACTTGAAATCCAGAATATTCATTGCAACTTGTCAAACGTTTTAAAATATTTAGTTTCGTGTTCTTCTATCTTTTTAGGCAAACGAGCTTCTTCAACTTCAATCGGTAGTAATACATTAGTTCACACACAAAGATCAAAAGACTTATCAAATATCCAATCAGCAAAATATAAAAGATTCCATAACATTGTCATCTAATGTCAACATATCTACATCATTTTCAAATAATCCATCATCATGATCTATTTTCTTAGGCTCAAACTGTTTCACGTAATCACCTAAATATTGCCTCATGCCAGACTCGTAAGCATAATCAAAATGTCTCTGAATCATTTCATTAAATGGATTCTTGTTATTGACGGGAAACTTTTCGTAAAATTTCATGATTCTGTCTGGCAGGATATAAAAATATTTTGGAAAGTCAAAAACAACTCCTTCGTATAAATATTCAATAAAATCGCATCGACCAATGAGTGCAATATTTTTCTCAGCACTTACTTTAAAATCAAAACCTTTGACTACAGTTTCCATACGAGAAATGGCTGAAGAATATTCATTTGAATTATTCAAAAATAATTTGAATATTCCATCAACTTTAAACGATATATTACTGTTAAGCATTTCATCGAAACTTTTGAATTTTAAACCATCACGAGAGAAAAACATTGACGCGATGATCAGAGACTGGTAAGCATTTCCCATAATAAACGTCATCATCACACATAATTGAAGTAAAGTCACTTGCATTCGTCGAGGATTTTGAATGGGAATTGATTGTCCCAAAAAATTAGCTATGACGGCAAAGAAAAATCTTATTTTTGAGTTGGACCTCATTGATGATCTTGACAAACGCTTCCAAACTAAACAACATAAAATTACAGAAATAATCAAGAAAAACCACGAATACACATCATAAAGAGTTAAAATGAAGTCCAAGAATGATAATCTCTCAGTAATCGGGACGAGTGCACAGTAACCGTTCTCATCATAAGTGTTAATTATTTTTTGTAATTAATATTGTAAAATATGGTTGAGAACATCAAATCAACTGATTTTTTTTCAAATAAAGTAGAAATTTGCTTCTGATGATTAGAATGGTCAAGATTTACTTGATGAGTTACAACCATTGAACTGTTACTCTTTTTAGCAATTTCATTCATAATTCTCATATCAACATTGTCCAATCTTCTTGTGATGGGATTAACAACAAATTTAGATTCTTGATTTATTTCAAGTGCCTTGAAAATAAATCCGTTAAGGTTTTTCTCTCGATTAGGAAAAGCATCAGTGAAGTTCATGAAATCTTTGACAACAAAACGAGCTATAGAGAAATCATATGAGACAATGTTGAGAGGTTTTCTATTACTTGGAAACAGAACAATGACATTTAAAGTTCCCAAGAACTCTAAAGCATCAAATATTTGTATAATTCGGTAATTCGTTGAATAATATGTTAGAACAAACACAAACTTTGCAGAATTAGTCCAAACGTTTTGTTTAAAAATATTCTCAATTAATCTTTGAAGATGCTAAACAATGTAAAAGAATAAAAATATTAAATTCAAACATGTCACTTTTCACTGTTCAATCAACTCACATGATCATCTCTGAAAATCATATCTGATATAATTACGAAAAATTCTGCCGAATGAACTCGATATTTATCAATTGGATCCACAGAATTGTATGCAAATAATGGATTGAAGACATTTTTGCTTAATATTTCCTCTAAAACATCTTCAAAATAGTTTGATTTGTATCGAGCTTCAAGTTGAATTAAAACCACGTCATTGTATTGAGAATTGTGTTGTTTGCTGCTTTCGTTAATCAGATAACTTATGTAACTTGTTATGGGATTTAAAGGTGGTCGTTGAAAAAATGACCGAAATTTACTTGGAAAAACTGAAGAAAAACTTGAAAAAATTAAGAAAGTAATGAAAATTTCACTTATGAATTTCATTTTATGAAAGAAAAACTTAATTCGTTTGAATTCAAAAACTGCCTGATTGGAAATTAAGTCGACTTTTGTTCATTGAAGGTTCAAATGAAAATCGATTTAAATTATTTTATTTACTTTTCTAATTATTTCTCCTTTGAAAAACAAATGCATAATTATAGAGTGATGATGCAAGTGATATCGGATTTTTAACTGCAGATAGTGAATGTTATTAATTGTTAGTAAAAAAAGCTGATTGGGAATGTATTTGGAGTGACCTTGCTTTTAACTTGCAGTTGCGAATAAATAATTATTTAGCGATTTTTTTAATGTCCAAGAAAATTCTTTCCGATGGTGTCAAAACAAATGCTTCAGGTGATATCTTCAAAGGAACTGAAGTCTTTGTACGATCCAAAGTAAATTTATAGTTAAGCAAAAGTTTTGCAAGTCCAAGCTTTGTTTCAACGATGCCAAATCTCATGCCAATACCTGATAAGAAAATTAAATTTTATATTAAATTAAATATAAAACAATTTTGAATTTAAAAATTCCTACAAATTCTGGGACCTTCACCAAATGGCAAATACGCATATGGATGTCGTTTAGCTTTCTCTTCTTGAGTGAATCGATCAGGAATAAATTTATCTGGTTCTGGGTAAATTGAAGCGTCATGATGAATTGCGTGTACTGGAATCCAAAGCGCAGAACCTTTCGGGAAAATAACATCTGAACCTGGTATTTTATAATCTCTCGTTGATGTTCTTTGTAGTTGAGAGACAACTGGATACTTTCTAAGAGTTTCATCAACACATTGTTCAAGATAATCCATATCAGCAACTGCATCATATGTCAGTTCATTTCCATGTTTCTTAATCGCTTCTAAAACCGACTGTCTCGCTTTCTCTTGAATTTCCTCGTTTATTGAAAGTTCGTACATACAATAAGTCATCGTACTTGAACTGGTCTCAAATCCAGCCAAAAAGAAAATAAAACTTTGAGCAGCAATTTGTTCAATCGTCACAACTTTTTCTTTCTTCAATTCTACCAGAATATTCATGAAATCTTGTCGATTAAGTTGAGGATTTTTCTCACGATAGTCAATCGTTTGTTTAGTAATTCCCATGTAGAAATTTGCAAGATCTTCGGATAGCAATTTAAAATGGAATTTTTGTGACAACTTTTTGAAATTTGATCTCATGATTCTCGAGAAAAACGATGATGTGGGAGTGAAAATTCTCATGCCCATTTCATAGAATTTTGAGTCTTTTTCTTCAAGAGAATTGCAGTCGATTCCAAATGCTGTTGTTCCAATGACATCTGTCGTAAATCGCGCAAGAGTATCTTTCACTTCCAATTGCCCAGTGTTTTCAATTTGTTTGTCGATGACTAGCAAAAGCTTATCAGCAACTTCAGAAATTGTTCCAAACATCATTTTAAGTTTTCCACTTGTGAAGGTTGGCGTGAGTTTTTGTCTCAATAACCTCCACGGATCATCTTCAAGGTTAAACAAATGTGCGCTGATAGGATCGTCCTTTTCATTATGATAGAATCCCCGATTTGGAAAAACATTGAAATCTTTCACAAGAATTGTTTTGATCAAATCTAGATCTGCTATCATCATAATTGGTCGTATATACAAATAAATTCCACTAAAACGTGCATTAATCGCTTTTGTTTTTTCATAATACTCGACAAGAAAATCACTTATGTGACGATCTTTAGCGATTCCTTTAGCATTTCCTGACGGAAATGAAGTTTCAAATTGTGGAACTCCCAAATCACTCCAAAAATTGAAACATTTCTTGTACATCCATAAAGCAAATCCTATAATTAGAAGCAAAAGCGCTGTAAACACCTCCATTTGGATTATAAATATTTTATCTCTTTGAGCTATTAAGATAATTGCAGCAATTGAATAAAAATATTTTCTCTAATTCAGTCACTTGTCTTTCATGAACGCACTCAATTGATAGACTAACAAGAATAATTCAATGTGATATGTTTATAAGCAAGTTTTAAATGTATCTCTTGTTCGTATAAGACTGGAAATACGATTTGATAAGAATAAACAAGTGTGTGAAAGATATTTTGTACCGAGGCCTATACTCAGTCATCGAGTTAAAAATCATTACGTCTGAAAAAGCTTTATCAAGATGACTTGCATTATCTCATTAATAAGATGTCTGTAACAGTTCTTATGAGTAATTCATCACCTCTTTTTTAATTGAAGTGGATGTGTTCAAAATTCATTTCGTGAATTCTCACTCGATTTTAATTTGCTTTTTTTTCTTAATTTTTTTGATTAGGTTTCTAATAAAATATTGCAGATGAGAAAGTTCCAAATTATTCAAAGCATAATTATGTGAATTTGTACGGGAGGTGCCTGAAATTTTAAGGGTCTTAACTGTTTGAGGAGAAAACTTTATGAAGAACAAAACAAATAATTCTCAAGTTCATTTTTAATGGTTATTTGCTTAATGCCACAATATGATGGCGTCTGAATATATAAAGCTGTTTCGCATGTAAATTTGATGTTTTTTTACAAAAATTAAACTCACTGATGATTTTTTCGCTACCGCGTTCGGCTCATCCTCAAATTAAATGACCATAAAGTTTATAAGTTTTACGATTTAATGAGACGGAAAATTTCCTTTGTTTTTTTCAGCTGAAAGAATTATCAAAATAATGATAATTTAAATGATCTGATCGCTTCTTAAGATTTCTCACCAATTATTTCAATGTTTTTAATTACTAAGATATCTGAAAATAAGATGGAAAATTCACTTATGAAAAATTCACCATCAAAAATATTTTATTTTCGTAGTAAAATAAATAAATTATGTTTCAGTTCTAGCCATTTTTCTCTTTGAGTTCCTTTTTGTTTAAAAGTTTTCTTTCATTTTCCTTCGCAATTTTATATTTTTCTCGATCAACCAGATCAAATGTAAAATAACTTTTTATTACATAATGCTTGACTTTATCGATCTTTGTGAAATGATCGATTACAATCAAGTATTTCGATTCGAAAAATTTAATTTTTAAAATATTCTCATCAAACTTCTGACCTTCTAAGAAGAAGAATCCCGGCTTGATGGGGCAACCTTCGGACAGTTTCCGGTTTTTATATCCACTATTGTAAAAAACTTTTAACAATATATTGCCTCTTTGATTCTTTAAAAATTTGCAAATATCCACAGTAACATTTTTGATTAAAGGTTCGTACTTTCCAATTGAATTTTGATTATAAACTCCAAAATGGATAAAGAGATTTTTTACTTCTTTATGAAACGTTGCATTGAAGTTTAATGTGTACTAATCGTTCGGTAGAAATTCCAACCAAAGTGTCAAGCTAATAAATGACTCGTCATAAGTACTATTAATTCCTCTTGCAATCAATTTTAGTGGGCTTTGATTTGATACCTGGAAAGAATTCGCAAGATATTAAAGAGCAAGCTTGAATAAATTTAAAGATTTCTTCAATACTTCGTAAGATATTTTCACGACACAGAAACAAAATAGCATTAAAGTTAGTTGTCTCATGCCTACGCCTTTACTTCTAGCACTGCCAAAGTTTGAAAATTTAATACGAAAAAGCAGGATGAATTTGTTTTTAATATTAGCAAATTCAAATAGAGCAATCAAAGTGATTATTTTTTGCATTTAATAACGAAAATACGAAACCACCGATTAATTTTTATATAAATCTGTTCTCATGTAAATTGATGGTTTTTAGAAAAATTAAACTCACTAACGATCTTTTCGCTACCGCGTTCAAATCATCCTCAAATTGAATGAATTTTTTTTCAGGTGAAACTAATTATTTAGATACCTAATCGCTTTAATTGTGAATTTTATTCAAAGCTAAGAATTGTCAAAATAATGATAATTTAAATGTTCTGATCGCTTCTAAAGATTTCTCATCAATCATTTCAAGTTTTTTTTTTGAAATTTACATCATAAGTTAATGGAAGTTAATGGAATTAGGTTTTTAATTAATAAGATATCTAAAAAATCGCATATGAAAAAATTTGTTAATTTAATATTTAAAGAGTGTTTGATGAAATCAATCCCAGTTTTATTTTATCCTTATATCGAAAATTCATAAATCAAGAATAACAGGAAGTAACCTCCAATCTGAAATCAATTCCTTCTATCAAAAATATTTTATTTTCGAAGTAAAGTTAATAAATTTATGTTTCAGTTCTAGCCATTTTTATCTTTCCGTTTCTTCTTATTTAGTTTTCTTTCATTTTCCTTTTCAACTTCATATTTTTCTCGATCAACCAGATCAAAAGCAAAATAAGTTTTCATTACATAATGCTTGACTTTATCGATCTTTCTGAAATGATCGATGACAATCAAAAACTTTGATTCGAAATTTTTAATTTTTAAAATATTCTCATCAAACTTCAGACCCTCCAGGAAGAAGAATCCCGGCTTGACAGGGCATATTTCGGAAATTTTGCGCTTTTTAAATCCACTGTTGTAGAAAACTTTCAACAATTTATTTCCTCTTTGATCCTTTAAAAATTTGCAAATATCCACAGTAACATTTTTAATTAAAGGTTCGTACTTTCCATTTGAATTTTGATTATAAACTCCAAAATGGATAAAGAAATTTTTTACTTCTTTATGTAACGTTGCATTGTAGTTTAATGTGTACTAATCGTTCGGTAGAAATTCCAACCAAAGTGTCAAGCTAATAAATGACTCGTCACAAGTACTATTAATTCCCCTTGCAATCAATTTTGTTGGGCTTTGATTTGATAGCAGCTGGAAGGAATTTGCAAGATATTAAAGAGCAATTCTAAATTTAGTGAAGTTTTCTCTAATCACTTCGTGAGATATTTTCACGACATATGGAAACAAAAAAGAATTAAACATAGTTGCCTCATGCCTTCAACTTTACTTCTAGCACTGCCAAAGTTTGAAATTTTAATACGAAAAAGCATAAATTTGTTTTTAATATTGTCAAAAATTTCAAATATAGCAATTAAAGTGATTACTTTTTGCATTTAATAATGAAAATACGGAACCAACGATTATCAAAAATTGGAACAGCAACAAATAGACTAGAAGAACTTTTTCCCTAAAGATACAATATTTGAAGCAGTATTTAATTATTTTATTAATATGATATAAGTATTGTTGCTGAAAGCTCATGAAATTGAAAATTTTCACATTAAGAAAGTTTGCAACCAACGGTATTTTTGAATGACGCTCAGCTTTACGCTACCGTAACAACGTTACGTTTAATTCTGTATACGTAAAACTCAAATGTTTGTAAACAAAAAAATACAGGAAATCAAATTAAACTTAATTTACACTATAATACGTTAGATTATATATTTATCGTGGTTCTAGTTGCACCCAAAAGTCTTTAGGATAACGAACTGAACCAGTGCCACACTCATCTTCACTCAGACTTGGCATTCCAAAAACAGGATCAGGTTTGAAATTAAAATTTTGTAGTAATGCTGTAGTATATAGGAACATTGTGTTTCTTGAAAAGGTTTCAGCAATGCACAGCCTTTTTCCACTTCCAAAAGGAAAAGAAAAATCTTTCTTCAAATTAATTTTTCCATGGTGATTTAGAAAACGTTCTGGTCTGAAATTTTCTGGATCTTTCCAAAGTGCTTGATCAATGTGAACGGATTGAATATTTGCATAGATTGCTGTATCCTTAGGCAAAAAGAATCCATCTAAATATGTGTCCTCCATAACACGATGAGGCACAGAAGAAGGTGCAAATGTATCCATTCTCATTGATTCTCTAATAGTTGCTTCACAATAAGGAAGACTCAAGAAAATTAGAAAAAATTATTAAATCTTCTTTTAAAATTTTGAAATCATTTTCTTACCAATCCCTATCATCGAGTCCTGGTAGTCTTCCATTTCCAACAATGAAATCGATTTCTTCTTGACATTTTGCAACAATTTCTGGTCTGTTCGTAAGTTGCCGTACTAAAAAGCTTATGACAATTGGAAGTGTAGAACTTGCAGGAAAAATCATATCAAGGCAAAACATTACAAGTTGATCATCTAAAAGATATATAAAATTTAAGGAAAATATCAGAGATAAAATATTAAAATTAAATTACTTACAATCAAATCCAATCAATTTTTGTTCTTCATTCTTCATTTCATTTAAATAAACATCTATAAAATGTCTCGTGTGCCCATCTTGATATGTGTCAATTTCCCTCTTGACAATTTCTTCGACGAAATTGTAAAGTATTAAAGAAGCATCCCTCAAGTTTTTATATTTTGAAATTCTTGAATTAATGTGACGTAGCCAAGGAAAAATGCTAATAAAATTTCCTAATTCATCCGTGTTCCTTATAAATCCAAAAGAACCAGAAGCTCCTTTAAATGCCTTCGCTTGGTCTTCTCTATTTATTCGTTGACCCATTGACACTTGAAGAAAACAATTTGTCATCGTTGCAGTTGTTGAATAAGGAAACTTTAATCGGCCATTTCCTTTCATAAACTTTTCTTCATGCTTGTATCGTGGTCCATCTTTAATCATTTGAATGAAATCCAAAATTTCTTCTCGCATTTCAGCTTCAAAATCATTGAAGCGTCTTCCAAATCCAAAATCTCTTAAGTGTCTTAAAGTAAATCTCCTTTGATCACGCCAAAAATCTCCATCAATAAAAAACATTCCTGATAAGAAATATTCATGATAATGAAATTAGATCAAAGTCAAATAATTTCACCTTTCAATTTGAAATTTCGTTCTCGTAATCGTAAAACTATAATATCATTGCGTCCAGCAAATTCAGGCCTTTGCAAAACTTCCTTCACTAGCTTGTAGCTTGTCACCGTGACAACTTTTGTATTACCTCCGAAGTAATAACCAATAACATTAGATTTATAATATTTGCACATTCTCAAAGCAAGGTCGTGTAAATTCTTCCGTTCTAACATAAGGAGAAATAAATAACTTCCAACTAATGGTAAACGTGGTGGACCTGGTGGAAAGTTTTCTGGCCGATACATCACATATTTGTATGTTTTATAAAGAAATAAAATAACAACGACAGCTAACAAAATAACTGAAACCATTTCAAGAAGCTTCTCCTTTGACAATAAAATCTGAACTGAAACTATTTCTTTTTATTCGTTTCGAAGTCTTTGTTTTACAATCTAGACTGATAAATTTTTTTTCCTTATCTTAATTGAAATTGAGAAAGGCTTTACTTTAAATACTTATAAACGATAGAATTATCTCTAAAGCCTTTCTTAATTTCAAGTTCATCTTTTTCAATAAACATTTTTTTGTTTTTTCAGTGATGAACGAAGATAATAAAATTCTAGAACGAGCAATAAACACATCAGCTGCATGTCTACTGCCTTCATTATTATCCAATTTTGATGCAAATCCATTGTCACACGATGAATTCAATGAATTCCGTGAAATACTTTTTGATCAGTTGCATTTGCTTTTAGATATTCTTTATCAGAATAGAAATCTTTTAAATGATAAGACATTTGATAATCAACATGTGCAACTTCGAGTTAACTTTCTTCTTTTGGCATGTGAACAAACAGAACCGAATCCATTTTTTCAAACTGATGATAAAATTCTCATTGCAAGTTTGAAGAAGATTTTTGATGATAACTTGGAGTACATTGATGAGAATGTTATGAAGAAAGTCATTCAACGATACAAAGAAACTTTATGTAAAGAAAAGTGGAAAAAAGAGCTTGGACTTGTTCATGGATTCCCCAAATTTGTTGAGATTTTACTTAAGAATAAGAGCGATTTGGTGGATGCTGACGTCATGATGTTTACACTCTCTGTCGGTTCCAATTTATTGGCACATTTCGATCCACATTACAAAACTATTGGGCTGAAAATTTATCGACATTTAGTTGAGTTTGGAGAAAGAAAACTTCTTGAAAATCTCAATATTCATCAAGTGATCTTCAGCGAAAGTTTGAAAATGATTCAAAAATCAAATGATCACGACTTTATCGATCATATTTATGAATGTTTGTTGAATGCTGTGTCGATTGAAGATAAAATTGTCAGAGATTCCAAATGGTGCAAGTTTGACGATGTTATGGACAAAATCATTTTTCAGTTCGGTATGGAAAGTGACGTGAAGATTTCATCGCTCATCTTAAACAAAATTCTCAAGTTTTGTTTCATGTTTTATGGAAAGTTTGAGTCACCGACATCATTCAATGAAGTTGATTTAAAAGATTATTTTAAGACGCTGCGAACCACAACAAATGTTGAGAATTTGAGAACACTTCGATGGATTAAGAAACTTATGCAAATGATGATTCAAGAGTCAACAAGTCTTTTAAACAAAAGTGAAGATTGCTTTAACTTTCTAATTTGCTTTCATTCGATTTATATCGTCACCATTGCAAATGTCGATCCCACAATTATTGAACCACAATTAACAGAATTCACCATGAAAATGATTTTGATGTTAATGAAAGTTGCAAAACTCTTCAGAAAAGAACCAAAAATTATTAATTCCATCATTTTATTTCTGGAAACCTTCAAGGATCATCAAGCAGACAATAAAGAATTCATTAAATGCTTTTATGAAATCAAAAATCATGAAATATTTAAATAAAAATTTATTTCCGTTAAATCTTTATTTCGGCTTTCAATTTTCAATTCAAGTTTCCATGATTTAATTAAAGTCTCAACTTTCCATCATTTTCAGTGAAAAAGAATAAATCTGCCATTGTTTGTTCACAGATGAATTCTTCAACACGATCGCACATCTGAAATTAAAATTTTAATTAGATAAATCTTCAAGTTTTGTAATTTTCGCACTTACTGGTTTACATTTATATTCGTTTAATATGTCAGGATATTTGAATCCATTCGCACCGAAATTCAACCTGACTGAAGCACTTTTATGGATTGAAATTGAAGGATAATAAGCGCCAGCATAAATATTCTCGAAAGCTAAGCCTTGGCATTCTCCATTTTTGAAGTAATAAATTTTGCTTCCGGGATGAATTTTAAGATTCTTGAGCGTATCGCTGACTTTATCTTTATCTTCATAGTACAAATGACTTTTAAACTTCACAAGTGGACGTTCCTTGAAAGTATTATTGATGTAACGTGCGCCTTCCTGTTCTGGCAACATAATTAGAAATCCCAAAGTGTCGCCTTCACCATAAGCATTACTGAAATGTTTCCCATGCGATTCATGGAATTTTGTTCCTTTCCGTGACCGCCACGAATAGCCAAATTTGTCATAGCCAAGTGGCGATTGAAGATTTGCGTATTCTTGTCCCCAACCAATCCTTGTTGCTGATCCTTCTGGCATATCTTCAATTGTCGCTTCCCAATACCATGAACCACGAGTGACAACTTCAAATGATATAAAATTAAAGTTTTGACTCTTCTGAACATTAGAAATAAAACTTACAATGCGTACAACGAGCCATACAAAAACCTTTCTCTCCAATTATTGACAAACGATCTTCAGAAGCTTTCATTTGTGGTGCTCGATCATGCAACGCAACGAGAACAGCGTTTGGTGTTAAAACTCGATATAACCAACCGGGAATTGGCTTTCCAGCCCAATCTGGACTTTCGTCGTACTCTTGACGAAAAGGTGCATGTGGATCAGGTTCAGCAAGAATGTAACGATAACCATCTTTGTTAAAAGGATGTTCAAGTGGATAACCATGAGCTGGTAACTTCACAATGGCTCCGATATCTGAGTTGGGTCGACCTTTCTTCCCTGTCGGCCCCGTTGCTGGTTCATTTAAACCCGTAAACTTTCGTTTTTGTTGACGGCCAACTTTATTTTGATTACCTGATTAAAATGATAATATTTTGTTAATTTTATGTGTTTTCTTATGAAAACATTTATCAAAATTCACTTTCAAAACTCTCCATTAAATTATCTCCAAATTTATCACAATTATTAAATTAAAATTCAATTTTAAAATTTTTTCTTTATCTAAGCTTAACTACGAAATATTTGTTTGACAAAACTATTCTTTGCCAATCATAATGAACACTTTTAACTGGTGAAATATTTTAGAATCAGGATAAGAAATTAATGATCGAATAAAAAGAGAAATAAAAGAAATAAAATTTATTTTTAAAACTTTTTTGATGACGAAAACGAAAAGAGAAGAAGAAACTTCATGAGAAGATTAATGTTGTGTGGTTGTGTAAGCCCAGCTTGCATTTGTTTATATGAATGTTGTCGTGGTTATGAGAGGCGCGAAAGTTTTCTTATTTTTATATTTTAAAACTCACCGTCGTCTTTTTGATTTAATTTTTCATAGGATGGTTTTATGATTTCGAGATCTGGATTTTTTAAGCCGAATGATAAATCACCCTCGATATCTTGACAGACAAAAAGATCTGTGTGTGATTGAAGAGTTTTCAGTATTGTTGCGTACCAGCCGGTTGTTTGTTTGCGGGCAATTGTTGTGATTGATTCCCAATAAGCATCAATAAAAGGAATAATTTCTTTATCTTTACTGAAGAAATACCGAAGATTTCCATCTTTCACAGATTTCCTCTGAAGATTAGCGATTGTAGTAATACACATTTGCTGTGGAGACGATGAAATTCTTTTATAAATTTCAAGTCCGGTGGGAGAACAAAATTTACAAGTAAAAAGATAATTTTGAGAGAAGGCTAGAAGTTTTCCCATCTGGTAGCCTATACATGACTCATGAAAGAATTTTCCACAATGTGAACATGATACTTCAATGATATTAAGGTTTCTTTCCTTTCCACTGGAATTAGAAAAAAAAATTATTTTCTACATTTAAATAAAATTTTGGTTCTCACCAGTAGCAATTCGATTTTGATATCTTATTTTCCGTATTTTGGGAGTTTTCCTGATTACTGTCCATAGCTAATAGATTCAATACTGTTTTAAATTGTACTTTTGATTGATTAAAACTACTGAAAAACTTATTAAAATTGATGAACTGCGAAAAATAGTTTTGTCTGGATTTTTGTTTACAAAATTGGTGAAAACTTATTGGGAAATGGTGAATAAAACCTTACGATAATTTAGCCTCAAGCTGTGCGTTCTTAGTAAAGTTTCAGGACATGTCACTGGTGGCGCTAACGTCTACGTCTTTTATTCAGAAAAAAAGAAACCAAAAGTCAAAAATTAGAAAATTATTCTTTTGATGTTAATTATAGTTTAAAATCAAAAAAAAGGTAATTAAAACTTGAGAAAAAGTAAAGTGGTTGAAATTGATATAGGGATGATATGTTTTGCGGTTCGAAACGTCACAAAACAGCTTTATAAGTTTAAACTTTCCACCCTCATTTTTTCTTAATGACCAATTTTACAAAATTGAAGTTGGAAGGGTTAAATAAAGAAATCTGGAAATTGTTTTTATGTGTAGTTATCATATAATGACTAACGAAATACGATTACAAATAAACAAGAAGAAAAAGCTCAGAAATGATTGATAACTCGATAGAGATAAGCTTAGTTTGTGAAGTTTTGTGTCGAACGATTGTATCTCAGTTCCCTATCAGCATTCTGTGATTTCAGACATTAACTTGGAGTTAATTAGATGATAGTCTAGAGTGGTAAAGGAAAAAATACTTGAGTTTAAGTGAGAAGAATTTAAGAGTTCCGTTGTTGAGAATAACTAATCAATGAGTCATTTTAATTGGGTCGTTCAACCATTAAAAGAAGCCAATTTACAATAAATTGACAAACTATTCTCAATTTACAAGTTTGTGATAATTTATGCTTCAAATGAGTCTAATTTTCTTTATCAACATTACATCAGACCAGACTTCTATTGATTTTTCTTTCTCAGTTTTAAAGTTTTGGTACCTGCGCAGAGACGTTTTATGACGTCAATTCTTGTTACTAAGAAACATCTGTTTTCAGAAATTTGCTCTTATCATACCTTTTCTGAACAGTTTAACTTTGAAATATAAATTTTAATAATCCATTCGGTTTAGTTTTGTTCCAGATTAAAATAAAAATTCAACAGTCGGAATTGGTGAACGAGACGAATCGAAATAAAAATGGGATCGCTTTTTCGTAGTGAGGAAATGACTTTATGTCAACTCTTCCTCCAGAGTGAAGCTGCTTATGCATGTGTATCGGAACTTGGCGAACTTGGACTTGTTCAATTTCGTGATTTGAATCCTGATGTCAACGCTTTTCAACGTAAATTCGTTAATGAAGTTAGACGTTGCGATGAGATGGAACGAAAACTTCGCTACCTCGAAAAAGAGATTAAAAAGGATGGAATTCCAATGTTGGACACTGGCGACAGTCCCGAAGCTCCACAACCTCGTGAAATGATTGATTTAGAGGCAACATTTGAAAAGTTGGAAAATGAATTGCGTGAAGTCAATCAAAATGCTGAAGCTCTCAAGAGAAACTACTTGGAATTGACGGAATTGAAGCATATTTTGAGGAAGACTCAAGTGTTCTTCGATGAGGTGAGTCACATTTTAATGTCAATATTCATTCATTCAAATCGCCCAATAACATGTCTAAGAATTATTAGAAAAAAATGAACAAAAATTCATTTCCTTCCATATTCGAGTTTAAATATTTTAAAAAAATGGCATCACCACCACATCAGATATTAAAAGCATTTTCTAATTTCTTTTTAATTTATTAAATATTTTTTAATTTAATTTTTAAGTTTTCCTTACTAAATATTATTTTATTCACGGGAAAATGGATGAAAATTCAAATTTTCTTCCAATTTTTATTTAATGAATGAAAAAAAAATCAAAATTTTAAATTTTTTTAGATGTAATTTGGTGCTCAATTAGTGCATGCTTTTTGCTTCCTTAATTTAATTTATTTAGTTACTTTATTTAAGGCACAATGTAGTGTAGAATTAGAGAATTGACTAACACATTTTGATTGAAAACTAATCACGCTTGCACGAAGTTTTCGAGGAAACTTTTAATATCTCGTGACATGAAAACCGAAGTATGTGCATTTTTTATGTTCGCTGCCAAATTTCATTTTTCGCTTCTTGTGTTGTTTTCTTTTGTTCTGTTTTCCTGTCTTGTGACTTGCGTTTGATCAAGGAAACCATCACATGATATGATTTTGTTCCATCACCGTTTATATCGCAAGATTAACATGGAAAGATTGATAAGAATCGATTGATAACATTTGAATGGGTGGGGAACTTCAGAATGATAATAAATACATAAATTAAGTAATAATTATTTCATGTGTAAATAGATTTCATAGATTTTTATCATTTGGAACTAAAAATATTTTTTCCAACTCTTTCGTTCGAAAGTTCAACTTTACACAAAAACTTTTAGTGTTCCTTTTATCCTTTGCTGTATTTAGTGTCAATATTGAGCTTTCTTTGTAGATCAATTTCCCAAACGCTGTTTCTTCACCTTTCTTTGTTGTAATGTTGTGTAAAGTTGAAATTTCATGATTATTAGAAATGAACGAAAAAGTTTCTTCAATTCATTAGTTGATCAAAACTTTTCTTTTCTTTTTAGCAGATTTTCTTTTTGTTTAATTATAATTCTTTTGTTTTTTATGTTTCTTTTTATATGCTTTTGACTTTATTGTGCCATAAATTATCCTCTTATGTTGAATCCAACCCAAACATAAAATGCTTTTGCTATTAAAAAATATAAAACAAAAAAATCCTGTACGTGCCGAAAAATGTGCGCTTTAAAACGCATTCTGTGGGGGATGTTTTGTATGAATATTCGGGTGCTTTGAGTAGACAGCACCAGATTACCAAGACATGCTTGTCAATAGATTTTCTCAATTAAATCCGTCCTTCCATTCTCGCCCATCAAAATATGATATTCGAACACTTCGCGTGAAATTCACAAAATCGCAGATGGCTGATTCACATCGTGAAGAAGAACAATTGAATTTATTGGAAGATGGACCACGTGGACAACAACAACAGAACCTTAAGCTTGGGTAACTATAAAAAATGCGCTTGCGAATAATTTTCTTCTATTCTTATTTTTTGTTTTGTGTTGTTTTCCTCTTGTGATTGATTTAAGCGAAAATTCCTTGCTTTGAATTCTCTCAAAAACTTGAATTCTTCCAGAACTACATCAATGAACATGAGCCGGTTCTTAAGAAATGTCACAAGATGATGAGGCAAGAAAATTGTGTCTTCAATGTCGCTTTCTTGTCTCATTAAAAACTTTTTTGTTTTCCTAACGATGAATTTACTTTTTTGCGTGATCAATTAAATGCACATATTTAAGCGAAACTTTTTTTTGGTTCTCTTCTTCATTGAACTTTCATGTTGAATGTTGTTTAACCTGCTGCGGATCTTGCACATATAAAATTAAGTTTTTTTTATTTCTAATTTAATTTAAATAAAAATAATGGCATGAGTTGTGATAGGGGAATGGAGATGACATGATAAAGTAAGAAACTAATTTGCTGGAATAAAAATAAGTGAATGCACTAGACGTGGGGAGAAATTAATCTTTAAGAATATTTTAATTAATTTATGTTGTTGTCTGGAGTTTGTGATTTTATTTGTTTTAATTATTTTTTTATTTTTAATTTTGATTTGAATTCATTTTGGAAAATCATCAGCATTGTAATTTATCATATTCATTAAGTTATCTCGACTCCAATTACTTAACAATAATTAAATTTAAAAAAAATCCTCATTTCCAAATCTTTGAAAAGAAAATTAAATTTAAGGAATTTCTTAGTTTTTATTTCTTTGTTTGTTACTTGAATGAAACTTATTTTTATTTTTGTTAATTGGGGAAATTATAATCACAGCAAGAAGGTGGCTTAAACAACACCACTGAGTCGATGACAAGAGCTCTAATCACAGATGAATCCCGCGGCAATGCCATGGGTCCTGTTCAACTTGGGTAGGTTTTTGATTTTTATTCTTTTTGGTTTCTTTTTTGTTTTGTTTTACGTTTTACAACAACATTAAATTTATTGAACTAACCTTCGAATGGTTAAATTTAATTCACGCTGACACTAACAACGTTTCACTTCATCACACGTTCTCCACGCAACAAAAAGTTTCATGGAAAAGCCAACCGAACATGAAGATTTCCTGCCATGGTCAGTAACAGTTTTGCTGTTCATTTCATTTCTTTCTCTTTATGGTTTTTATTTATCACACATTAAAATTTTATTGCAAGATACAATCCAGTGATGATAAAAGAAAGTAAAGGCAAATATATTAAATATGTGCATTTAATCATCAAGCAAATGAATATTTGAAACTTCTCTCTGTTAACTTCCTTCTAACCGCCTAATTTTTAATTTTTCTTCTGTTTGCTTTTCTAAATGGGATGAAAATTCCTGTTGAAAAATATTTATTCGATGATTTAACATTTGATTCCTTCGACCATAATCTAGTTTTGTTGCTGGTGTAATTCTTCGTGAACGTTTGCCAGCATTTGAACGGATGTTGTGGCGTGCCTGTCGTGGTAATGTTTTCTTACGTCAAGCAATGATTGAAGCACCTTTGGAAGATCCATCGAATGTGAGTTTGTAAAGTTTTGCTTGACCATCAACAAGTTTTATTTAATCTTCATTCATGGTAGGGTGACAACGTCTACAAATCTGTCTTCATCATCTTCTTCCAAGGTGACCAATTGAAGACACGTGTGAAGAAGATTTGCGAAGGGTTCCGTGCAACTTTGTATCCATGTCCAGAAGCTCCAGCTGATCGTCGTGAAATGGCAATGGGCGTCATGACAAGAATCGAAGATTTAAATACTGTCTTGGGACAAACACAAGACCATCGTCATCGTGTCTTGGTTGCTGCTGCTAAGAACCTCAAGAATTGGTTCGTTAAAGTCAGAAAAATCAAAGCAATTTATCACACGCTCAATCTGTTCAACTTGGATGTTACGCAAAAATGTTTAATTGCTGAATGTTGGGTTCCAGTTTTGGACATTGAAACAATTCAAGTTGCTTTGCGTCGTGGAACTGTAAGTTGATTTATTTGTTTAAACATTTCTTATTATTAATTAAAATTCATTACAGGAACGTTCGGGATCGTCAGTGCCCCCGATTTTGAATCGTATGGAGACATTCGAAGATCCGCCAACTTACAATCGAACAAATAAATTCACTCATGCGTTTCAAGCTTTGATTAATGCTTATGGTGTCGCATCTTATCGTGAGATGAATCCAGCTCCTTACACCATCATCACTTTTCCATTCTTATTCGCTGTCATGTTCGGTGATTTAGGACATGGAACTATCATGGCATTGTTCGGCTTATGGATGGTTTTAAAAGAGAAGCCATTGGCAGCGAAGAAATCTGATAACGAAATTTGGAATATTTTCTTTGGCGGTCGTTACATCATTTTCTTGATGGGAGTTTTCTCGATGTACACTGGCTTCATCTACAATGACATCTTCTCGAAATCGTTAAATATCTTTGGATCTGGATGGCATCTTAGTTACAACACATCAACAGTCATGGAGAACAAAGCTTTGCAGCTCGATCCTGCTTATGATGCTCCTCGAACTTACCCGATTGGAATGGATCCTGTTTGGCAAGTGGCACCATTGAACAAGATCATCTTCCAGAATGCTTACAAGATGAAGATTTCAATTATCTTTGGTGTCATTCACATGATTTTCGGTGTTGTCGTGGGTCTCTTCAATCATCGCTTCTTCAAGAACAAACGCGCAATTTATTGTGAATTCATTCCGCAAATGATTTTCTTGATCTTCTTGTTCTTCTACATGACATTGTTGATGTGGATTAAATGGATTCGTTTCTCAGCTCAAAATCCTGCTCCGTATTCGGTTCATTGTGCGCCATCGATCTTAATTACTTTCATCAATATGGTTTTGTTCAAGACGTCACCTTTGATCAATGAAGAATGTAACGAATGGATGTTCTGGGGACAAGGAGTTTTGCAGAAATTCTTGGTATTGTCTGCATTGGCATGCATTCCAGTGATGTTGCTTGCCAAGCCATTGTTAATCATGCAAGAGAGAAAGAAAGCTTTGCATCAACCAATTCTTCCCTACAGCACTGATGGACAAGATGGCGAAAATGGTGGATTGAATCCACAGACACAAACTGCTGCTGCCGCTGCACCAGCTGGAGGACATGGACATGAAGAACAAGAAGAAATGAGTGAAATCTTTATTCATCAAGGCATTCACACAATTGAATATGTTTTAGGATCTGTTTCGCATACTGCTTCGTATCTTCGTTTATGGGCTTTATCATTGGCTCATGCTCGTAAGTTTGATTTATTATCAATGAAATTTTTATTTTATCTTCTTCATTTCTTCAATTTAGAACTTGCTGAAGTGTTATGGAACATGGTTTTGAAAATGGGCTTGACAATGAGTGGACCAATGGGTGGAATTGGATTGTGGGCAATTTTCGGTTTCTGGGCATCGTTGACTGTTAGTATTTTGGTGTTGATGGAAGGTCTTTCAGCTTTCTTGCATACATTGCGTTTGCATTGGGTTGAGTTCCAATCGAAATTCTACGCCGGACAAGGATATGCTTTCACACCATTTGCTTTCGAAGCTATTTTAGATGGCGGTGGATCAACTGAAGATTAAACATTTCTATAAATGCATAACAATAAATTAAATATCATAATCACTGGTTTTATTTTGGATTTCAATTATTCCTCGAATGTTAAAATATTCAAATTTCATGGACAATTAAAAAGTTATAATAAAGAAAAAATTATTTAGCGTTGAATGTAGCGTAGCAACAACATTTTAATCGTTTTGTTCAGCAAATCCCATGACATCGTCTAAATACTCAATGAATCCATCGATATTTCCCTTCTCGTATTTTTTGAGTAACGAAATGTCAAAGTTTTTCAGAGTGTTTGGGAGATTTTTGACTGATGTATGAAAGAGATAATTATCAGCAGATAATTGTTCCGCAAGCTCGATTTGATGATTATTCATTAATGTATCGTTGATAACAACTATTAGAGGTTTTTCCTTTTTTAAAACATCAATGCAAGTTCCAGCACCAGCGTGACTTATCACCTACAAATTTTCATAAATTATGTTCATGTTTTTAATTGTTTTTATGGGAATAAAATACCAAGTCAGCTTTTTCTATATCTTCGAGAATAGACTTTTTTAAATCGAATATTTCAACTTCTATTCCTTTGAAATGATCAAATGAAACTGATTCTCCTTTTCCTATTTGAATTGTGAGATTTTTACAACCGAGATGCTCTTTGAAGAGTTGGAAAACTTCATCTTTACTTAATTTTCTAATCAAATCGTTGAATTCTGTGGTTCCAACAGTAACAAAGATTGTTTCAAATTTCATTTCTATTTTAATTTTTCACTTTATGGCAAATATTCATAGAAAATGTAAGTGCGACGGATTGCAAAGCAACAATTTTGTTTTGTTTACCTTTTCGGCTGAGCGTTACTATAAGGTCTCGAGGGTGTAAAAGTATAGCACACAAAAACCTTCGTATTTTTGTACCATCTTTTTATGTGAAGACAAAGAGTGAGTTAAAATTATATTTTTATCAATTTTAAAATGATGTGATAAGCTAAAATTACTTTAAATGTGTTTAATAGTGTCTTAAGATGGAAAGAAAGTCAAAAATACGGATAATGAATCAAAATAGAAACATTTGTCACGAAATTAAGGTAAGCAAATTTTTTTAGAAATTTCTGGAAAAATTAGGTCATAAAATTAGAAAACGTATCAAAAAATGAGCTTTTATTCAGCTATTTCTTCAGATATTTCTCAGAAAAATTTATTCATAATTAAGTTATTGAAATGTTTAAAAAGAAATTATTGAAATTAGATGTAAAATACATGAGAAAATCCCTCAATAAATTGATATGAGAATGGATAGTAATGGCGTCGTAATTCGTAACTTCGTGAATTTTTCTTTGAAATATATTGATATTTTTATTGGATGTTTTTAAAAACAAGTCGAAACATTTCACATCATGTTCTTCTATGTTCTTGTTCATTCAATTTATTACTTATCTTCAAGGAAGTCTCGTGTCTAAAAACGTTTTTCAAGGTCAACTATTTTTAATGATGAAATTGAATGGAAGAAATTGCTGATGTCAATCATTTGACAAAATGAATTTAATTATTAGGGATTTGAATATTTATTTTCTTAAAAATTAATTAATCTAAGCTAGTATAAAAAAGAAATCAACCAAATGAATGTCAATAGATGAACAAATGAATTTAAAACTAATTTTTCTTTTTACAAACGGCACTATTTTACTTTCTGATTCACACTCAATGTTCGTCATCTATGACAGCAAAGTCTACCTTCATTGTTGCTGTATATAATTTTGTATCTTAACTACCTGTTTACAAAGATGTGAGAAACGAAAATGAGTAATCAATGTCTACAATTTATTGTAGTCACATCAATTGCAATCTGATTAAATTATTCGAGTTATAAATGTCCCACAATTATCTTATTGCTTTTCGTTTTATATCATTACAGCATTTTTAAGATGGAAGGTTCACCTAGTGGAAGACGATAAATGTGTCAAGGATCACTTGTTTCTATTTTCATGTTATTTTTCAGTTCGATTTATTGTTGATTGTTGGTTGATGGATTTCGCCAGCGTGAGTGTATACGATGTCCAAGGTTGAGACATCCCATCTGGTCGAAAAGGACTTCGAGCTTTGTCCCAGGTGATGACTAACATAAACTCGATGGTCAATTGATCTGAGAGTTTTATTTGGTGAAAATCAAAAGTTTCCTTGCGATTCTTTTGTGTCCCAAACAACAAAACAATAACGCAAAAAGAAATACTATGACCACTGTCAATAATTCTAAAACTCAAAAATTCAAGCGCTCGCTAAAAATTTGAAAGCATCATTTGAGCTTAAATAATTAATTTTCTCCATCTGATGATGAATAATCCTTCACAAGGATTTGTCTCAGATTTGAATTAATGACACATTTTTCCACATTAGGAAATGAATTGAACTTCATTCTATTGGTAGGCTTAAAAGCCGATTTTTCAACATCTGCTCGATTTTCTCCGCTGAGGTTTCGGTCGTGAAAGTATGAAACTGTCTACATAGTCGACAGTACATCTTAAAAGTTCACAAGAGTTGAAAAAGGGAACTGAAAAGCAAAAATAAAGTCAGCAGTAGCATCAATAACTAACATAAGTAACAGTAATGTAAGAGTATTAAGTTTCTCAGAAATATCACGAGAGGGTTTTATGTTGGAGACTCAGAAATGATCTTGTATAGAAGCTTGACTTGCTGTTGAATTCCAATTTTGTTTTGAGCTATTGATTGCACTGGAATTTGAGTGGTTACGTTCTCACTAAAACTGAAGATGTCACGAGAAAAGAATTGGAGATTCTTAAGGTGACAAAGTTGTTTGTAGTGATGAGACGATGAAAATCTGTTGAAGAAATTCATTTTGTATGAAAGATGCTCAGAGAGAAGAGGTTCATTGGCGGTACGTCGAGTGGAATACTTGAGATTTTCTTTTGGGGCTTAAAAGTTGTCTAGAAAAATGAAAAGTCAAATAGTCGAGCGACTGTAAAGAAGAGATTGTTAAATGCTTTTAATGCTCGCTTTTTCTCAGATAGTTTCCATACATGGACTCTCTCTATTTGGTGGATGCACACCTGGTAATTCTTTAGAGATAAATAAGATCAAGAGCTTGTATTCAGGTGCGTTCAACATGAAGTAATGTTGAACGGGTGGATGGATGAAACAAAAGTTTCTTCGGGCAAAATATTTTAAGATAATTAAAAAAGATGAAAACAAAAAACAGCTTTTAATTTGACACAGTCAAAGAGAAATTAAGTTGATCATGACAAATCATAAAAGCAGTTAAAAACATAGAAAAAAGAATTGTAATTTAGAAGAATAGGAAATGAAACTTTCTTCTTGTTGAAGCAGATTTAAACCGACGAAAGCGCTACCTCTGATGATTAATAATTAATCCCATAATATTTAAGGGGTTGATTTGTCTCAGATGAAAGGAATATTAAATGGTGATAAAGAAATTCTGTCCCATTTACGTAGCGATAGGCTTGTTCTTAATTAGCAACATACTTTTGCAGAGCCTTCAAAGCCTTAATGATGTTCATCATCATCAAGTTTACAACCAATGAGTACCAATGAGATAAATCTAAGGATGAAAATAAATCCAACGCTAATCACAGCAAACTGATAACCATTGTGAAAAATAAGATTTGAAAAACGATTCATACGACTGGAAAACAGAGATAAACGAAAATCGTAAATATTGCATTGACAAAAACAAAACAAAAAACGTCATAAAAGGAAAACGTATAAAAGTTCTAAAGTCTATCATGTCCTTTAAAATTCTATATTATTTTAACACGAATTTACACTAATTACGTACTTTACGTGTTTTTTTACTTTAGTTATATGACTAAATTGCACTTGCAGCTTATCTTGCATCCCTACCCTGGTGATAAATGGTTTTCAATGTCACATCTTGAAAGCCCTGTCCCAGATGATTGCGCAATGGTCATGAAAAGGAATCTTTGTGCTTTACAAACGACTAAAGATTCGTTTTTAGCCTTTTGTAGATTACAATCTTCCGTCCCATTCAGTAGCGATGCATTTTAAGACAAAAGGAATATGTAATAAAGGTCAAGGAAGTAGATAAATTTATGATTAAAAGCATATATATGGCATAATTTGTTCAAAAGCTTTTTTTGTATGAAAAACAAATGATATAAACAAACCAGATTAAATCTGTCATCCTGCGATCATTACTAAAAAACATAAAAACAGAAAAAATGTAATCGCTGATATGACTGATGCCAAATAGAAAAATAAGAAAATTTTGATTACAATTTACAATTTAAATTGAGATGAAAATAAATATTTTTGATTTGTTGGTCGACTAACATGGAACCGTCAGGGGACATTTGGAAGGATGATCCAATAAATTAGACAAAAGGAAATTTTCTTTTTTTTAATTTAAAGCAAAAATGAAAACTTTATGAGTTAAGGGTTGCAAAAAAGGAAGAGCTTTTCATACTTACTTATTTAAATATGTGAGAGGTGCGTTCATAACTTTGTGTTTAGAACGGGAGGATGGAGAAGTCAAATGATGACTTCGTGGGCACCATTTAACATTTATTACGATAAACTCTTCACTTTGCGCTCCTTTGTCATTTTGTCAGAGCATTATAAGTAAATAAGTATCAAGCAATTGCATATTAATGTCTTTCTCACCCCGTTTAATTTACCTTTGTTTGGGTCTGCAATTTAATTTTTCCTCTGTAATTGTCATTGTCATGTACATTTTTTTTTTGATTCTTTAAATAACTGTTATTTCAGAATTGTAGAGTTTTATTCTTTAGCTTCAATCAGTTGTTATTATCAAGGGTGTACATCAACATAATTATGTGGTAGTCAATAATGCAATTTTAATCTTAACAGCATGCAGCTTTGCATCAGAACTCAAAACTATATGCAACACCAATCAATGTTCAAGTTGTAAATGATCACGAGAAGTATTCAGAAGTACCCAAATAATTAAACCATATATCAATGGCTTGAGCTGGCTTCAGCGAACGCTTACGTAATCAATACCAAGCAAAAATATCCAAATATGTACCAAGTCGACGCTTAAGACAGCATTAAAGTTTACGTCTTCACTACCCTGGTTGATCAAAGATTTTCGGCTGTTGACGAACTTCTGTCCCAGATGATCTTCCCATTCCTTGAAAATGGTTATTAACCGACAAAGACATCCTTCTCTTAAGCAAATGTTGAAGGAGTCTGTCCCATTTTCGTGTAGTGATTGACCGGGTCGAGCTAACGTTTTTAAGATTAGTAAAACCTTTCATTGAAAAACATAAATGCACAACATTCTGTTTATTAAGCAGCATCCATCCAGCTATACAATTGAGGTCGGAACTTAACTAAAACCAAACAATCAAACGGTGACGATGGTTTCTATTTTGCATCACTTATACCTAATTAATTGAGACCTTTTTCTTCACAAAAAATAACTTGTAAGATAAGCAACAAACCAAATATTTGTCAATTAAGATCATTTTAGGAGAATCACAAACTGGTTTGATAAGGAATCTATCTGAATCCGTCCCAGTTTATTGAATGTACCAATCAATCGGTGATAATCATTTGATCCAACTTCAGATGTGTCCCGCATTGGTGTGGAGATTTCCCATAGCTTTTTTTCTGTTTTTTTTTTTGTTTTTTTTTCTTTCTTTAACAGCTTGCGAATAATTTTGTTGGGGGTTGTTTAGCGGTTGTTAGCGTAATCCACCAAAAAATAAAATAAAACATCAACACAACAAACCAAAAACATGTAGACGCATCCTAACAACATTTTTTTCCTGTAAAATTTTCTCTTTTCTATTTTTTTTTCTCTCGTTACTCTTTTACTTTTATATGACGATGCAATTTTATGGTTGAGCTCGAATGACGGATGATTAGAAACTATAACAAAATGAACGTAAAATATAACAGAGCGGGATGGATGGCGGGCAAACAGCAAACATGAGACATGTAAATTGTATTATTAATGAACATAAAAACTAAATTTTTTAGCGTTACTTGAATGCTGCATGCGATAAATGATATGTTATCAGTGAGCTCACTAGTCGAGTCGAGTCGAGTCGGTCAATCATCATGCTGAGGATCAGATGTAAGCGTTTCTATATTCTGACTTTCCTTCATTTTCAAGATCTATTTAGCGGGTTTGTGTGTCAGCATCCTCAAAAATAATTATCAAATCAATGTATAAAGTGGCGATAGTTGTGCACCATCTGTGTATCTTGAGTGGCACTACCCTGGTGAAAATGATTTCGTGATTTATTACGATTTCTGTCCCAGATGATTTTTCTTCCTATAGAAAAAGAATTTAAAATGGTTATGACAAAGAAACTTCACATTGAACATCGTGTAGTTTCTGTCCCATTTCACGTCTTGTAGTGACGCACTGTAAGCCCGAGCAATGTATCACGTAATAGCCAAAGAGAATGAAGATGTGTCTGGATGGAACGGCATCAAGCGATGAATAGTTAAAGTATGGAATGTAAAAAATATTGATGATGAGATGAGATGATTTTGATGATATGAAAACTGTAAAAAAATCATGAAAAAGTAGAAAGGAAGTTCTATTTGGTGATCATTTGTTTAAGTTCCTCTAAGGAGAGATGAAAAGAAGATGAAGATGAAGAAAAATCTTATAATTGAGTTTGAAATGGAAGCAAACGATTGATGATAAGAAAAAGTAATTCTGTAAAGATGGAAAAAAAAGAAGAAAAAATATGTGCAAAAGAAATAAGGAAAGTTTGATAAAAAAAAAAGATTTCTTTCTATAAATGTTTTTCTTTTATGCTAAGAAAGTTGAGAAAGTTTAACGTGAGTTTTTTATTAGTCTTGGAAGCGAGAGAAAGAGAGAAAGAAAATTAAAAAAAATCTTTCAAACTGGTTTGACAAAGATTCCTTGCACCTTGATGATCTTAAAAGCGAGAGAAAGATGAATCTGTCCCAGTTTGGCTGTTGGTTGATAAAGGATTTTCTTGTGAATGTTTTTGAAGAAAGAGATTATTAGAAAGAAGAAAAAAATTTATAAATTTAAAACACAGCGAAAAGAATTTGTGCAATGTGATGTCACATAATGAAAGCTTTTGATTTCATTACTAAATTTCAATCAGTGTTTTATATGATATTAAATTAAATGAATTTTTAAGTATAACTTTTTTTATTGTGGGTGAAAAAGAAATATCCTGTCCCAACAGCTTCCAAGTTTTATGTTTCTATCGTGATCGTGGGTGTTGTGAAAGATTCTTTAAACATGATGCAACTTGTAGTTTTTTTTCAGTGTTGCGTGCAATTTTTATCCTCTAATAAAAGTATTGTCAAACATTTGATAGACGATTAAACTACTTGTGAAAACAAAGTATTTAATTTTAATTTTCTGTTCCACATCTTAGTGTATATAATAATAGAATATAATATTAATAAGTCGTTGCGTTATCAGTGCATCCCTTGTTAGATTTTATTCACTAGAGTTTCAAATGTTTTCGTAAACATTACATAATTAATTCGGAGCTTTAATCTAATTATTTGAGCAAATGCTTACACTTTCGTTTGAAAAAATATAAAAGCAAAAAAAAATATTGGAAGATAAAAAATTGAAGAGTCCAACTTATCATAGTTGGGCGGGTGGATGGAGGAAACTTAATTCCAAAAGCTAAGTTTCCGTGGGCACAATTTCACTACCAGGTTTTACAACATTTCTTTCTGGTAGCTTTAGCATGACATTTTCGCATGCAACGTTGTAATTAAATTTGCTTAAAGAAAAAAAATCAATTAAGAAATTTTGAATAAAAATTTCGGAAGCAAAAATCAAGAAATGACATCGCGCGGGAAAAAGTCTTAACTTCCTGATCTCTGCTTCTTCCTTTCCGACGATTTCCAACCTTGGCGATGGTGGAGAGGCTTAAAATGACATTTCATTTCTTTTCGCTTCTCATAAAAAAGAAGTTAAATGTCATCAACTAAAAGGAAATCACTTTCAATCTTCCTTTCCAGCATAATCATCATGAACATCACTGAAAGCAAAATTAAAAAGAAAAACTTTCATTTAATTAAAATTCTTTAATTTCAATTGGAAACAGAAATATTTTTACATTTTAAAAACTGTTAAAAATTAAATCTTTACAACTAAATTCTTACATTACAAAATACTTTTAAATGATTGTTGAAAATGAATTGAAAATAAAAATTTGTTCAAGAGTATTCATGAAATTAAATCTACCGTCTTTTACTTTTTCCTTTAAACATCTTTCCAGTGTTGAGTAAGAATACAAAAACAGTTATAAAAAATAATACAACAGCGGCTACTATTAAGCCAATTAGAGTTGATCTGTGAATGTCGGATGGATCAAGAATGTGATATTTCGGCAGCAGTTGGAAGTCTGTTAAGACACTTGTTCCGTTGATCTTACACGGCTGTTGAATTATAATTTCTTGATGTTGAACCTTGAAATATAAAACAGATGAATGAGGTGTAAATTTCATTTGATAAAAGGTAATAATTAACTCACTTGTTTATTACGACATAATTGTGAACCACCAGCACTTGTTATTGTCTCGTCGCTGTATTCATCTTGTGTAAGTATTGGCATCAACCATTTCTGTGGTGAAAGGAATATCAACCATTTAATATAATCTGGAACATCAGCTGGATGAATGACGTAACTTCCAACCGATAAGTTCACAATAAGAGTCGTTAAGATCATAAACAAAGAAGCAACAATCTTGTAAGTCGATATGAAGTGTGATGAGAACAATGCTAACGTTTGAATAACAATCAAATAGAGCATCATATATCCTAAATAAAATTATATACCTAATTAGAACTTGAAATGGAAAAGGAATTTGAATTTCTTTCTTACCCATATATAAATAAATTCCAGCATCATTATCTGCTGTATAAGCATAAAGACCAGCCATACTATGTGCAGGCAGTAAATAAGCCAACCAAATGCATAAACTTGGTGGCACACTTAGCAATGATTGCACAAATATGTAGACTGTTCTTCCATATAGTCCCAATTTGATATCTTTTTCAGCATATTTGCGATCATTCTGAATGTCACGAATCATAAGTAGAATTATCGGCCAAAAAGCAATTCCCATAATTGTGTGATGATATCCAAGTCGATCGTTGTAAGTTAAAAGTGGATCAGATGCTGGAATATCCCAGAAAATACAACCAAGGATTAAAGATAAAACTGCTGCAGCAATTAATCGACTGATCCATGACAACAACGAGCCTGGCTGTTTATATGAAATGTATCGTTTGCAAAGTGTCCCCAACTGTCCGAACATGCCAGCAGTTTTCGTTGGATCTGGTAAACTTGCCAGTGGAGCTGCTAAAGGTGGTTCAGAGTTCATTCGGTCCCATGCATTCGCTAATGATTCGATACGTGCCGATGATTCAAGCAAAGCCGCTGCTGATAAATCATCAAGCGTAACCAAATCAACTGAAAATCGAGAGAAAATTGAAAGTCATTAAAATCGTAAATTGATTTGAAAACTCATTATTTTCTACAACTTACGGTAGTAATCCGCTGGGTTTTTAAAAGGGGGGCAAGGGTATCCCAGTTGTCCCATATGACGTGGCAGATCAGCTCTACTTCCACTGAAAATTGTTCTTCCACCTGACAACAGCAAAACTCCCGAACACATTGAGAGAATCTCAAAAGTTGGCGGCTGCAACGTCATAATGCAAATCCTTGAACTGCACCATTGTCTCAGATATTCAACTAAGAAGAAAGTATCGAAAATGTCCATGCTATTTGTTGTTTGATCAAGAACAAGAACTGAACATTGCGAGAGAAGTTGACAAGCGACATTTAATCGTTGCTTCTCTGAATGTGTCAATCGAGAAATACTCGCTGAACGAACTGCTGTCAATCCTAAATCTTCAACAAGAATGTCAATCTATGAATGACAAAAAAATTAATTCACGAATTTAAATGAAGAATCATGAACTTACTCTTTCCTTCAAGTCACCTTTATCCATCGGACCTTTCAATGATGCATGATAATTCAAAGTATTTTGAACACTCATTCGTGGATCAAGCGATGCAACTTCAATGGCTGGTACATAACCACATAACTGTCTAAGCATTCTTTTTGATACTTGTTGTCCATTTATTAAAATTTCGCCACCTAATCGTTCACGAAGTCCTGCAATTGTTTCTACTAATGCTGTCCCTTCTTTACATGATGTCGCCATTATGGCGAATAAATCTCCAGCTTTGGCTTGCATTGAAATTCCTCGAACATTGGGCTCAACATCAAGGCAGTGAATTTGTATGTTGGGATAAATAAGTGTCGACGATTGACGTCGAGAGATGGCAGAGTAATGTTCAGCACGTGATCGTGGCTCTCGCGCTTCGCCGTAAATTCTTGAATCATATTCGTAAAACATTTCACGATCAGCACCGCCTAAAAGATCAGCTTCGCTGTGTGATCGATTGTTATGATATCTTGAGCTTGTATTATATCCGTTAATTTGTGTTCCCGCAATACTGGCACGACTGTTTGGCTGCTTTAAAGCTGTTACTGGAATATTATTGTGAGCTCTTGAGCTTGGTCGTGAATGTTGAATCATTCCACCGATCGTTCTAAAATCTGATTCGCTTCGAAATTTTCTTAAATTGGAGGGAACACGACCTCGCATTGTTTCGTTATCGCTACTATCGTAACCTGATGACCCGGCACCAGCACTATCACGATGAAATCCTCGATTTATTCTTCCACGATGTCTCTGACCTGGTCCTGGACCGGCACGATGTGAACGTTGCGAACCATTCGGTGGAAACACACGTGGCAATCCAAACTTAAGATAAGTGTACATGTTGGATCCCAATGGCGATTTGGGTCCATAGCGTGGATGATTTAATATTGAATGCACTGTAGTATCGCGTAGTTGGAAGTTTCCGTATGGCAATGGTGATTTATCAGAGCTGCCCAAAGCAGAATCAGTAAAATCTGAGTTCAAGTTTTGTCTAATTTTATTCCACGACAAAGAAGAAAAAAAAAGCAACAAAAATTGAGTTAAAAAGAAAATTTACGATGGGAGAAATTCGCTGCTAAGCAGACTGAAGCTTCACCACGAAATGCCGCGATTTAAACTTTTTTTTTCTTTTCAGTAGCACAATTGAAGCAATCCAAAAAAAAAGTAATAACAAAACGGTTCTCTTCGTCTGAATCCCGTTTATGGTAAATTTAATAAAAATTACAACTAATTTAGAATGAGCGAAACACAGAGTCAGAACAAGCAAAATTGATGATTCAGTGAGATTCCGTCTGTTCTTCTATTTGTTAAATTTATGTTTTCAACAAAATTCTTCTCCATCATTACACGCCCGCCACATCAAAGCGATGAATCGAAAGCTTTTTGAGTTAAAAGAGATTGGCTTTGACCATCAATGGAATGGAAAGAAATCGTAAAATTTTACACGCCACAATGAATCTTCTGACGTTTTATTGTGAAGGCAATTGAAGCTTGTTGGTCAGTTATGTTTTATTTTATTGTTTTGTAATTGCAATACATATGGATTAGATTACTAGTTCTCATCCGTCGGAGAATATATCTTGAATTTGATGAAGACGAATCACAATGAGAGTTGAAATGTGTGTTAAATGATAATCACAATTATTATCACGCGATTCACTAATAAATTGGGTTTATGTACATCGAAAAAAATAACCGCAGTCGACTTTTCAATTACAATTCCAATTGAGATCAGTGCCAAATCGAATAAAAATTGTTTTCGCTTTCTGCCAACTATGTTAACGCTCGCATTTAACAACTTTGATCTCGATCGATCCATTCATTAGAGAAGTAAATGAAGATTTTAAATTTACCTATAAATTGACCATGCATGAAGATCTTCTGAAGCAGCTGGTGGCAGTTGATGATGAATATTCGGTCCTTGTGGCACTGAGTATCGGCGCTCTTCACGATATGTGTTCATCTCCATCTTTATTTTCTACTTGATTAATTCGTCTCGTTTCTAGAAATCTAATTTCTTATCCTGAAAAGAATTTCAAAAAAGAAATGAGATCAAAATTTGTTCCCATAAAATTCTTTCATGAATTATGAATAAAAGAAATAAGTTTTACAATTAATTCACGCATTTAATTCTGTTCCGAATCTTTAAAACTTTCCAGAAACAAAATTGAAGGGGAACAAAGAATTTTTTTCCATTCATTATTAAAAGAAAAAGAGGCGAAGAAATGAGAAGCATCAATTGCGATCAAGCGTCGGATGTGTAATTAATCACATAAATGTAATTTTAAATCCATCAAGTTCACTTGCTGCCTACAGAAGTCAGAAAGCTTTTCTGTTGACTTCAATAACGTTTCCATTACGAAGTCAAAATCAAAAGCATTATTAATTGATGGTTAAATTGAGCTTGAATGTGGTAAACGTTTACTAGCGTTACCGATGTCATCATTGTTCACGAAAAAGAGAAAAAAATAATGAAAAGTGAATTCATTTTTCACTGTCGACATGCAGAAAGCAAAACTAAGCTTCAAGTTCGTTTCAGTAGATACGCGAAAAGTGAAAGAAACTGCTTAATTGTTAAAAAAACTACAAAGTGAAAAATCGCTCTAGTCTCGCTATTGAAATAAATGTTTTATTAATATGACATAACAGTGAACATGGAACCACGGATTACGATCAAATCAATTGCTTGAATTGTGTAATCGAAGACAGAATGAATTGTCTCGCAGTCGCATTCATATTCATTTCGTGTGACATTTTAATCAAGGATATTTATGTGTCTGTTGGCATTTCCTATTGATTCATTAAACGCGACTAATGCTTATTTAACTGTTGAATTTAAATCTTTCATTCAAGTTTACTTTAAACTTTTATTCTTGACTTCATTTCGTTGCTTTGAATGAAATAAATTTTGCTGTTTCCGTAGAAAATGAAACTTATTTACGACACTTCATGTCGTGTTTTGAAATTAAAAGACGAAATTGTTAAGGGAAAATAATTAAATATTTTTATCTTTCCCTCTTTTCATCCATTCATTCTCATTTAGTTTCATGTTTCTTGAGAATCAAACGTCTATTTAAGCAGACCAAAAAGAAAATTGAGAATTTCACGTGGCGAAACAATTATTCTTCGATTTTATATTTTGTAACTTCAAACCTGTCATGTGCTGTACAATTCAACATTTCACAAGAAAGAGTGAAGCTGAATAAGTTTTTGCTGCTGCCGGCATAAAAGAAAACAGTTGCGAGTCGAGGGCAATTTGCATCAATTCTCGTGAATATCTAACTGTCGAAAACAAAAAACGATATAATAAAAATGAAGAAAGAAAATTTCGTTTTGGTTAGTGAAGGAAATGACTTTTCTGTCGTTACGGTCTGTAAAACATTTTGATTTTGATTTTATGAGTTACCTCTCGTAAGTTTTCACAAATTGAAATGAAAATTTCAGTTCTTGTGCTTTATAATAATAACGTAAACAATGCGTGAATATTTTAAAAAGTGACAATCAATTGTGAGTTCAAGAACTTGCCCACGTCATAAATTTAATGATGTTTTGATTTGGGAAGATCATGGTAAAATGACAATTGTTTGTGCATGTTAAGTACCGTCATTATGTAATGAAAAGCTGAGATTAAAATTCAATGGCGTTCCGTGCATACACGTAGGATGAGTGTCGTTTAAAGCCTTTGTGTGCACAAGCCATGTGGGACAACAAACCATTACTCATAATGCACGCCGTTGCAGATTCATCTTTTGGTATTTCCTTTGGAAGCAGCAAACAATTAGTCAATCAAGAGAAACTGCAGATTCATCATCTGTTACGGGCGAGATGTGATCTTCAACAACGAAGCCCAGGAAGTCATTAATGTATTCATGGCGCACTTCACTTAATTAACCACCAACACATTACGCAAACTTGAAATCACTGACAGTCGCTTTTTGTTTTTATTATTTTTTTTCGCGATGGCTTCGAACAATTAAACAACGCCGACCTTGACCAATTTCTCTCGGATGCCTTTTTTTATTTAAGCTTCAACGATAAAAACTTGTTGGAATTTTGATGGAATTTTTAGCGTAAAACTTTGATTGCCTCTTTTTTTGTGAATGAATTTCATGAATGTTTTTGTGTCATTTGATGTGAATTAAATATTTTTAAATTATCATTAGCTTGACAATCGTCATAAAACGTGAATGGTGGCTTTATCTGACATCGATTTGTCTTACATTTACAATTGTTTATTGCAATATAAAATAGAGAATGGCGAATGAAACTGCTGATAATCAGCTGCTAGGCGTAGTGTGTCGAATCGCAGCAATAATAATTGGAGAATAAAAAGCGTTGTGATCCAAAAATCTCATTTCAGGACGTTTTTTTTTACTAAATTAGAGTTGATTGAATACTTTTTCATCATATGTTAATATCTGGTGTAAATATTTCGTGGGAAATTTTAAATTTTGTCGATTTAAAACCTAGTCAATTATTTCTGTCGACTTTGGTTTACCAACTGACGTAATGCATTTGATTGTTGCTTTAACTGATTATTACACCACTCGTAGGTGAAATGTTGGAACTCATTTGTTTATTTATTAGTTACATACTTTGTGGAGTTGGAAGAATTTCTTGTAAATGAGCTAAAATTAATTGCGTGGGTGTTTTACAATTCAATCTCAAACGAAAGAACTAGAAAAACCCGATCAGACACAAAAGTGAGAATTCACAACAATTCTTGATCACTTCACTCTCAAATGATGTCATTGAAAGTCCGTGGGACTTCACTTCATTCGATCGCATCTCATTAGCATAGAAAAGCATTTTCATGAATGAGTAAGTAAACATTTTTTTATGTAAATTTACATGAATCATGTGAACGCATTTGGAGGATTCTTTGAGTTGTTTGTCTTGTTGGGAAGGGATGTGATGACAAGTAACATCAAAAAGATTTGAAAGTACATCAAGCTCTGCTTGAAAATGGAAATCTTTGAATTTAAATTGAATTCTTCGATAGTTGAAGTAGAGGCAGACAATCATTAGATGGAAAGACCAACATTGTCACGGTTTGATTGTTCAATCGCCGCTGTTTTGCGCAGCACAAGTACCATAGATAGATTTGTATTGCGCTGCTGCAACAACGACCTAATTTGTTGGGCTTGAAAATTAGATGCCATTAAGCGTTGTTAACCGCATGTGACGATCAATTTATCAGTTTTTTTAAACAAAATAATTGAAAAGAAAAAAACTTTTAGAACTAACCAGCACGATTACGACATTTACAGTTACTCGATTGGAAGCTTTATGAGAATCGTGCTGTGTTTGAAAGCCCTCGTTGATTCTTAACAAGAATCTTTTGCACATGGTGATGATTAGAACCACAAATTTAGCGGTAGTTTCAAGCGACAACTCGATTTTGCGGGACTTTTTATGCGGAATCACTCGTGAGTTATGCAGAAAAGAAGAAACTGGTCATATCCATAAAAACTGTTTTCATTTCATCGTCATTGGAATCAAGCATTATGACTCAGCCTTGGACTTAACGTCTTTCATTTAACTCGAAAGTCTCTCGATTGTTGACAAAGTGAATTAAAATATTTTTTAAATATGCAAACTGGAGTTCATTATTCTATTTTTCCCACCATAACCATCATCATTATTCTTGTTTCATTTAAGATTGACTCCGGAAAAAGAATGGAAAATTTGCAAAAATTTATGTAATTAGAAAGAAAAATTTTATGACGTAGAACTTTTTTAATTTTATTCTGAAAGTCACTCAGATCGTATCTTTTGCTTGTTAATTTATTTAAGAAATTCATTATAGAAAGTAAAGTCTCATGATGAATTGCACGATTTAGGGAAGACGAAAATAGCAAACGTAGCCAATCATTGGTATGAATCGCAATTCTTCTTCTCATGGGAATGAAATTTCTAAGCTCTCAGATCTCATCACACAATTGCTTAATGTTTGGTAGAAGTTCTTGAGAGCCAAGAAAACATTTATTAGCACTAAGATTAGAATTAAAATCTTGTTATGAGTGCATTGAGAGCCATGGGAAGAGTTAATGAGATGAGAAAATTTATGATTTGTTTGCAACATGCAAATTTCCTTTCTTTGTTCTTCATTTCTCTGCCTTAAATAGATCTGTCAAATGTCATTCGTCGTGGCTTTTTACATCAATCAAAGTCTTCAGTTTATAATCACAATATGACAGCATTTTTGGACAACAATAAGTTTCCTTTCGATTTCAAAAATAAGCAACAACGTTGAATTATGCAAACGGATGTTGAGAACTTATTTGTATTCAATTATTTAGAATTTCGTTTTTGGAGACAGAAACTTTATGACTCGTGCGTTTCATCACACAAAGCTGACCACCGAGTGCATGGGAAACCGCACCTCGTGTCAGAACTTCCGAAAACTTTAAATTACTCACACCCACATTATGGATTTTCCCCAGCGATCACTGCATTCGAATGTCAATTAAAAATTGTTATTTGAAAAGGAAGTTTCTTGCGATTGCGATTTCCCGTTCAACGTCAGCTCATTTTTAAACATTTCAATCGCATTTTGCTGTTGGATTTCTGATCTTTCAATGGTGCACATTAAACAACGAAACAATTGATGCATAAATTGTTGAGATGAATGCCATGAACATTAGAATTTGACCATCACAAAGAAGCTTACATGAACGAACGATCAACCAAATGTTTCATGGTGAAGGTAAGAGAAAAGAGAAAATTACCGAAGCCAATTGTGCACTATTGTTCTATGGAAAATATGAGAAAGAAACACAAAATCGGATGAATCTGAAATGTGCATTGCAGCGAGTTATAAGTATGATAAACAGAGGCAAACTTTTGTGATGCAACAAAGTTATGTCGACAAGAATTACCAACTCCACTACCGGGGGAGTTCTTTGAACTCTTTTTTTCATCCGCTGATTTTTAATTCTTTCTCTCATCCTTTTCTTTACACTGTCTTCGTCTCGCTTTCTTGTGCGCTCATGACTTTTGCACACAGACGATGAACGAATAAGAAATAAAAAAAAATTAATATGAAAGAAATCGTAACCAGCGTAGATGGCAAAGCAATGAAAATTGCTACGAAAGAAGGTTTTAACCTTGAACGTGCTTACTTCTTAGACGATGAGTTTTCCTTAAGGTTTCTTTTTTATTTCTTAGAAAATTTAAGTGGTTAAGCAATAAAAAAGTTTATCCAATAATAATCAATCGCTAACAAGAATAATTTCAACTTTTTTAAGATCAATTACAGCACGTGGTTCAAACATGATGAATTTATCTAGGAAAGACTATAAAACGTGACGAAAGTTGGAAACAGTTGTCGTTATCGATGCTTTAATCATGAAACAAATTAATAATAAAAACGAATAGTGTTTGTCGTCACTATTTAAGCTCTTCTGTTTATATTATACTTGAGTGAAGAGTCGACTTAAACAACAAATTCCATTGCTATGAGAAAATATTCTTCTTCTTATTCCCCTCAAGTTATTTTTATTTTCGTTTTATTCAGGCGTTCCCTGAATATTTAAAAGAATTCTTTCTGTTTTCTCAACTGTTTGCATTTCAAAATGTTGAGAGAAGTGACAGTGGTGAGTTCATCGTGAAGTCAAAGAAAGTTATGTTAAAGCCTTTAACGGAATTTAGTTTGCGCAATGAGAATGCGCATGAAGTGTTGTAAAACATTCAAAGATGATTCACCTTTAAAGGAAGAACAATGAGATTCCATTGAGATTTAATTTAACTGACTAGAGATATCGTCAAGACTCGCTTCAAGATCACCTTACGTGTCGTTATGGTACCTATTTACAAAATTGATTTCAATTAATCAACGGACGCGGATCATGACGGAAAACATTCCAACCACAAATTAAGGTCGTAAATTTGGTCTTATAATTAAATAAAGAAACTTTTCCCAAGTTAATTTTAAGTTGTTAACCACAGTCTTTTCACAAGTCTTTACTATTTAGACATTTGTTGAAAACTTTAAAGCACAAATGTTCAGCAATTGAAAGGAGAAGAAACTCTGATTAAGTTGTTGAGAGTTTCTGGAATGTTAATTACTTAATAGTTGATTATTTCAACCATTGATTGCATAGTCTACAAACTTCTTAGATTCAACTCAAATTACCCAACTAAAGCATGGTCTTTCTGCCTTTAACCATCGACAATTTTTATTTTGTGAAAGTCGCACAACGAAACGAGAGTAAAATAATATTACAAAGCTTTTTCATGTTACGAAAAAAAAAACTATAACAAAATAATCATTAAAACTAGATCGATATGAACGATTGTTGAAGTGACTATGTCTGACATTTTTTATTTGATTTCGCTTCATCAACTTCTTTCTCAGACTATTTATCTTAACATTTTAATTTGAAAGATGAAAGTCGTCTATGAAGGGCTTCTATAGACATTTCACCGTGTGACGATCGCTTTCATTCGAATGTGAAGTGTTTTAAGTGACTAACAATAATATCTGTCATAATTTTCTCATGAAACTTGAAAATTAAACAATCACTTTAATAATAATGATGTTCGTAAGTGAGTTTCTTTCCTCCCCTTCACCTTCCCCGGTCAACAATTTCTCAATTCTCTTTGTTCTATCACGACATAAATCGAGTAATGATGATGACGGCTTCAGGTCGGTCAACGCATGACAAAAAATAAATGAATCAAGTAAATATACAAAAGATAACTCATTTTGAGGCTGGCGTATGAATCAGATGAAATTACGGTACCGGTAACCAAACGAAACGAGTTTTTCATGTCTACATGTCGAAGAATGATCAGTGGAATTGTTTTGGATGTCAGTCCACTTAAGTTGTTTTTGCGATGATTGAATCGACTGGACAGTATGTCAAAAATTTATCATTTAAGCTGCTGCTCCGACAGGAAATTGATTTAAATTTTGTTCGATGATTCTTTTTTTGATGCAGAAGTTTATACCGTAAAGCGAGACGAGTTTTTCTTTAAACGTTTTACTTTTTTTTTCAATGAATTACTGTGAATACCAGATTCTTTCGTTAAGAACCAGATCGCACGGTTAATTGGAATTTCAAACGGTTTCTCACCTGATTTATTTTTTTATTGTTGATTCTGTATATTTGCAAGTTCTGTTCAATAACCATTGAAACTTATCCATTAATGTTGCAAGAAAAAACTTCTTAATAATCCAATCGATGGACACAAGTTCCTTAATTTGTCTTTTAAATTATCACGCCGATTTGTTGTTTAATTTACGACGAGATCAGCACCAAAAATAATTTTAAATTCGACACATTCAACTCGTTTTCTTTCCCGTCTGACTCGCACACCACGAGAATCAAAAAGTTTTTTTTTATTATTTATTTTGTTATTCTTTCACATTTTCCATTCTTTCGTTTGAATCCATTATAAAATTCTGGAACATCCAACAGGTTGTGTAATTTTAATTTTTCTCTCCTTTTCAATGTGTTGGTTTCTGCCTTTCGTGTTTAGAATTTTTTTAAAAAATATTTTTTATACACTTTTGATGCTTATTAAGTGATATGAGAATTTTTGTAAATTCATCACTCAAAAGAATCGAACACTCCACTTAACAGCAGTTAAATTGATCTTACTTAGAATACAATAGTGAATATGATTGATGGACTGGTGAAAATGATCAAAACGCACAACCGCTCGATGCCACCGAACTCGAATGAATGAAAATATCCAACGATACAAAAGAGCTTGAAGTTAAAATCCACAAAGGAATGCTGTCGACTCTTTCATTCGCTCTCGAGAAGAGAAATTGTGCAACACTTTGTATCGCTTAGAGAAAAAATTATCTTTAAATGAAAACTCGATTAAATTTAATAAAAAAATTTCATTGTGATTAAAAAAATTTGCCGATAATAAAATTCTTACAAAATATTTTTAAATAAAATTTATTTTAATTCAAGATTCTGTTGAAAAATTAACGTCTGATTAAATATTTTTCTCTTTCATGTTTCACCTGTAAAGCGTAAAACATTTCCCTCCCAAAGCATAAGTAGAGTGAGATAGAAACGCGATCTTCTCAAACAAGAATTTTTTTTTTCGAGAGTCAGTTTGTGGTTGAATGTTAGTGGAAGTGCACGCTTTTCTTGTAGCTTTTTTATATAAATAAAATAGCATTGGCAAGCGTTTTAAATATTTTTAAATAAAATAATTCTACAACTCGTTAAGTGATTTTGATGTTGACAAACTCATCAATTGAATCTCTTTGTAATTGAACTAAAAATCATTGGAGAACGTTTTAAGATGATTGGAAGTGATTACGTTTTGGAAGCTTTAAATATTTACCACACAACTGATGTAAGTAACCTTTTAATTTCCTTAAATTAATTAAAGTTTATGAAATAAAATTTATTCATAAAGTTTCTTTAAAATTATCACAAAAGTTTAGATTAGAAATGTTTAAATACCTAAATTCTTTAATAACAAATATAACAACAGTTAAGTCTTCAACATCTTTTCCTATTCAACTCTCTTGCATCTTGTAACACAAAATGAGACTGAAAATTTCTGGGTTCGCTGTTCATTCTCTGAAAATCTTTTGTTTTGATTTCTCGCTCTCATGATCTTCAATAACTATTTTTAGGTCGAGTCTGGAGGATGCTTTTCTGGTGATGGAACATCAGCATTGGTTTTGAAAGGCGTGAATCTGACACTTCATAGTGGAGAGGTCATGGCAATTCTTGGTTCAAAAGGATCTGGAAAACGTGCATTGCTTGATGTCATTGCAAAGAGAGCAGATGGAAGGGGACGAGGAACGGTTTTGTTGAATGGAGCTCCATTGACGAAAAACCTTTTTCAACAACGTTGTGCTTATGTTACGCATCAAGTTGATTTCATTCCCGGTTTGACAGTATCACAAACACTTCACTACACACCAACAATTCTCACCGGATATTTGAAGACTTCGAAAGTTCGACAGATCTTAGCAGACTTGGCATTGTCTCAAGTTTCTCATAAGAAAGTTGAAAATCTTAACATCAGTGAACGTCGCCGTCTGGCAATTGGAATTCAATTAGTTCGCGACCCAGTAATGTTATTACTCGATGAACCGACTCAAGGATTAGATCCCTTGGCTGCTTATTTACTTATTTCCATTCTATCAAACACAGCTAAGAAAACAGGATGTGGAATATTATTGAGTTTGGAGAAACCACGATCAGATGTCTTTCCATTTTTAGATCGGTAAGATTAAGAAAATATTTTCAAGAAATTTATTTTTATAGTTTCATTTAATTGCTTTTAGTGCTTTGTTTTTGTGTCTTGGAGGAGCAGTTTATTCAGGCGGTACCCGCGCAATGCTTGAATATTTTCACAACATCGGATTTCCATGTCCACAACTTGAGAATCCATTAATGTATTATTTATGTTTGTCAACAGTTGACAGAAGGTAAGTTGATATTCTACCACAGATTCTCAAACCTTTTTCTATTTGATCAGTCAATTTTAAAGAATAATAAGATAAAGTTTATCAATCAATACAATGACATCACAATGTTCATGTTCACTCAAGTATCTCCCCCCCTCGAGCTTAGAATTGTTCGTGTGTGAATATTATCTTCCTTCTCATTTCCTCTCCCATGTACAAAATACTCGTATTGCTTCATGACGACGAAGAATCGTGACTGATTCATCAACATGGTGCAAAGCGATGTACAACGATGAATGTTTTCTTCTTCTTATCCATCATGTTGTTCTTTTTTTGTTTTTCTCATTCCACATTTATTCACAATATCGTCTTTCGTTCCATGAAATGTGCGCTGGGTCGATTGTGTGCGTGCAAGAATTTATGTGCAGGGGTGACGGAGAAGATTTTTAAATGTCACGAAAAAGTAATGAAAAAGATTATTTTAAATAAAATAAAATTGAAGAAATCAGTTTTTAATAGAAAAAAGTTCTAAACTCGCAATTAAATGTTTCTGAATCCCTGCTTTGAGTATTCCCCTCTCTTTCTCTCACGTGAATCATCCGTCACGAACAGCTAAACATCGGTGTTTTTTTTTCCTTTTTTCATCGATTTTGTTTCGCTCTACCTTCTTAACAATTATTGTTGTTTCTCATCTCGCAGTGTCCATTTCGGTGGCTTTTTCTCCGTCATCTTTTTTTTCGTGTTTTCGTTTCATTAAACCATTCCCGTCCATCCACCGAAAAAAAAGCAAACGAGAATAACAAAAAAATAAAACAGAAAAAAAAACATCTTTTTGCGTCTCGCGTTTTGTGCTTGAAATTCTTCATTATTCGTGCACGAAACTCTCAACCATTCGGTCACACAAATGGACTCGCGTGTACACGTCAATGTAAGAGTTTCAAGTTTACCAAGAATTCAAGTGAAGTGATAAAATGGACGATGTTGTCTCAGTGAAAAACTATCAAGACGACGTTAGTGATTCGTGTGGCTTGTCAAAGAATGAAGTTATAAAGTTACTTTATAATCAGGATAACAGCATAACACTCATTGCACCAGAAAAGTTTAAATCGCCGATCTGGGAGCGGTTTCGCGTCGTACATTACAAAGGTAAGTGAACGAACAGCCACTCACTTCAACTTCAAGGTCAGTGATCCGTGAATCGCGCTTTGTCGTCGTGACGTCATTGATGACTGGCTTTGGATCATTCTATCATTTTCTCCCTCTTTCCAACACATCTTCAACTCAACTTCATTCTTGTTTCTCTTGTTCAACACCACACACGAAAACAACCAAATAAAACAAAACGAACTACAAAATAAAATAAAAAAGGTGTTAAGCTCAACTTCGTGCAGTGCATTGGATGTTCTCTCGTGCTTGTGTATAAGTCGAGAACAGGAACGGCTTCACTATTGCGGCATCGTTGCGCAAGATTCCCAATTTCCGTTTATGATCTAAAATTGGCGGCTGCTGGTCATCACATCGATTTGTTGAACGAAATGGCTTCGTCATCGCATAATGGAACAATTGAATTAAAACAAGAGCTGCTCAGTGATGAAGAGAGTTTAGAAACGCAAGACGTAAATTGTGACGACGATCAACAATACACAAATGAGCAGACAAACAAAGGATTAATTGAGTCGCTCTCATTTCTTGAGAAATCTTTCATGACAGGCGAGGAATTAATGTTGTCACGAGAGGAAGTTGAACTTGCTCAACGTAATAATGATCCTGATTTATTTTTTGAACGGTAAGTTCATAAATTTAATGGAGAAATTTGTCATTTAAAGCGCTTTGAATTTATATTTATTTTAGTCCTCGAAATCATCGACACAGCGCAACTTGGGATCGCTTTGAAATCGTTTATTATCGTGACATACGACAAAATTTCGCAAAATGTTTGTCGTGCAGTTCCATCGTGTCTTATAAGAAAACAACTGGAACGGCGAGTTTAATACGACACAAATGTAAAATATCGAAGAATCATCAACAAGCAGTGAAGGTGGAGAATCATCAACAGCCTGTGAAATCAGAGAATTTGATTAATTTATTGACACAATCGAAAACACCTCCAGAATTAACACCAGCTCCAGTATTTGATGCTCCGTCATCATCATCGACCGCTGTCTCATCAACAGCAACAATTAAACAGCCAAGTTTGGTGAAATCGATAAGATCTGAAAATGTTTCTCTGCTGGAAATCGCTGGCCGTAATATTGCACTCGAGCAGATTAATTGGCTGAGCCAGACACTTGTAACATCGGAGATCATCAGCGACTCAACATATTTGAGCTTCCTTCAAAGTCTTGTAAATTTCGGTGCCGATTTTGGTAAACATAAAATCTCAAACATCATCAATCGCAATGCAATTTGTCAACATTTCATTCCACGAAAATGTGCCGAAGTTCAAAATGAATTGTTGAGTGCTTTAAGGGACACGGAATTCTCAATCTCGTTTCGTAAATGGAGCAATTTAAGAGATGAACATTATGTGACTGTCTTCGGTTATTATTTCTCATCTAATTTTGAGTATAAAAATCATATTTTGGGAACGCGACGATGTGATGGTGATGATGATGTGATGAACGTTGTTAAAGAGATCAGCGATGGCTACAAGACTGTGAAAGATTTAAAGTTGAAATGCATTTGTGATGAAGCTGAAGATGATTTTGAATTTTTTCCTTGCATTGTACGACGAATTTCCATTGTGATTGTAACAGCGATGAAAGTCAACACTGAAAGTGAAAGATTCTTCAAGAAAATTTATCAACTTGCACATGAACATCTCAACATTCCAATGAAAAATTCTTTTGAAGAATCGAGTGATGATCAGAAAGTGAGAATTTTGTTTGAGTTTCATCAACAGTTAAAAGCAAATGATGACGATCAGAACGATTCTGCAATTGAAAGATTTATGAAGTTATTTGGCAGTTTATTCTCAGCTATTTCAAGTCTCACAGAAACGACCGAAGACGGTGCACGTTGTGTGTCAGCAAATAAAGTTTATTTGTGGTTTAAGAAACTTTTAAAAACTTACACTTCGATTAAGACGGAAGACGAGTTTGCTTGTGAGATTCTTAAATCTATTGAGACGATAAAAATTCATGAAATTTATCAAGTTGCTGTTTTTCTCGATCCAAACTTTAAGAATTTGAAATTTCTTGACACTTCCGAACGAAATGTTTTGCTTGATATCGTCAAGAAAAATCTCCAAAAGATGATGGGCGATGACGATGGGACACAAAATCAATCAAAACGAAGAAAGCTTGACAATAATCCACCAAAATCCCACGTCAATGACACATTCATCGAGTTTATGGACATAACGATGGAGAGTGTTGATGATCAAGTGAATTCTGAGATTCAATGCTACATGGGATTTAAACTTGAGAATCCTGTCGACATCGTTGAATTCTGGCGTGACAATGACTGCTTTCCTTATCTCAAGAAACTTGCTCGTAACTTTCTGAACTTGCCATCATGCACATTCCACAGCAACTGCTGCTTCCTTAGCGCAAGCAATGAACTTTATCAAAAGTGTCAAAACTTGCCAGCTGAAGACATCGAAACATTGACATTCCTTCATCAGAATTTTTAAGAAAACTTTAAAAATATTAACTTTTGTACTTAAGCTGTTTTTAAATTCTGTTTTAAAAAGATATGAAAATAAAATTTTATACAAACAAGTTTTTAATAAGAAAACTTATTTTAAGAAATCTTTCGACGTATTAATTCAATGAAATTACGAAATTTTGATTTCAGGAGTCGCGATCGGTTTCTGGAATCAAGTCAACAAATTGAAGCACTTGTTGAGAGATTCTCACGCGAAACAAACATATCTGATGGACCACCAAATACAGGTGTTGTTGGAAAAATTCCATTAGCTTATGGAAAGCCGAGTGAGTTGAGTGTTTGGGGACTTTTGTTCATCAGACTTCTTGCTTCAACTTTCTCATGTGGATTGTCAGGATTGAAAACACTTTTTTTGAGGATCTTTGCACTGCCAGCTTTATTGAGTGTTTTATGGTTGTTTTACAGTCAGATTGGAGTAAGAATTTATTCAGATTTTATTTAAAAGTTTATTAATAAATGTTTTACCTCTCAAGGATGATCAACACGGATTTTTCAGCAAGAACAGCATGATTTTGAATGTTCTTGGACTTTCTTATGGTGCTGGAATACTGACAACTGTCATTTTATTCCCAATCTGGCGACGAAGATTCATTCAAGAGTACTGTGAAGGGCTTTACTCGGGTGTCACCTTACTTGGAGCTTACAATTTTCATTCAATGCCTTTTTCATTAATAAGTGCAGCAATTGGCGCAAGTGTCATCTATCCGTAAGTTACCAATGTTTTTATAAAAAGATTTTTTTAATATGTTTCTGATAAATTTAGGATGGTGCTTGATCCACAAAATCTTGATACTGGATATCCATTTCTTTATATTCTCGTCGCTTTGTGGACAAGTTTTGTATTGGCTGAACAACTCGTAATATTCTTCCTGTTTTTCATTCGATCGAGAATTAATGCTGCTATTGCTGTCAGCTATATTATCTGCATTTTCATCACATTAGCAAGTGGAACTGTACGATCATATCGAGGCTTACCTTCCATTCTTCAAGAAAACACAAAGGGAATTCATTCTCGTTATGCTTCTTCTTTGTTGCACAGTGCAATCTTTTTATCACGAAGAATGGTTTGTATTCCTAAGAATGGAATTGTCTGTCCAAGTCCCAGAGAATTTTTATATGACAGATTGGGAAAATCTGATCCTAATGAAGTTACAGACATCTCGATTTCAATCGCATTCGCTATTGGAATTGCTGCATTCAATATGATTATCTATTTAATTCCAATGCCTAAATGTGTACGAGATAAGTTTAGAGATTAATATTGCACTATTATTGTTCTTTTAATCATTTCATCAGTTTCTTTTTAATAAAATAATCGAAAATATCAGTTTAATAAAAACCGCTACGAAAAGTAAACTTTAAATTCAAACTCTTTCAGCTGCTGCTCAGCTTCAACGTTTGGCGCTTTATTTTGTCTAAGTTACCTTTAACATCAACAACAGAATATTAAAAAGTATTCCTGCTTGAACAACTTGTTGATTAAATGTTAAATATGAGTCAAACAATAATAAGTGATTTAAATGATGATGTTTTACTCGAAATATTCAGTTATCTTCATGGCAAAGATCTGAAAAAGTCGGCACAAGTTTGCAAAAGGTAAAAAAAACGGAAAATGTCGGCGTTTCTTATTTTATTTTCTACACATTTTAGATGGAATGAAGTTATCAGCACTAATGGTTCTACAATGAGCAAACTGCCACTTATGCTAAATGAGGATTGGCAACAATTAAACAAATCTTTTGATTTGATGAAACTTTCCCGTTCTTTTCACACAATCACCATGATGAGTCCTAAAACTAACATTAAGCTCGTAAAAGCAATACAGAAGTATTCAGAACATCTGCATCATGTGGAAATTATCGAGACTGGCTTGCCTAAAAAATTTTTTGTCCAAATCCTCAAAACTTTGAAAGCGTGCACAAAACTTACACTTCGTGATGTTTACACAACTGGTTCTTATAAAGTTCCAAAAGGATTAAACCTCGAAAACTTAAAAACATTAACCTTGAAGTCAAAAGAGAAATACTCCAGCATGAGTTCACTAATCGATAATATGCAGAATTTAATGGAAATTCTGGGCAAGGCAAAAACAAATCTTCGTACTTTAAAAATTAGAATGGCTGAGATTGGTTTCACAATGGATGATAGTGAGAAAGATACATTTGTAGAGTTTCTATCAAAGCATGTGGACCTAGAAGTTCTAGCCGTACATTGTACATACACTGACTTCTTCAAATCCTTCTCTCTTGTCAATCTCGATAAGTTTAAATTCAAATTGAAGAAGCTCGCAATAAATATCCCTAAAGTGAGTGAAACAACAACCGAAAATGAAAACGAAACATTTTTCATGGGTTTCCTCGATAGACAAAAGGAAACATTAAAAGAAATCGAAATCAAAAGATTTGCAAGTGCCGAAATTCTTCAATTCGTCGTGAAAAATATGTTAATTAATAAACTTACAACTGATGTCACAGATTTTCCAACTTCTTCGTCATTCTACAATTCATTGCGGCCTAATAGACATTTAACGTCACTTTCGATCAAAGACGAATTATCAAATGAAGATGTAGCTCAAGGTATTTTTCATGTATTCCCGGCCTTACAACGCTTTGTGATTGACGATTGGAAAAATGACATTGCTGACGAAATTTTACTTTCAATAGCAAATAATCTTCAACATTTAAGTTATTTATCAATTCCGAATCTCCCAACAAACTTACCAGAAATTCCTATACAAAATCTCAAAACAATTTATTTAGATCTTGTTGATGATGTCAACACATGGAAAGATTTTTTAATGAATAATCCAACAATTGAAGTTATTTTCGTGAAGTGGTTGACTGATTCGGAATCTTTAAATCATGAAATGCTTAACGAGATCACGATGCGTTTGCAACAACTCAAAGAAATGAATGTTGGTGCTCGTTTTCAACCAAGTATAAATGATTTGGGAATGATGAGTCGCAATTGTCCAAATTTTAAAAGATTGGAAATTTTCGATCCAGCTAATGCTGATAGAGATAACGCAACTTATGGACAACTGAATGTTTTCTATTCAACAACTCAAGCAGCTGGAGAAATGTTCGATAACATGCCTTCGATGTGGTTACCTGAAATTGATGCATGGGATTCAGATTATGAAGATGACGACAGTCGATCAATTGATGAATCTTTAAGCTTTGATGATATTTTTGATTCGGACTCTGATTCTGATAGGATGTGGCATATTTATGGTGGAGGTTTGGGACATTTTGATGAGTGGTGATTCGATTCCCTTATAAAAGAAACAACCATGAAATGATCTCTCGAAAGACTCATAACTTGTTCATTCCATAAATCTGAATTCTCATCACCAAATAATAATAAATTGTTGAAATATTGTTTAAACTTTTTTTCTTTTATTTATTTTGTTTTTAAGCTTGAACAGTTCGACGGAATTCTTGAGTAAATTCTCCAGTTGGATCATATTTCTTCTCAAGTTTCGCCCAGTCTTGTGGCTTCTTGTCTTGAATATGAAGAATGACTTTTCTTGAATTTCTCTTTTCCTTATCGGAACAATTATTGCATCCAGATCGAAGCACTTGTGGTAATGTTACTTTCAATTCTCTGCCTTCACTTGTGCATGGACCTTTAATAAAAAATTAAATAAATTAACGAACGATGTTTGCTTACTTATAATAAAATGAAGAAACCTTTGTCCAAAAGACATTTCAAATAATTTGATAAGATTCTGTCATTCTTCAAGATCATATCGACATTCAAATTATCCAACTTTTTCGAAAACTGTCCATTAGTGACGGCCACGAATGACGCAATCAAAGGAACAACAAACAAAAATAGCTTCATTATCTTCTCTTTTAATGTTAACACACCACAAACTGCCTTAACGACTGTTGAACGTAAACTAATAACTGCTCGTCTACCGTAATCGACTTTTTATAGACCTCATCGAAATCCACTTACGAAAATATTTGCAGACTGCTATTTATTTAGAATCTGAAGAAACAACAACGTTTATATGCTTGAGTTGAAGAAATCAGTTGAAATGAGAAATTAAATGGAAATATACACAACAAGGGGAAAAAATTGTCGTCTAAGCTTAAAATAAAAGATTTAGGAAATATTCAAACAAAGTTGATAATTGGATGGTTTTACTTTCAAACCTGGCTTTCATAAATATTTAAATAATGGCTCACTTACCTTCAGAAGAATAACAATTAGAGCCAATCATATGTTTAAGCAACTTATAAATTTATTTACAAATACTTTAAACATGCATAATTATGAGTGATGCATTAAAATTATTTTTTTCTTCTCGCTTGAGTTCGCACATGTTTATCAAATTGATTTCATGAGTTCATCACGTATGTGGATAGTTGGAAATCCCATAAGATATTCAATTTAACGCTTTAATGCATTAACAAATTTTAATTAAAGAATATTGATAAAATTCTTAAAAGCTGAAGATCAACAAGTGTTTAAATTTGTTTCGATTCCTTCAGCATGCTTGCGATGACCTTGACCTTTACCTCAACGACGTCTTAATGAATCAACAAGTAAACTGTGAAACAAAATAAGATCAATAAAAAGTCATAAATGAATCCAGTTTCTAAATGGTTTTATTGAATTTTGAAAAGAATTTTGATTTTGATTATAAAAATTTACTGCTTTGGTAATGAATTCAATGGAAAATTATTTTAAAATTTTGATTTCGGATTGAAGAATTTGGAGTTTAAGTTTTCTAAAAAATATTTGGAATTTGAAAATTTGAATTGTGTTTGCAAAGTTGCCTTTCATTTTTTTGTTTGTTCTTCCTCGACGAACGTCAATTGGAACATTTTTATTTAATTTTACTTTTTTTTTTTATTTTTTTTCTTGTTGTTGTTTTGTTTTGATGATCATTGCAAGAACATTGAGAACGTCTTTCTAAGTTGAGATTGTTGAAGCTTTGTTTTGATCCGAAAGTCCTTGTTTGCCGTTTCCATGAATGCTTGACCGTTTTGACGTCGTGTCTAGGCGCTTTGATCATGAAACAGTCGTTGAACTTTGATCCTTTTACTTCTACAAGATTCTGACATTTCTTCAGGTTGAAAGTATCGCTATCGCTGCTTCACAATGAATCATTCTCGTTTTGAGCCACCACGGACTCGATTGTTTAGCCACTAACGGACTGATGTGTTGAGCCACTACGGACTCCATTTTTTAGCCACTGACGGACTGATGTGTTGAGCCACTACGGACTCCATTGTTTAGCCACTGACGGACTGATGTGTTGAGCCACTACGGACTCCATTGTTTAGCCACTGACGGATGAGGTGCATTCCTACAAAGCTTTTGATGGGACAGTTTGTTCCTAGGAAACTGAAACTTTTATCAACCATCAATTACATCCGGGACAGA